GGTGGTATTTAGTTATCGGATAATAGATATAGCTTATATAATAGATATTTTTAATTCTAGGACTTAAATAGATAACATCCTAATATAAGATTTCAAACGCCTAATCTCTAATATAGATTTATCGCCTAGAAATCTATTATTTAGCCTTTAATAATAGGTATAGTTTATAAGTGATCTTTTTAGCTAAAAAATAGTCTACTACTATACTAGTTAAGGCACTTTCTAGGTACTTAATCGTATCTAGGCTAGGGTAGCCTAGGCGCTAATACTATAGGTTATCTATCCCTTTTATACTAGATAGCTTTATAGATAATAATAGGATAATAGATTTATCCTACTAAGGCTAAATAGAAGTAATATTAAATAATTTCTATAGATAAAGTAAAAGGGTTATAGGTATATTTTATTCTATTTAAATAAGGGTAATATCTATTTTATCTAATATACTATAGATAGGTGTTCTATCTTCTCTTTTAAGCTAATTAAACCTTTAATTATAGTAAATACTATTCTTTTTAGCCTATTTTTTAGATAAAATATTTAAATAGAAGCGTAGTATATAAAGGGTTTTATAGAGATTAAAAATAGTATTAATAAAAATAGAAAGACTAGACTAATACCTTCTATAGAGGATTTAGTATCACTTACTGTTGGAATATCGACCAATACATATAAGTGGATCTACCCTCTTATTATTCAACATAAAAGAGGACAAAACTAGGTTTAGGCTAGGAAACCCTAAACCCTAGTTGGACATTCATTATATATCCTGGCGCGAGGAAGATGGTCGACAGTCACGTGACCAAATGGACCTTAGCCCTAGAAGAGTAGGGGGGACCAGTCTCCTAGGGGGTGGATGGCCCTTCTTTAGGGGTAAATGGCACTCGCGCTAGGGGGTGTGTATAGGCGGTCAATACCGCCTAGATTCTTGGCTCTTTTCTATGCTGTTCTATCTGCTTCTACCCCGCTTGATCTGCGTTTACTATGCCTTGTCTATGACATCACTGTCTATGATCTATATGCTTCCATTCAGTTCTATCACTTCTCTTTGAGGTATTTCCTTTGGTCCGAAGCATGTGATACCGAGGTATATTTGTCTATAAATACGCGATGAATTACTAGGTAGAAGAATCAGACTTTTCACTCTCTTTGGAAACTGCCTAAGTTCCTTTCTTGCTTGTCTTGCATACAAAAGGGTAAAAGCAACCCTTAGTCAGTGTGATCATTCCTCTACGAGTTAAAGCGTGAATTGTTCTCGTTTAGGCTACATCAGTGTGTAGTCTATCCTAAGAGTCTTCCTTTGTCCAACTTGGACCGACCAGTTGGATAAAGCGATATAAGACACTAAGGGGGTACGCAAAGCCTAGTTGGCGCCACGAACGGCCTCGTGGTATCACCGCCCTTATTGTCCCACACTTACTAATAGGTCGCCTTAGTAGGACGAAAAAATAATAAATTAACAATAATTATTTTTATATATATACGTATTTATAGCTAAATCTTATACCTATATATTAGATTAAATATATCTAGTAGCTAGGTATATAACTATATCTAGATAATCACTTAACTAGCCTTAGTTAGGCTAATACTTCTTTATAGCGTTTTTATATATATACTTAAAGCCTTTATAAGTATACACCTAGTTAAAATAGCCTAGGGTAGCCTAGTTAGGCTTTTATTATTTTAGTCTAATAGATAGGTTAATATATAAATATTCACTAAATAAATAATAGTCTTTATTAGTATCGCTTTTATAATAATATAATTTCTTTTTCCTCTCTATCACTTTACCTTAATTATTTTAATCTAATTATCCTTAAAAGATAATATTTATAATAGGCGTTCTCTTTAGTAGTAAGAGCTTAATTAAATCCCCATATCTCTTTATAAGGATAAAGAATTAATAGGTAGAATTATAAAATAGACCTTATGATATAGTTATATTTGCGAAGATCTAGCTTATAGTCCCTTCGTTAATCCCTCTACCTCTCGCGTTTATTCTAATTAAATTAGTTATTAGTAACTATATTAAGATTAATATCAGAAACCCTTAGATAAAAAGGGAAATCCCTAGCTATCCTATTCGTCTAATTATCTAGGTTAATATACCTAGGTCTATACGCCTTTAGCTAATCTTAGTTAATTTAATAGAGGTAGATATCGTTTTATATAATAGATATAGGGCAGAGGTAAAGATAAAGTGAAGACAAAGTAAAGATAAAGTAAGGATAAAGTGAAGGAATAAGGTAAGGGTAAAGGATAATAATATTAATAATTCTTAGAGGTCTTTAGAGAACTACTGGGCTTATAACTATCGGCCGCGAAGGGAGGCGGATACCACGAAGCTTTTTATAGCGCGAGGTACACTTTTACTAATACTTCCTCGCTATAGACCGTTAGCTACCCGACCAAAGAAGGCTTAATCGGATAAAGAAAGAAAAGAATAAGATAAAGTGTAAAGGGCTTATATACTCTAAATAAGTATAATCTATAATCCTTAGATAAAGGACTAAGAAGAAGGTCTTTCTAAGTAGATAGAAAGGATAGTAAAATATTTAAAGAGAGTAAAAAAAGTCTGTCATTTCTACTTAGTGTCTCGCGCGTATTTATAGACAGAAAGTGGTCAAAGTCACATACTTTATATTAGATAAATAGGATAGAATCAGGGAAGGAAATATAATAGAACTGATGGCGTGATGAGGGATATGTCATCGATCTGGTGGGGTAAAGAGGGGTAAGCGGTTTGGAGGGGTAAATCATGTTCGCATCTCTTTCTGTTGGAATTTGGACCAATGCTACATTAGGTGAAGGTATCCTCTTATTCAACATAAGAAGAAGAAGAAGAAGAAGAAGAAAAGAAAGAGATGCGAACATGATTTACCCCTCCAAACCACTTACCCCTCTTTACCCCACCAGATCGATGACATATCCCTCATTACGCCATCAGTTCTATCACATTTCCTTCCCTGATTCTATTCTGTTTATCTGATATAAAGCATGTGACTTTGACCACTTTTTGTCTATAAATACGCGCGAGACACTAAGTAGAAATAACAGACCTTTCACTCTCTTCAAATATTCTACTATCCCTTTCTATCTGCTTAGAAAGACCTTCTGCTTAGTCCTTTGTTTGAGGATTGTGGATTGTACTCATTTAGAGTGCATAAGCCCTTTGCACTCTATCTTATTCTTATTATTCTTTCTTTATCCGATCAACCCTTTCCTTGGTCGGATAGTTCAACGGTCCGTGGTGGGGAAGCATCTACAAAAGCGTACCCCGCGCCACGAAAAGCTTCGTGGTATCCGCCTCCCTGCACGGCCGACATTAGGTAATCGATTTAAAGAATAATCACAACTATAAAGAATCTATATATTTAGGGTAGGTAATCGATTTAAAGAATAATCACAACTATAAAGAATCTATATATTTAGGGTAGGTAATCGATTTAAAGAATAATCACAACTATAAAGAATCTATATATTTAGGGTAGAAGGCCTATTAGTTAGGTGAGGAAGTATACGTAGGATAAAGGACTAGAGTACTTCCGATCCTCATATAATTTGAGTAGGAATCGTGTTAAGATCTCACTTAAATTCGCATAAAATTATGAAAACAACTATAAAAAGTGCCTAATTAAGCAGCATCACCAATGAAATGTCATACACGTGACTAATCTGCCCCCACTTTGGAAACCCATTGGGGCCCCAAGAACCATTGCGGTTTCTGACCTAGAAACCAAAAACCGCGATGGTTTCCGAAACTGGCCCCAAAAGCCAAACCACGTGTGGTTTGGTTTTGCACTTTTGCGGTTTTTGGCGCAGTCTATCTTTAAGCCCACTCGGCGACCATACGATCTATTGCTTTAGCGTAAGCAGACTACACGTGACTCGCGCTATGGTCGAGAGAAGGGGCTTATAAAGTAACGCGTATTGGCGTAGATCTGCTACTATTACAATTGAGATAATACTTAAGCTCCGTTAGAAGAAATGAAGAGGCGTAACTGAATAATTAATCCCTTGATATCTGGCATTATATCTGTCGGCATGAGAACATGACGGATCTAGCACTAAAAGTGTCATTGGCTTTTTAATCTAGTGGTCAAAGTTTTGACAGTTATGAGCCCGGTTCGCATCTATCCCGGACTTTGTGGTCAGAGGTTCGAGCCACAAGAGGAGCATTAAAAATATAAAACGGTTGGGTGCAAGTGAGCCATACGCTATCCTTACCCGCGAATACCCGTATAGTCAGTCTCATTTAGTCCCTAGGGCCCGGCAGAGAAGATCCGGACAGATTTACCCTAAGCGAAAGACAGAAAAAGAAGACTATTGCCCTCAGAAGAGCCGAACATACCACAGATGAAGAAGTCCTAGGTTTTCCTGCATACAGCAGGATACCCCCTATGATAGGGCGCATCCTGAGGGGGTGTGTCGGCATGAAAACATGACGGATCTAGCACTAAAAGTGTCATTGTCAAAACTTTGACCACTAGACTAAAAATGCCAATATCTAATATGCCTCAAGAGACTTCTTACATTAAAAAATTTATCAGTCATACTGCATGAAATCATGACAGATCGATTTGATTTATATCACTTTATTGTAACAATGCCGATTCAAATACTTGAAAGAGAAGCATAAGTGATAGAGGCTACATCTTCCAGACATCAGAGGTGCTGTGAAACTATTTTAGAACCAGTTGAGCTTCTGCATAAGCTCTACTTCCATGGGATCAAAACTGTTATAATAAGGTTGGTGGGGCCGATTTAGTGTAACCCCCGCATTTTGCCCTCACCGTCCGGGGTATGAGGTCACCAGTCACGCGTGTACTGTGATTACACTCCCTTCGGCCTTCCCCTATCCCCATTTTCATTCTTTATCCATCGTTTTACTCCAAACTCTTAGTAGTGAGCCCTGAGCCCCCTGCTGTTTGGTTTTGACTAACCTTCCAGTGACTCGTTCGCACAAGCTTAATGATCGGGACCACCCGGCTGATGGCATGATTGGAACCCGTGACAACCTGCCTCGTTTTTTTGGCAAGTCCGGCCCGACCGATGCTGACCCCCGCAAGACCAAGAAAGATGGCGGTGGGAAAGGGAACTGGTGAATATACGGTACCTGGAGCATGTAACAGTTCAGATATTGACTACCCACAGGGGTCGCTCTGGTGATGAGGTGCAGGACTATGATTATACCTTGGCCAATGCCCGACGTCGCTCAAACAGCAACACTCAGGGCCTTGCGGAATTTAGAACCAAGTTTGAAACCATCGAGCCCGAGCCTGTCTTTGAGGAATTGGTCCGTGGGTCTTCTGAGGTGGTGGCGAACGAAGGTACAGTCACCAAGGTTGAGAGCACCAGCAGCAATGATAGTGAAATTGAGCAGGGAGGAATGAGTCATTAGGAATTGATATGCCAAAATTATGCCGCTGTGCAGGGGAAAGAAATTTGACTTGTTGATTCACTCGTGCGATGACCGACGTAGATGGAACTAAAGTACACAAGTCCTGCTGGATGACACTAGATTGAATTGATTGGGGGGGGGGGATTAAAAAGCATTGAAAGAAAATTGGTGAAAAATAATTCAATTGTGTCGTACATAATACATATCAGTTGTGTCCCGACTATTGGCGCCGTCGCAAATCATGGAAATAAAACAGAGGATCGCAAAACCTCATCAAACCCACGCCTGCCGCGCCTTGGGCTTTACCTAGATCAGGCTTCGGCCAGGCCGTCCCCGGAGCTAGGAATCGGCCCGGATGCCTGAGATTGTGTGGAAGCTAGGAGATCCTGAAACCAGAAATCAAGTTTCCCAATCTCGATGTATTCGTGCAGAAGTTCATTTTCTCGCATGAGGTCGGCGGCCAGTCGAGCCTTTTGTTCGGGACGAAAGCGTGACAGAAGAAGGTCGGTTTCAGAACCAGCCATGACAGTCTCGGCCGGGGAGAGAGGCATGTAGATTGACTGGATGTTGGTCGTGGATTGCTCTGTCGACAAGATCAGATCAGTGTACTCGTCAACGATTCAGGAAGATGTCTTACCGACTAGGCAGAATGTAAGTGTAAGTCCGAGAGCCGTGTCACGAGCCGCAAAGTCCGAGTCCCCATTTGATTCCTCCGCTGCTTTCCCGCGAGCTGCCCAGTTGTCTTTGATCAGGCATCGCCGCCAGATCAGTTTTCGCAGTGCCGAAACATATGCAGGATCTTGCTGAGCATAGCGACTATGATCAAGTACTCGCAGAGCTTGGAAGAACTCCCGCCCTCGGAACTCACTGTCCCAGTCGTCGGAAGGTTGAAGAGGACCCATCAGCGTCAGCAGGTCAATTGACCCATCGGCACCGATGACTTTTCTATTGACCAGGGTAGAAAGAGCATCGCCTAGGATTTCATGAAGAGATGGACGATCGTGAATGATGTGTCCTCCAAAGTAATCCAGGGCGAGCTCTGCCTCGGCCTTGCGATCAATCGCGCCCTCGAGAACAGGTTTGATATACGAATAGAGTGTGTCTTGGATTTCATCAATCTCGCTGTAATCATCGAGGCGTTTGATGTCCTCCTGCAAGGCGGAGTTTGAGCTCTTAGAGGATTTCTCAAATGAGGCTAGCTTGCCCAGTTTTGCTAATGAAATTTCGACGCGATGATTCCACAGCTCCTTCTCACTGCCGAGGGCGAGCTTCTCCAAGCATGACGCAGCGCTCTTGTAGTCATCTTCGCCCGCCACATCATTAATCCAGCTAAGCTTTGAATATGCTGGCGCTTTCCGAAGGAATCGAGTCACCGAAGATTGATATTTCCGCATGGAAAGCAATGCGCCCGGGTGGCCCATGGAAATCTGTCGTGCGAAGTACGCGTCCGCCCAGGGCTCGCCAAACTTGTCAAAGTACTGGGAGATCCGGTGAACCACATCCGCCTCGCTGTCTGCCGCGGCACTCGCACCCGCCCCGAGAGCGTCTTTGACTGGCAGGGTCTTCACTTCATCTTGAAGTTCAATGATGAGCTCGACCAGAGCTCCCATATCTCGGAACCGCTCGGCCAGGCTAAGGGCATCTTGAAGATGTCCAATTCCTGCCAACTTGAATAGTTGCCATTTGCGCTCCCTGACGTGGGTCAGCTCGATTGAGACACTTGCGTCTGCAAGTTTTGGATCATCCTGCGCACCGAGCCAGCGTGTACGCTCGCGGTGCATCTGGCCGAGGACTCGAAGATGCCGTGCGCTGTTGTCCGCAATTTTCTTCAGAACCCGAGCCTCCGGGGCATCTGCGGTCGATGTCTTTTGTTGGCTCCAAGCTCGACAGCTGTCGAGCTCCAAGTCAAGCAAATGCCCCGCCTCGGTGTACCCCATTTCCCGGGAAGTCCAGAACTCAGGAAGACCCTCGTAACCGTCGGCGAGAACACCGTCCTCGACAAAATCATCACTCAGTCCGTACAGCGCGGCGTGCTCATCACGATAACGGAACGCCGTTTCTATTATGGCAAAAAAAACTTCACTGGCCTCCAGTATCTGCTCCGACAGCTTCCGCGCTTGTTTAGACGAATTTCCCCTGCGGTGCTTGAGGGCACTTTTGATCCATGGAATGATGTGTTCCATTTGATAGGTGTCCCTCAAAAACCACTGTCGTACAGGATCGATCTCGTCTTGCACTGGTTCAGAGCGAGTTTTGAATTTGTCGTTCATAGACTCGATGACATGACCAAGGAGAAGGTTCTCGTTGCTGGCCCCGTGTAGCTCCTCCAGCTTCCACATGGCCCTTTGCGCAGACAACTTCTCCGCCCCCCAAAGCAATTCCCATCTGGCCGAGCGACTCAAAGGATTGCTTTTTCGCGATAGCAGTGATGCAAGGTCGTTCAGCGCCTTTGCCCGAAGCCGTAAATTCTGTTCAACGGAGATTGCTGTGCTAGGGATAAATCGTGATTCCGAACGAAGAAGCTCCCTGCAAATCTCCAGCGAGGCTTGCTCGATATCACATGCAGGGAAGTCCAGCCCACTATCGTCAATCAAATTCAGCGGGTTTCTTGCCATGGTACCGAAGAAGATGGCCTGCTCTAGCTTGTGCTTAGCCGTGACTTGCCCCTCTTCCATGTCATTTTCGGCTGGGTATTGGGGGATCGCACTGACTCGAACGACACCAAAGCTTCGAAGCATCATCACACAAGTGGCGTTCTCATTTTCCGATCGATCCTCTGAACCATATCCCAGTATTTCGTATTCTCTGCCAGATCGAAGGTGAATGATGTCTTGGAAAGGCATGGGAATTTTTGTGAGTCCAAGAGCAGTTGCGAGCTGGGGGTCTCTTCAATGCTAGAAAGAGAAAGAATAATGAGAGAATGCCCGATCAGAATGAAAGCAGTATCCTCTGATTTCGAGACCAAAATTTTAGGCTTCGGCTCATCCTGTGTGGCAGATAAACTGCGAATGTCCACCGCATGAGTTGACATAACACGTGTCTCGCCGCCCGACAAGAAAAGTTGTATCACGAATAAAGTCTTGGATTCCAAGAGTTGGGGGGAGCTGACAACTAGGAAGAGCCGCCATGACTCTTCAGAGTCTCGGGAACCAGATTCCTCAGTCGATTGTTGGACGGAGAAGGCGAAATCCATGATCTTGAGATCCAGTTCCCCGGTGACGTTCACAGAATCATGGGAAATCGACGTCACAATCGCAGCTTTGACATCGTATTTCTTTTTCATGGCATTTCCATGGTGCCAATGAGTATCCCATATCTCCACCAAGCCAGTCGATGTCGCGATGATCACATCGCGTTGGCCTCGCTGACGAGACCCACCTGCGCGAACAGCCGTGACCTCTTTTCTCCAGGAACCGCCTCCGAGGACACTCTTGAGTCCACCCAGAATTCCACCACCCCCAGGGCCCGCCGTGCTCCGAAGGAAATTCACGAGGACAGAAGGCTTTCCTTGAGAGTCTCGGAGACTGATGTGTGCCACTCGCCCAGAGGAAAATGTTGCGATGATTCCCGAAGGCTCGCAGTTCATAACATCCGTAGCATATTCACCAGAAAATAGACCCGGGGTGAATCCTTGGATCCCATTCTGTTTTTGCCTAGACAGACCCAATGATGCAGCGCTTGACACAGTTTCCCAGTAGACAATTTTGCCTGTAGATGGGACGACTACCAACAGACCGGGGTGCTCGCCTGTGGCTGTGGACAAAAGCACACCCAGCGGGACAGCGCCTCTGGGATCTCTGCAAGACTCAGGAATTGAAACTGTGAATGTTTCTGATGGTGATGGTGCCGAGGTAGGAACAGAGTAAGGCCATACAATCGCGTGCGAGCGGGTCAGGGCCAATGCGTGGTCATGACCAGGGGCAAAGAAGCACTTGAGCGGATCTGTATATTTAAAGTCAATCAAATCATCTCAACTAGGAAATTTGAATGGTTAATTACCTGATTGTAAGCCTCGGACCTGATCTGGCAGCGACGGAAGTTGCTCCACAGTGTAGTAATCTGTGCTTGACTTTGCATTGACGGTTAGTTGCCATGATCAGGACCTGCACGCAATCGTCTCCATGAGGTGAGTCATGACTGAAGTTGCACTTACCAAAATGACTGTCCCCTCGAGATCACTCTTGGATTCTTCACTCGGTTTCGTATTGCGGATCGGTAAATGGTAATCGACACCAACAGCATCCGCAGTCGCGTCGTGCCCGTTGACGAGGACAGGAGCCACGGATTCCGCTATGTCGTCCCGGTCCAGGCTCGTGAGGTTAGAGTCACCTGCCTGTCGCAAAACTGATCGTTGGCGTTTGGCTTTAGGCGGCTTGACCGAGTCATCGGAGCTGGTTCTCGGGCGCCTTCGGGGATTGCGCGACGCTGCTCTGGGAACAAACATTTTTGTAGCCTCAAAACAAACTTGGCACTTGACGCACTGGCCGAAGCCAGGAGTTAGAGTGACGGTGATAAGTTGGAGGTGCCCGGGTGGGACAAAGCTGAAATATAGAGATCGAACGATTTGCGCCTTTGGAGAAAGAGAGGGAGCAGTAAATAACAAAAGGTGCTTGGCTAAAGGCGGTGAGAGTGAGAGCTGTCGGGGTCAAGGTAGAGGGTAGAGGGTAGAGTGCGAGCTCGAACTACGATTTTTGAATTATCCTCAAATGGCTTTTTTCTGGGTCTATGCTACTCTACTTTCCATGTTCTTTTCATCACCTGTTTCCTAGTTACCGAACTCAAGTACCCCGTAAGAAAGGTGCTAGCCGTTTATCATCAAGCATATACACCTGGATTTCAATTAGAACGCGGAGTATTCCAATCATTACACTAATACCACGAAGCCATACTGAAGATCTTTGAAATCTAATCTGCAATGGTTGAATATCTGCGCCAGGCCCCAACTCGGGCCCTTAAATCTACCGACGCGCGGAACCGGGGCTCACGTGCAGGCCCAGCCCCACGCGAACTGGACGTAGACATGCTTTACATTCCCGGGTTGCCGGTGGTTTGAGTGAAAGACTGCACTTCTCACAATGCCCATATGTCGTGTTGAGATCATGACGAAGGCCAGGTCTGCCGCGTAACATAGTCGAACATGCTCTCCCTCGTGGATTCGAGGCTCCACCTGCAGCGACTAGTCGGTTGCTCGAGGACTGGGATGACAAGAAGGATAAGAACAACAGCCGTGGCTTCTATGCCCCAACGAGAGCTACGCACCGCTCTCTTCTTCCCAGGTCTGACGTTCCCTTCTGTTCTTAGCTATCAACATGCGCTAAACGCCATTTCATAGGACACGGAGTGCAGCAGGTTGGCATGGCGAGTGTCTGGGTTGACCGCTTCCCTCGCACCTCTGCTAGGTTGCTGGACGAAATGGATTCTATTCTTGGATTAAATCTGTCACGCATCATCTCCGATGGCCCCAACTCTCATCTGAACCGAACGGAGAATGCTCAACCTGCGATCATGGCTGTCTCCGTTCTCATCCTTCGGATTCTCGAGGATGAGTATGGTTTTGACACTGGATCGAGAGTCGACGTGACTTTGGGCCACAGCCTTGGTGAGTTCTCTGCGCTGGTCGCGGCTGGCTATCTCAAATTCGCCGACGCACTCAGATTAGTCCGTCGCCGAGCTGAGGTGATGGCCAAATGCACCCGACACGCGGTCGCGCAATCGGGCGAAACGCATGGAATGGTAGCGCTCATCTGTGAGCCCGATCATATCGAGAGCCTACTCAAAACCGTTCATGAATTTCTCGGGCTGGCCACCTCCCGCTTCGATGACACCAGTCACGCCTCAGCGCCGATTCAGAGGGTGATGGTGGCGAATATCAATTCTCCTAATCAGATAGTGCTCAGTGGGAGCATTGAAAGAATCAGAACTCTTCTAGTGCAACTGCGTCAGTTTGGGGGGCATGATCCTCGTGCCGTGAGGCTGAAGAGTGACAGCCCTTTCCATAGTCCCGTGATGTCCCCGGCGGCTGAATACATGAGAAACGCCATAGAAGGCATTGATATAACCTTCCCATTGAATATGCCGTGTATTTCCAACGTGTCGGCGCTGCCGTTCCGGTCCAAGGAGGATCTCAAGACTCTGTTATCCAGGCAATGCACCGATACAGTGAGATGGTGGGACAGCATTCGCTATCTTCATCAGGAACGAGGAGTGAGACGATGGATTGGCATCGGACCTGGGAAAGTGGGTCGAAATCTGGTTGGCAAAGAAGTTGGTCGAGTGGATATTAAAGGAGGCGGCGTGTGGGCTATCTGTAATCCCAGGGAAATGGAGGACACCTTCCATGACTTGGAGCAGACTGAATCCGAAGTCTGAGCCGGCTGATTACTGAAACGTACGACGTGTCATTTTCCTTATGTACAATTGTCCATATCCTTTCTATATCCTTTCCATATCTTTTCATGCGAGTTTCGCTGGGTAGATAGTAGCCGAATCGACTTGATTCACCGACGTCCTGGATACTGGTTGCAATTGAGCCTTACGTGGGCTTGTAGAATCCACGTATGATTTCTCGGATCTCATCCAATACTGTTTACCCGGCCGGGTGTCCACGCTTCACCGATGCGCTGAACATCAGCTATGAATCGTGGATTAGAAATAGGCTGGCAGCCAGATGCCGAACCTGCTGCTATTCCAGGCGTTGAGATATGATCGTCCGGTGAATAGAATGGGTTCTGCAGAAGTTGGATATACGCGCTTTGCAAGGCTCGAAAGGCCTGTACTGGGTGATTAGCGACTGCGTGGAGAATCGATACACATCAACATACCGGCTTCAGATCGGAATCCCTCAACCCACTAACTGCAGCCCCCGCCGGCTTTCCGGTGTTGGCCACATCCGGGCCGAAAAGGTCCACGATGATCAAAAGCTTCACTCCTGTAGTGGTGAGCCAGCCATAAGCCGCTAATCTCTCGTCAATCGCATGGAGTAGACCCAGGTCCTGGTCAATGGAAGTTTGTTTGCGTCGGATTTCAAATATGTCAAGGCATGAGTTCAAGAGAAAAGAAAAATCGATCGTCGCATCTGTGTATGGGGGGAATAGAGATATGTGCAGAGGGTTGTCCTAGATCTCGCGAATTAGCAATAGACCTATCGGATGTGCTTCTAGCCTCCCCACCACGATCAAGGAAGCTCACATACAGCTTTCCCAATCACTCCGATACAGGCAATCCTTGGATCAGCCATCCTGCGGTGTAATTGAATCGTCCGCGGTCCTTCAAGCTGGGAGAGGGGACGGGTTTCGTGTCCCTTTTCTTTCCCTTAACCCCCGATTTTGTAACTTGCAGTAACTTGCAGTAACTTGCGGTAAATTGATAGACCACGTCTTGACTGTCTCAGTTCCGACAACCGAAGAAAGAATCACCTCATTCTGCAGCTGGAGGTGGCAAGTTGTACAGAACCTTCTGTGTTTCTCCGCGAGAGGTCTAGGAAGAAGGTAGACGCCTGATTGGTGCCTGGCTCGTCGGGCAGAAACTCCGGGGAGCCAATAATCACATATCCAATTCCTTTTACCAACAGCTCACCGCCTTTACCATACACTGAAAACTATACTGGATTTCGCCCAATAATGCACTTGAAATTGCTTACGTGATTCTTCAAAAACCGGGTGTGTACGGCCATTATTCTTACCGTTCCCTTTCAAACCCGGCAAAAGTCCTCCCTAACCTCAATTGTCCGCCACCTGTGAAGCTGCTGGGTTCAGAATCACTCTCTTCTTCAACAATGCTCCCTCTGGCAAGACCCGCCATATATGGCGCCCTGTGCGGTATAAATACAATTTCCTTCCCTCCATTGTCGACGATTCACTAACCGGAGCAGCAGCGCGTCCTCGGCTGGCCCTCCTCCCTCGAGTCCAGCCCATGGCCGCCCTCTCGACATCCACCGTGAAATCAGCGACTGCTCTTGAACGTCAATCGCCTTCGGGCCAAACACTCACTGCATCCGGCAAAGTCCGGAAGGAGGTGGCTCTGCCCAGTCAAGAGAAGAAGGAGGGTGCTATGCAATATGTCTTGTTCGTGCCTCTTCTCACTTTTGCGCCCCCCGGCTCTCCACTGACCTTGTTACAGGACTACGCTTGATCAGGTCGCAAATTGGGCCCGCCAGAGCTCACTGTGGCCCATGACTTTCGGTCTCGCTTGCTGCGCCGTGGAAATGATGCACCTTTCCACTCCCCGATACGATCAGGATCGCCTGGGAATCATTTTCCGTGCCTCGCCCCGGCAGTCCGATGTGATGATCGTGGCAGGTACATTGACAAATAAGATGGCACCCGCTCTCCGCCAGGTCTACGATCAGATGCCCGATCCCCGATGGGTTGTCAGCATGGGTAGCTGCGCCAACGGTGGTGGCTACTACCACTACAGCTACTCGGTTGTCCGTGGCTGCGACCGCATTGTGCCCGTGGATGTCTACGTTCCTGGATGTGAGTTGTTTTCGCAGTTTCCCTCGAGGTTTGCTAATCATAGACAGGCCCGCCTACGTCTGAGGCGTTGATGTATGGCATTTTCCAGCTCCAGAAGAAGATGAGACACACTAGGATTACGCGCATGTGGTACCGGCGTTGAGCTATCGGTGGGATGCGTTTTTATTTTATACTTAACCATTATGCACGATGGACCCGAAATTCAACCCATTCAGCCATCGTGGAGACCTTTTGTCTTATTACATTGTATATCAGCTTTAGGCTTCTGCTTGCGACTTCAATATTTTTTTCAGACTACGAGAGGTTCTACTTGATTTTCCCTAAAACCTTGTGAATGTAGCATCTGCTCTTGGTAAGGAAGACGGCGAGAGCCATCTTCGGGACTTTTTCTGGCCGTGACCTGCAAGGTTTTCTTCGAATTCTCCCCCCGATGGTAAGATATAATTCGATCTCTCTGTAACAGTGAAGCCTGAGATGAAGAAAGGCTAAAACTAAATGGCAGCGTAGACCGAGTTTGTGGTATACTACGAGCCTTGGGACTTAATTCAGTTTCTTTCAATCCGACTTTTTGTCTTTTTGTTTCATTCTTATTACTACCCATTAGCTATGACCTCTCCATTTGGATACGAAGATTGCGCGGCGATGTAGCTGTTGTGTCGGCTCGCAAAGAGATACTTGGACCCGCACAGAAACAGCTCACCCGACTGTCTTTCTTTATTTTCTCAGTTGGCAGTGCTTGTGTGAGTGCCATGATTGCCATATGAGAGGTCACACCGCTTCAGCATAGGGATTTATCGATGCGCAATTGATGAATGCCGACCCGCAGTTCATAGAGAAAAGGAGAAATGGTTTGTAGAAAGGTCCTCTCCCACTGCTCCCGGTGCTCACCTAGGATATCGAGCCACTTGGAAGATATGGGCCGTCAACTTTGAATGTAATCATGGATCCGTGGTCTAGACTAAGGAAATGTGACGGATTGAAGCGTTGAAGTGTTGAAGTATAGAGAAGCCGTGGTCCTATCTTATCGGGGCCCGTGATTGGCTCTCGGCCCGTGCAATAATTTTTCTTTCCTCTTCTTCTTTCTGCATCTTCGCATCCCCTCCATAATGGCGAAAGGAAAAGCCTCTCAGGCCTCACCGGCTCTACCGTCGGCATTGTCCGCCCCTTGGACTTTCCTCCGTCCCACCAACGACCTCCATAACCTCGTTGCAGACTCTGCAAAACGGATTCTTGACCCGCTTGCTGCCTCCATCGTCGAGGAGCAATCTGCCCGCCGACAAGCCAACAAGAAGCGCAAGAGATCGGAGATCGGACTCGACGCGCATCCGCCTCTGCAGTTGAAAAACCTCTACGTGGATGGTTTTACCTCAAACCAAATATGGGAGCAGGCGATCAGAATTCTCGACTCCGCGGGCAGTGAAGTCGAGCGCGATATTGCTTTGCTCGCAGAACATGGCGGGTATCTGTCCTCAGGCGATGAGGAGCAGTCGGATTTATTGGATGTCTCCGACCCTGAAGGTACCGGGTCTGAAAGTGACGACGCCGACAGTATCTTGAACGATTCATCGGAGAACGCAAGCGAAAATGATCTTGACAGGGAGCTGGAAAACAGCTCCGATAACTCGGATCAGGAGGAGTCTGAAGCCGCGAGCCAGATCGACGAAGAAATGAGCGATGACGATGCTTCAATGCATTCAACCGAGGAAGATCCTGGTACCTACGTCGAGGATCGGTTTGGGTTGAACGACGGATTTTTCTCGATCGACGACTTCAATAAACAATCTGAGCAGCTGGAGAGACAAGATGCGAAAGGTGGTGCAGATGACGACGACGACGATGACAGCGATGAGGAAGTGGATTGGCATGCAAACCCGCTCCTTGCTGGATCTGCCATGCCTATCGTCACAAAGGATGTCCCGAGTAAAGAACCCCGGCCGAATGATGACGATGACATGGACGACAGCAGTGAAGAGGACGGGCCGACCTTTGGCAATGTCGATCTAAAGGGCGGCTTCGACTCTGATGAGGATGATGAGGATGCCTCGCATGCTGGGGATGCAGACGCTGCCGGCTGGATCGACACGAGCGATATCAAATACGCCGATTTCTTTGCGCCACCACCCCGAAAGGCATCTTCCAAGAAAGCGCGCGCACTCCCCAAGACACAACCCGCCAAACAAATCATGGATGAAGACGTGGACCGCGCGATGGCTGATGTCCGGCGTGATCTGTTTAACGAGTCTGAAGAAGAGGAAGAGGAGGAGGGTGATGGATTGGACGACTCGGTCGATGCGCCGAATCAAAAATCTACCCATGAGAAACAGAGAGCTCGAATTGCGGATGAGATTCGACGCCTGGAAGCGGCCAACGTCGCCAAGAAAGACTGGACGCTCGCCGGTGAAGCTCGAGCGATCGAGAGACCTATCAATTCTCTAATTGAAGAGGACCTTGACTTCGAGAGAGTTGGCAAGCCGGTTCCCGTGGCCACGAACGAAACTACAGAGGATATTGAAAAGCTTGTTAAAGCACGCGTCCTTGCCAAGGAGTTTGATGAAGTGATCCGCCGTCGACCAGGCGCTTCCAACGTACAGGCTCCGCGAAAGAGTCGATTCGAGTTGGAAGACACCAAGCCACAGCATAGTTTGGCTGAAATGTACGAAACCGACCATCTACGCGCTACCGACCCGAACTACATCGATTCGAAAGACCGCAAATTGATGCGTGAGCATGCAGAGATCGACAGTCTCTGGAAGGATATTAGTTCCCAGCTGGATACTCTTTGCAACTGGCACTACAAGCCCAAGGTGCCCCAGGCAAGCATCAACGTTGTTACCGACGCCCCAACTATCATGATGGAAGAGGCGCGCCCTACGGCTGGCAGCGCTGCCGGTGGACCGTCGGCACTTGCGCCCCAGGAGATTTACGCACCCGGTGATGACGGTCGAGTCGCAGGAGAGGTGGTTCTCAAGACTGGCGCTACCATTTCCAAGGACGAGATGACCCGTGAAGACAAGGCTCGGACCAGACGGCAAAAGAAGAGTCAAAGGAAGACCGACGGCGAGCTCACCCAACAAACCGGTAAGAATGCCGAGAAGCAGCAACTCGTATCAGATTTGAAGAAGGGTGGAGTCAAGGTCATCAACAAAGAAGGTCAGGTTACGGATATGAGTGGAGAGAGAGTTGGAGCAGATGCCAAAAACAGCGCTGATGCTTTAAAATTGTGAGTTGCGACATGATGAGAGATATGTCTCGTCCACGTGTAAAGATTATTAGTCCGTCACTTGCATAATATATCATATCTGCAATTAGTGTGCTTCGCCCTCTTGCCCCCGGGGCGTTGAATGGTCTCTTTAGTTCTTGGTGCGCTTGGGCCGAATGGTGTAAATGAATATGTTATCCCGGTTATACGTTGTGGCGCTTGGGTCATCACGAATCTCCTCGAACTCGAAGGCCTTCTTGGCCATTCTCATGAAACGAAGGTCCGCCCTTCTCCGTCGCTTGAAGCAGAAGTAGCACACCGAATTAGGGCCCAGAAGGCTTTGGAGGGTCATAATGAGGAGAGGAAATGCGGGCTCGAAGTAGACGCAGTCGGCGGCGAGGATCACATCGGGGTTTGATGGCAGATGATCCGGAATGGGCTCCCCCAGTTCAATATTGAAGCAGTCACGGCCAAGTTGAGCTGGTTGAGCTGGATGTTATCCTCCATCAGCGAGAACATGGGTTGCTGGTCGGTAATATGAATTGGCGATGCGACCTCGCATCCGCGAGCCACTGCCAGGCCAACGAGTCCACCTCCTGCACCAAGTTCCACGCTATATAGGAGCCATCAGCAATCGACATCTACAGTCTCGGAATTTCCGGGGTCTCCAGGCCAGACGCGAGGGCTCGAACGGAATACTGACATGGTTTTACCGGACAGGTCCGATGAGTGTTGACTCAACAAATATCTGGCGAGAAAGATACCGGCAGGCCATAACTGACCGCCGCAGCCATCTTTCAGGTCTTCCTTGAGTCGAAGCGGATCTTTCAAGAGTCCGTCAAAGGTGAGAGTGGTGGTACTCGCGAGCTTGTTGACTCGTGATGGAGCCAACGAGTCACTCACGTCGAATAGATCGGGATTCGAGGGACTCACGGGTCTTTCCATGGATATCTGCACCAAAAGATGCAACTGTGCGTGCTGGGGGGGCAAATGAGAATGAACAGACAAAGCTGGCGAGTGACAATCGTGCAAATGCGCCGCGAATCCTGTGGGGCCCTTATCGGATCACATGATACCTGATGAGGGAAGCCTGAGGCTCAAGATGCTCGAGTGAAACCTGGTGGAAGTAAAAGTAGAAGTACGCCTATGTCATAATCATCAATCAGATCGTATCCGGATGCAAATGAAAGCTGCAGGGAATCCGATACAAGTAGCTTCAACATGCAGAAACGGGATAAGGCTCGCTCGTTGGATTGATCTCCATTCTACATCTGCATCTGCGAGCCTTATCCCTATTAGCTAAATACAATTTAGATCTGAATGAGAAGGATCAAGATGAAAGAAGAGTGCGCCCGTGCGCGTTGTTTTGACCTGAGATCGGCATCCTGTGCGTCCCCGTCCCCGTCCCCACGGTGTCACAACCTCCAGATCGAGACCCCAGCCCCCGGGTCCATCTCTGCATTTCCCCAACTTCTCCGGAAAACTAGAACTTGAAACAAGGTCACTTGGCCTTCCATTCCCACTTTTCGAACAGCCGCATTCATCATGCGTTTTCCTTGGTCTTTCCTTGGTCTTTCCTTGGTCTTTCCTGGTGCGTGTTTCAACCATGCGATCTGACGTCATGCCCTCACCCAACACTCTGATTCATGACGACGTCACTCACATTCCACCCTAATCCTGTATAGTTCATAAAGCTTCCTTCTCCCCCCTGACCACCTTTGTTCATCCCCTACACCATCTACGTTGAACTTTCAATTATCCAAAATGACGACCCTACACTGTGAGACTTAACCCGAACCATAGAATATGTCCACGTCTAACCTGGTTTATCCTGTAGATCTGCCCCCGGTGAAGCCCTCCGCTATTGCGATGGGTGCTTTCTTCACCCACACAGCTTCTCTGGGTATTCTTGCTCCCGTGTTCGGTGACACTTACCATCGCGCCCAGGCGGCGAATTCGAAGGAGGAGTTCATCAAATCGAAGGAAGCTGCCGGCGCAGCAGCTGCATGGGGTAGCTCCCTGGTGGGAAGCGCGGTGCAGACCTATGGTGTGGCTGCATTGATCAACGCCACGGGTACCCTCAGCTACAAGGGTGCTGCCTATCTCGGCACTTTGATCTTCTTTGCCAGTTCCGCCCCTAGTGTACGAAACTTCCTCCAACTTCACCCCAATGCTGTAACCGGATTACATGCTAACTCTTATCGTCTTTGCAGTTCGTCAGCCAGGTCTTTTCTGAGAAGCGACCTCTTGACACTGTTGCCGTCGGAGCCGTTTCTCGAGTCTTTGAGACCGTTGGCCTCAGCTTGTTCCTGACCTGGTGGGGAACTCGCACTCACCCCTTTGACTAAATCGAAACGCCACCGGATGTTATAAGCTCTCGAAATATCTCCCTTGATACGGAAGTATCTGACTGGCCTTGATTGAGATTAGATGGGTTGTGAGCCATGAGCCATGAGCCATGAGATAGGGTGATATCTCTGTATCTACAATCAAGTCTTATCTCTGCTTTGTGATTATAAATGAATACCTGGAAAACATTTTTGTCAATTCATCGAGAGCTGCAGCTTGTACACTCGCCACAAGTCTACGGTGCGAAGTCTCTCGTAATCGGCCAAACCGTGCCCTTTTTAGTTGAGCACGAAGGTACCGTAAATCATCGGATCAAGTCAGCCGAATGCTCTTCATCTTCATATAATCGCTGAGTAATATGAGTGCGTACTGATGTAAACTCACAAGGGCGATAAATGCCCATTTCTCGCATGCCGGAAGCGGCATACGGTGAACGTATACGACAGGTGTTTCATGGGGGGGGGGAAAGAGCAAGCAACGTAACGAGATTCACGAACATGGTGAGACATCGGACCAGTCGTTCGAGAAGGAAAAAGAAGGAGTAATTTGATTTGTGACAGAACTAGTGTGCTCCACTCCAGAGCATGTATGAAGATTTCCAAAAAACGATATAATCAAACGAAGCTGCGGCAAGGGTACCTGATTAGGAGCAGTCAGTCTTGAGACACGAGAACGAACACGAAACGATAGCTTACACTGCAGGGTAGGCTTGCTCCTGGCCCATCTCATACTGGGATGAGGAACGAGTGGAAGTGTTAATGTTACAGGGTGTCGGAGGCAAACCATTCGCTCCCAAAACACCTTGGATGCTCTTCTTGTCCTTCTCGAAGAGGGCGGCGAGGCCTCGTTCTTCACCCTGCTCCTTGACATCAACCAACTGCTTCTCGCCAGCCTCTCCAATCTGTAGAACATCATCCTTGGGAGCAGCCTGGTTTCCGACCGTGAGAAGGCCCACAGCATCAGCCTGGGTTACGGTACTCAGCTGCGGGTAGTTTCGTCGAGTGTCGCGCTTCCAATAAGGGTTGTCGGCAAGGTCACCGGCCGGAACCGTGACGGGGTCATCATAAGACAGAGGAGGTAGAGATCCGGGGGTAGGAAGACGGAACTGGGAATTCAGAGGGATGCCGGTCGACCGATTGGGGTCGATGGCGAGAAGGCGACGGATACGCTCCCAGACACCGGTAGATCGGACGGAGTATTTCTGCAACCCATAAGTGTCAATCTAAGCCTCGTCACCAAGCCTCAGCCAGTAGAACACCTACCTGAGAGATCGAGACGACATTGGATGCCGTCTGGGCGACTTTCAGGATATCGCGAGCCATGCTGCAGACTCTGACCTGTACAACTTGGTGAGTATCGCTTCCTAGGCCTTTCAAGTACCCAAGGGGTGGGAGGCCGGGTTTCAGCCAACGGAGCTGTTTGACTCACCACCGAAGATCGTTTCAATCCGTCAATGGTTCTGTTACGACCTGGAAGATCACAATGCGGCACGTCAGGGCTACTCCGGAGGTGCGACCGGGCGCGGATTATAATGTCGCCGATATCTCCCGAAGTGGGTGCATTACTAATAACTGGGTCTCCAGGGTCGGGAAGCCTCAGGTGAGGAACATAATACTCTATGGCCTTTGAGATCATTAAAACGCAGAGCTCACTAATATCCGCCGACATTGATGATCTCACAATCCCTCGCCGGTGAACAAACATGACGTATTGTTACAGATCGCCATATCGCATAGGGCTATAATATTGCGCGCTAAGACTCACGGTTACGACAGCTAACCCCATTTCACGTTCTATAGACTCAATTACTTTGCCTCACTAGTGTCCGCATCCTGAGTGTCTTCCTTGGCTCCCTGTGCCACCAGCTTTTCAACAGCATCCACAGTGGCGTCAGGGCCACCAGCCTCTCGGAGCAGCACCTTGCCCTTCTTGTCCACAACGAAGACGCCTCTGGTAGTTCCCTTTGGGCTTTTCTTAAGACCAATAGCACCGATAAGGGTGGCATTGGAGTCGCAGAGCAGGGGGTAGGAGAGTTTCTGTTTTGTTTTGAAAGTGGTGTTGGCCTTGGTGGAATCGGCTGAAAGACCGTAGATAGACAGGCCCGTCGATGTGAGATGCTTGTGGTTGTCGCGGAACAAACAAGCTTGCTTGGTGCCTGTAGAACTGTGAGCAATGTGGGTCAAATTGTGGCCGTGGTTCGAGACCATTCGGGCATGAGTAGGGTTGGGCACATACAGCCAGGGGTTGAGGCTTTAGGATAGGTAAACAGAACCACACCAGATGTGCTATCATCCACAAGCTTCTTCAGAGAGGTCTTTGTGCCATCATTGGTCTCAATCTCACCACCGAAGCCCTCCAGGTCAATGATATTGTCCACTTGAGGAACAGTTTGCGCTGAGGTCTGGTTCTTTGTATCATTTTCTTTGGGCTTCGGAGCCGGTTTGGACTTCTTGGCAGCAGCATGAGTTGGGGCTGAGACCGAAGCCTGGGCCTTGCGCTTTCGCAGTTCAACCATTCTGTGGGGAGGATTTGACGGGGGTGAAAGCAAAAGCAGTTGTAGCAACTACACTCGACATTGTAGCTCACCCCGAAAGCTTAAGTGTGAGATGACATAAGCATGCTGGGTCCTTCCTGAAAGTCCCGACCCACGGCTCTTCTTTGGTTCGCCCTGACCCGCGTAGAAAAACTCGATCTGACGTTCCTTGACGATCGCCACCGACACCCACTTCCCCATCGGCCCCTTGAGAGCCTGACTCATCTTTCTGTGTTTTCACTTGCCACTTCACACTTGTTCACACTTGATTCTCTGTTCAGCACCTCTGTCTTTTCATCTCCAGACCGTCTTTGACGAGCGCGCACCATGAAGGTCTTTTCATCTACTTGCACTTTTGACTACTCTTGGGACGAGGTGTCAACCGCAAACTGGCGAAAATATTGCCCATGGAATGACAAGGCCACCCACGTCGTGGGTGTAGACACGCTCTCCCGAACGATCGACCCTCAGACCGGTATCGTGAGTGGCATTCCAAGAATTTGTACACTGAACCCTGAACTGACCTTCGTAGTTGCGAACTGAGCGTCTTATAACTTGCAACCAGTCGGTACCTCAGTGGGTTCTCTCTCTCTTTGGCGGCAGTGCCACCTCCCACGTGTACGAAATATCTTACGTCGATCCCGCCGTCAAGAAGGTCACCATGTGCTCTACCAACCTGACCTGGTCGAATGTGCTCAGCGTCCGCGAAACGGTTGTCTATCAGCCATCGTCGATTCAGCCCAATACCACCACTGAATTCAGCCAGGAAGCGAAGATCACCGCTCTATGCGGTGGGTGGCAGAAGATCAAGAACAAGGTCGAGGAGGCGAGCGTCGAGCGATTCCGGGAGAACGCCTCCCGTGGTCGCGAGGGGTTTGAAACCGTCCTCGAAATGAGCCGTCGAGTTTTTGGGGAACAACGAGCTCTCGAGAGCCAAAGACTGCAGTCGTAAACCTGCATTGTTAACCCGTCGACATTCTCAAGCTTCGCCTCTCTCTCTCTCTCTCTCTCTCTCTCTCTCTCTCTCTCTCTCTCTCTGTTATTGCATCAAGCGATTGCATATTTTGGCGTTCCTTCCCAGCATTTCGAAAGCATACGGCGTGATTTGGAGTTTTCTTGGGTTCCATTTTCCATGTTTTTTTCCCCCTCTTTTTATGTCCCTTCGCCAGGGGACCCTTTGTGTTATGAATACCACGCCAATGCTTCAATATGCGACATGGTCTCAACAAAAGCCTCATGATTTACAGCGAGTGGCTATATTGTCTTTTGTCGTTCACACCAGCGAATATCCGCCGTTTTATGGCATAGATGCATAGAAGAATCTAAGCAGAATGCGATTTCTTATTTCTGTACAGCTGGACCAAGGAGACAATGTACATGGGTCCAAACAGATCGCCATGATTAATCTACCTTGGCGTATTCAACGAGGCGATGTAAGTGATGTCATGAAATAAATCAAATACGTTTTTAGACCACTATGAATGCTAGTAGGCTAATAGGAGGTATAGAAGAACTCAGAGAATAACGTATTCACATCCATTCACATCTCCTTGGTCCTGTCGTATAGGCTGTACAGCAGGAGTTGTCTTTCCGTATGTACAATATATATATTAAAAGTTTCAACCCGAGAAAACCCCCAAGCGCCACTCGTAGATCATTCAAAATCGTCGCTTCGAGCCGTTGTCAAATATGGAACGCCAGTACTGGAGAAAATTCATCCCAGCAGACCCCCTAGAACCACTCGACTGACTCCAGACAGTTCATTTTTGACACCATTCCGGCTGGCATCTTCAAATTCCCGCACTGCACCCGCTACTATGATCTTTCGTAATTTGGCATCAGCTTTGGAAAACACTTCCCCGAGTGCAACTGAGCAGACTGACGGCGATGATACCAACGCCGTGATTCGACTATAAGAGTCAATCAGCACATCGCAAAGAGTTGAAAAGGTCTCGAAAAAGTCGGGCTCAAAGGGCAACGAAGGTGTCAGGAGGTAGGTGTATTCTTCTCCAGGGAGAAGATCAGATGATTCAGTGAGTGGGAACGAGATGACCGAAGCCGCTGCAGAAGAGGGCGACGTAATATTTCCCGCGGCATTCTTCAAGTCAGACGGGTCGCTCGTCTGCATTGGCAAACCAATCTCCGTTGCAGAGCTGGCTCGCCTAGTTTTTGTGCCTGCCTGTGCTGCTCGTTTAAATATCTGGGGTATGCGCGCTCTGGCGAGGCTCGAAGACGAGCTACCGTCAGGTGGGTGGACTTGTTGGAAGGTTTCAAACTCGAGGAGGAGGGCGTTGAGGGCTCGTAAATACTCAAATGGAGTCGAATTCACGTCAAGAATTGGTGGGAGGGATAGGCCTAGGAGAAGGTAATTGACAGCTCGACGAGAGAGCTTCCGAGACTCGAAGTATGGCAGACGGCCAATATCCGCGCGAGAAAAGTGGACCGTATTAAACCAGTAAACCCGTCCTTCCAGGCTAGATGAGAATCGCACCGGTTAGTTGCCGCGGTGTTACCGATGGATCGTCCTCATCGGACAAAGTCTACTAACGCTTTTCTCAGGTAGTCCAAAGTTGAGATCCTTTTCGCAGCCATATCGTGGATCTGCTGGTAGATGGCACCAGCACTCTGGGGCCCGAAGGGACCTCCTCCGCTCGTCACCGGAGGCATTCCACCGTGAGGATTATCATGGCCCCCAGTCGACTTGGCAGTATCCCTTCGGGTCAAGTTTGGGGCGAATGAGGACGAGATCATTGTGGTCTGCGGGGTGTCTCGTTCAGGAGATCCCAGGGGATATGACAGATGACGGAAAGGGATAACGAGGTTCGCCTGGGAGGGAGGAGGGAAGCGAGAAAACCCAGGCGAGATTGAGGAAGTAAAAACAAATCGCCCGAGAAAGTTAGATTGACGGACTCGAAACTGGAGGAGAAAGAAAGGTGACTCTCAGGAGATCTGGAGTTCGGAGTTCTCCACACACGCCCTTCCGATCCTTGCGGCCAGCATGTAATTTGTTTGTCTCCGCTGCCCCCCTCCACCCCCCCCACCCCCCTCTCTGTCACTCTTTCGCCCTGCAAATGGAGACTCCTATCGACGAACAAATCCCGCTTCCGGGTCAATGGCCTGTAGATCCTCAAGAAGATGTTCCCATCTCGGAGGATCGCATTTGGGTTGACGGCTGCTTCGACTTTAGTCACCATGGTAAGATATCAGAATCACTTGCTCTGCGGCCCTGACCCAATCTGTATTAGGCCATGCCGGTGCTATGCTCCAGGCTCGTCGACTCGGAAAAGAATTATACGTGGGAATTCACTCGGACCAAGCAATTCTGGAGAACAAGGGCCCGACGGTCATGTCGCTAGATGAACGGTAATTTTCTCAGCCATCAATTGCTTCCGTCTTCCCTGGCTAAATACCTGGGTTTTGTTTCATCAGAGTTGCAGCCGTCGATGCCTGTCGATGGGCCACTCAGAGTGTCCCTTATGCTCCATACGTGACCTTTTTGCCATGGGTCTCCCACTACGGCTGCAAGTACGTCGTTCACGGCGATGATATCACATCCGACAGCGATGGCAATGACTGCTATCGATACGTCAAAGCTGCAGGCCGTTTCAAGGTGGTGAAACGAACGCCGGGAATCTCTACTACAGACCTAGTTGGGCGTATGCTTCTTTGCACAAAGAACCACTTCGTCAAATCTGTCAGAAACACTTTAGCAGGCGAAGAACTATCGGGAAGCCCCGACGAACGCAAAAGGTGCGCTGACGATCTGTTGCAGCGGATCCGAGACTATGCTACGGACGAAAGTGGCCTGCAGCCTGGCCCTCAGGTCTGGACCTGGGCTGGTTCCGGTGCGGCAAAAATTGACCATGCCGTTGAAGAAGCCGGGTCGTTTGATAACTTGGTAACCGGGAAAGGCCCCCGGCCCGGACAGCGCATTGTCTACGTTGATGGCGGGTTCGACCTTTTCTCATCTGGTCACATCGAGTTTCTCCGGCAAGTCATGGAATTGGAAGAGTCTCTAGGCCGCCAGCGAGATTGGTATGGGCCTGGCCAAAGGGAGAAGAGAATCGCGGAGTACAACGAAGACTACGCCCCTGCTTATCTCGTGGCTGGTATTCACGACGACGACGTGATCAATCATTGGAAGGGACTTAACTACCCCATCATGAATATCTTCGAGCGTGGCCTTTGCGTTCTCCAGTGCCGCGTAAGTCCACCTTTTCTCGGCGATCCCGTGCAACTGCTAACATGTATTAGTATATTCATGCGGTTGTGTTCTCGGCTCCGTTTACACCTACCCAACCATACCTGGAGGCCTTGCCCTTCGGCACGCCAGATGTCGTTTACCATGGGCCTACAACCTTTATTCCCTTGACCTACGACCCTTACACCGCACCCAAAAAGATGGGGATCTTCCATGAAGTTGAAAAGCACGCTTTCCAGCACGTGAATGCGGGTGAAATTGTCGACCGAATTCTGAAGAGCCGTGAAGCCTACGAAGCCAGGCAACGTGCCAAGCTTCAAAAGGGAGTTGCTGAAGAATTTGTCAAGTCACAAGAACAGGAGTCGGCTTAGACTGACTCTCATTTCCGTTAGACAGCCAATTGCTGTGTAATGAAGTCAAATCGACAGTACATACGAAAAACCTTACCAACCGGGGTTTATGATTTTAAGCACAATCCATATGGGGCATCTCCCGTTACTTTGCACATAACTGCTCTAGTACTCAAGTGATTATCTCGTAGCAAGAGCGTCCAGCAGCACCCCGCAACTCATTGGCAAGCCTGGAGTATGCCATTTTATCTCACTACGCCTAGCTAATATCGTCAGAAGTCAGGTTTCGGGGTATCATACAGACCTGGAAGTGAGCATTTGAACAAATTGCGAAGAGGGAAGAGACGAATAAGACAGGATGGATCTGATTAATTGTACAAAGATATAGACCCGCGATGGGGATGCAGGTGGCATCCGCTGTACGAGACTACCATTTTACTGATCCGCCGCGACCAGAACACCCTTGCCCTCCAGCATTTTGGCAAGATCTCCATTCTGGTGCATGGTCATCAAGATATCACAGCCTCCGACAAACTCCTTGTCCAGGTACAGCTGCGGGATGGTTGGCCAATCCGAGTATTCTTTGACGCCTGAAATAAAGAGAGATATTGTAAGTATACCGATGAAGAGAATGAATACCAAGAACGAGCAGCCCACCTTGGCGCAGTTCGGGGTCTTCAAGCACGTTGAACGCGACAAATTTCTTGGGATCAACGCCCTGCAGACCCAGAATCTGAATGCTTGCGCGCGAGAACCCGCACTGGGGTGTTTCGGGAGTGCCCTTCATGAAAAGAACGACAGGTGCGGAGGCAACTGCCTTATCAATTGCCGCCTTGGTTTCGGAGGACAAGAGGCGCGCATGAAGGACCGAGGGAAGCGCGAAAGCCGGGGCGCGAGTGGTACTCAGGAATGGCCGTGAGACCGGGCGGAAAGCCTAGAGAGCGTCAGTACTGCAGGTTGGAGGGAAATGGGATGGCGCACCGAGAACGCAGTTCGAGAGAACATGATTTCGGCTCTAGTTGTGATGTTGAAGGCAAGAGGAGAGGGAAGCTGCGAAGGGCTGTTAGTATTATTTAATCAGTCGTTGGTTACGTTGGGCCCCACTCTTTGCCTTAACCCCGAATGTCGCTCTTCTCCCTTCACCAATTCACCTATATCTCTTCTAATATCCTTCCACCTGGATTACATCAAAATGGCAGGCACATTCTCTGCTAAACAGCATCTACAGGACAATAAAACTCATATATTATTGGCTGCCTCTGGTGATTTAACCTTACTGATTCATTCCACCTTATTAAGTCATCTTCTAAATCATCTTCAGGCTCGGTAGCAACAATCAAGCTGCCCAATATTACCGAGGCTTTGAGCCGCTATGGGAATGTCTCGATTCGGATCATAGTCACCGAGTCTGCAGAGAAGTTCCTCGCTGGCCAAAGCTCAGAGCAGCCAGTTCTCGACTGCCTAGAACAGATCGACGGTGTCGATGGTATTTATCGCGATGAAGATGAATGGGCTACGCCATGGAAACGGGAGGCTTCCATTTTACATATTGAGGTTAGTCGATCTTGAATTACTGATAGACTCGAGGTTAACTCACCGGATCATAGCTACGGAAATGGGCCCATATCTTACTAGTGGCGCCATTATCAGCCAACACTATGGCGAAAATGACCATGGGAATTGCAGATAACCTCCTACTTTCCGTTATCAGAGCCTGGGATACGACGGGCCTGGTCGACGGAGACTTCAAGGGCCGGAAGCCCATCATCTTCGTGGCTCCGGCAATGAACACCGCTATGTGGAGGCATCCGGTCACCGAGAAACAGTTGAAAGTCCTACAAGAAGAGTGGGGGCACACAGATCTCAATCCAGAAGGTTGGGTAACTGTCCTGTCCCCTATAGTGAAGTCTCTCGCGTGCGGAGACGTTGGAACGGGCGCAATGATGGATTGGAGGGACATCGCCAGCATCGTCCAGGAACACTTGGGCCTTTCGGTGACCGAGTCCTAATCACGATTTCCGTTCATTTATATTACATCGTCTCGGTCTCTAGTCCGGTGCTATCGTACAAACCCAGGTATTGCGTGGCATACTCGCCGAGGAGACCCATGGTAATGCCTCCACCTGTTAGGAGGCACCCGTTCTTGAACCACCACCAGCAATTCTTCACGTTCTTCAGCTGAACCCTCCAAATCATGAGCCCCAGCGATACAATGGCACTGCCACAGCTGCCGACGAAGAAGACGGGCCCACAGCCTGCGGCAAATCCGGCAGCCCCGAGGAGAGACACCTGGGTCAGTGCCAGTCCAGTCAGGACCGCCTTGGTGTTATGCTCGTGTCGAAGAGCGATCGACTTGATACCGGCAGCCGCGTCGTCCTTGATGTCCATATGCGCATATATCATGTCGTACAGCACAGTCCACGCCACACAGCTAGAATACAGAGCCCCTGCGGCCAGAAGGGCATCATGGTTGGCCAGTAGATCCACTCCCAATGCTGGGAATCCCATAATTGCACCCCACGAGAACGCTAGGCCTAAGACACATTGGGGGTAGTTGGTAACGCGTTTGGCCAACGGATACGCAACCACAATGGGTACGCTCGGAATTCCGTACCAAAGGCACTGGGTAGGGAATTGAAGGAGTATACCAAGTCCGGCTAGCAATTGAGTACCGGTGAAGAGCACTGCATTTCGCGGCGAGACTGCCCCTCTGGCAATGGGACGGAACTTGGTTCGTTCAACATGGGGGTCTAGGTTTCTGTCCCACAGATCATTGATGGCGCACCCCGCACCCCGCATGATCAACGCACCCGTAAAGAAAAGTCCTGCTGTTTCAAGCACTTGCATTGGAGCTATACCGGTGGCCATGGGAGCAGCAAGAAGGGTGGAAAAGAGTGTCGGAAAGAACAGGTAATATGTGCCCGTGGGTTTGTCGAGTCGAACTAATTCCGCATATGGTATCCAGGAGCGTGGCAAAGAAGCGACCAAGCCCGTCTGGGGAGGTGTATAATGTGTGACTGGATTAGTCGCCTTTGCGCTCGCTTCCGGATGTATCGCCGTAGAATAGACCTGCGAGCCGAGTCCCGGAACTAATTGTGCCGCACGCATAGGATGGTATAGGGAGGGACGGATATGCCCCATCACCGCAGACGGACGGAAGCTGACGGGCGACAAGGTTCCATTGCGCCGACTGCCGATGTATGTCCTGCAGCATTTGGGTAATCGTGTGCGGGAGAATCGCGCGGAGGTGGGGAGTAACATGGTGAGGCGTGGACTAGAAAAATGGCAACGAAGAGTAGTGTATTAGCCAGTGCGCAACTGATTCATGGTGGAGGGTCAAGAGTAGGTCGATAGAAGGTAGAAGGTTAGGTTCGAGATCAAGAGAAAAAGTGCCCAGGGATCGACCTAAACCAAGTCGGGGGGATGTGCAGGGACCCACCAGCGACGCGCCGATTTTCTGTCAACTCTTTACGAACTCGAACATCAAACATCGAACATCTCTTCTTTGTCCTTTCTTCTCTGCTCTCTGCTCTCTGGTTCCTCCTTTCTCCTTTCTCCTTCCTTATTCCTTATTTCTCCGCTCTCTTCCCTTCTCCCCGCACCCTCGCACATTCCTTTTGCGTCGCGTGTTGCTCTTACCTCGACCTGCGGCGTGTTTTCTTTGATCACTCGGCCTCGATGAAACCTCTCCTCTGCGAACCTCTTGGTTCAGAACATTACCTCTTACTCTGACCCCTCTTTCAACTCGTGGTCGTTCTACTACATTGCCCCGGTTCCCCCGTGCGATGCTACCGAAGGAGCGCGCGGCTTTCCAGCCGTACCCTCCCGACATCATTGTTAATCAGACAGTAGAATCGATCCCAAATTTCGAGTGCGTGCGGTCCATTTCGTGCGATGACATCGATAGAAATGGACTTCAGCATTTTGCGCACCTCTATGATTACTGGGTCATTAAAACTGGGCGACCCCTCGTGATTAAAGGATTCCAGGACCTGTTGGACAAAAAGCTATTTTCGTCAGAGTGGCTACAGAAGAACTACGGAAAGAAGGGTAAGCGGTCTCTCCATCAGCATGAATTCACGTGTTGGCCTGGCCTCCCTCTGACGGGTATCTTATAGTCGAGAATGTCCGGGACTTGGGCAAGGGAGCCAACGTGTGCTTCAGCATTGGGCACTATTTGAACAAGATGCCGGCGCTTGCGGGGAGAATCAACACAGCTACCTTCGATAAACCGCAGATCCAGAGGCTGTATCTCAAAGACATCGACTGCCCCGCTGAATGGCAGAGCTCGCTTGAGCAGATGATTGTACCTCAGCTCTTCTACTTGAATGAGTCTCCCAAGCCCTACCTTGGCCCTGGATCCACATTCACCGGTCAATCTGAGTGCCCTCGCACCCAGGAGGGTCATGTTATTGCCAGGGCGGGCGACCTGATGAGCAGCCTTCCAACCGAAATGCGCGCTGAAAACCTGATGTGTTACATCGGTCATGAAGGAACCTACACTCCTGCACATCAGGAGATGTGTGCCAGCCTTGGTCACAATCTCATGGTGGAGGGATCGAGTGATTCTGTTGAACATGGACAAGCCACACAGCAAGGCTCATCGGTTTGGTTTATGACCGAAACGAAAGATCGCTACGCGGTAGCCGAATATTGGGCATCGATTTTAGGTCATGACATTGACTTGGAGGATCATTTTTCTCAGCTCAGAGCATGGGAAAAGGCCCCTTTCAAGACCTACCTTGTCGAACAAAAGCCCGGAGACCTCATTCTTGTTCCCCCTTTGGCTGCACATCAAGTGTGGAACCGTGGCACGCGAACAGTCAAGGTTGCGTGGAACAGGACAACTGTCGATACATTGGAACATGCTTTAGGTGAAGCATTGCCCAAAGCGCGAGTTGTCTGTCGAGACGAACAGTATAAAAACAAGGCAATCGTCTACTTTACCCTTGAAAAGTATTCCAATCTGCTGCAGAATACCCCAAGGATGGATCACCCCGAAGTTCAAGGTCTCTGGTCGGACTTCAGACGACTTTTCAAGCTGTACACCGACATCATGTTGTCGGAGAGCTTTTCGAAATCGCCGCCTCCACAGGACCAAATCGAATTTGCCAAGTTTGACGGCAATGTGACATGCTCTTATTGTCGCTGTAATATCTTCAATCGGTTCCTCACATGTCCATGGTGCAAGTCAAACGAAGAAGACGCTTACGACGTCTGTATGGACTGCTACGTGATGGGCCGAAGCTGTGGTTGTATCTCGAAACTTGCATGGGTGGAACAATTTCCTTGGAAAGACCTGGTTGGGCGACACGATGCATGGCGTCGTCAAATCGTTTCTAACGATGTGCTCGTCAGTGGTGACGACATCAAAACGGCCAGATCGCGGTTTCCTCTGCTCACTGTGGCTCGCGGCCAACTAGGCCGGAAACCCGTCGCGGAGATCTGCCAGGAGCAATTGCTTCTGCGGCCATGGACCGATTGCAAGAACGGCCGGTTACAAGAGAACGATGAGAAAGAAGCGACACCCACTGACTCTGAAGATTGTGATTATGGACAGGCGAGAAAGCGCCGAAAATTCCAGCGTCCCAAGCGCAAGATTGGGCAAACCCGCGGCTTGTGCCACCATTGCCACGAAAGTGAGCCACCCTGGAAACTGGCAACCTGCTCACAGTGCTACACGCAGTATTGCTTTGGTAGCCTATTCCGCGCCTTCAACATTTCGCCCCAGGACGCGCTGGAGAAACCGCACTGGGTCTGCCCCAAGTGCCAAAAAACATGCAACTGCTCGGTGTGCCGATACGACACTACGATGGTACCGTACGAGCCCGTGCGCTCATTTGTGGGCCACGACACCAGGAAAGTCGCGGATCCCCGCAGCACGGATTCTCTGATCAATATGAAATTGAACAATGCCCACTGGGTCACTATGTTCGGTTCTGATATCGAGCAACGCCTGATCAAAGTTCAGATTGAGGAAAATCTCAAACGCTCAGAGGCTTTGAACAGGTCTCAAACCCCCGACCCCATGCAGCAATCGACATCGAATGGCAACGGCGCTCTGACATGCCATGACTTCCAGGGAATTCACCAGGACGACCCCGATGATACCCCAGTGGACCCTGCGCTTGTTGAGGCCAGCAACATATTTATGGGCATAGTGCAGGATACAGTGGCAACCTGAAGCTATTCTTATTTTGTTGCCCACCATGTTTGAAAGAACCTGGCAAGGTTCTAGTATGATTCCCCTGCAAGAACCATTCCCGAATGAGATGAAGCTGTACTAAAATAACGACGCTATCATGAGGTACAATTAATAATACAATTCTTCAAGCCACATGACGAAAAAATTAGGCGCCTTTGTACTCGTACTGGAGAGCTTTCAGAGTTGAGAGATCGACCGATAGCATCATTTCTCGTGCGAGCAAGATGACTGCTAGTATGGCTGTGTAGAGCTCAGTAAGATTATGCACCCCCCTACCCCCCCCCCCCAAAAGTGGAAGAGAAAGATAACGCACCGCTAGGAATCAAGTAGAGAACGGGGCGGATCGTATAAGATGAACCCGCCTCAATGAAGAAATAAGCCATTAGCACCAAGCACACCGCGCCATTTACGGGCACCAAAGCAGAGAGGAGCCAGGTCAAGCGCTCATCATCAGCCAACAGAGGCTTCTTGCCCTTGCGGTCAGGATAGAGGGGGCGTGCCTCATAGTGTAGGCCGAGCCCACCAGCGAGAGGATGCCCAAGAGAGACAGAAAAGCCTCGCCGAAAGTCGAGGCAGATAGGATCGAGGGTATAAAGATGGTGGTTGATACCAATGGAATTCCAGTAAAGATCATCTAAACCACTTAAGCGTTCAGTCAAGCAAGATATGAGGGTGCGAGTTTACACTGTATTGGGCGTTGCGTGCCTCATTTTGGCATTGCAACTGCTGGATCACTCGCTCCTGTTGTTCTTCGTCAAGCTCTTCCCGTTCATCCTCTGATTCATCGGGATAGCGGAATGCCTTGCGGAGTCGCATATCCACGTCCATTATGTGAAAAGGTGTGTGAATGTGGTGTTCATAAATTGTCCCAAGTGATGGACTGATCTGACGTGGGATCGTTTGCAGTGTTTGTTTCCTTTTCTCCAAACCCACTTCACAACCATCCGACTTCTACCTTCACCAACGTCCTGTCTCCAACAATGCTTTCCTCTCGCGCACTTCCCCGGCTCGCTCGTTTCCCGGGCGTGCGCCGTAATCCTCCGCGCCGTACTATGATCCCAGCTCCGGGCCCGAATACGGGGCCATTGATGGAGCGACGGGCAGATCGCGAGCTGCCGTCAATTGACAACAGCCGGCGCTGGCTGCGAAGTCTCCCAATCTTCGTCGTGGCTGTCGGAGCTGCGATGCTGGGTATCTTCAACTATCAGAAGTCGACCTCAAGCGTGGTCAGCAGCACGCTTTACGCACTGCGGACGTCGCCGCAGGCCCGTGAGATTCTTGGCGATGAAATCTACTTCGCACAGCAAATTCCATGGATTAGCGGTGAGATGAACCAGCTCCATGGTCGCATCGACATTACCTTTTGGGTGAAAGGCACCAAAAGTCAGGGCAAGATGAGGTTTCGAAGCATCCGACCGGATCGTATGAGCTTCGTAAGTCACCCTGAACTGTTCCGTACTTTGATCCCTGCTACATACGGGCAGTGTCTTTTGTCGAAGAATATTGAAATTGGCTAACGCTCTCCAATTCTTCAGTTCCGCACCGAGGAATGGAGCCTACAGACCGAAGATGGCACCGTGGTGCAGCTGCTCGACAAAGACACGGATCCTTTCCGGCAAGAGTGAGCTTTCTCAAAACCAGAAGTTGGAAAATTTGTACAAATAGAAGACCTCGTGCATGGAAATTGGCGTTCGGGAACATCATTTACGGTATCTTTTGGGCTTTCTCTCCTGTGTACAATATCAAGCCCTTGGCAGAAAGGAAGAGGACGATGGTGATGAAGATCAGGAGTCTAAGAAAAAAAGGATATCATTTGTTGTATCATATACAAACGCCGCTCAAGTGAAGAATATTGCGCGAATGGTGTAGTAGTACATGCCTCCCCTAACCGGGCGTCCCCTCGTCGGATCAAGCCGTTGCGGCCTCGACTACAGGTGCAACCTCTGGCCACGGCTTTTTGATTGCATCCTGAATTCTCACAGTGCATCCTTTGGGGCCACTGACCGCACCTATGGTTTGACGGCGTTAGCAAAGATCACAAGGATTGCTGGAAAAGGACGTCCTACCGCTCACAACCACAACTCCGGTCTCAGAGTCCACCTTAAGAATCTTCAGATTCTGGACCGTGTTCTGTGTATTACCCATGTTTCCTGCCATCTTCTTGCCTGGGTAGACACGGGAACCACCACCCTGGCCAGGTCCAGAGGAACCAAGAGAACGGTGCGTCAAACTGACACCGTGACTACGGTCCTGACCGTGGAATCCGTGACGCTTCATGACACCTGCAAAGCCTTTACCCTTTGTGTTGGAGCGAGCATCAACATACTGGCCCTCCTGGAACCAATTGGCCCGGATGCTCTCGCCGACGGGAAGGAGACCGGATTCGTCCTTGACGCGAAACTCGAAGACGTGGCGTTTGGGGGAGAGTCCGTTGGCGGAAAAATGGCCGAGGAGTGATTTTGTCATGTTGCTGGGGTGCTTCCAGCCTGATCCGACCTGAACAGCGAAGTAGCCGTGTTTTTGGCGAGTTTTGTGGGAGACGACCTCCACGCGATCGAGCTGCAGAACTGTGCATGGGGTGCGCTTGCCGGTGTCCGCATCGAAAACGGCAGTCATGCCCTTCTTGGTAGCAATGACTCCAGATCGGAGGGGCAATGAGTTGGCTTTGCGACGAAGGGCCGCAGTCGATGTCGACTCGAGGACGGGCAGACCGGGGCCAACATTGAAGCGACTGGGTTTGGCCTCGTTAAGGGATTTGATACCGAATGAGCGCACATGAGTCCGGGGGAGGGCAGATTGAACAGCCCACAGGAACGAGGAAAGCTGAAGTAGCTTCCCTGGGAGGCGTAGCGACATGATGGGGTTTGGGGATTTGAAGTCCGACGATCTGCGACTTGAAGTTTTTGGCGGCGAGATGAGTCAGCATCCCTGGCCCAGCGGAACTCGACGCATGTAATGATGGGTAGTGTGTTCGAATGTTCGAAGTTGATGGTTATTATGTCTCGGTCAGCTTTGATTCAATTTGCTTACGCTGAGATGCATTATGTCGAGGGGGCCTAAGCGTGTAAAGCAGCACTGGGAATAATCAGCGTACATTGATCTGTTTACTTACAGATGCCTGTGATGCGCGCATCGCTCATATTAGAAGGAAGCATCAGGTAATCACTGAATCTACTTGAAATGATGATCGAACTCTTGCATCTGTGTGCTCTTTTGCGGGTTTCGTCATTTATATAGGCACTTGAGTATGCGTTCGGGTTGTGATCTCGCGGGAGATCGTGCTCCCCATGAGCAACTAAAATAGGAATATTAAGCTATGGAGATCAGTTGCAAAGGGAAATGAAGACAGCCTAATTTTGGAGAGAATTAGCACAATTCTAGTCCTGAAACTAGGTCCTGATTCCATGGAGATCCAAGTAAGTCCGGCGCGTGTCAGATCGGGACGCGGCGCCCGAAAATGCCGGGAAGGGATCGCCCCGATAAAGAATCCTTCACTCACTCTTACTCTTTACTCCAACTTCAATCCTTCCTAGTATCCATCGTCGAGATGTCTCTCCGGCCCTCACTTTTGTCGCGCTGGCTGCCGTCTGCCGAGCTCCTCAAACAATCTACGCTTCGAGCCGCACATATGCCATCGCCAGGGTCTATTCGTCTAAGCCTGTCTGCCCTTCGCAGCCCAGCAACATTTAAGTCCACCCGGCGATCCTTGACGACAGGGGCAAATTATATTGGTGGACCGGCAGCACGATCACGACCGAGCTTGCGAGCGATCCAACCCCTCAAACAACCATTGAACCGGCGCTACAATTCGGGATCCTCGGGCAGTTCGTCGCAGACGGAGAAAGAGGGCAACTCGTTGTCGCAACGACTTCGGAAACTTTCTCGTGAATACGGCTGGGCAGCTGTCGGCGTGTATTTCGCTCTCTCGGCGCTGGACTTCCCCTTCTGCTTTGCTGCTGTGCGCCTGTTAGGCGTAGAGCGGATTGGCTACTTTGAGCATGTCGTGGTGCAGTCGGCCAAGGATGCTTTCCACTCGGTGTGGCCCCAGACAGAGCCTTATCCCCAGAATGAGGGCGAGAGTGAGGATAAGCAGGCCAGTCTCGCCCTGGCAGAGGAACGGAACCAGGAAAACGCTAGTAGGTATATCTGCTTGTGTCTATGTGGACATTTGTCTAATCCGTCTATTTAGGTATCTGGACCCAGCTGGCGCTTGCCTATGCAATCCACAAGAGCTTCATTTTCATTCGTGTCCCGTTGACGGCAGCTGTGACCCCAAAGATTGTGAAGACTCTACGCCGCTGGGGTTGGGACATTGGCAAGCGAACGCCTAAAAGCCCGTGATTATGAAAGGTGACGTTGTTTCAATAGCATAGCGTAGCCTGTACGGGTGTTTGGGGAAAATTGTACATTAGCCACATAGATCTAATCCGGCACGACCTGCCCTCCCCACTCAATCAGAGATATGATACACTCCAATACACTTCCTAGAGCCAATTCCCAGGAGAAACCACCTAATCCAGCGCCAATTGCGCCGCTATGAGAACAGAAACCTGCGGGTGCAACAGACCAAATTTTTTAGAGATTGCAACTCGCTGGGGAAAAAAAATCCACCCCGTGCAGCTGGTACAGTTGGCTTCCCAAAGTAAATCGTAAGCGTCAACGGCGTAAGCTACTAAGTCTCATAGTCTTCGTCTCGGAAAGGGGGGGGGGGGGGGGGGGGAGAAATATAGAAAAATTAGGAATCAAGAAAAGAGGATGTAACGTAAAAGAAGATGTAACGTAAAAGAAGATGTGATAGAGAAAAGGCGAAGAGATCATCACATGTCGATCATATCGTTGAATCTCAGCACGCCGTTGGCTTTCAACACACCATTAACGCCGTCAGGCATCCGGTATGCCCAGTCGGCCACGCCCATTGTGGATGTAGACAGGGCATTGTCACGATCGGGCTGCTGGCTAGGTTCGTCCGATGTGTCTGCCACCAAGACAAGGCCGAGCTCTTTGATGGTCTCCACAAGCGCGGGCACGACGTTCTAGATAAAGGTGGTTAATAAAAAAAGGCCGGAAGTGTTAATGATATAAACTCACGAGAAGACTCGATCGGCAGATCATGCCCATGAAATTATTACTCTGAGCGATCCTTGCAGACTCCTTGATCGACATCGATGCTCGCCCACTGCTGTTCACATGTGGGAGGGAATCCACGTTGCGAGCAAGATCACGGATCTGACCCAGATCGTTGCAAAGAAGAACCGGATCTAAACAGACGGTCAGTGGATGAACAAAATCACGCTGTACTGGACGATACTTACAGTTGGGTTGCTTCCAGTTTAAGGCAGAGCAAATATTCGCGTTATAAGATGTAAAGACAACGGACCTCATAAAGTCCGGGTTCTTTTCTCGAGCAACACGGGCATGGTCGAAGACGTCAGTCAGAATCGCATCTGCGAAGGAGTTGACGTCGGCCAAGGAATTCATATCAAGAGTGTTCTCTTCAGTACCAGATGGGTAGACAACCGAAAGGTTAACATTGAGGTCGATAGGAATGTGTTGCAGGACCTCCCTTAAAGACATGAACGATTCGGCCAGAAGTCGATGAGTCTGCGGCATGTCGTTGACTGCTTGCGTCTCAAGGAATTGGAGGATCTCCTGTCGGTTGGCACCTCGTGCTGCACCAATTGTCTGGAATTGGACATATGATAGTTGGCAGATCGGGATGTCGATGCCGTGATAGTTGATCATGAATTGAGGGTAGAGGACTGGCACCCGATCTCGGGTCAGCTGCACGAAGAGCTGCACATAGTCGCCCGACAAGCTGGAGCCGGTGACCAGGCCATTGTGGTCCGAGTCAAGGGCACTCGTTGCTTTCCAGTACGTCGCAAAATGCGTGATTTCCAACGGATCGCCATGGTACGGCTTGATGACCTGGAAGTTGAAACGCAGTTGGCCAATAGCTCGAAGGCGAGGGTCAAAGAGAGGCAGGCAGCATGACCCTGTGCTGGAACTTTCAGCACGGAAGATCACAGGTAAAGCCACACTCTTCGCAATCACTTTAGAGCCGAAGGTTGGGAAAATCTCAAAGTCAACGGCAAATGTATCCAAATTATCAACATGGAACGATATTGTCCGGGAGTCGTCTTGGATTGGCAGTACGATTGTGCGGGGAATGAGGTCCGACAGCTTCGAAGAAATAGTGATCCTGGCAGCAGGGTGGCGTCCAGCTTGATCGAAAGCGATCGAGCCCAAATTTCCTTGATCAAACAAGAGTTGGACGAAAACCTTCTTGTCAAGGAAGTTGTGGCCGTAGCGTCGCAGAGGGATGATTGGTGGGGGTAGGGAAAGATCTGGTATGCCATCGGCCATGTCCATTTCGATAGAACTACCTCGCCTCGTAGAATCTTCGTCCATCAAGTCCTGTTGCTGAAATTGCATACCGTTCAAGATATCGAGCGGCCGCTGCGGGGGTTGATCATGGGAGGGCTGCGCCCAGAGAAGAAGCATGCATTCCAGATGTCCTTCCCAGGCTGCGTAGTACATCGCAGAGAGACCCTTCTCGTCTGCAACCTTCGCATCAACGCCCAATTCGAGAAGTGTTCGCAAACACGGCACACAGCCTTCACTTGCCGCATGAAACAGCGGTGTCCATTGATACAGTTTGTCTCTTTGGTCAAGATCAGCGCCGTGCTGCTTCAGGAGTAATAGCAGTTCCGGTGACTGCGATGCTCGAGCCACCATGTGCTGAGGGTAAAGGCCTTCGGCATCAGGTAGTAATTTCGCATTTCGCTCAAGGAGCATTTTCACAATCGGAAGAGATCCATGTTGACAAGCAAGATTTAACGGGATGTGGTCTGAGTCTGAGGACGGATCAATGCGCGCATTGCTGCACAGTACCTGCTCGGCACATGCAAGCTGGTCCTTGACAATGCTGTGGATCAAGGGTGTGAAATTGTCGTGGTCCATCATGTCGACTGTCTGCGGGCCCACGGTCAAAAGCTCCTTCACCATGGATACCCGGCCGTGCATACATGCGTAGTGCAGGGGTATCCGACCATAGACATCGGACCGGGAGATATCCACGGCAGCCGCGAGACCCGCTTGGAAGACAAAGTCACGGCCAGAAATAGCTGCTTCATGGAGACAATTCCTTTCATTGATATCATCCTCCGCATGAATGTCAACCAATCCACTCTCAAGTAAAAGGGCTAGGACATCATCAGAAAACCCGTTGATTGCGGTCAGAAATGTTCGTGTCGCCCGATCACGGGCGTCTGAAAAAGAGTGTAGCCTCGCCACCCATTCGCGGAGGGTCTGAAGATTGCCCGCAGAGGCAGACTGCAAGATCTGAAGATCCAATTCGTCCTCCTCCGTACCGAAACCAGGCGCTGCCGCACGCTCCATGGGTCGCGAGTTATCAAGCTGTAGGTTTTCACCCTCTGCCCATGCTTCCAGCTCTAACCGAGCGGTCGTTGCTCGATCCGACAGATCACGGAGAACTTCACGGTTGAAGCACGGTTGGACCTCGACCGCTCGATGTAAATAAAGCTCCTTCATCCGGGATTTGGACGTTTTATCCCATTTCTTCAGGATCTTAGACATGGCCGTTTCATTGATTTCCACAAATTGCTGCAGTTTGTTCAAGTCGCCGTCGAATTGTTGAAACCCTTCAAACAACGAGACAAAATTTGCTGGGGTCTTCGAGTTCGAGGTGGTCCGAGACTGTACCACGCGCTTCTTGTCGACTAGCGTTTTCAGTCGCAGCGAGAACTAGGTGGAGAGTAGTCAGTGAAACAATCCCATGAAGTAGCGCCGCAATAATTAGACTTACTTCTGACTCTTTCTGGAGATAGAAAGTATTCACTTTCTCAATTTCGCGCTCCTGTTCGATCGTGCGTTAAAGCGGCGCTGGTATTTAAAGAGACCATCTGGAGCTTACCAGTCGGAAGAAGAAGACCTCCTTATTCGCGCGCAGTGCGGCTTGAGGATCCAAGGCACCATCTTGGGCGATTTCTTCCGCGGTCCTCTGAGCAGGGATATTGGGTGTAGCACTAAGTTGTTTGATGAGCTGTGGGATAGTATTAGTCGGAAGGGTTCGAGCCACGGTGGATCAGGTAGTCTGCTCCCACCTTCTTTAGGGCCTTGTAATTGACGAAACTGGCGGCATATTCGGGGAGATCAAGCTGCCGGCGTTGAATCTGCTTTCCGAACTTCCTGCAGGAGGTTAATTTCCATTGGAGGCTAAGCTGCAAGGGGTGGCTGCTCACATCTTCGCAGATTCTCAGGTTGAGCACGTCAGGCTCTCTTGGTGTGATATTGGCACTCGTTCGGGACGAATTGGCGGAAACGAGAGAGAAAGATAGGACACGAGACGCAGGGAAGGGAGGAAGTTAAGGACCGAGAGACCCGACACGAGGGAGAGGGGCCGGCCTGCGCAACGAGGTGGGGAATGATGATAGTGGGACAACGTCGTGTCACCGGGGGTATGGCAGGATGCGCGAGTGAGATTCGGCTCTATTTGCGCATTCCATCAAGCGCGGGGAAATGGGGAGGGGAGGTAGGAGTTAGGGTAGACTAGAGGATCAAGGTTCAACGATTCAAAGATTCACCAAGATCACAGAGGTCGGATTGATGACTCTCAGCTCAGAAGGGGGGTAAGGGTAAACGCCCAAAAGGTACGGATGTACCTTTTAGTCGGTTTAGTCGAAGACCCCGGCCAACTAGGACAAGGCGTGGGAAGTCGAAGTTCAAGTTAAGCCTGATGTGGGGAGCTCTATTACGCCAATCACTGCGAACATTCCGCCCACGTTTTTGGCGATGATGACTAAGGCGGTCCTCTCTTTCCCACGTAGTCGAGTTAGTACTCGCGAGTATTGTACCCTACCCTAGAGAGGATTACCATCATCTGCTTACTCACTCCTCTATCTCCATCTCATACTATACCCTAAACAGGCAGATCAATCCCATTCCCGGGTCTCCACTTACCCTTCAGTCTCTATACCCTACTCCATATGCAGTTACTGTACGAAACTCCTATTCATTTCAAATATCCTATAGAAGCGAAACAAAAATAGAAGAAATTCCCTCACCCTAGAATTCATTCCGAGCACAGTGTGCCCAATGTACATAGATGCGGGCCAGTTCAACAACGGGTATGGTGGGATCAGATGCGAGGGATATATCAAACCGGACCAAGAAGCGCAGAGAAATCACAGAAACCATGAAAAAAAGAGAAATAAAAAGGGCAAGGGGAATAACCCGATGGGCCGATTATGGTAAAAAAAAATTTAAAGAAAAAAGGAAAAGAGGGGGAGGAACGAAGTGCAAGTCAATAAACAAATAGCGAAGCGAATGTCCATCACGCCGGGAAATATGAGACAGGTGGTAATCGGGCCAAACGATCACCAGTAATGAGGCCCAACATCAAAAGAGTGAAATCGGCGGTGGTCATAAAAAGGATTAAAAGAGAGAGAGAGAGAGAGTGTGTGTGTGTGTGTGTGGTGGGGGGCGTATAAGAGAGGTTGGTCCAAGATCGGAAGAGCGCCGAACTTTTTTGGAAATCAAATCATCAGCACCGAGGCCATCTAGAAATTTTGGGCAATGCCCGCATTCCCTTGCCGCGGGTAGACACCCGGGTTTTCAATGCGCGTGTTGCGGCGCGCCTGAACATCCCGGATTACTGGCTGGTAGGCATCATCGGCATATGCTCCGTGTCCAGTCGTTTCGCCGTAATACGGGTTCTCTCCGTAAAATCCTCCGGACGGGTGCGCAGCAGACATGTGGCTTTCTTCCGATGCTTCGGATTGATTGGCGGCCGAGTACGCCGACGACGCATTGGAAGGACCACGATGGATGTCGCCATTGCGGTTGTTAGCGGCCACGGGGGCGGCACCCAGCACGCCAATGGGTTCAATCTCGCCTGAGTCCGGACGAGCACCGTCCGAATACTGCACTGTGCCTTCACTGGGAGTCGCTTGGTGGTGATAGGCACCACTGCCATCCGACATAGCCATTCCCATACCACTGGACAAATTGGTCGAGGCCTTGCGGCCAGCAGAGGTCGTTCCCCAGCCACGGTAGCCCGACGAGTTATCATCCTTGGGGGCCACACTGCCTCCCATGCCGGGCAGAATTGGGTCATTGTTCGGGTTAAATCCATACTCTTCCACTTCCTTTCGGCGCTCTTCCTCGGCGGCCTTCTTAGCCTTCCGCTTGCGCCAGAAGAAAATGGCAGCCAGGACAATCAGCGCCACTGAAACGACGGGTACCACGACGGCGACCGCAATGGTGCCACCAGCGGATAGGCCATGGCTGGAAGAGGCAGCAGTGGTCGACAATGCGGCCGAGTCGGTGGCAGAAGACGAGTTCGTTGCTGATGAAACGCCGGTGGTGGGATAGGTGGAGGTTTCGGTGATAGTGGCATAAACCGTGGTCTGACCGTTGGTGCTCGCAGATGTCGTGACGATGTCGGCTACTGAGCTGGTCGTCGAAGTGGTGGTTTCAGTCGGGGTGGTGGAAGTTTTGGTCGCAGAAGATGTGGTCTCGCTCGTGGAAGTGCTGGTGCTGCTGGTGCTGCTAGTGGTGCTGGTGCTGGTGCTGGTATTACTGCTACTAGTGGTAGTGATGGTAGTACTTGAACTGGTAGAAGTCGTAGAAGGCGTGGATGAAGTTGCTTCAGAGGTGGTTGCCGCGGACTCTGCACTGGAAGTGGCGCTAGCAGTCGTCGGTTCGATCGGGGTCGATTTGACTGAGTTCGCGGTCGTGGCCGCGGCCGCAGCCTGTGATACAGACATGGCGGTTATGAGACTTGTGGTGAGAATCACAGACGTTCAACTTGTGGTCGTGGGGAACAAAGGATCCCCGACCACTCCAAATTCGGTCAGACGATCGAATGGGACGGGCTCGCGGGCTCTCCACAGAATTGGGGGGTCGGTTGATAGATGGATAGGTGGGCGCACGAAGAGAACAAAGAGGATTGAGAGAAGTTGGAGGATCGAAGAACGAGTGACGATTCGAAACGCGTAAGGAGAGAAGACGAAGATCGAGGTCGGAGGCTCAGGGGGAGGATAAGAGCGAAAACGGCGATTCACAAGATAAGGGGGGTAAAACGAAGTATCCAAAAGCGAAAAGAAGAGAAGAATTCCAGGATCTCACAAGACAACCGAAACTAGTCGGGAGCCATGGGTGAGCTGGCCGTTGTGTGGATGAGAAGAGGAAGAGGGAAACCGGGCAGGAAAAGTGGAGTTTACGATCCCGGCCTTTGGCTGCCTGCGTCTAAAGGTCTGCATTAGTTATCTTATGCTTGCAGACTGTTTACGACCTAATTTCTCACTTTCCACCTTCTGTTGATGCTTCGGGAGCATATCCCTGGATGCGGCCATGCGACTTTGGCACCCTTGCGTTGGTCCACACGGCCTTTCAACCTCTCTCCGGTGATCTCGTCGCTCCTTTAAATCAATCCCATACTCTCCTTCTCCCTCTTCCTCTTCCTCTTCCTTTTATATCTATTTTAAGATTTTTGCATGATCGCTTCTTTCCAATGATGCACGCTGTACTCACTTGCCACCGAATAATACGAGACGGAAGCCGTTCAGCCCCCGATCCTCGGTACCCTTCGACGCGATAGGCAATGGGTCCGACCGTTTTTGGAAGGTTACACACACACACACACACACACACACACACACTCAATCACAATCTCACACAATCTCACACAATCCCCTTGTAGTACTTCTTACTCCATCTTAGCGAGTGGTTGGCATTTCATATGCTCGCGTAATGGCCAGATGGGTGATGTTCGCGTCTTACGTAGTCCTTCAGGTTTAGTCGCTGCTAGTGGAGTTTTTAGCGCCGTCGTTACGAAAACACGGTCTGGAACCCCGGCGCTCCCTCTGGGCCCATGGGAACGATCCTCATCTACAAACTTCCCTCTTTATATAAATGAAGAGGGCCAAGTCCGCGTAGAGCCGATTCACCTCCGAAAGGCTCGGCCAAATGATTCAATGCATATATACAGCCGCACGAGCAAGTGCCCGGGGCAGAAAGAAAATAAAATTCCAAAACCATGGGGGACAATGAGAATCCAACCATCATCTATATACGCCTTGGCAGAAATTCCAGAATAGAAAGACAGAAAATGAAACAGATCCGGACAGGTGACAAATACGGGTCCCCCGAAGTGAAGAGCACCGGTCCCGTGAGAGAAAACGCAGGTCATCATAGGTTCAAGGACCTCAAAACAACAAAGTCGTGAAAGTGAAAGGCGCGCAGAGATACTCTATCTAGTCATATCCCAATCAGGGCGCAGGCTGGACATCAAGTCGTCCTTGGTGCCTACCGTGTCCACAGGCAGTCGGCTGACGCGGTAGTTACCATTACGAATGTTGTTCATGTGAGTATTCGAGATTCCGGTTCGGTTGCTGCGGATGCTACCAGCGTCACTGCCTCCGTCGCTGTTCTTGAAGCGGGGCGGCGGGGCGAAGTCTAGACTGGTGTATGTGCCAGATTTCCGCAAGGCGTGACTGAGGATCAAGTCAGCAACAGTTCATCAAAGGTAACAGCAAAGAAATAATAACAAAGAGAGATACTTACGGGCTAGGGATCACGGCAAGCTCATCAAATGCCGATGCGAGAGGGGTGTGAGCCCGAAGACTCGGGCTGAAGGGCATCTTGCCACCTGTCGGGGTCTCTGGGCGACCTTCACGCTGGTTTCTGAAGTTCTTGCCGGGTGCGAAGTCGGCGGCCATCATGATGGAATCATCTTTCAGCATATGAGGAGTCGGGAGCATTTGAAGCGGTGCAGGAGGAGGCATTGGCTTTCGGGGCCCTCGGGGAGGAGGGACCCGGCCAGATGCCGAGGAGAATGCACGCGGGCCTGGGTTCAAGCCGGCAGAGTTGGTCGCCATGTGACGGGCGGCCCCCTGGAAACGTGGAGGAGCGCGAGGCGGAGGAGTCATGGCGCGACGGCCGATGGGGTCGGCAAACGGAGCGGGAGGAGCGGCATCGTAATAATCACCGGTGGTGGGATCATAGACGTAGCCTCCGTCATAGGCATCGGCAGCACCGTAGTCTTCCATGTACGTGGTCTCGCGCTTGCTGTCATCGAAGTACTCCTTGTAGAAGGAGCGAATTCGGTTCGCACGCTGCTCCGGATTGTCCGCCGGATCCTCAGGGGGCAGTGGGCGAACCCCGAGGGTCAGCCGGCGAGTGTCAGGGCGGGCATCGTATACAGATTCCTGATTCGCAGGCTCCTCTGGCAGGTTGGGCGATTTGTTGTCGTGGTTGGCATCGTGTTTAGCATCATCGATACTATGCATATTCCCCGACGGAATAACCAGCTCCGACTTGCGATCATCTCCATAATCGCTACTAGTCACATCGCTTGCCGGTAGTGAAATCCGAGGGAGCTGCATCGTGGAGCTTTGCATGTGTTCAGGCTTCTGATGGGACGATGTAGGTCCCGGTAGCGGGAAATTGAGGCGATCTTCATAGTGCATGTTCTCATTGCCAGTGCCATTGTGAGGAGTTTCAATCTCGAAATGAAGACTATGCTCCGAGTTCAGGTTGAAATGTAGCTCTGATGGAGCAGCCCGCTCACTGTTCCTGGCGTCGGTGGTCGCACTCCCAATTGCCAACCCATGCTCATCATGCTCCGAAGGACTGGGGGTCAACCCGGATTGCGATCCGGGGTAGTTCTGGTACGTTGGAGGAGGGGGCTGCGGAGTAGAGTCGCTCGGCGAGTTGGGGTAGAGTGGAGGGGACGAGCGGGACATGCGTTGAGCATTTCGCAATAGACCCGAGCTTGGCTCTTCCGAGGCTCCGAACCGGTTGGTTGACCCAGTGAAGCTCGATGCATCGTCCCGACCTCTTGGGAAAGATCGGACCGAGCCCGCATCAGTTACCAAGTTAGCTGGGCGATATTTGTCATCGTCGATGGACCGAGAGAGAGATTGCAGCGAGTCCCGAGAACGGTGGAGACCCGGTGGTAAGAGATATGGATGCACGTCCAGAGACAGACCCTTGGCATGAGTAGGTTCCACCATCTGGGGCAGACCGTTCGGCATCTTTTTGCGTCCTGCTGGAGGACCCACGACATCCATACCAAAATCGAGAGATTTGTGTTTGTCGTTGGCGTCCTCGCTCAGAAGCTTCTTGACGTGTCGTCGGTGGAGAATAATCAGGACCACAATGGCAACAATAATAGGGACACTATTTCATTGTTAGCCTTGTTTGCTTCCGAATCATGTACAGGTCTAATAGTCCTGACGTACCCAGCACCAAGTACGACAGGCAACACAGTGGTCATCGTCATGCTGGTGGCTTTGCCTTGACTTGAGGTTGTCTCCGCCGAGGCGGGAGCTCTTACTACCAAAGATGGCATGTTGGGAATCTGAGAGGCGTTGGGCACCAAGAATGGCAGTCGGTGCGGAGGCACAACCTCTCTTCGGACGTAGGTATGCCTCATCACCAGGTCGGCATGATAGTGAGGCATAGTTTCAGAGGGGGGAGGGGGGGGGAGAGGATTCCGCGGCGGATTTAAAGATTGTAGGAATGACACGCGAATCGACAAACGAAGGACGAAAGCGGAAATGGAATCGTCATTGAAGCCAAGTAATAAAAGAGTGAACGGGGACGACAAGTCCACCGGAAAGCAAAAGAGTGGCGGCCAAAAGCCAAAGGGAGTGAACGATGGAAGAGAGGAAAAAGAGGAGAAGGAGAGTTCTGGCCCTGTAGATTACAGTGTCGTAGGTGTATCTTGTGTATCTCCTGTATCTGTGGCGTATCTAAGCGTATCTGCCGTATCTCTGCTGTTTAGAATCTCCGCACTTTCCACCTTTCCACCTTTCACGTTTTAACCCCCTGAATGACTTCTACCACTCACCTTCTCTTTTCCTTCTCCTCTGTTTACTCGTTTGTTTTGGTTTTTCCGTGGCTCTCGCTCTCTCCAGCTACGGCTCACTTCTCTAGACCAGAGACGCAAGCTGCAAGGCTCGGATGAGACCTGTGATGGGGCCAAGCTTTAGCGCCAGGAACCCACAGCCGACGACCCAATCATCGAACCGCTGCCCCTGAACCGGAGATGAAGCGGTGCGTTCTACCGTCGTAACCGTATCGTTGGTCTGTAAGGGCCACCAGGGGTTGACTTTTCCCACTGAGGCCTAGATTGCTTCTATTTTGACTTGGGATCGTCTGCTGCCAACCTTTGGGACTTCCCTGAGCCTTAACATGAGACGCCGAGACTTCCCCCTCAATTCCATCCCATTTCACGGGACCTTCTTCTGGAACATCTAATTTCAACTTGCACATTCCTTAGTGGATCATCTTCGGAGCCCCATCTTCATTCTCATTGCCTTTCTCGCGTGATCATTGGGTCCATATTCTGGATGATCCTGAGTGGATGTGCACGTTCTCGAACTCCGAACTTCCGTGACCTTTACCGGATAAATGGTACAGTAAAGTAGAGTAGCGTCGCCACTTCTCTCAATCCATTGGCCTCCTCAATGGGGGTTTTGTATATCCGGACCTCCTTGGGTATGGTGTCGCCTAGCTTTCTCTGGGATACGTAGGCCTGCTGTGGAGCTACAGTTTTCGCAGAAGGACGTGGTAAATAGAACCAATGCCCATATTTAACTAGCTAGTTACCATGAATTCAAAATGCAGCCCATCTTGATTCGACAAACTGGGGCGCGAGTCGCCCGTGCTGACCGCAGTTCGAAATTGATTGTGAACTGGTCTCGATATATATATCTAGGCCGACCGCGGGTGCGATCAGCGGGCCCGAGAAAACAAACAACCACACTCATCCCAATAAACAACGAATATTCAAACAAGTAAGGAATTCAACGATCGTTCAAATTATTCGAAGAAAAAAACATAGCGAATTAGTACTGGAGAAATGGGAAGATATCTAGAAGCACATTTGACAAAAGTACCTAGCGGAGCCGATAGGAAGTGAAAGGAACAGGGTGCTAGAAAACAACCTCAGTCCAAAGGCATGTAAGCCAGAACGAAGATGTTTCCATCTTGGATAGCTCCAGCGACAATTCAAACATGAGGAATGGAAACGGGAAGAGGAAAAGGAAGACTCTTGAAAAGAGATTCAGAGCCTGAGGCACCCACATTATCAATCCAATGGTGATGTGTGTAGGTATAGTAACTAGGAGGCAGCTTGATCGCTGATTGACTCTAACCCCTTTTGACGGAACGCCAGGAAAATGTTATGCTACGTTGATTAACTCTCATGCGGTTTTACTAGTAGTCGCTACCTAGTTGAGAGTCGATCACCTCCCCACTCCCGACCTCGACGATCACTAGCTCTAAAACTTCTCCATATTCTAGCCCCCAGATAATTTAAATAACATTTGAAAATCTGTTATCTTGCCCGTATCGCGATAATTGTCGAGACTATAAGAGTTTTTACCAAGCCGGGAGCAATATGACGTCAACTCCTTGAATAACCGAGCAAGCCGACAATAACCTCGTCCAAGGCCTGATAAGGCCCCTTCGCTGGAAAATTTTCACGATTAGCGGGGTCCGTTATTTAATATGATATTCCGATGCTCCAATGCCGACTGAGAAGTCCGAGCCCGAGTGATTGTGCCGTCGGCGGTCCGAGAAGTCAATTGGTCGTATACGTGATACTTGCGTGGACGTGTGAGCCTCCGCGAGTATGAGATCCAAAACAATTCCAGCTCTATACGGGTCAAAGGAAGCAAGACAAAAGAGCTACTGGAACATGGTCTCATCTGTTCAATGTCGGCGGAGCCCAACAGTTTGAGATCCACTGGCCGAGCTGTGGAAACATGGGCCCGCGCAGCGCGCCGATGCAATCCGCACCTTTGTACTATCTGAGATCTTTCTGGTCGAATTTTGCCGCTGAACGTGGCCAGACGCTAAAATTGATACAAAAAAAGCCGAGTCCATGCGAACGTTAAAGGGATGAGATGCCGTAAGAATATTTAATTTCTATATCAGCTTGCCTTCTCCTCATTTGTATATTTCCACTTCCCTTTCCAGAACCTATAGTTCTTGCGGACCTGGCCCCATTCGACACGATGGACTTGACCTCGAGAGACTTGGAAAAAGGCGAGCTCAACCGCAGAGCAAGCCAAAGTGTCGATAGCAGCCCAACCCTATCACAATATCACTCGGAAACCTCAGCATCATTTGCCTCTTCCCAAGAAGCAATGGAATATATGTCTCGAGTCCAGACGGCGGTATCCCAGCGGGGGTCTATACTGGAACGCCACCCAACTGCACTCAGTCGAATTGCAACCCAGCGCAGTCAACATAATGCAACTGTGGGCGCTGGCTTGAACACGCACGTATCTCACCAACCTTTACCAGAATTCGGTGCCGGCAAGCCCTACCCTCCTCCCTTACCCGAAAAAGAAGAATATGTGGTGGAGTTCGCAGGACCAGAAGACCCATTGCATCCTCAGAATTGGCCCATGAGAAGGAAGATTGCAATTGCAGTGATGCTTGCGTATACAACATTCAATGCTACGTTCACCAGCAGCATATACTCCCCCGCAATCTCTGTCATATCTCCAGAGTTTCATGTATCTACTGAGGTTGGAACTCTGGGCCTGTCCCTATACGTGCTGGGTTTTGCGGTTGGGCCCTGTCTTTGGGCTCCCTTTTCCGAATTGCGTGGCCGACGCCTGCCAATTCTTATATCAATGTTCGGTTTCACCATCTTCGAGTTTGCCGTAGCAACTGCAAAGGATCTCCAGACCATAATGATATGCCGCTTCTTTGGAGGCTTCTTTGGGGCATGCCCAGTTGCCGTTGTTGCCGCGGTCTTCTCCGATATGTTCAACAACCGCATTCGTGGCCTTGCCATCACCGTCTTTGCCATGACCGTGTTCACCGGCCCGCTTTTCGCATCGACTGTCGGCGGCTTCATCGTGCAAAGCTCTCTAGGATGGCGCTGGACCGAATATCTTACTGGAATCATGGGTGCTTCAGCATTGGTGGCGAACATTTTCTTCCTGCACGAGACATACCCACCTGTGGTTCTCATCCAAAAGGCTGCAGAACTTCGCCGTTGCACCAAGAACTGGGGAATTCATGCTAAGCAGGAAGAGATTGAGGTAGACATGCGAGAACTGCTTTCAAAGAATTTCAGCCGGCCATTTAAGATCCTCTTTACCGAACCAATCGTGCTATCTCTCAGCATCTACATGGCATTCCTCTACGGCCTGCTGTATTTATTCTTGACGGCCTATCCTATTGTGTTCCAGAAGATCCATGGCTTCGAAAAAGGTGTGAGCGGTCTCCCTTACCTGGGTCTGGTCATCGGTGAATTCATCGGGGGAACGTGCATCATCCTCACCCAACCCTGGTACAACAAGAAGTTGGATGCAAACAACGGTATTCCCATCCCTGAGTGGCGCCTGCCGCCAGCGATTGTTGGCAGTGTGGCTTTTGCAGGCGGCTTATTCTGGTTCGGTTGGTCCGGTTTCACTGCCGATGTCCACTGGATTGTGCCGACTCTTTCTGGTGTTTTGATTGGATTCGGTCTGCTTTGCATCTTCATGCAAGCTTTTAACTACATCATTGATTCTTATCTTCTATTGTGAGTGCTTTGATCCTATCTAAGAACCGTCTTTCACTCGAGATGGCCATTAACAATGTTCCCTCTAGTGCTGCTTCTGCTCTGGCAGCCAACAGTATACTCCGTTCCTTGGCTGGTGCCGGGTTCCCTCTTTTCGCCACCTACATGGTATGTCGAGTCTCCTTGTGTTCATGATGATTCAAGACTAACAATCTTTTATAGTTTGATACTCTAGGTGTCAACTGGGCAAGCACATTGCTTGGATGCGTGGCGGCTTTATTGACCCCCCTACCCATCCTCTTCTACCTCTATGGTCCCAAACTTCGTGCCAGAAGCAACTTCGCTACAGATTACATGATGACGGCACAAGCCCACACTCTTGATGAACCAATCGAGTAGAGGAGCAATCTACTTAAGCGATGTTGGTGATTTTATTGACGAAATGTTTGATATACATGTTTTGAGCGTTCCCTCCATTTTGATACCCTTTGGCTTGCTTTAGCGAAATGCCTTCATCTATACAACACACCAGAGTCCGAACCATAATGCCATGCATTTTGGATATTATTAAATCCCAATGAATAACTACAACCGTTCTTTAAAAATGCTCCAGCCACGAGACCGAAGTCCGGGGAACAACAAATATGCATGACATTAGACCTCATTGCTTTTCATCTTTTTCGGTATTCGTTCTCAAATATCATCACAGTACAGATCGTTCTCGACTTGTACCCTCCGTGATTATTACAGGGCAATTATGGAAATATGAGCCGCGCAAATATGCAACATAGACGAAAGGAAAGGGAGGACAGCGCCGATAGTCAAAATAGTAAGGGAGAAAAAAAATAGACATGAACCTCCCAGAGGTGCTCGTACAGAATCGAGCGTGCATTTTTGCACGTAGGAACGGAAGGAAAGAGTAGGACAGGCGATGTACATGAGGAGAAAGTTGTACAGAGGAGTAAAAAGGGCTTTTGCTGATGCCGGACGGAGAAAGGGAGTAGTCGTTTGCTGCAAAGAGCATAGGACATAGGAAAAATGACAAGGGCCGAAGAAGGAGCGTAGCATCGGAAATTCAAGAATGAGGTGGGTTCTTGCGGAGGAAATTAATTTCAGGTTCTCCATTGAGCTTTTGAATATGGGTAGCCGATAGTATATTGCCCGGTGGTTTAGTGCATTTCAGCGAGTGCCGCCGCAATATCGTCTGGTTGATCGAAAATTCGTCGGAATGGAGGATCAGCAGGAAAAACACCTTCTGAACTCGGGTCAACGCCTTCTGCCTTTCGAATAACCTCCTTTAGAGCACGAGTGACGACCCCGGCCCGGACTACCAGGTCCCGAAGTGACTGGGTATCAAAAGGTAGTTTCTGGGTGCGTGGAGCCGACGAAAGTTCAGACAAGGTCGAGGCATCAGGTCGATTAGATTGAAGAATATCGATGACAGATCTTGACTTCGGAGAGAGCGGCGATCTGTACAGGTGACTCTCCGGCTGTGAGCCGCTTTGCCATGAGCTTTCGCTGTCCCCTTTCGGTTGCCTGAATGGCGGGGAGGGTAATTGATTTTGCTGTCGCTGAGCATCGTGCCAGGAAACTTCACTATTTCTTTTGGAGGAAACATTTAGTCCCTCTTCATCAGAATCATCAAAGCTGAACGTAAGGGATGAAGGGGAGCCCGGAGGAGAGCGGCGGTCTTCTTCATCATCGATAGTTGCAAGGTTGACAATCCCCTCGGCTTCTTTCCACAGCTCACTCGACGGTCCATCTATGAGATCCAATATGCTTGCTTGATGTCGAAGACGCTTCAGTTCTTGAACGAGCATGGTCAGTTCTTGCACTTGACCGAATTGACCTCGAAGGCTTGCTTGGCGTTCAAGGATGGCCTTGGGGACAGTCATGATCTGAGAGGGAACAGTGTCCGAGGTTGACGGGACATTCTGACTGATGCTCGTCTCCTCGGCGTCAAAGTCGAAATCACTATCCCAATCCTCGCTCACACCTTTGCTGCCAAGGCCCCACGTGCCGAATTTGCCAGAGGTCTGGCGTGTGTCGTTGATGGGAAGTTCTCGCGCAACGGGCACACTTTGACTCCGAAGATGGATGGCGGAAGGTACTTTACGACAGGCTGCACGGCTCCCTCTGTTGACAGCATTGTGTTTTCCGTGCACCGTTCTCGGCCGCGCCTCGGAGTCAGAGACATCACCATTCGTTCGGGACTGCTCGGACCAGTCAAAGATGTTTATTTTCTGGCTTTGATGCAAATCATCGACAGGGGAGCTAGGTGAAAATTCCGTAGAGGAAATTTGCGATCCTGGTCCTGCGAAGGGGTTTGACAAAGATATTGTCAGAGGTGTTTGGCGAGAGGAGTCTATGACCTCGCTAGGTAACGCCTCGATCATGCTGCGTGTTTCTTCATCTTCCTCCGACAGGACCGGTGTATGTTCATTCATACGGAAAGGTACCAGAGGAGAGGTGAGGAGAGGTTCTGGAAACAGTGGCGGGTCATTTTCAAAACGCGACGCAAATGAGCCACGCGGAAGGAGCTCTTCCAGGGTCATCACTTCCTCGTTTGACAGACGTGTCCCTGCCTTGTCGAACATTGTCTCGATACGCAGTCCTCCGAGCCCACTGCCACTCGTCTCGCGAGTGCGGATGGAGTCCCAGTAGTCAGTCATCATATCAGTTTCATATTCATCACTCGTTGTGAAGACTCGTGTAACATCGGAGCCAATGACAGTGGAGGACGGGTTCGACACTGCAATCGAGTCTCTTTTGGGCCGACGGCGCAGAGAAGAGTATGTATAGCCATCCGGCCGACATGCGTGTTGCCACGTAGACAGGGCAACGGCATCAGAGGTTAGTGGGCGGCGCCCACGCAAGCCAATATTGTAATCTTGAGACACCGACCGAGGAGCAAAATTCGACGATGAGAGGTCCGAAGAGATAGCTGGTCGGCGAAATATAGCGGGATCGGTGATATTCCTCCGTTGCGGCAGCGGAGGAGAGCGAGGAGAGCCGGGATTTACATATTCCTGGCTCTCCTCCTTTGAAAACTCTGAACGAGGAATGGAGAAGGTCCTTCCCTTGACCCGTTTCAAAGAACCGCCTCGCGGCCGCCCTAGCAGTGGGGTGCCGGAGCCCGTCACTGTATTTACGACAATTCTTTTCGGCTCAACATCGTTGAGAGAATATGAATGTTTGTGAACAGGTCTGTGCATAGGCTGTGCAGGTGGAGGAGCGGTGCTCGTCTGGAACGGATCACGGAATAGAACTGGAGTGGTGGGTATGGACGAATCCCGAGGGGAAAGAGTTGAGTTCTTATTTAGGATTGTGGTCGCCAGAACCAATGCTGGAACAGCATTCTGATCGGAGACGATCCGCCGCACACTCTGGACTCGTGGGGTGCCTGCAGTGGACAGTCTTCGAGCCAACCTTTCTGGGAGTCCCTCAGACTTGGGGGTTAAATATGGCTGCCAATCATGGTCTGATGTAACTTCGAATTCCTCGGCCGCGGGAATTTCATAAGGCTCCGAGAAGGGCTCGAAACTGGTAGCCAAAGGAGACTGCAATCGTATGGTCTCTGACCTTTGATAGCTGGTAGCTGGCCTGCGCAAGGCGGTGGTGGGGCGCGGGGAGGTGTTGACAAAGAGGGGATGGGCGTTCGAATATTGGGAAGACGAGCGCTTGACAAGCTTGTTGGAAGATCTACGTGAGCTGGACGGGCGAGAGAAAATCGGACTGGAAGACCCGGTGAAGGAAGGGGTCACGGGGCTGTTGGTTGTCTGGCTTTCAGATTGGAAGGAAACCATCGATAGCCGTCGCAACCAACTTGTAGACGGTCGCCGCGAGTGTGACTCCGTTTCTGTCGAGGATTCGGTTGTTTCATCCTCGGGGATTCGCAAGGGAGGGTTGGTCAATGTTTGTCCGCGACGGCGAAGCCTGGCGGCTCCGAAGGAGAGGGATGCTCTCCGGAGATCAGGACCCTGGAATTGGCCGGTGCGCAAACCACTTCCATCGATCCCGAGTTCACTAGAAGGACCATCCACCCCCGCTTGGCTGGGCCGGGATGATACCGAGGTCTTCGGCCGCACATCGACTGTAGGCTGAGTAGGGGCGAGTGAATCGTATGGTAACGTTTTCCGCCGAAAGATGCTGGACTTGGCTCGTTCAGCGCGACCGAGGGCAAGGCCGCTGGTCGCAATGCCTACAGTGCTCAGCGCACACAGCTGAAATGTGTTAGCCAGGGAACGGCGTGGTAATCATGGCAGGAAGCTTACCGTTGATATGTGATCCATCAGAGGACACTGGGAAGAGTGGCAAGCACCCTCCAGCTCAGCTCCGCAGGGTGAGACTTTGTGAGTGACATCCCATTTGGTTCAGGGGGAAGAGAGGGAGTCGACCACGATTAAGGAAAGAATGGTGGTCAGTAGGTAAGATTTGGCCTGAGAGGGCCGTTGGAGGGAGAGAAAGACGATGACGGAGTGAAGGTCCAAAAACAACAATCGGGGATTTAACGCTAAGAGTTCAGCTCCCGCCCAGGGCAATTAGACACGCTAGGAGCAAATCAATATTCAGTCCCTACACGAGGTAATCTCGTCCCTTGTTCCTTGTTTTATTTTTCTTTATCTGTTTTTTTTTCTTTTCTTTTCTTTGGTCTTTGGTCTTTAATGTTTGATGTTTCGTGCGTTGTCAACTTTGTTTACGGCGATCTCAAGTTCTCTCAAAGATCTCTCTCCCTCTCTCTCCATTGTTTACGCCTATCAACACCCCGACTTCTCTAACCCTCCGACCCCCCTCACAACCCTCACGACCCTCACTGGACAACTCCAGCCGATAGGAGAAACTGCAGGTCCACTTACGCCCCCCCCCTTGCGGCTCACATTGCACTGATTTTGCACTCGTGTCCAGACCGGAACTAATGTCGCTTCAGGCTTACGGAGAAGTCCGCGCGAAGTGAGTGGCTGTGGGACCCAGGAGAAAAGCAGGAAAAAGCCATGCGATCCAGAATTCCCCACATATCTCGTCTCGGCTGGCTGGAATCACGTCTTTCGGACAAGCCCATCCCCCCTTGGGGTTAGTTCTGCGATCGCAAGGGCCCAGTGCGGCCGATCTGTTTCCACCTGGTTGGACGAACTTGTTCCCTCCCTCATTCTAGTCTCTCCATTGCGTGCAGCTGCCAACTTCTGAAACACTTCCTGCATCTTGGCTGTCAACCTTTCAACCGGTTATGCTAAACACACCGCCCCCGTTCGCGGGGTGAGGGGGAAGCTGCTCAGGTCAAACCGGACCTCCATGCTTCTCCAAGTTGATCGCATCCACTCGTTCCATTGTTTGCCCTTGCTGATCTTTCTTAGACTAGACGTTCGCCGTTCGCCATTTAATTTCCTGCACAGACCAGAGTTCCGAAATTTTCATTCCCAATAAAATGAATTCTGGACAGGTTCGATGGAACTCCGATCCATACCGTCATACCCTCTCCACTTTGCAAATGAAAAGGTAATCCCCATGGGCCCAACGGAAACGGTGTTCGGCCTCGGCGGCCGGTTTTGTCCCGTCTACCGTAGCCAGCCTGATGGGTCTTAAGTCGATCCTAGCGTACTGGAAAATATTGCGACTGCAATTTTGTTTGTTTTTGTGAAAAAAAAACAAAAAAACAAAAAACAAAAAGAAACACCAACATCAAGCTCGTGGCTCCGTTGGACCAGACACCCGGGCCCGATTATAATGGACGGACGCCGAAATCACCAACCCTGTCCCCGGACGATCGGCACGCCTTATCGTCCACTTGGGAAGGTCACTAAAATCGCCTATTATACATCAGATTGGCAGGGATGTTGCTGTTCGCTGCTTACGATAATACGGGATCATCGAATTTCCAACATTTTCAATCCTTTTAACCCTTTCAATCCTCTTAACCCCTCCCTGACTCTGACTGTACCTGGATGTGCATTATCCACCTTGAAGAAATTGAAGCAGTTCACCCAGACCGTCGATGCTCGTGAGAGTGTCTATTTCGGCCTATCGCTCCCGGCCATTAGGGGCGCTAACAGGGGGCTGTCGATATCCGTTCTGTGCGTTTCGTCTAGTCCAATTGCAGACCGGATTAGGATATATCCTGCACCGCCTGGGTTTATTCAAATTCAAAATCATCTAGTGATGCCTTTTTGTGCCTACTCTTGATCTCAGATACCATACGAATAAACACAAGTCGTTCATTTTCAATTTGTTATTGAGAATAGCAGTCATTAGCATAAAATCAACAAACGAAATATGTAGTCATGAGCTAAAACTGTATTGGTTGACGGAATTCAAACTTAAACTCTTGAGTATGTCGATCATGCTCGCGTGGGTCTATAAATATCAGAGTGTAGGTGAACCCATACAGTCATGGACATCCCTTCAAATAAAATAGGCATTGGTTATTGACCCAAGCTCATGAGCAGCCTATTCGGCCGGTTACAGAAAGCAGCCAGAGCGTTCGAAGGTCTGCGTTTTTAATGGGAGTGTGTCGGAGCTGCAACTGTGGTGCAGAAGGCTAGAATAGAGAGCCACAGACGACATCGCTACAGCTCATCGTATTCCCCGGCTGCGACTAAAATGTCTCTGAAGCATCACGGGGAGCGGACTACAGATTTGCAGTTAGACCTCGGGGTGAACATAAGTAACCTTAGATGAGCTTCGGCCGGATAGTAGTAGATAACCGGGCAATTATCTGAGCAAATTATCTGACCGGAATTGTTTCATCAGATTGAGCTCCACCATCAAACCACGGGGACATCTCGGATGTTGGGGTTCAATTTGGCAGTCTCTTGGCTGTGTAACGGTCGGGTGGTCTTATGCTTGTGTTCTGCAGGTCCGTACAATGTAAACGCCCCCATCGTTTGAAACTTGCCCGTGATCACTCTAGTGGTAAATCTAGTGCGCGAGAAAAAAAAATAAGAGATTAGAATTTGAGGTGACCAGACAGAATTCAACATGTAAATATCACTTGGGGACGTCATGGGTGTTGTAGTAGCTCGTAATTGATACACAATATGGTTTCTCAATACAATCTCTCAATATTATTGACCATCTGAAAAGTCCATGAAATATCAATAAAAGAGAAAGGACAAAGGCTACCCTAGGTGTTGAAGTTGAAGTTGAAGTTAGAGTTGAAGTTTGAAGTTGCCGAGCGAAATGACCTGGCTGTCCGGGTCATGTGCCCTTATCGATAACACACCGAAACTGGCCCCTCCGAGGTGTGCGGCCAAAAGTACCCCGGACGGTCGATTATCTCTTTGACCAGACAACTGAACTCGTGGTCTTCGTGCATCTGGAGCAAGCAAATCATGGAGGCCGAACTCCAGGCGCAGATTCCCGGCCTAGACCGTGTGATCTCGGAATATTCGGTGGTATGTTCCCATTGCGAAGCTGCAGTATCTTCGAAGCTCACATAAAACAGGGCTACCTGACCCACGCCTCAAACCTCTATGTCGAAGATGTCAATGGTCCTTCACCCCTTTCCGAGGCGGCCGAGAATGTGACTGAATTGCTGGTCTCTGCCTCCGGAGACTTCACTACTCAAAACCGCCACGCAATTGCCAATCTGGTCGAAAAATTCATTACATCGCTAAGCTCATCCAATGGAATCGACGCAGAGAGGATGCAAATGCCATTCAAGGCCAGGAAGCTTGACCAGGCCATCAATGTCGGGGCCCAACGGAACATGTCTTCCACCCTAGGCTTAACTGGAAACGCTGTGGACCTGGAGTCCGCAAATGCCAGAAAGGTGGAGTCGCGCGTGGACAAGAAGAAGCTTGAAAAGGCCGAGCGTAAGATTCGCGCCAAGCAGGAGAAGAAGCAGATGAAGACGGTCACCTACGAGGCCTCTCGCCTGCTCAACCAGCCAGATGAGACGATGAGTTACGAGGAGTTCTTCATGGCTGTCAACCCTCTGCAGCTGGGATCCGAGGCCCAGTCCAAGAGCAAGGATATCAAACTGGACAACATCGATATTACTATTGGAGGTCAGCGTATCCTGACAGATGCTGCGTTGACCCTCGCTTATGGTCGTCGCTATGGTCTCGTGGGTCAGAACGGTATCGGTAAAAGTACCCTGTTGCGGGCGCTCAGCCGCAGAGAAGTTGCCGTGCCGCACCATATTTCGATTCTCCACGTTGAACAGGAGGTATTTAGAAGCCTTGGAAATGAATGCCGCCTTTTCACTGACCATATCTATTAGATTACGGGTGATGATACTCCAGCGCTCCAAGCAGTCTTGGATGCAGATGTGTGGCGAAAGCATCTTCTCGGGGAACAGGATGTGAGTTGATCGAGAGAGGCACTCTGACGCATGCGCTAATCGAAACCTTGCAGAAAATTTCAAAACAGCTGGCTGCTATCGAAGAAGAACGGTCTTCGCTAGCCGATACCTCCAAGGATGCTGCTAGACTGGATCACGAGCGGGAGGGATTGGATATTACCTTGAGTGATATCTATTCCAAGCTCTCCGAAATGGAATCTGACAAGGCTGAATCTCGTGCAGCCAGTATCTTGGCTGGTCTCGGTTTCTCCCAAGAGAGACAGCAATATGCAACCAAGACCTTTTCTGGAGGTTGGAGAATGCGCCTGGCATTGGCTCGAGCTTTATTCTGCGAGCCTGATCTCCTTCTTCTTGACGGTAAGCGATCGCTTCTACCTGGATTTCTGGATAGGTTGGCTGACTTCACTAAGAACCGTCTAACATGTTGGACGTTCCATCCATTACATTCTTGGCAAATTATCTCCAGGGTTATCCCAGTACCGTTCTTGTGGTCTCTCACGATCGTGCATTCTTGAACGAAGTTGCTACCGATATCGTCCATCAACACTCCGAGAGGCTGGACTACTACAAGGGAGCTAACTTTGGTAAGTTACACCGCAGAACCATTCTCACATATTATCTACTGACACGTGGTAGAATCATTCTATGCCACCAAGGAAGAGCGGAGGAAAATGGCCAAGCGAGAGTACGAGAAACAGATGGGCGAGAGAGCCCATCTTCAAGGTTCGTGATTTCCCCTACCTTGCTTGCTGGTCACATTTCTAACGGGCGTCAAACAGCCTTTATTGATAAGTTCCGATACAATGCGGCCAAGTCTTCGGAAGCCCAATCGAGAATTAAGAAGCTTGAGCGGATGCCGATCCTTGAAGCTCCGGAAAGCGAATACGTTGTGCACTTCCAATTCCCTGAAGTCGAGAAGCTTTCACCTCCTATCGTTCAAATGACGGAGGTGTTCTTTGGCTACACTCAGGACAAGCCTCTCCTTAGGGATGTCGACTTGGATGTTCAGCTGGACTCGCGTATTGGTATTGTTGGACCTAACGGTGCCGGTAAAACAACGGTGTTGAAACTTCTCATCAACCAACTGCAGCCGACGAAGGGTCTGATCTCGGCCCACTCGAGACTGCGTATTGGATTCTTCGCCCAGCACCACGTGGACGCTCTGGACATGACCACCAGTGCTGTGAGTTTCATGGCCAAGACCTATCCTGGCAAGAGCGACGAGGAGTATCGCAGACACTTGGGCGCGTAAGTTTTTCTCAATTCCGACAAACATTGAAAATACTAATAGCCTTTCACCTTTTTAGCTTCGGCATCACTGGTACGACTGGTCTCCAGAAAATGGAGTTCCTATCTGGTGGTCAAAAGTCTCGTGTGGCATTTGCATGCCTGTCATTGACTAATCCTCACATCTTGGTTCTTGACGAACCTTCTAACCACTTGGATATCGAGGGTATGGACGCTCTTTCCGATGCTTTGCAAAGATTCGAGGGAGGCGTGGTAATGGTTTCTCACGATGTTACGATGCTGCAAAATGTCTGCACCAGTCTCTGGGTTTGCGATAAGGGAACTGTTCACAAGTTTGACGGTGATGTTAAGGCTTACAAGAAGATGATCAGCGCGCAAGCTGACGCGGCTGGCGTTGTGGCGAAGCATTAAGGGTAGAGCAATGAAGACGATATTCCATAGGACTGCTATCATCTCCATTATTTGTAGATTTTGTAGGTCTCCACCGAGTGGGTATTTGGCCCGGTATTGACATTCAGATCTTCTTCCTTCTCTTTTTCTTTTCATTACTTTGCAGCTCTTGAGAAGCGTGCCTGAATGATGTGGGCTACGCTCGTCTTTACAAGGTTTGAGCAAGGAGGACTATAGGTGCAGGGGAGACGCCTATATAATATCCGAGAGCTCTCTTTTCTCCTTGGATCTCTAGATTCTTTTGAGGGCTGCCTGATGTTCAATTCTGTCAATCTTTGTGAAATTTGCTTGATCTATCTTCTCAATATCTAAATTGCGACCAGACACTATTAAACAGGCAAGAGCCGAAAGGAGAAGTGAATTCTTGCCACAGGATTGCAGTGGACTTCATCTGAAGCCGTGAAGTCCTCAATATTTAGACACAGCGAGCTCTGAATTTCAAGTTTATCTCACTTCGAACTACCATGCAGCTTGGCCGTCTCCCACAATCACATCTACGCAACACCAGTTTATCCTCGATCACGAACTTGAATTTAATTCACAACAATGGAAAGTGAGCGTGAAGGTGCCTCAAAGCTGGGGAAGCAATTGGTTCGCTCCAGCCCGCTTCTGGGACTACCGAATGAAGTGAAAGGTCCATTTCGTTTGAGTAAAATCCTAGTAACTAACTTCAGATGACAGATTCTCCAGCACATCGCATCAATCATACCGACAGACCGCGATGTGAGTCTTCTGAGCCGAACGTGCAAGGAGTTGCACGGGCGACTCCTGGCTCCAGAATCCACTATATGGCGGGTCCGATTCAAGAGACGATACGACCTTCCGCAAGGCCGAGAATCAAGAGAGCTGAAGCCAGAGTATCAGACTCGCGCCATTGTGCTCCCTAGAAAGCTGGATTTTAAACAATCCGAGAACGAGCAGCAGAAGATTTGGCTCCAGGTTGTCCAAACAATGGTCAGGGAGTCGACCACTTTGCCGGTTGAGATTGAGACCTCCAAAACATATCAGAGGATCCAGGATATTATGACACAGGTGGAATTCTTTAGCAATCCGAAAAGAATCAAATCATCTGACATGTTCTGCGCAGTTCAACTTGTCTGTCTCCCCAGCCAAAACACGAAGAAACAAGTTACTGACTATCTTGTGTAATCAGTGCCTCACACCCATGTCTCTCGATATGACAGTGACCCAGGCCTGTGGCCGACCCGGCTACGATATCGGCACAGTATATTCTTTCCAAGAGGATATCGATGGCCCATTCATCAAGCATGAGACACTTGACCTCAATAAACTGCTGCATATCCGCAGCTTCTGGCAAAATCATCTACTGAACTCGCAGGAAAGTACAAATTTCAGTGAGATATACTCAAATCTTCCCAGGAACCACAAGCCCAAAGCACGGAATATAGATGTTGCCAATACGTCAATGATCTGCACTTCTTGGTTTGGACTCTGGTGTAAGGTATTCCCCATAGCTCGCTATTCCTGAGATCTTACTACTTTAAATAGCATGCATTCATCCACTGCCAGATACGATCGAGGAGTTCACCCGCCGAGAGTCTTGTGCAGACCTGGAAGATCATATACATCAAGTTGATGTTATGGTATGGAGTACATATTTTAATTCAAAAGTCACGCGATGACTAACATGATGCAGACCTTGGAACTTGAATACAACTCAGAGGAAATATGGCCAGAGGCATGCGCCAGTGTTATTTCGCGATATGAAGCCGCAGAATGTGTCGCCTACTTCCAAGGCGTGCAAAAGATCCACGGCGACAGCGAGGCCGCAAATCCATTGTTTGGTTTGACTGAGTCTATCTCATTTCCCTACGGCGGATTCAAAGGCTGGACTCGCGTATGCTTTTGCATCTGTGAGGGCGTGGATGAGAATGGAGACTCAGTCTTCAACGACGATGACAGCTGGGTTCATGGGTACGAAGGCGTGATCCCTCCCGGTAGTGGAGTCATGTTGGGGAGGTGGCTGGACTTGAAGGACACGAGTGGCCGAGGACCATTTCTTTTCTGGGACGTGTGACAAGGTATTCGACCTCCGCTTCTACAAAGCCTAAGTGCTATTTCAAGGAGAGCCATAATTTTAAAGCAGACATAGGCTTCACAACGAAATGAACATCGTAGCAAGTAGATGAATCTTGACAATTATGCGATGTTAAAGGAGATAACGATACGAGACCAAACCAATTCTTGACTCTATTCAAGACTATTCTTCGATGTCCTTAACCTTCTCCCACTGGCCCTTGAGGTTCTCCTTCCACAAGCTGACCTTGTTGTCACCACCGCTGACAGCGAGAATATTGCCGCTGAGGCTCCAGCTGACACGCCAGAGAACAGTGTCAAACTCGAGTGTTTGGCTGGACCACTGGCCCGGGTTAGAAGCATCGGAGGTCCAGATGCGAACGGTCTTATCCTGCGAAGCCGAGGCAATGTACGACTTGGACAGAATGCTCGGTGACCAAGCCACGTCACGGACCCAGTCCGAATGGCCCTCCAGGGTCTGAGTGAGGTTGTAGGTCTTCGAATCGGCACTTAGGAGGTGAAAGTTAGCACACGCGGTTCCCCATAGCTGCCAACACTGAAACGTACTTGTAGTCCCAGATCTTGATCAGGTTGTCGCTGCCGCCAGTCACAAAGCGTCTCTGCTGACCAGGTCCGGGGTTGGAGCTAATCAAGCTACCGGCGAAAGCAGCCGGAGCCCAGCTGATCGAGTTTACACCCATGCCGTGCGCGTGGAAGGTCTGATGGGTCCAGTTGTTGTCGCGGAACTCGAGAACACTGACATGGCCATCGGAAGAAGCACAAGCAAGCAGACATCCAGACTCGTGAGGAGCCCAAGATACCATGTTAACGGAAGCGGTATGGAGAGAGAAATCAAAGACCTTGGTCCATGTGCTGCCGCCGGCAGGAGAGGTCGCGTTCTGGGGTTGTTCGCGCCAGATCAGAACCTTGCCATCGTACGAAGAGGAGGCCAGAATTGTGCCGAACTTGGGATGCGCCTATGGAAACCATTGCCATCGTCAGTCGAAATGCACCACAACACGAACGAGTTTCAGCGGTGTCCCAACTCACCCATGCGACACACCACACCGCCCCCTCGTGGCTATATGAATCGAAACTAGATCAGCGATTTCACTCTTTTCAACCGGCCACCTCCACGGAGGCACGAGACACGCTTACCCTTTCAGGGTCTCCACCAAGCGGTGTGATTCCCCCTCAATCTCGAAGATCTTAATGGTTTTATCCGACGAGCAGGTTGCCAACCTACGGCCATAGTAGTCCAAGCCAGCATCGTGCTGCAATAAAATAAGAAATGTCAGCCCAGACGCATTGAAAGCAGGAAAGTGCAAGAGATGCCAATTGAATGCTTCCACGAATAGCATCGCGTACGTACAATCATGTCCTCATGGCCGGAGTTCGAAATAACTTGTGCGGCTGCCTAGAAACAAGGAGTCAGCAGAGAAGCAAAGACAATTAAAGAACGCGCACCATATTGTAAAAAACCCCGTGGGGAGAGCAGGAACAGGAGCAAGTAACGAGGAGAGCTCGGCCAGGGCAGGTCACCAAACGCACCAAACAACCTGGCCGCTTTGCTTATCGTTATCGTCCTGACTCAGCAGGGTCACGCTCTGGGCACGTGTTTTCGGCCTCGGTCTATCGGTAACCCCACGCTTTGCTCCGCGACTCCCTTGCCTCCTATACCTGCTTCTGCTCTTTCTTTGCACATAGCCTTTTGAAGCCGTTTTTCATCGCTGTTTTAGCCCAATACCCTCTGTTGCATATTGGCCCTTTAATCTCTGCTCACCATGAGTGATGCACTGTGCGGTCCGTCCAACGCGCTGCAGAACTTCCAAAAGCATACGTCTGTCGACCGAACTCTTCAGCAGGATCGGTTGACCTCCAGGCAGCCGTCAGCTCAGGTAAGTTATGGTATATGTTTTAGTTCTGACCTCTCCAGGCTGACAATATTATCTACAGGGGTTCCGATCGCAAAGCCCTCGAGATGGCATATTAGACCCGGAATTCGCGGCATTTGAATCCAACCTCGGAGGACCAGCACTGCCCGACTTACAGCATCCTGCTCATTTTGGTGGCCCGGCACATGCGCACGCTGCCCACAACGCAAGTAGTGGCTGGGCGTCAGACTTCCAGAATTTACACATTTCCGGGCCACCAGCGCCACAATTACAAAGACCGAATGTCGCTTCAGTCCATGGAGGGTGGCAGAATGAATTTATGAGCCAACAGCAGCCGGCAACTGCTTATCATATGCAAGCCCAACCAGCAACGAATCGTGTATTTCAGCCTGCCTTTGCTCCCAGCTACCCAATGTATAATGCTCCGATGGATGCACACCAAGTCCCACAGCAAGCACATGCAGAGCCCTCTGCATCTACGCAGCAGTTTGATGAGTCTGCTTTTGAAGCGGCGTTTGAGCAGGCTCGCGCCGATATGGAGCTTCAGAGTGTCGAGACTCCGGAAAACGAACAACAATTACATGATTCTAATCTGGCTGAGGTGATCGAACCTACTCATGAAGAACTTCGGATTGGATCCGATACTATTGCCCAGTCCGACGAGCAAGACTTACAGTCGCAAATCCACGATGCTGATGCTCTCGCTCAGACGGCCGGCCAGCTTCTCGATAGCGTTCGCCACGAGCAAAATGAAAAGTTCCAACAAAGCAACTTCCTCGCACTGATGCGCCGAATTCGTGATCGGGAAGTGGAGGTGAATGGGGACGAATTTCGCGAAGTCAGTAGCCCGTAACGGTTTGGCTGTCATGCGCGACAGAAATACCGGTATCATTGAGTCGAATTCATGCCGACTCCTGTTCTTGCTAATTCCTGTGCAGACAACACAATCACTTCATCCACTTCATCCTGGCGGGCCATACTACCCGGGACCACCCTATCCTGGGCATTCCGCTGCACCGGTCGACAGCCAGGGTAAGGAGCCTTCCACTCTATCGACGGGATATAGTGCCTCAGAAATCTGACCCTAATTTTGACGGTCAGAATATACGCCAGAGATCGACCAAGACGTTCTAGCAGAGGAAGAGTCGCCACGCCTGGGAACTAACCCATACGGTCCGGGAGACAGCAATGAACACTACGAAGGCTGGTACCACAGTCAGCGGCTGGTGGATCGAAGGCGCCCGACCTTTTGTTTCCGTGGTGAAGATCAAATTTGGTGACTCGACGAGTCAGGGAACATCATTAGGTGAATGAATAGGTTATTGGAGGGAACAATAGAGTCACGTGATACTATTGAGTCCCGAAAGAGCAATCGATTTCCTATTGAAACAAATCATTCAATGACCAACAACCAACTAAATCCATTTTGAGGATTGAACTGTGATTGTCCTCACTGCTTGATTCTTGATGCAGCGTTCTCTGGACTCACTACAAATAGTCTGCCCGCTGCCCGGGTTTTCTGAATCGAACATATTCACCACCACCCTCCAATTGCCCCTTCAATCCCATAGACACTTAGTATTATCCAAGATGCGTCCTCCAACAGATTCGCTGCGTCATCAATCAAAAAATCTTGCAGAAGCACAAATGAATTGCACGTATTCTACAACCGCCCCTCCTTATTCATCGATTCCCCCGCGAAGAAGGTTCATCATGACTCCCAGCCCTATGATGATGGATGACCTTGACTGGGAAGACCCCGCTGTACCCATCACCATAATCATCGATTCCTCGATTGACCTGTTCGGCAATAATAATACCGTGATTCTGCCATCGCGAGCTGCTTCTACAACAAGCACCACGCCCAGCCCGAGCGCAGACTCAGAGGACTCAGGGTCATCTACACCGTCAACCTCGCAGCGGATTCGTGCTGCTAAAGTTGGCAGCATGGCTGCCGTCATCATCACCGCGCTGAAGCAAGCCGGTGGACTGACAGATGACCTAGGGCGCAGTCGCCCAATCCATATTAGCATCAATTCGGGCATCAAGATCGATGGCAAAAGCAACACCGTCTGCAACGTACACACGCAACCCCTTACATACTCGTCCTCCGTTGCAGTTGGCGAGAAGCGGCGTGCGGTGTCCGTATGAATATTTCTATTCTTGAGCTAGGCTTAGACATCCACTGACACATCGTGAAACAGGAGCCACCGTCCCCGGCACCGCTATCTAAGCGCCACTGCTGAGCATGTTGAAATGATGTTTGGATTTGAATGGTGATGATGATGATGATGGTGGCCTTTTTGCTTCCACTTCCCCTCACCTATGTTTTTCCTTTGTCTCTGTGTGACTCCAGTATATGTTCAACGATACCTTCTAGCGCGGCTGTCTACGAGTATCCTGCTGCAATGTTATTCAGGCTTTTAAACAAGTCAATGCACGTAGAGGGCATTAATGGAAGATAGGTATAAACAGTGGTATGGGCATAGCTACGAGGGTTACTCTAGTCCCGGCTTTTTGCCTAAGGCGAACCAGACTATAACGCTTTGTGATTGTATTGATAGACAAGCAACGAGCATCATATCAGTCATATTGATACATTAACTAAAAAAAGAAAGCACCATCTCCACGCCCACCCATGAAACACCTTAAAAGTGCAAGGAAAGAGAAGAAACAGGACATGAAGTAACCCTTTCAATGAAGAGGATTGTCTAAGCACTCGATGGGGTCAACCAACCCCCCCATCGAGAATGAGAAAGAACACTTTCCAATCAAATATAGAGGAGATCACACGACTGATACACAAGGACCCTGGCAGGTCATCTCCTAGTCACCATATGCAACCTGCATTTGTACCCACTGCGACTTTCAAATTCAAGTCTCCCCGCCTTTTTATGGCATCCCAAAAAAAAAATTTCAAAGCACGAGGGCTGGATGCAGAAACAAAGCTGAGCGAAAGAACCTCAAGCGGAAAGAGTTGATGGAATTGAAGCCCGAGGAATTCAACTTGATTTGTGTGATGTCAGACTACTATCAAAGCATCATCACAAGACAAAGCGTCCCATTTTGAATGGGCAAGTAATATGGGCGTATATGGGAGGAAACAGCCGGGAGAAGATCTATCGGAGACTTAAATACGTGATGTAGAAGACCATGGCGATCAAATAGTGTATCAGGGTGACTAGACAGGGTTTTAGGCGAATCGGCCGACGGGAACATCATGGCGATGGAGGTCTTTAGACCATTCGGGGGCGATTTTGTCTCGCTCATAAAGGAAGCCGCAGTTGTGGCATAGAGTCTTAAAGAACCAAGTCAGATCCTGCTTTTAATCAATTCCATGGATTTCAACTTACCCTTGGACCATCGGGACCATCTCGAACTGCCCAAACTGCTGTGCCCCATACCATACAGTTGTTGCACCTCCAATTTTGCCGCTCCCTGTAATGATAAGATCAGCGATAGAATTGAATTGAAACCACAACTAGCAACATACCATTCCGAGAGTGTACCACCGCCACCGCCGTATCCAGCACCAGAGCTCGTGTCTGGAGTGCCACGGCCACCAGGAGTGCCTCCTCTGCCGGATGGACTGAGACTGCGGAACCGACGCTTTCGCTTGTTTCGCTCGCCTCGTCCCAATGGTGTTTCACTGTCAACCTCAAAGTACCCGCTGCTTTGTCGAGAAACCTCTGGTGTGATACCAGCAGTGGAAGAGAACCGGGCAGTCTCTCGCCGGAGACGTCTAATCTGTCGCTCGCGATCGCCTTCTCGTCTCTCGATCTCTTCCTTTGACAAAGTTTCGACCTTGGGCTCCCACTCATCACCCAGAGTCTCAGGATCATAACGCCAACCAGCCTCGACTCCATTTGCTGCTTGGTTATCGATCTCATTACCGTAGCCATTGATTCCACTCATCAGGCCGCCGCTTTCGCAGACTTCCTTCTTGAGTTTCAAAGCAGCTTCATAGATGCCATGTGAAATCGCGCTGACCCATTCACCTCCAAGATGCAGATCTGCGCAGGTAATTTTCGCGAATTCCTCGGCCATGCCGGGAGGATGAAGTAGAGACCACTCAAACTTGTCGGTGTAGAGCTTATTTTGCAGGTTGATATTGAGGCTTATCAGACACCTATACGCATCATCTGGATTTAAGAGACTGTCATTAACAAGCGCATCCTTTGTCGCTGTGGCTGTGACAGTAGCTCCGTTAGGCCTGCTATCTGGGGTCTCGACATTGGTGACGGCAGGAGTCATGGATGTGTCTCGTGAGGCTTCGATCTGCGGAGCTGCGGTAGGGGCAGGGTCTAATTGAGTGGCTGAGAACAATGGGTGCAATGCAACACCTGCGAACTCCTCAAGCTGTTGCCGGACTTGATTGCTAATCGTCATCGCGGTCGCCTGGGGATTGGGAAGGTCAAGGTCGCGGACAAATCCAATAGCAAATTCCTCCGGAGTGGCGAGAGCTTCATGGAGATTCCAAAGGAATGTGTCCTTGATTCTGAAGGGCGGTAATGGCTCGGGTCTCCGATAAGCGGGAAGGGTTGGGTTGATGCTAGGATCCATGACCCCACGGGGCAGAGGGAACGGCTCCAGAGGCTGATGAGCAGGGACTTCGACATCGATTCGAATTGGGACAAGTGTCAATGGAAGCTGTGCTTGAATTTGTAGTTGGTCTGCACACCTATAGGATCACAAAGTATGTCAGCTGCAGTTCCGAAACGAGGGAGATAATATTCCAGGCCACGCAGGTTATGACTTGACAGGGAACGAAATTGGGATATTCAACATACGCTGGCCGGAGCATCCTCTTGATCATCCATTCACGAAACACTCCTTGCACCTCCACTGGCGCATGCGCTTCTTTGCCCAGCTTCTCGGACAAGGGCACCATACCTCCCGATGATTCCTCGCGTCGCAGGCTCCTCAGCCCAGTCGGACGTCGAGTGTTATCACTCTCATCGAAATCCTCATCTCCATAGCCATCTTCGGCATAATTGATGGCTGTGGTACCACGCTTCGTCGTGCGCGGCGTTGGGCCAGTCTGCACCGGGTAGACGGGTGTGAGCAACGCGTTCCCATATTGGCGCACACGCGGCGGGTATGATGTGATGTAGCCTCTAAGAGGGGACATGTTGGCGATTTAGGTCGACAGATACATGCCCCTTCGCGGGGAGCTAAGATCACTAAAGCTGTTGATTGAGCGTTTGGGGAAAGGGTTGTTCGCGCTAGAGCGAGGATAATTGGCGAACGTAGAGCAGAGAACCGTAAAGACTGGTAGAAGTATCAAATCACAGGACCAGGGAGGACTGTGTAAGAGCAGGGATCACGGATGGAGATTGCTTTCACTGATGGGATTCTTTTGCGCCGTCGCGTTTTGCCCGATCGAGACAGGCCCATTCCCAAATCACGTGATTATGCCTCAGGCCACTACAGACTAGAGGAAGCTGCATGAAATACTGGTTGGTTTATCGATTTCGAAATTTGAGAAAAAAAGGTTGGCCTTAATGATTGTTTCATTCATTTGTATGTTCATCACGGCCCAATAATCTGTTGCTGAGAATGTTCAACTAATATAGAAAGTATACCATAGGAGGTCGAGAAAGACACCAAACTGCAAAGTACGCCAGCCCTGCTGTGGAAAGGAAAGACACGAAACAGACAAGTAAACGGACTGGAGCTGTCGCACAAAGACAGTGTAGGTAGAAAAGAGAGACGACAAAGGTCGAGGTACAGGACCAAGATCTGGGTATAGATACAAATGCAGGAGCAAAAACAAATTGCGAGTTGATCATCGGAGTCCGATGACGCTCTGAAAAGTAGTTAGCAACAAGTGCATAGATGGAGAGAATATTATTTCTTACCATTTCCAGAGTCCAGACCCTCCGAATCCAAACTTTGACTTGGCCCTCCACACCTTCTACGTTGTCCAAATCAACACCTTCCCACCAGCAACGACGGGCGGGTTTTCTCCAGAAGAGAAGGAGCTTTTGAGCCATGCCGACGGCATTGTTGGTCGAAAGATCACCTCGAATATCAGTGCGAAGCTTGGCGAGGGCAAGACTGCAGATGACTGCCTTGTTGGGCTCCGGGGCCCGGTGCCCCCACTGGTCTTCGCGATCGAATCCACTAATCAAGATATTAGTGATTGTCCTTGGCAACCAAGAGAAATCGAGCTTACCCAGCGGTCAGCATTTCAATGAGGTGCTGCTCAGTCGAGCCAACCTCTTCGCTCTTACGTAGCCCAGAAAAGATACCATCCTGCTTCAACAGCGCGCGGCCAGCAGCGCGCTTGACCTCCAGCATTTCCTCATGACCGATCTCTGGTCGTGGCGGAATGACATAGAAATCAAGGTCTTCGCGAAGGACGATGATTCCGGCGCGATCTTGGAGCATATCCCGCGCGGAATTTTGCATCGCGTCTGGAATTTCCAAATCCGGTGACGTTGATGCCGAAGGAAGCGATGATGGAATAGACTGAGCCACAGAGCGGAAGAAATCGAGCATGTATTGAAGCGATGCCGGATCGTACTAGACACTGTCAGATTGGAAGACCCTTGAGGCCATAATGTAATGTTGGTTTTCACTCACATCAACAGGGTAGATGTCCCCCTCGTGGAATCCGCCCATATGTCCATCAGGAAGAAGACCATTCGGGAAGAGAGAAAGCAGGACGAATTCAGGCAACGTCAAGAGCTCGTCGCGGGAAAGTGTAAACCGGGTACCCCTTTGCATCGAATCAGTATGGTGTTCAATTTGGGGCATATAGGGAGCTTCTACCGGAGATCGAGAGTGATGTGCTCATCTCCACCGATATCTGAGCGTCAAAACGAGGTTAATCCAGGCGGCCTAATAAGGGTTCGAAGGATAGGCGCTCATACCTCCGAGTGTATTGATAGGTGGCCCTCCGGTCTGCTGGACCTGGGTGATGATGCTTGAAGCACCTCCCGCAGCAGCCATTACGTAGGTAAATGACTCTAGTGGGCTATAACCTTCGGTGTACGGTGGTGGCGGTTCCCCGTCGTCTGTATTTTTTCCAGGCCCGTCGCCCTTTGGCTCGGAGAAGGAGGCTTTCGTGTCTGCGACAACTGACGACGAGGTGGCCGACTCGAGGGGCTCCTCGACAGGTGGTGGCGGCGCGAAAGCTGGGAGCGAAGCTGGTCCAGACTCGGAAACCTTGGGCTGGTTGAGCTCGTTTGAAGGCGAGGCACAGAAGAGTGAGGAGAAAGGTGGAGGTCCGAGAGAGAAGGAGGTTGAGGGAGACGCTTGGGACGGGGAGTGCGGTGGGGGAGCAGTGTAGGAGTCGTCCTCCACGAGGGAGTCGGCAGGAGAAGGCACGCACGCCGTGGTTGTTAGCGAGAGACGAGTTTCGTCCGACACGGTGCTAGTGCGAAGAGATCAGATCCAATCGCGCGATGCGGTTGATCTGATGGGGTTCGGGACTAGGTCCAAGTGGTCCGTTTGACGGTGAGCGAACGGAATTCACGTCCGTGAATCATGCAAGAGATTCAAACCAAACTAATCATCCAGTCAAACAGTGGAGTAGTGGGTAATTCGACAGTGGTTGGAGAACTTGGGGGAAAGCTGGGAGGGGAAAGGAGCGGCGCTTACAAGGCGACGGCGAGCCCATCACCGCCTCGTGTGATTTCATCTGGCCAACGGTATCACACATACATGGCTTTGATTCAAGAGAAGTATATAAACATGTTTTAATATCACTGATCTTATTTTCAAGGAGCCGACTGACTACTACAAGAATTTCGTAATTTATCGAGCATCCTTCGCTCCTTTGGACGAATACCGTTGTTGTCCAGTCCCGACCACGCTATCTTGGAGCGCCAATAGGGGGTCCACCAGAAAAGACCACGGAATCAACTTAGAAATTTATCTCGACACCGTTGAATACCTGATTTCTTTCTTTCTTTCTTTCTAACCCATTCACAGAGAAGTAAAAAGTATACACGAAAAGATCAAGTAAAAACAGTAGGGTATGATCTGGTTTTCGTCCCATCGTCCCGAGGCGGACAGTAACGATTGCTTAGTTATTAGATGTGTATGTTATAGCCTCTTTTCGTGAGAAGCTACTAGATTGAACAGTTTAAGCTAAACCAATGCTTGGTAAGACCTTGACGTGCATTTTTTGCCTACTGGCCACTATGTCCATAATTTTAGACCTTGCGGTCCACAAAGCTCTGGATCAGACCCTCCAAAGTAGGCTCGTATTCCTTCAGAGTCACTTTGTCACCCTCCAGGATCGTGTTGGCCTGGACAAAGACCTTGCGAGGGACCTTGTTCTTCAGGACAATCTCACGGACCTGGCTACCCCACCAGCTGTCGACTGAGGTGATCTCATCGTACATGCCCTTGCCTGCCACGACATCCGCTGTACTCTTGTACACATGCAGCTTCTGCAGATATCTCTCAACGGCCGGTCGTCCGTGGGTCAAGATCTTGGACCGGTCCAGATGAATCTCAAGATCGGAAAGATCCTCCTTAGTATATGAAAGCTTGACAAAGTCATCGCCAGCATCCAGGAAGGTACGGAGAATGCTGTATCGCGCCTGCATGTGAGCTTGTCCCCACTTCTGGGTCTTGGGGTCCCAGAACTCCAAGGCCACTAGACCTGCGCGGGCCATTGAGAGGTAGGACGCAAAGAGAACATCACCGGCCTCACTAGCCATGTCTTCTTTGCCGTCACCGAAGCCGAAAATTTTCAGGATGCTGAAGTCACAGCCGAGCACCATGGCAACACACTCCGCACGACATTCTTCGTACGACGAAGCAATGGCGCCGAAAACCGAGCTCCATGTCTGGCCGGGCTTGTACCAGGTTGACACAGGCTTGTTCGTCACAGGGCTAATAGGCGGGTTGGAAATATCAAAATTGTACTCTCCTGGGGTTGTCTCCTGCAGCAACTTGCCAGTTCCATGGCCAAGAAGTTCATGGATACCGACCTGAACTTCAAATGCCGGGTCACGGCATCGGCGATAAACCTCCTGGTCTTTCTCGGAAATGAAAGGAATGGGCTCATTGGGTGCCTTCGCGCTGAGGACATTGCCCAGAGAAACATTCTTGAAGCCAAGGTTCTGTCGAATGTCATCATAATTGGGGAGGTTGATACCAGCCGGGAGACCAGAGCATGCAAAGCTGAGAACCTCGAGCGAGGTGAAATCCGGGCTGAGGAAAGTGTCTTTCTCGAAATCCTTACCCCAGGGAAGCTTGGGGATCATGCTTTCCGCGCTGTCGACTAGCGAGCCAAAGGCTCGTGTGCGCTCGAGGTTCACCTATTGAAATCAGCGAACGAAACTAACCAAGAAAAAGAGACCACTGGAAAGTCTTACAAGAGCAACAAAGCCCTCCCACTCTCCGCGCACACCATGGGGGTCACGGTAGGTCTCCACGAATCCCAGGTTTGTCTCCAAAGCAGGCTTCTGGTCTTTGACCCAGATGCGCTGGCTCTCCTTACATGCTTCAATAGAGCCTGCACCGAACGAAAGAGCGTACGCATCCAGCATCTTCTTCTGGTTATCATTCGCCGCGTTACGCTCCGCTAGCTTGATGTTGTGGGCAATCTTGGACATCTCCTCTTGGTAATCACCAAAGACGAGGCGCAGCGTCTTCCCTTTCAAGCTGCCCTCCAGCTCAAAGGTCTTGGCCTCGCCGAGATCACGATCCCTCACTGGGGGGTTGGTCACACCAGAGGCAATGAGAAGTTCAAAGTCGCCTGAAGCTGTCTTGCGCAGTCTCGTGTTCTCTAACGCCAGTCCCTTCTTCTCCATCAGGTCACCAACCGCCGTGATATCCTCTTTGGAGATCGAGGGCGAGTCGGGATAATAGGTAGTCATATGGCCATCTGTTGGATATCCGAGATGCATCATGGACTGTTCACTTGTCTCATAAATACCACGTCCAGTAGTGCTAGCCTTCTGGTAAGCCGCCTTCGTCTCCGAAGTGGCAGATGACAGAGCTTCCAGAGCAGAGGCGGGAAGCCGAGGAATGAACTTGGAATCACCGAAGCCTTTATAGTTGCCACAGTTACCCAAGAACTGTGCGCTATATTCGAGGAAGAAACGGAGGTGCTCGGCGCTGACCTGGGTCTTCTGAGCCAGACTGTTCCAGTCGCCATTGCAGGCGCGGTGAAGGGCGAGGATGAGGTCGTAAATAGGTTCGGACTCCGGAGAAACCTGGCGCAGTGTGACACGAGTACCCTCGAATGCGGCCCTAAAGGATAGTCCTCAGTAGTTAGCTCAAGTTTTGTGATGTGAAGGCGGCTGTCGGCGCATGGGCGCCTTGAACAACATACCGGCTCATGTAATGGGCATATTTTCGCAGTGTCTCATCTTTGAGGGTATCAAAGTGCGTCTTGATTTCCAGCCGCACCACTGAAGGTGGTGAATCGGCCAAATAGTGTTGCTTAACGTTGGCATCCATGGTGGGTGTTCGACGCGAAAGGGATAGGGAGAATTGTTTGGAGGGGCGGGAGAATTGGACTGAGAAGTGACAGAGGGGTAGCGGAGGTAACGCGGAGCTCCGAATAAGCGACAGACGCGGCGAGATGCCACGCATGGAGTGCATGGAGAGAGTGTAGCTATGACATAGGGGGAATTGTACCAATTGTACCAATTGTACAATTGCTCCTTTGCTCCACACTTGGCAGTGCGCACCAATACTCTTTCGGGTTGGTGATGGTGGATCGTTCATCCCACTTAGTATTATTCGATGACTTTCAACTGGATTCTACACATATTGACACACCTAGATCATTATGTAGGTACTGATATTGTCCTCTACTTCCTATCTATGTACTCTGTGACCGCTAGCAAATTGCGCCAGGTTGGGTATAACTGCAATCGCTGAGAGTTTTCATCAGTAATAAGAATCATATGATCAGAGCGATTGCGCTTTTACAACAAGCTCTCGTATTTATCCAATCCCGACCTTGGTGTTGGTGGTTGAGGCTGCGGTGAGGGCTGTGTTTGGAATGGCGATGATTTCACATTCATGCCCGTGGAAGAAGATCTCATAGCATTGCTCGAGCCCATTCCACCTGGCGGAGGAGCAATCGAGAATGCGGAGTAGTTGGATGATTGCTGTGATTGGGACGGAGACATCGGGATGTTCGATGCCATACCAGTCAGTGATCCCAAAGAGGGACTGGGCTGAACGCCCCAATTTGGCGAGGATGGTTGCATCGTAGGGAACGATGGGGCTGCAGGAGCGGCTTGTGATGCAGGCTGGAGGGATGGGAAAGAGCTCAGCTTTTGATCCGGGGTGATAGAACGGAAGCCAAGCTGGTTTGAAGCCCCGCCTGGACCTGTTGTTAAGCTGTTGTTCGACCACGAAAACGAAGGCGACATGCTTGGCCGTTTGGTTGCAGGTTCGGGCTCCATGCTACCCCAGACATCCATGTCATTGCCATTTGCAGGCGCCGCACTCTTCCCGAGGACGAGACGCTCAAAATTGTTTTTAGCACTGTCCATATCGGGAGAGTTAAGATCTGTCGCCGCCTGGGAGTGACCATTGTTGCCATTCTGGAAACCACTTGACTCTCCTCCAGAAGAAAGCTCTTGCAGTTTTCTCGTCTGCTCGTTTTCTATCTTAGCCGAAAGAGATTTGATCAATACCATAAATTCGTTGAATTGACCAAGATTGAGAAGTGGACCGAGACTGAAGCTCCAGAGAATCGGCAAGACTTCGAGGGCAAGGAAATCGGTGTCAGCAATCTTGCCAACCTGGCGGAAGACTTTCAATGCAGCCACCATCACTGACGGCTCTTTCGTTTTGATTCCTTTTAAGGATGGGACCAGTTTCTCCTGAATGGTGTACTTGTCCAGAATAGAAGACTTGGCTGTTTTGCTAGGCTTGACTACACCAGTGAGATCATCTTCATTCCCGTCAAAGTCATCAGCAGAGCCACCGCACAGCACACTGAAAGCCTCGAGACTGCGAACCTTGATGGCAAGGCTACTGGTGCGACTGAAAGTGCTAGCAATGGGAGGAAACACTTCGTTCTTCACAGTGCTAAAGTCGAGAACCGGAAGCACCACGGGGAGGCACTTGATGGCGGCATCTACCAAGGAGTGCGTTGGGGAGTCCAATCCAAGTCGGATCAACGGTAAAATGTCTGATTCCGGATATTAGCATAGTGACAACAGCATTGTGCAGAGATGAACTTACCATCTTTAAATTCCATCCCCGAGCAGTTTTCGGCAATAAGTTTCATGTTGTCCAGAACCACCATAAGACCTGCATCCTTCTTCGAGTCGCGTTCTTGAGCCCCTTTCCCAGCTGTTCCAAAAACTTCTTTGAGCCGAGGAACTATTTTCTCAGGGAAGGTGCGGCGTCCATTGGGGATCCGCTGGAGGATCCCAAAGATATTTTGCAGTAAAAGCGACAGGAGCTCGCGGTCTTTCATTTCATCCAGAAGAGCCCCTAATAGCTTCCTTTCCAACACCGATGCAGGGAAATCAGGAAGAACCCGCTGCAAGCCACGTAAAAATTGAGATTTCTCATTGGGGTTCTTAGCTGGCAGTGATTCTAAGAAGCGAATCGTGGAGACCAGCACGTTATCAAAATACTGGGACTGTTGAAACTCTCGAGCATTCATCCGCTGCGCAGCTCTTCTTGTGATCAATCTGGGCAAGACATGGGACAGAAGGTCTCGAGGGATTGGGTTTGAGCAAAGGAAACTATTGCCCTGAGAAGGAGTGGTCGATGGCGTACTTATAAGCTTCTTGTAGGTAGACAAGTTTGAGTGCGTTTGAAGCGGGGAGACATGGGGATAATTATAAAGAGCAATGATTATGAGACCCAGAGAGAAAAGGTCAGCAGAGGATGACACATTAGAGTCCAGAGCAAAATCCGGAGATGTGTAATCCATGTTGAGCTGAACCGAAGCGGGGAGTCTTGGATCCTGGTAGAGTACCTCGGAGACAGCCAACGGCGGCAATGATGAACGAGATTCTGAGGAGTCAGGAGGTCCTGCGAACCCGAGTCCGGAGATTTTCCAGTCAGATTTGGCATTGATATAGATGGCTTCTGGGTTCAAATTGCCATGCACAAGGCCCGCGGACTCGTGGAGGAATTCGAGACCCTTGGCCACCTGAAGCAGCCCTTTTTGGATTTCCAATTCATCAATCTCAAAGTCTCGTCTCCTCCGTGTTCCATCGGCCTGCTCGGCCATATATCGACTTGAGCGCGAACTAGCACCGGCATTATTCTGATCGCTCTTTTCTAACAGAAGCCCGGAAAGCGAGGCCGTGAGCGGTTCTGTAGCAAACATGAGGCCACCGCTGCGAGTTTCTTCGACTGGCTCCAGCACTTGGAGGATGGAGGGATGCCTCAGTCGAGCGAGGTTGCTGGCTTCGCGCTTGAGCCGCTCGATCACATCTTCCTGCAGTTTCTTTGACCCAGAGCCTGAGCGGGAACCGAATCCCCCAGGCCGTGGCTCAAGAACCTTGCGATCAAATATAAACACGGACGCCGGTGTTCCTGTGGACTTTTTCTTCGCATCGTGGATTTTCCAGGGGCCGGAGAATACGGTGGGGCTGGGGGAGATTTGGTAGTTGGCGGAGATGTTGGAGCTGAAAGACTTCAGAGCGGACGAGAACATGATGTAGTTGAATGCGCAGAGGGGGCGCACGGCGATCGTAATTCGTTTCACAGTGTCGTGGGAGGGGTCTCTGTAAGCGGCATGACATTCAAGGAATTGGAGACTATGGAGAGGTTATCGCGCAAGACCCGGCAACAATTGTAGACCCCAATTAGATCTGCAGTCGGTTTGAGTCCAATATCAAGTGAAAACACGGCACCTTTAAAGCCACCGAGGCGCGTGAATCGATAACAGCCTAACCACGCTCCTATCGGGTAAGGTCACGTGCATACAGCTCCCAATGTCATGTGATATCCCCGCTTTGCACCAGCCCAGCAGTGGATGCCTGAGTTTCCAGTCCCTGTGGTCCGTTAGTCGTAGGACTGACCGTCCCAAGCTCCTGCCCAAGATCCGCCACTTTCCTAAAAACCCCCTCCTTACGCCTCTATCCATGATCCAGTCTTACTCTCTCAGACTCCCATATAACATTGAGTAACTTCCTTCACGACCGCAGCAGTGAGAAGACTGATAATCAGCCTGCCCCTAGACCCAGTAGATGAAGATTTCATAGCTTGAAAGGGCTAAGACTCTTACTATGTAGTATTCACGATACTCTAACAGCCCAGTCAACAACGGCTAGAGCTCCTGAGGATGGAAATAGTCAAAAGAAGCGACGACTTTCTTAATATACTATCATTGCTGTTCTACTTCCTTACTTCATTAATGCCTACTCCTTCAAGTGGCTCATTCCCTAGGCCACATGAAGTAGATCCGAAGTCGGCGGGTCTCCCTGATCTACAAGCTGTGATTGGTGTGATTAGAGCATCGGCGGCTGAGTCACAGCATCTGGGGCGGGCGGTGAACATGCATGGTCCTCTTCTAGCCGCGTCGGAGTTGGACCAGGGCTCCGCAGAAATATTGTTCTGCGGAGTCATCTTGGGTCTAATTACCGTCCACTTTCACCTACTCATCGGTGACAACCATTCCTCCCCAGCCATGAGATCATTCCAGCAATTGACTCGCAGCAAGGCTCTCGCCGGCCTTGCTACCCCTCGGATCCTGCCATCTCGCACAATCGCGTCCACTCAATTATGGCAGCGGAGCTTCAATGCTTCGGCCGCCGCGGCTTCGCAGCTTTCTGCTTTGGACGCTTCCAAGTTGACCGTGACCAAGACGAGCACACCGAAGGAGCTTACTCCGAACAAGGACCTGGTCTTTGGCAAGACATTCACCGGTATGAATGCCTATCTCGATTCTACTATGCGCGATTTCTGATCAGGGCTGTTTCTAGACCACATGCTCACCATTGAGTGGACTGCTGCTGATGGATGGCACACTCCCCAAATCGTCCCCTACCAGAACCTCAGCCTGGACCCGTCCACCTGTGTGTTCCACTACGCCTTCGAGTGCTTCGAGGGAATGAAGGCATATAAAGATAACAATGGAGGAATCCGCCTGTTCCGTCCCAACAAGAACATGGAACGCCTGAACAAGTCTTCTGCGCGCATTGCTCTTCCTACCTTTGATGGCGAGGCCTTGACCAAGCTGATTGGCGAATTTGTGAAGCTGGACGACCGCTTCATCCCGGAGTCAGTCGATGCCCCCCTGTTATTATGCTGATCCTATACTAACTATCATAGTGCTCGCGGTTACTCCCTGTACCTGCGCCCTACCATGATTGGTACTCAGAAGACTCTGGGCGTTGGACCTCCCGGCTCCGCCCTTCTGTTCGTCATCGCTAGCCCCGTCGGACCCTACTACCCCACTGGCTTCAAGGCCATCTCTCTGGAGGCCACCGACTACGCTGTCCGTGCCTGGCCCGGTGGTGTCGGTGACAAGAAGCTCGGTGCCAACTATGCCCCTTGCATTCTGCCCCAGCTTGAGGCCGCTTCCCGCGGCTTCCAGCAGAATCTGTGGCTCTTCGGCGAGGAAGAGTACGTGACCGAGGTCGGCACAATGAACCTCTTCATCGCACTTAAGGATAAAGAGACCGGCCAGAAGGAGCTGATCACTGCGCCTCTTGATGGTACCATCCTTGAGGGTGTTACCAGAGATTCGGTGCTCGCTCTTGCCCGTGAGAGACTTGAGCCTCAGGGCTGGAAGATCTCGGAGCGTAAGATTCGCATGTCCGACGTTGCCAAGGCCGCCGAGGAAGGTCGCATGATCGAGGTCTTCGGAGCCGGCACTGCCGCCATCGTCAGCCCAGTCCGCAACATCAGCTATCAAGGCAAGATGGTTGACTGCGGCTTGAAGGAGAATGAGGAGGCTGGTGATATTGCTCTTCAGATGAAGACCTGGATCGAGAGTATCCAGTATGGAGATGAGCAACACCCCTGGAGGTAAGCCACACATCGAAAAGGATGCAGATCATATGTACTAATTATTACTCAGCTACACGATTTAAACGGATACCGGTACATCTTATAGGTTAGAGACATGTTTTGTGTCTGTCTGGTCTGGTTACTTTTTTGTGGATTTGTTTGACTCTTTGCCTTGACATGAGTATTATGGCATTTGCTTTCTAGCATTGACGATTGAAAAGCGGATTTTCTCCGTTTTTGGAATGAGAGCCTTTTGTTCAAATTTCTTCCCGTGATGTCTTAAAAGTCTTCTCGTGTCATTTCTTTCGGGCTATCTACTAGCATCTAGATTCATCCACGGCGGCTTTGCATTATCGGCATCTGTTCTTCTGGATTCCTGTAGATACTCCATTTCTCATCGTGGAAATATAATCCGGGAAGTCCATTTCAATTATCACTTATAGAAGTAGCGGGCAATACTTCATTTTAGCCGCTCCGATTCCATGAGCAAAATGCCCATTGGAGCGAATTTTGAAAAGAGGCTTATGTAGGTGCAGCCCACAAGTGAGTTACATGTTTCAAGAGAAGTGGCAAGGAACACAAACAAAACTCAAGTGCTCACGAGTGGTGGAATAGTGGATCTTGGTCATTATGCGACTGTCAAATTCTACGCTGTACGACGTGTTGTGTCCTCTGTACCTCCGGGTAAATATTGAAAGCCTTAGCCAGAACCCCCTTCAGATTGACCAGAAAAACTTATGGCCAGAATATGACCTGAAAGAGAAGCCACTTATGCTTGAGTCTTGTAGGAAATATTGTCTAATTGTAGGCCGATATTGCTTCCTGGTCATGCAACGTGAACACACATCGGACTAAGACTGTCCTGCGCAGAGACGAAGAACAAATCGAAGAGTTCGGGGTATTGGCTTCCGAGAGAGTTGTAAAGGGCATGTATTAAAAGATGCTGGGGCCGCAACCCCACAGAACGAAGGTCGCCCTAATGAAAGGCTGAAACTGGGGTGATATGGGGCAATGACGTACCATAATGTGAGAGACTATTCGGCCAACAAGAGCAAGGTAATAACCTGATGCTTCACTCAAATGTTCCATGACTTGAGTCGATATTGTACTTGAGTTCAACCTTATGAGCAAGGACTTAACAAAGACATCTCTGCATGCACCACTTTCCTCACTAAGCACATGGAGACCGGGGATCTCGAGCCTGCAACAACAGGCTAAGACGGTTCAAGTCCGATGGTGGAGAAACATGAGGTCATGCGGATTATTTCTGGAATGAAGTTGGGGTGTCCTGCGAAGCTTTGATCGACACGCGGGGGTGGCACTAAATCAGGCAACTGGGCGCTACGATCCCCTCGGGTTCCACTTGAGGGTGAGGTATGAGCCCATAGCCTTCGGCCTCAGGTTCTATAATGGAACTAGAAAGGAATGATTATCTCTTTCCCCCACATTCCCCAGGTCCACCCCCACGCATTTCGGCCTCGGATCGAATGTCTCACACGGCCCGGTTGGAAACATCTCCTATATAAGGGCCGATGTCCCGGGATACCCTAGAAACCCTGTTGTCGTGAACCCCCAATTTCTTGCGCTATGATCGACCAAACCGGCCTCAGCGGTCTCACGGGAGGGCCGTTAGTGGCCGCAATCACGACGGTTTGCGCGTCATCTTTTCTGCTGTTTGGCTATGATCAAGGAGTCATGTCCGGTGTGGTCATCTCTAAATACTGGCTGGACGAGATGGGGAACCCCAGTACTGTGATGACAGGCACTATCACTGCGCTTTATGATGTCGGGGGTGTCTTTGGAGCAATCATTGCTGCATTCACAGTTGAGCGACTGGGACGAAAGCGCAGTCTGATGGTTGGCTCATTCTTGATCATCATTGGCTCTATCTTGATGGGTGCCTCAGTGGAAAGAATCCAGATGATCGTAGGTAGAATTGTGACTGGCTTGGGTAAGTACAGTCGAAAGGGGTTAAAAAGACTCAACTAAACGATCACCAGGAATTGGATTCTTGACTTCGGTTGCACCTGTCTATCAAAGTGAAATCTGCCTTCCCAGTCAACGAGGCTGGCATGTTTCCTGCCAATTGACAATGATGCTTTTCGGGTTAATGTTGTCTTACTGGATCAACTACGCCTTCTACTTCCACCCGGGTCAAATCCAGTGGCGTTTCCCCATTATATTCCAAGCGGTCTTCGCCTTGTATGTCTTGTTGATCACACCGTTCCTACCCGATACTCCTCGTTGGCTTATGCTACACGAACCATCGCCAGCACGAGGAACTGAAGTGCTTGCCAAATTACGTGGAAAGCCAGAAGATGACCAGACTGTACAGAAGGAAAAGTCAGATATTTTGTCGGCTATCCACATCGAATCGGAGGAAGAGGGCCCCTGGAGATCATTGTTCACGGATGGAGGGTGCGCGGCTAACAAGCGCTTCTTCTTAGCCGTTGGGATTCAGTTTATGCAGCAAACTTCTGGTAGGTCATTTTGGCTCCCTAATAATTTGCCGTGCTTGGCTAAAAAAAATTCTCTATGCAGGTATTAATATTGTCACATATTATGCCCCTACGCTTTTTCAAGACAGCTTGGGCATGTCTCAGGAAGAGGCATTGTATGTGGGTTGTTTCCTGCAAGTGTGGTATATTATCGCCTCGTTCCTCACGGTATGAATGCTAAACCCCAATGAAAGCCAAGACAATAGGGCTAATCTTCACCAGTGGTATATGATCGACTCGGTTGGCAGGAGACGCCTCTATATCATCATGGCTCTTGGGATGTGTGTCGTCTTGATCTGCGAAGCCATCACCGTGGCTATTGGCACCACGCAATCTGGAATTGCGGCAGTTTTCTTCGTGTTTGCGTTCGAGGCTTGCTTTACGTGGGGTGGGTTAATTGTTATTGGTTGAATATTGCATATCGGTATTTACTAACGCATTCCACAGGCTGGATGGCCACCGTGTGGGTATACCCGGCCGAAATCCTCCCTTTGAAGATTCGCTCCAAGGGAGCGGCCCTGGCAGCAGCAGCAGATTTTCTCGGAAATTTCCTTGTAAGTTCCACCTCAACAGAGAATATGAACCGATTTAACGATTGCGTACAAGGTTGTGGAAATTACCCCGCCTGCCCTCGAAAACATCGGCTACAAGACCTACATCATTTTCGCAATCTTCAACCTCGTTGCAGCAATGATTGTCTACTGCTTCTACCCTGAGACATCCTACCTGAGCCTGGAGTCGGTGGACCTTATCTTCATGGAGGATGAGGAGCGTGATCGGGAAATTGAGTCGAAGCAGAAGTTCTACCACAAGGCCCTACAGTGGACTGTGGTTCCGAGAGCAAGGATGGCTGTGAATGAAGCCAAGGCCAGAAAAAGGGCCGGGCTTGCAGAGACCTCAGGCGATATTGAACAAGCGGCAGTTCGGAGGGACTCGAAAGCTGGGATCCAGCCGGATCATGCTGAGTATACGGAATGAGAGTTGTTATTGCGAAATCTCACATTGCGACCGTTCTTGCATGGCTCTTGATGACATAGCAGGAACTATGACATTCTCAATGGAAAGAATATGTTTTGAGCCAAGAAGAATTCTTGATTTTTCGAAAGTGACGCTTACAAATTGGTATGAGGCAATATTTCCTGTGTCAACTTGGTTAGCTGGTTGACTTTAATCAGTAGAATAAAGGTTAGTTAGGTCCTTATTGCCATGATTGGAAATGTTTTCCAGTAGCAGGTTCAAATCGATCAACAATCTCGGCAGGCTTCGATAGCCATAGTAGAGTCCATTCGGTTAAATTTAAATGGCGTTTCGGTTAGAAGTTCGCAAAAATAGCAGGTCCCGGCAACGTGTCGAGCACAAGATGATCGATGGCACTGCCTGTCTCGGCCCACAGTCAAATAGGCCAAATCCGAATGCATCACGGAGCTCCATCTCAAGTAGTCTATCCCGAGGTTGGGAAATAATTGGATACCGTCTAATGGGAAAGCGGCAGATAAGGTAGCCAAATACGAGGTCTTTTTTAAGAACGTTGCATCCGTTCATCTGCACGTTTAGCCTTGCAGGAAGTCATGTAATTCATTTTCTCTGGGCCAGGGCCATCTAGGCTTAATTCATTGAGTGTTATAATAAATATAGCCGATTTAGACTTTTCAGGATATGAACATCGGAGACCTTTCCTAAAATAAAGCACCCACTGTAGCAGTCATCTCCATTAATAGCCAAGTCACTAAGTATCCCGCCAATGTATCCAAGACCTGCACTCTCCCTTAGTCAGATAGTAGATCTTGGCCTTGAACAAACACAGTGCTGACGGACATAAGCCACCGAAACCCGTGTTTCATCCGGGACTGGGGAAGTCGGCGACGTCAATAAGAACCCCTTGTACTCTGGCTTCCCCAATTACTGGGCATCGTGAAGGCACGGAAACCATAGACTTAGCTATCGGAGTACACTGGAAGGTGACACCGACGAAAAGGCGGCAGACCGGGCTAATCCTGAAAGAATGCAGGATAGGCGATTTTCAGCACGTGCGAGCCACGTGGGAAGTGGCAGCCAAAAGAAAAGAAAGAAAAGAATGGAACAGTTTTGTCGCCGAAAAAGCAAAAAGGAAGTGGGTGCAGATATGTTTCAGGTTCGGGTTGTACGCTCTAGGAGAGACATTCGGAAGTGGAGCGGGGTACCACAGATACTCTGCATAAGAGATGGGGTTTGGCATGCCGGGATGATTTCGTCACTTCGTGTTTTTGTTCGTGTGGACGGTTTAGTGGATCCTGGGAAAAGCGGCTCTCAGCTTGGTACTACCCAAGCTAGTACGTAGAGTTCTCGTCTCGTCCAGTGCAAGGTCAGTTGTTTGAGGGCTATGTAGCCACAAACTACGTACTCGTGACGGTTTTCATATTGCTCGCATATTGCTCGAATTTGGTTGTAATCGCCGGGGGGGGGGGGGGGGGGAGAGAGAATGAAGAGACATAGCCATGTTCGTCTTGCAGAAGGTCAACCGCCAAACTGCCCTGGAGGCTCGGGGTTCGCTCTGTTTCAGGACGCCTTAACTGCTGGCCACGCTGGGGGCCCCTTGCCTTTCCACGCGATTGGCGTCCAAAGGGACGTCATCCTCGAATGGGCGGGACAGGAGCTTTTCCCGCATTCGGCTCGTACTCGGTCCATTTCTCATTCCCGTGTAACTGGGAGTGAGGGAGGAAGAAGAAAGGGAGAGTTCGGAGATTGCCGTGTTGATAGCCAGTTGTCCGTGACACGGAACCAAAATAGATGGCGAGAGCTGCGTGTCATCGGTCTCCGAGGCCAGGATGGCTGCATTGTCCACCGCCAGGAACGCTTCTTCTAGATGGTAACTAGAAGGTCAGAAGTGCAACCCCACCCAAGCATCTGGGGTCGAGCACGGTCGCGTATTGGTCACGATCCCTGCAACAGAGGGGATGGACCCCGGGGTCAGGGCTGCGGACTTGCAAACATGGCGGGAGACGTGGGCTTCATGAGCGGTGAAGCTTGCAGGACTGGGAGCGACGGTATCATGCGGTGGCCCTCCTTACTCGAAGAGGAATAAGAAGGCCCACTGGACGCTGTAGCCCTTTCAGCCCTATGTTGATTACCCCCACGCCACCATGGTCTTCGGCAACGCACCAACACGTAGGAGAGTGCCAGCACGGACAGATGAGCCTCTCGGCGTTATCCCCCGCCCCTTCCGACTCCGATACACCTACCCAGTTGGGTCAGTGGGGGGGTTCTATCTTTGCCTGTGCCCCTCCCGACTCCATTCGTCTATTTACGCCCAAAGAAGGCTACGGGTAAGCACCTTGAGAACGGGATCCCTGGGAGGGGGGAGCTGCAGATTACGCCAATCAGAAATCTCGATCAAGCGCGGACATGACCCGACGCCGAGACATATGATACCTATATTCGATCAAATGAACCCGATCAAGGCTAGAAAAGAGACGAGACGAGACGAGAACAGGGAAAGAGTTAACTAGGCACCCAATTGCCAAAGCCGAGACCGAGAGTGGATTGAACGATTTAGTTGGAGGGACATACGAGCGGCCCAATCAAAACTGCCTTGTCTTCCAGTCCAACGTAGTTTGGGAATTCTTAGGCGATTTGGCCCCATACAGTGTAAACTATTGCAAATTGACTCGGACTGTTCCTTAATCTTCGGATTCTGGAGCGTCTTTCCCCCACTTCCTATATCCATCCACTATGCCCTATACTGAGTCTTGATTCTAATGGGCTTCGACGCGTGTCTGATCATCGCGATCAGCACAACCCGCTGGTCAGATCTTTATCCTTCTAGTCCGTTGCCAAGATGGGGGTCAAAAATAATAAAAGGGTAACCTGCTAAAAATATGTGAGATATTTAAATCAAAATAAAAAATAAAAATGAATCATCTGATAATTTGATAATTTGATAAAACGTGGCCGTAAATGACCCCTCTCCCCTGCCTTAAGCACACCCCCTCCCCTACTCCTCAGCTGCTGCACGCGAGAAAAAGACGAAAAGGGCGAAAAAAAAGGCCGAAAAGGCGAGAATGCTAGTGTAACCACTGCCACCGTCGGGGCAACGCACGCCGTTTCATCCCCTTGGCTTCGTGTCTCGGGCCAGTCAGGAAGAGTACTGAACGTTGGTCCCCCCCCGGGTCCAGATGTCATTTCTTTACCCATGGCACTTTGGCATAGGACGTATGGCGATCTAAGATCCCCGATCCCGCAACTGACCGGCCCACCGGAGTCTTGAAAGGGGCCACGTTTGGGGGCGTAATGTATTTCTCTACACCTGACGAGTCCGTGCCAAACGGTGATACAAACGCCCCAGAAACGTGGTCCAGATTGGTGGGTTGGGCCCACCTCAGTCGAGGCTGAACAGGCCAGATTAATCCCTGTGGAAATAAAACACACATGGCATTTTCGAGTCCACGCACCCTCGCTATCGCTACTCACTTGGGACGTGGGACTGGGGGGGGGGGGAACTTTGGGGGCTTAGTCTGCAAGGCCCGTCCAAAGCTGATCGACGGGGAGCCCCATCTCCGACCCCCGAGTATATAATCAATCTAAACAGCCCTCCCCCCCCCCTCCTCTCTCCTTCTGTCTTCGCTCCACCTTCACACGTACCTCTACATTTCTTAACCATGCATCGTTCTACTTATGATGCCCGTTCGGGCTCGCGTTCTTCCATTCATAGCAATAGTAGCGCTTTCAGTCCCAACGCAAACCCTAACGAGGACTGGACCAAGATCTCGGATTTAGCGGAGCGTCGTCGCATCCAGAACAGGATTGCCCAGCGTAACTATCGTGAGTATCACCATCACCATTATTACACGGTGCTCGAGAGCAACCGAGAGGAAGCTCCTCTGACGGTTTCCACAGGCAAAAAACTAAAGCGCCGCCTAGAAGATCTAGAGAGGCGCGCCGCATCCTCCGCTTCCCCAGAACAGTCACATGCCGAACCGTTGCCTCCCAAGGCCACATCCAAGACTCGCTCTAAACAGCGATCTAGCAAGTTGGATGCGAAAGCCCACACGTCGCACGCCCCGCAACAAGAGAGACCGGCGTCGTACGATTACTACACACCGGACGAGCGAACCATGTTCGGCCAACAATGTACTCGCCAACTCTCGGCTTCACCACCACCAGTGTTTTCATACCCACCACTACAAACCTACGACGCCTATCGACCAACGTACGGGCCACTTCCAGTCTATCACACTGTGCCCAGCACGTACGGTGAAGTGATGTCTTATTCAGGAGAATACGGCGAGTCGCTACCATCGATGGTTCCGATGATTCCAGTGCCTCCGCTGGGCGCCCCCAGAAAACCGGCGTACGACGAAGACATCATCAGTCCATTCAGTATGAGCTACGCATCGATGGCAGGCATCGATATCTGTCAACAGCAGTCGCAGCCGGAGCCTGGTCTTCCGGTACATTACCCTCGCTGAACAAAAGAAATATAGACGCAAAAAAAAAACGACAGCGGAAGCTAATGATCTCTCATGTTCTGCTTGCAGATGCCATCGCTTTCCTACGGCTATTCGGATGACCAGCGCGCCGTTTCGACGTCCCCCGAGGCGTCCATCTTTACCTTCCCCCTGACGCCTGAATCTCCTCCGTGCTCGCCACGCTCCGTGCCCGGGCTGTATGAGTACGATCTGCGGCCATGAGAAGCCCGGGGAGCAAAGGACGCGTACACCCAAGCCATGCGGGTAGTGCCGGTCCGCTGGACCCGGACTTAACGGCTGTGTTTTGAGTGTCGATCGGGGACCGTTTTGGTCGACAGGTTGATTCAATCTGTTTCCCGGACTCTCCACTTTTTTTCTTCCTTTCTCTTCTTTCGTTTTTATTATTATTTATCATTCCTAGTATTCCCTGTTTCCTAGGGAAATGTGTGACGAAGCGAGCATCATTCGGCGTTTGAGTGTATTGGTACTGGTGTTATGTGGGGAAAGGACCGTTGAGGCAACAAATCCAATTTGATAGAAAGAAATCACCCACTCTCATTGAGAATTCTCCAGTCAATAACCTTTCGATCTACGGCCACGATTGGCTATCTTGGACGGAACATAAACTCCGTTGGCCCCCAAAATGGATCCAGCGAGCGGACCTAAGCCGAGACCGACTCTCGAAATGGACCATTTCAGGCGTCCCATTGCAGCCACGGCCCCCCAAGAATAGACGCACGACATGCCTGATCGGGAAAGCAGTTCAAGACCCATTTTCCCCTTCAGGCATCCAACGATGAAACGCCTACAACACCCTTCTTTCCTAATGCTTCACGGATCGTCTGGTGGAGAGTGGCCCATGTGGCCTACCAAGTAGTCGGGTTCTTTTTTATTTGCAGAAAGGTCCATATCGGCCTCCCCTCCCAAAAGGTATCAGGGTTGAAAACAAAAATATTAAAAAAAAAAAAAAAATTCCAAAAGGGAAAGGAAAGCCAAAGAAAAGTACATCAAGGTCGGGCACAAGAGAGCGACAAAGCCCGAAACCCGAAACCGAATGACGATGCGATTCCCAGGTGAGTGGTTACTCCCACATGGGCGCAAGGGTTGCATGAGGAACAAATTGGGTAAAATGCTGCGCCTCCTCAACCAGAACTCCTGGGATGCACTAAGGGTAGCTGGGTAGCTGCCTTGAACGGGATTGGCGATGTTCTGGTCCCAGAGCCGCCCTCACCAATTTCCCACGAACAGGGCTGGGTGGCCGGTGCACACCAAGAGATCATACAGGTCTAGGGCTCCCAGGCCCTTCCACACTAGTTTCGGCCGTAACCAGCGGAGGGCTGAAATGTTGCCCCGGCGCCGGAGTGACGCCCTTCGTGTCCGCACACGTCCGCACGTGCTTCGTATGGCCCCCAACCCCATACCCATGTCCCCAAGCCTCTCATGCACGTCTGGGGAGGGGTTTGGAATCTGTTTGTGCTTTTTCCGTTGCAGGCTAGCGTGCATGCTTGGCCTTCTTATCAGGAGCTCGGCTCTCGCTTGTCATAACCGAGTGTCAAATTGGGTTTGCAGCAAAAACAAAAACAAAAGAAAACAAAAGAAAACGAAAGAAAACAAAAGAAAAAAGAGAAGCAGAAAATAACATTGGATAAAGCTAAAGGGGTGACGAGGGATAGCCGTGCAGATCAGGGGAGACCTTTGAGAGCAAGGCCCGTATCGCAACAAAGTACAATGTAGGACTGTCAAAACCCAACAGCTTGGACCCAATTCTTCAGCTATCGGGGACACTAACAGACCAAGTTCCCACATGGTTGACACGGGCATCGGAGGGGGGCCGAAACGTCTCCCTATCAGATCGGGGAGCCTACTGAGTCAATTCCAGTAGCCCCACAGGCCAACGGCTGATTCATGTTTTCGTTTTTCGTACTCGATACGGTGCTGGGCATCGCCGGTCTAGTCCATGATGTGATAGCTCTCGCAAGTGAAAGGGGGTTTTCGGGGGTTCTGCCCGATTAGCAACTTGATCGAGGTTTCTTAGTGGGTTGCGGACAGATCCCGAGACTCAAAATTACCATGCCTAGTCCATGTGACTCATGGTTACACGATCCATCGTGATTCCATCACCCGCCAGGATCCTGCTCTACGCGCCAGGTGACATGCACCTTCGCATGGCGCTTTATGATTCGCAAGTGGCGTACTGCTTTGTTTGCCGGGATTCGAACATGAACGAACCGGGTTGCCAGAAGCAATTAACAGGTCATTAGAAATCAAGGGCACCCGACGTGGAAACCCGGTGCGTGTCTTTAGACCGGCGTCGCCGAGATTTGACCCGAGCACTAAACAGCCGTGGACATCCGTCGGTTTAATCTTTCTAGCTTTCCAACTTACCAACATGGGAATATTGGTTGGGCCAGTGACTTGGGATCATGCATGGAGAAGTCAATCGGTATCGGCACCATGAGGCAACTAATTCATTAACTCCCGGAATTCAAGGCCGGTAAAGTACGACCTGGGGTAGAGCCAAATGAGTAGCATGAAGCTATCTTGCTTGGTACATCACTCGGTACATGTCACCCATCCCCATTCCCCATCCCCCATTCCCGTTCCTGGCTGATTGAAAATCAAAGGTGCTAACCTATACATATCCCAAACAGGAAGAAAGACCGAAGGAACCTTGGAAGTGCAATGGGCGACTGTGCATTTTAAATGTGACTGCCTACGACATGGCCGATCCGCTGTTACCTGTGTTCCTGGCTATGCTACGGTTACCGTGACGGGTTGACAACAAGACCAGATGCAGCATCTGCTAAAAATCCGGGGGCGTGACCTGCTCTCAGAGCTTCTCGGTGACTTTCCAGAGTGTCACTTCGCTGTGTCGGGTAGACCGGAAGGGGATTGGACTTCATGGTCTTGTCTTGTCTTGTCTTGTCTTGTCTCGTGGCCAAGGGAGGGGGTGGCCTTGTGTGCTGGACATCTCAAATGGACTTCTTGGAGGGTGAACCGAATTCATGCAGCCTCGTCTCTTGTCCGCGGTCTTGAATGGCTCGTTCGAGGCCATCCGGCGTTCTGTGTGCATTGTGCAAGGCACAATCCGTGAAATCAGAAGGCGAACTCTACGGAATACTTGAGTAATTGGTGCCTGACGCCTGGTGTCTGGTGCCTGGTGATCTCGAATTTAATGACTCCTTCTACAGATCTCCCCGACACCCTTGCGGTCTAGAAAGAAAATAGACATCCCATTGAAACAAACAAAGCAAATAATCAAACTCGTCATTGTCATCAATTCCCGCTCGCGCTCCCGACATGAGCATGTTGACCTTGCCTGCTGCCGCTGTTAAAAGATGCAGGAAAGACCCAGTCCTAAACATTCGAGAAGAAACCATTGTAAATGTGACAAAGTCTGCACTAGATTAAATTTCCCTTAACCGATTTCAGCTCCCTGAACACTCATGCGATCCGAAGGTGTCGGGTCTGCCGCCTCTCGCCGCCGCCGACGCATAGGTGCTTTCTTCCGGTTTGCGATGGCCGCCTCTTGAGCTTGCGCGGGGTTCATTTCCATATCACCGTCTTTGTCACCCTGCTGTTGTGCCGCAAGCTCTCCCGGTCCAGCTCGCGCAACCATTTTCTCGTGGATGTCGGTTTCATCAAGCTCGTACATATCCCTGGGCTTCATTCGCAGCCATCTCATGCGGGGGCCGACTCGTGAGGCTTCGGAAACCTTAAATCCGTAGATCTTGGAGTCGTAGATCTTGCCGCGTCCGAGTCCCGGGCAGAAATTAGATGTTCGCACGCCGTTGACTTCTAGCGGCTGTTCCTCCGGCGTGGGTGACTCGAACGGTACTTGAGGGGGTGGGGATCGGTTCGGTTGTGAGGCGTTTCGTGACATGGCGGACGCGAGCGAAGCGTCCAGGCGAGGTCCAATGTCCAGATCGGGGAAGGTCATGAAGAAAAGGCAGCCAAAGGTGGTGCCGAAGAAAGCCCCATCGACAGAGTGGAAGCGGCTGTTAGGAGGTGTGTAGATGTCCATGCAGCCGGGGCAGAAGAGCTTGACGGTTTCCTGGCCGGGAGTATCAGATCGGCCGACGGGGAGCACCTTGCACCCATTACAGTTGACACGGGGGCAAACGCCGAAATGTTGCATCTCGTACTTCTCCAGCATTTGTTGGATACCGGGTCGCGAGGTGATGTACCGCTGGTGGATAAGGCCGTACAGCAATTCTGCAGAGCTCTCGATATCGCTTAAATCGCTGGCCACGCGAGCGTGTCGCCGATCGCCTGCCCTCCGATATTCGATTGGGCGCTCATCGCCCAAGATCTCGTCGTCATCGTCTTCCTCTTCCTCTTCTTCCTCCTCATCATCCTCAGGTTCCACATCGAGAATCATCTCCAGTGCCTCTTTATATCTGGGCACCTGCGACTGGAGACCAGTCAGGTTGAAATCATCCTCGATGAAATCCTCAGAGACCTCCGCAAAGAACTCGTGACCCATCAGCGAGCAAAATGAGGAGATCCATGACTCCGGTGCACCCTCTGACGACGACATATCGAATGAGGCGGACACGGAAGACGAAAGGGTTGATTCAGACAGTTGACTCAGATCCAGCCTGTCGAGGCCGTCGGCCAACGCCGAACCTGTCTCTCTCGACACGTTGCCGAGATTGTAGGTAAAGAGCTGGAGAAGGGTTGCGACGAAGCGATCTCGTCACACGAAATACGAGGGGGCTGGGGGGGCGGTCGGGAGGGATCAACGAAGCGTGGGTGTAAGTGGGAAGATCGGTGTGATGAAGCTCCTACAATAAGAGCAATTGGATGGCGGAACCGAAGCTCATGGATCCGAGGTTGAGGTGGTGTTCAGTCGGGAAGCGCAGTCAACTGTGCGGGAGGGGGAGGTTGTGCGAAGTCGAGAACTCCGTATCTTTCTCTGGCCCCACCATCATCTTATCAGCCTCTAATTCGGCATACTCAACACATTGCTTCACTTACAAGAATACCGAGATCTTCTTCAACACGGCTCGGCGAGATCAGTCTTCACTCAGGACCGTATTCGCCGATCGCACAGTTCACACTAGATTCGGCTCGGTTCGCTTCGTGGGGCTGTGGGATGCTTTGGCCTCGTAGATTAAGTCCAGAGCAACAAAGTAAGTTGAAGATCTGCCGATCGATGAATGATTTGACAATACTCTAGAGCGATAAGTTTGGCAGGGAAAAAAATGGCTGCGAGAGGAAGGTGGCCGTCACGTGAACGACATATGGGACGACATCTTTTGCCTTCAACTATATACACTTATACTGACCCAACTGTCTCATTACTTAATCGCTATCGTCTTATATACAATGCTAGAACAGATCGCGGATAAGTCGAGAAAACTCCTCCTCACCACCTAGGACTCCAGAAAGACCCTCTCCGGTATTATGGATTTCCCCATCTGTGCCAACGAACCCATTGATCCCATCGGGACCACTGGTACTAGGCATGAAGCCACTGAAGGACCCAACCGCTTCAAATAGATTTGTCAGCTCGTGGCTCATCTGCAATCCATTCATAGGGCTGTTCCCCAGTTCGTTGAATCCGTTCGTTTGCCCATACACAGAGATGTCTTCCATCGGATGTCCTGCGAGGCCTGCCATGGCCACTGCAGCTGTAGAGTGAGGATCATTCGAATCGGTGCCAAAATTCCGCGCAAAGACACCGAGTTTCTCTCCAATTTTTCGGAGTCCCTTGATAGTTTTCCACAGCCTCTTCGACACGAAGGACTTGGTGCTAAACCCATTGATCAGGTCCAGAGCCATGTAGAACTCATCACGAACCTGGCGATTGAATTCAGCGGGGGCATGGCATACCGCAAGGAAAAGAACAGCCAAGGCAGCGACAAGGAAGTAGTTAAAGGTGATCTGCTGCGTGCGGTAGATATCGGACATCTGGTTCAGGCGAGTGAGAACTCGCACCGTGTCCTTGGCTACGTCCACCACTGTTTGTGCATGACCGCGATCCTCGGCGATACTCGCAGCAGAATGAAGTACGGGTCGGTAGATGAGTATGCGCAGCTGGTTCATACGCAGGTAAAGCAGGATCCTCAGACGCCTCATACCTCGGCTTGCAGACTCGCCATTCTTCGGGGACTCCACGGGATAGAACTTGAGTTCATCCGGGACCTGTTTATACCACTGCAAGACCTGGTAGTCGAGGTAGCCAATTTCATCTCGTCGAATATCGGTGGTGCCTTCGGAGCCAAGGCCGGAATACCAGATCTTCGAGCTGATCCGGTTGTATGAGATCATGCATCGCAAATATGGCAATGATGCGTCCTGATGATAGGAAAGGTTAGATTCATAGTGCATTATATAAAGCTTGGAGTAATTACCGGCTCGGGCAAGTTAGGATCTACGTCCTCGTCCTGGATCACAAAAGGCAAACCTGTGCCTAAGCTCCACCTCCGATCCAAACTATAGACGGTCCAGAAGATGCGAGTAATCGCATTCCACTGATCTTCGAGTGGGAATGATTTCATTACGGCATCTCGGTGGTGCAATCCCAGTTCGAGACACATGCGCGCAGCCAGGCCAATCAATCGGTAGGCCATAGCATCGTCATCAGTATGGAAATGGTAGGTAGCCTAAGATTCTATGAGTGATCCACTCCAAGAAGATGGAGAAGGAACGTTGACGTACCACAATAGCAAATAATTGAATGTTCTTGATGTCATGAGGCTCCCACAGCTTTGACTCGATGACAGGCTTGACGGTAAGAAAGAGGCGCTGCCCGAGGTCGCTTTGACCGCCCCCTTCTACGACCAGCGTGGTTGCGAGAATTAGTTTCAGAATAATGGAATTATCGTCCGAAAGACCATCAGCACCGGGAAAAGCGCGCTGCGCGAAACCGGTCCGCGTGGCAGCTTCCATGAACGTGTATAGTAGGTTAGCTTGGCTGGTAACTGTTGAGATATCCACTATAGGATACATAATGCCGATTTCCTCTTCGTAGACTTTACAAAGGCGTATAGCCTCCTCACGGTGGATACTCCAAATCGGATCCTTAGTAGGATGGATCGTAGGTATGAGAGGAACGAGATGAGGAGGAGGAGATCCCGCCGGGGTGACATGCGCAGTTGTCAATTCGTCGGGTATTCCATCTTCCGCAATACCCATGCTTTGGAGGCTTGATTTTGCGACATCGAAGTTGAAGGCTGAGCTTGTCGGGCCATGGAAACGTGGATGTCGGGAACGCGATTTTGACATGCCCGTTGGCATGGGAGTGAAGACGGACTGGGATCCATCTCGAGGAACATCAAAGGGCGGGGACTCATACGCGGATTTTTGAGCCTGAAGATCACTCAAACTGCTGAAAAGACTATTGACTTGATCTTGAAGAGTGGTCAACTGTGAGCTCATGGAATGAAACTCGCTGACTGGGCATTAGTATCTAAAAGAAGCCTCGGAGGCAGTTTCATAACCTACTCGGAGTCTTTAAAATTGTTGTTGCAGCAATTCGGCGCATATCGGCCTGGACTGACGGTCAGTTCAAGCTATCCGATTCCGAGCGGGGGAAAAGCTGGCCATATTCATTTGCGAGTGGCGGTAACATGGCGATTAATTCACATACATTCCAAGTTGAGATGACCGCATCGCTGACAAGGCACTTGTCCATTGCATTTAATCTTGCGGCGCTTGCATTCGTTGCTAAACAGAGCTTCTCGTTAGCCCTGTACGGGAAGCCTATTCTGTTCTTCCGCGCTGGATGAAAGGCGGCATGGCATGACACTGCAAGGAATGCCGTTCTGCAGCTAACTGCAGACCTAACAAGTAAAGATGCCGGGATATGGCGGCTCGGGAGGGATCAGGCCATTATCATACCACGCGATAGAGATGTAGCGATTCCGCTTTGTGCGCATTTGCGTTCCGTTGGCCTGTTCCGCTTTCCTCTTGGCTGATTCGGTAGTCGGAGTGACCGACTGGTCGCCAGGACCAGTCAGAGATGGCGTCTTCTCCATCTGAGGTGATTCCGAAGTCATGATACACCAGACGTAAGAGTACTGGGGGATTTCACTTGAGGCAAATGGCGGCAATCGAGTGCGGAGAGATTCCTCGCGGGGTTTGCCGTTTCCCCAGATTTAGAGCTGACTCATCTCATTAAATGCAGATTCATTGGTGGGCGCGGCTATACTTTGTTAACACGAGAATCGTGAACTATATTTAAGACTATATTCAGACTAAAAATTCGATGTTCCAACGAAGATCCATGGAAATTTCAGGTATTAACAGGGTCGGGAGTCTCATGCTTTCGACATAATCCAGTTCTTGCCAGCCATCAGCGTCTGCAGAATCTGGCTTCGGTGCTGCGGGCTCTTCCGAAGCCAAACAAATCCAATAATAACACCAGTAAGCACAGAGAGCTGTATGGCCTTGTAGATCCGTTGCAGAATGACACCCTTACGAGTCTGCTTCGCACTCCAGTGACGCCAGACTGGGAATGAGCACCGCAGCCAGTAATGAATTTGAGAAAATCTAAAATCCCAGTTAGCGTAAGCACAAAGCCAGCACGTGTAATATACTCACGGGTAAGTCGACGAGTTCCAGCCATCCGCAGTGATGTACCAACTGGAGCACACCCCACGTCGGAAGACAGTCTTCTGCAGTTGGTCCTGCACTTGCTTGGTCCAAGCCCGCTCGGCTTCCTCTTTGATCTCGTACGAGCTGACCTTGCCCTCCAATATGGGCTTGATGAAGTTCAGCGAATAGTTGACTGCATTCTCGGTCGCGAATATGACGCTCGTGTGGCCGGTGGCAGTGTTCGGCCCGAAGAGCATGAAGAAGTTCGGAAATTGATCCACTGCGATGCCCAGGTAGGCCTGAGCACCTCCACGCTCAGCCCAGAGATCCTCCATATCCTTATTACCCTTCCCAATAACTTTTAGTGGATGGAGCCACTGGTTAGTTTCAAAGCCATTACCCAAAATGATCACATCCGCTGGGACCTCTCTCACTTCGTCTGAGGCTTCCTTCTGGTTGGGAGGATAATGCGAGCCCGGACCCAGTGTCACACTTTTAGCGTTTACTTTAGTCAATGGTTGAGTGGTGAGCTCGACGTTAGATGAGTTCAAGCTGCGGTACCAAGTACCGTCGATGATACGCCGCTTGCAACCGAGGCTGTAGTTAGGGGTAAGCATCTCATGGTATTCCTTGGGGGCCAGCACGCGCATATGCTCCAGAAAAGCCTTCTCGAGCCGTGGCCGTTGTCGACGACCATATGCGCCATCTGTGAACATGGCAAAGAAGTTCCTTTCAAGCATACAAAATAGTGTGTTGCGCAGGAATCGTGCTAGTCCAGGGATGTGGGTCATCAAAATTGGCGTCCATTTCTCCCACTGCACCAGCAAGTGAGGTGGTAGCAAATCTGGTTGAACCCACGGAGGAGTGCGCATCAGCTGTGTGATGGAGCGAACATTAGCCTCTGGCTTAGCTAACTCAGGGACCACCTGGGCGGCACTGCAGCCCGAGCCCACGATGATGACATCTTTGTCCTGCAAATCAATATCACTGTTCCAGCGAGCCGTGTGCATGATCTTGCCCTGGAAATCATCGATCCCGGGGATGTCTTTTGGCCAAGTTTTGGGTTCAACCAAGCCTCCGACACCACTGACCACCACCTTGGCTCGCACGATCTCCATTTTGGTGTACACACTATGCGGGCCTTCCTGGATGGCAAGCTGCTCCCGGTCATAACTAGAAAGATCACCCGTGCCGGGAACAAGATGAGACAAGGTGACTTCCCATTCCTCATCCTCTTCGACCCACCGAAGATGTTTCACGTCGGTGTTGAACTGGATCTTATCGACAATCTGATACTTTTCGCAGACATCTGCGAGATACTGTGCAATTTCAGGACCAGAAGGGTGAAGTGTCGACCAGTTCTTTTTCGGCGCAAAAGAAAAAGAGTAAAATATAGCCGGGCTGCAACGAGAACCGAGTTAGATATGAGCGACAAGCCAAGCAAATGATACATACATGTCGCAAGCGGCGCCAGGATACCGGTTAATCCACCATGTACCCCCGATACCCGACTGGCGCTCAAAAATCCGAAACTGATCCGTTCCAAGAGCCTCTTTCAAACGACATCCCATAGCCACGCCTGACTCCCCAGCACCAACAATGAGCACAGGGTAGTAGGTATGGGCATCCTTACCATAAGCATGGCGCTTATGAATGTTTGCGATCGAAGGCATCGCGAGAATAGATGCTTCAGCCTGAGATCAATGGTCTGAAGCTGTCGCAGACGATACTTAGGAATCCACCGAAGAAAGAATGTGGTACAACATGTGAAAGGTGCCCAGGCACCTACGGCGATCTAAGCGAAATATATTCAGTCAAGTGAATAAGAGAGATAAACAAGATAAGTAGAAGCCAGAGGAAGTCAGATCTTAGGATGGACCAGTTTCAAGCCATCAACGAGGGGGCAGCTTGGAAACCTCGGTAATTTGTCTCATGCCATGGGGTCTTGGCACTTATGTGCTCGTATTACCGAGCGTGAAATGGGTTCATCCTTCATAAAGGAAGAAGTAAAGCTTAAGTGAGTTCGTCTGAAAACAAGCCAGTAACATTAATGACCTGAAGTCAGAAATTACCATATGAGGGCGTTGGTCTATGCTTCTACAGCTCATATGTACAGAATCCGGGTTGGGGCGAGGGCACCGCAGCCCGTGTTTGCGCTCCCGCGATCTTTTTGCTGTCCACACCTCCCCCTAGCTGCCTGAATGAAGCTTCAACAATGGCGCTCTGGATATCGAATCTTGAGAATCGCGCGTCTCTCGACTGATCTACCGCGATCAACCCTCTGCCCACTACGTGAGCGCAGTTCGCGCAATTTCTCCGCATCGTCGGTCGATCGCTATCGTTCCCTTGAACCTCTCGAAGACGCCAGCGTCGATACCTTCCGTACCAAATGCTATGCTCCCGAGCAGCCCGCTATCCTTCCCCGATCGAAATTCAATGACTTACCGGCCTTGAAGAATTGGTTTCAGAGCTGCACTCCCTCCTCTGGTGCCCCAAGCCAGCCCACAACTCGCCTAAATATCGAATACCTGCAGAAACATGCCGGCGATGCATTTGTACCGCTAGAGCTCACTGAAACATCTCCGCCTAATCCATCTGGCGACCCGGGCTCGCATCGTCATGGCGGGACTGACCTCTTGAGCTTCCGTCAGTTTCACGCGCCGCTGACAATGTTTCTCGAGTGGATGCGCATGGCAGATAACTCACCACAATCGAGTCGCTTGTATCTCGCCCAGTGCCAGCTCCTCGATCTACCTCCGGTCCTGCGACGAGACTTCCCAATCCCAGATATCGTGGCACAGGCTGGCAAGGGTGATGTGTATGACACGAATGTCTGGATCGGACACCCGCCTACATATACCCCTCTGCACCGTGATCCCAATCCGAATCTTTTCATTCAGCTCGCTGGGCATAAGGTTGTGAGACTACTAACTCCGACGGACGGACAGGCCGTGTTTTCTGCGGTTCGGCAGCAACTGGGCAAGAGTGGGGGGAAAGACGCCGCGGCCTTTCGAGGCGAGGAAATGATGCAAGGACAGGAGCGTGCTCTGTTGGATGAGATGGTGTGGAGTACCCCGGCGTCTGCTGGTTCAGATGGCGGAGTGGGGTATGAAGCTCATCTTGGGACCGGAGATGGCCTCTTTATCCCTAAAGGATGGTGGCATAGTATCAAGGGGGTGGGAGAGGGTGTGACTGCATCGGTAAGTGCTCATTTGCATGATGATAGCTCAAGGTAATGCCTCGCTAACTTCTGGTTCGCAGGTCAACTGGTGGTTCCGATGAAGACCCAAGAAATAATATACCCTTTTAACCTGTAGCATAGAGAATAGAGAATAGAGAATATCTCAAAAGCGATATGTACAAAATCAAAACTTGAGGTTGTCGGCTGGGAAATAGTAACGTTGTAATTCGGGCAGTTCTAGAAACGTCTCGGCTCCACCGTCATTTTCAACCCTCTTTTCCCCAGACATCTGCCACGCCCTCATCATCAGCATGCTCCTGTCGCGCACAGCTTTCCGCGCCGCCATTCTTCACTTAAGTCTCAACCCAGCTCTAATACGCGCCGCAACCCCTGCCGCCTTTACCCTGCACACTCCGGCGCATCTTGGCCAGACACTGAGCTCCCGCCTATACACCGTCCTCTTCCCTCAGTGCACGCCACTCAATAAGTTCACCGAATCACACACTCAAATACGCACAATGGCTTCAGAATCGAACTCCACGCCCGAGTCCGCTGCTCAGTCACAAGGACCGAACGAGTCCCAGCCTCAAGAAGCGCAACAATCTCAGGAGCGTCTCGCCCTCCCACCCAGCGACTCCTCCGGCCCAAAGCTTGACCTCAGCGAAGGCGGCTCATCTGTGACGCTTGACCACTTGGGCCCCATGGTCGTCAATGTTGATGGAACACTGTCGCGTATTAGCAACTGGGAGGAGATGGCCGAGATTGAGCGCAAAAACACTCTTCGCATCATCGGCAAGCGGAATAAGCAGCGTTTGGAGGCTTTGAAGGCTGCGCGGGGCGAGGAATAGACCTTGATTTCTAGGAAGGACAGTGTACTACAAATTGTATATGGCATTGAATGGTGTTTAAGCGCATTCGTTTATATTTTGACATATTGGATCCATGGTCATTCTCCACAATGTAGAGTTGGTTGTATCTTCTGGTGGTCTCATAGATAAATACCAGGCATACTACTGTCTTTATCAACTGCGATAACCCAAGGATTGATGCAAAAGTCCATCAACAGTCCACCGAATCAGTCGAACAGCTTGTTGATGTACTTATGAAGAATGCTCCTGCGGGTGATGTCAGTCATCGAAAACGTGAAACTCACACGCAAGTAGCACGGTTCCAACTCACTTTGGAGGCAATGACACAAGCTCTCTCTCATACTCATCAATCTCCGCCAAACCGCTAATTAGATCAACCTCTTCAGGCTTCAAGAACTTCGTTCTGTGGAAAAGCTTCCACCCGAAATAAAGAATAGGAAAGACTCCAATCATGGTATATGAGAAGAGAAATGTAGGAATTGACCATTTACCAGGCAAGAAAACCGTGTAGCCACCGACAAAAGCCATAATCGTAGTGGAGGCGCAGGCGATGTAGGCGATGTAGGGCTGGAACCAACTCTTGTATGGTAAACTATCCCGTGAAACCCCCTGGACATCGAGTGCCTTCTTGAAACGGATGTAGGTGAAGGTGACGACAGAAAAGTTGATGAGTTGGGAGGCAGTGACCTAGCTGTTTTAGTATTTGTTTTGGTGCCACATTGGCAATAGAGTTGATACGCACAAGATTGACAAACCAGTTGAGTACAACTGAAGCACCATTAGACACCTGCAAGAAGCTAAGCAGCGCAATGAGAAGAACAACAGCCACACAGTAGATAGGTACGCCTTGCTGAGTGCACTTGGTCAAAAATCGAGGTGCCTTTCTTTCCAACGCAAGACCGTACAAACTGCGACTAGCACAATACACGTAGCTATTCCCTGCACTGAAAGAAGCCGTTAAAACAACGGCATTGACGATATGGGGCAGAATAGGAATATGCAGTCGATCCATAGAAATGACATATGGTGAAGCCGCAGCACCAGGCTTATCATTATCAAAAGCCGAGGCCATTTCCTTGTCATCATAGGGAACCAGAATACCCACACATAGAACACCGAGAACAAAGAATGCCGTGAGACGATAGAAGACCCCATTGAATGCCTTTGGTAGTACAACACGAGGGTTGATAGTTTCTCCAGCAGCCATGGACACATAATCGGGTCCCGCGATAGTGAAGCTGGCTGTGATGAGAGCCGATAAAAAAGCGAGGAATTTGCCTGTATCTCCGGTCTTGTAGTATTCTGCAAATGCCCCGGGCTCATTCCAGTATCTGAAGCCGAATCGGTCGCCGAGGGGATTTCCTCCTAGCATTACAATAAATGTGTAGAAGATAAGGCCAGTACTGAGGAGCACTTTGCCTAAGGAGAGCCAGAATTCTGCTTCTCCGTACCATTTCACGGCGAAGACGTTGAGCACTCTAGACGAATTTTAGTGGGAATATTAACTATGCCACCGGGGAGTAGGGAGACGAACGCATAGAGCACAAGAACAATCACGTTCATTGCGGCTACTGGTATCGCACTGGTCCAATAGTTGATAATCAAGCTGACAGCGACAATCTCAAAAGGCACGAGGGCGGCTTCGAAGATGAAGAAGTTGTAGCCGGCGGCGACGCCGAGTGCTTCATCGACATAGCGGCCAGCAAATCGAATGAACGGGGAGGAAATGGGAAGGTAAGTAACCATTTCCGCCAGACCTATATCGCATTGTAGGTATTAGCCTTGAACCCAAGGGGTAGTTCTGCCGTAGGAAAGTAAATATGTCGCAGAGGCAAGGGCTTGAAGTAGCGACAGGTGCTTTTGACCATCGTAACACCATCGTAAAACCCACATGGGGTCAAGGGAGGTTATTGATATGGGCCGATGAGGGAGATGAGGATTCATACAAACAGTTATGATCAGAATCACCATACTCCTAATTAGTGTTAGCTATCGATCTTAGTTCCAAAGTGGGCCAGGTCCTTGATTGTTTGAACAATCAATTGGGTTCTCTAGAGATGCACTGTGGCGCGTATGGCTTATGATGAATGTCGACTGATGTTGATTGTTTGATGGAGAAAAGCCGGGGTCTAAAAGTCTGCTTACATGCCCGAGGACTTGCTCGAGGTTGATAGAATATTGTCTTTTCCTTTCCGAATTAGGAGGCTCTCATTTTCTTGTTGTTGTTGTCTCGTTTGAGATGAATAGAGCCTGCTTTCGGCGTTGAAAGCAAACCAAAAGTTCCCAGTGCATTGTCGAGACAAACTAAGGACGGATGGACAAAACAAAATTAGAAATCATTGCACTTACCAGATAGTGAACGCAAGAAATAAGCTTGCTGGGCCACTGGTGCGCAAGCCAGAACCAATCTGAACATAGAGTGCTGTGCCAATCGTTCCACCGATGCCAATTAGTTGGATATGGCGAGGCTTCAATTTGCGGCGGGTATGGTCGAAGGTTGGCTTCATAGATCCATCATTGATTGAGTCGCCATGACTTTCTCGCGGAGTCTGCTCGTTTGTCTCGACAACATTTCTGGCCTTCATTGTTTTCGACTCGGCATCAGACAGGCGGCGGGTAGCACCGGCGCGTTGAATGGCGGCAGTCATTGGTGAGTGAGAGATTGTATCCAGCTTTGAATCTGGATGGAACATGTTGAAGGATGTCATTTATAGGCGGGAAAGACAGTTACTGTTGCGTAGAAGGAGAGAGACATTGAGGATATAAATCCATCGCCAAATAAGGGAGCACATGAACAACACGGAAAAAATTCTCACCTTGGCGCTGTATTTCCCTTGCTTGGCAGATCAGCCACGCGTGATATTCAGGCCAAGCCATTCCGGGCTCCCGAGATCAGCACCTGTAGCACGAGCTGGGGAGCAAATTAGGGGTACCCTACCCTCCAGGCTTAGGCTGTGCTGTCAGCCCGCCCAACATACCTCCACGGCAGCCCTGGCCGAAGTTGTTTGCTTTGGTCAATCACAGGCGTCGGCAAGAATGGAAGTTTTAAGATGTTTGTTATAGTACAGTAATTCGAATTCAGCTCCTAGTGCCATAGCAAAGTGTAAGTACGTAACACATCATTCTAATCATTAAAATCATCAAAACCAGACAGAACAATCCACCAGCGAAGGGTTTGGCGTTGGCATGTTCTCCTATTAGGTCCTGTCACAATATGCAAAGAAATTCAATGTCTCAAAGCAGGTAACACTTCAAATCAATATGAACCAAAGCTTCGACATAACAATCAAGCATTACGCTCCGAATCACAGCCCAGCGGAGGTCCTCACTCCGGTACCTCACTTGTCATCTTTGGAGCCAGTGCTGGATGTACTCTCATTCGAGGGCCGCCGCTCAGGGAGTAGGAAGTCCTTTCCCAGCCAGGCTGGAGGGAAGAAAGGATCATTGTCTTCAAAATAAAGATGATGGATCAGGTCCTGGTCTTCCACGATGTCCCGGTTGGGATCAATATAGCCTCGCGGCACTGCTTTTTGTGTGCGAGGCTTGGCTGAGCTGGCTTGCGAACTTGATTGCGCGTTGGAAGACATGCTTTCGGTTATAGAATGAACAGCACGAGGAAGTGTTAAAGTGAAGATGGAGAGTCCGAGACTGCAAGTGGTACGAAGTCAAGGGTCATCTGACGCAACCGACCTTTGACGTCGTGCCACAAGGTTCTCAAGTACATTTGACGTCATGGGCTGCACATCCTATATTGAGGCCAAATTAGGTAGCCTTAATGGTACCATAAATGGCCTGTAATAATAGACTAACGCAAGATCATCTCATCCTTGTCATATTGGAGATGATCCACACTGGCAGAGCAATCAGGGTGCCGGGTTCGTAATCAGCCGAACCCCGCCCCCACGATCTGAGCTTCCGTCAATTCCTTAAGTCTCCAACTTCACAGCAATAATGACAGGGAACGAGTCCGAGTCCAAGCGCTTTGCGCCCAAGGTGGCCGTCCAGCTGGACCCGCCGAAGGACGACCTCATCTCGCAGGAGGAATTGGCCAAGTGCGATGGTAGTCCTACCTCGGCTCATTCTTTAAATCCCTCCAGACTGATTCGCATTCGCAGGCACCGACCCTAGCCGTCCGACTCTCGTCGCTATCAAGGGCACTGTCTTTGATGTGACCCGGAACGCTGCCTACGGCTCTTCCGGTCAATATCGCGGTATGTCTCTTCATCCGAATCTATATCGGAACAGCTTCACTGACATGAATTTAGTATTCGCCGGCAAGGACCCCTCCCGCGCCCTCGCCTGCTCATCGCTTAAGCCCGAAGACTGTGTGCCCGATTGGTACGATCTCGACGACAAGGAGAAGACCACACTGGATGAGTGGTTCACCTTCTTCAGCAAGCGGTACAACATCGTCGGCAAGGTCGAAGGTGCCAAGAACGCCTAAATATCGATCAAGAGTATGTAGGATTTACAGGACATTGATCTGGGTCAATTGCATAAAATATACCCGAAGAGGAGATTAGTTACGAATCCAGGGTTTTAAATCACAATGCTTTTATTCAATCCAAAAAAAATCAGGGTGGTATCGGACAGCCAGCTCATTAGATACAGGAAAAAGTTGCCTAGACAATGCTCGAGTATATAGGCATCACCATCACTCTATACACGATAAACCAACTCTCTACCGGCCCTTGCGACCCTTCCGTTGCGCGCGCTTCTTGGCGATAATGCGGTTGCGTTTGGCAATCTTGTTCTCTTCCTCATCCTCCTCTTCATCCTCGGCCTCCTGACCCTTACCCATACCCTTGCCATCGCGAGTTTGAGAATGCTTCCGCTTGGTGCCCTTATTCGCCGCTGCCTCCTCCCTAGCCTCCGCCTCTTCCTTGGCCTTCTTTTCCTCCTTAGCCTTGAGCTTCTCCTTCTCCTGTTCTTGCAATTCTTGGCGACGTTTGATAACCTGTGCGTTGTCAATGGCGAATTCGACAATCAGGCGCTTCTTCGTGTCGCGCTCCTCGTTATCGGGGTTGGCAGGAATCTCAACGGGGTGGCAGTTGAGCCAGCGGAGACCCATGAGCGCGTGTCGGTGGGTAACGTATTCAATGAAACCGTAACCACGGCTGCGACCACCGCCGCCCTTCTCAGGAACCTTGGTGCCCTCACGAGTCTCGTAAACAATCTTAGCCTGGCGCACAATACCCTGCTTGTTCGCCTTTCTCTCGTAGTCGAGTTCCTTCATGGTCTCTCTGGATCGTTGCTGCTCTTCCTTAGACAGGGGTTGACGCTTCTCGGCCTTGACGTCTGTCGCGAAGCCAACGACGGCCTGACGAGCAAGTTGCTTGAGATCCTTAGAGGTGATGTGGCGGGGGATGTTTCGAATAGCAAGACGGGTCAGACTCAGGTGCAGAGCGGGATTCTTCTTGATGACGGCCTCACGCTGCTTGCAGCTCTCCTCGCGCATCTTGATTTCGGAGGGAGAGAGCTTCTTGTACAGCGGAGAGTTCGAGGGAATAGTACCCTCGCCCAGCAGGTAGAGACGACGCTTATCCTTGTCACGAACAAGGCGGCGAGAGACGCCCTCTTCTTCGAGCTTTGTAGCCTCACGCTTGTTAACGGCGCGAGCCACTTGGAGAACTCGGCCATCTAGAGTGTACCGTCCGCTAGGATCGGAGTTATCGTTTTGCAGAACGGAGTGCTTCATCATAGGGTTGGGACGCTGCTTGTCTCCGATGGGCATTTCTTGTGTCTTCGGGGCTTCACGGGTACAGGCGAATGCATCCTCGGGCTTCCAGAAGCACACAAATCCAGTGCCACGGGGTCTTCCAGTCTCGTGGTCCACGACGATACGGGCATAGCGCAAAGGCCCGAATTGTTTGAAGTGTTCGTAGAGTGCTTCGTCGTCGCAGGTGAAGGGAAGGTTGCGAAGGAAGATTGTGCATGCGTCGCGGTCATCGGGCTTCTTCTCTGTCTCGTCATCCTCCTCGTCGTCTAGATCCTCCAACCCTTCCATATCCTCATCCTCGTCGGATTCCTCATCTTCATCCTCATCGTCTTCTCCCTCTGATGAGGTTACATCGTCGGGATCTTCCGCAGAAGTCTCCATATCTTCTTTGTCCTCCATGTCCACGTCCTTGTCTTCCTTCTTCTCTTCCTTCTCCTCGCCCTCCTGCTGCTTCTCCCAGACCTCTTTGTCGACCGCCCAATCAACAGCCAGTTGACGGCCATCGATCTCTTTTCCGTTCACTTCTCGGACCGCCTTCTCCGCATTCTTCTTACCGCGGATAATGACAAACCCGAAACCAGCGAGCGTATTGTTGCGCTTGGGGAGGGTAGCCCACTTGACCTTTCCATAACTGCGGAAAAGGAGAGCCAGATCATCAGAAGTCTTAATGCTCCATGGCAAGTTGCGAACAATGAGTTTGGGGGCTGGTTCTCGGCGTTCTGATCCGCACGATCCTGCTTCTGCTTGATACCAGCAGCAGAGGGAACACTCTTGCCGAGCTTCTCGTCAATTTCACGTTGACGCGCCTGGGCGTAGTCGACGCGAATCTGCTTTCCCTCGAACTTCTTTCCGTTCAGCTCCTTCAGGGCGCTCTCGGCGTCCTCAAGATCGGCGAATGTAACGAAACCGTATCCTTTGCACAACTTCGTCTTGGAGTCGATGACAGCAGTGGCGTGCTTGATAACGTAGGACTGAGAGAAGAACTCGGCCAGGCTCTCTGTGGTAGCGGAGGTCGGTAGCGATCGAACGAAGAGCGTTCTCTTCGTCTTGGTGGCCGGGGCCTCTGGATTGTCGGTCTTGGTGATTTCTTCCATTTTGGCGTCTGTATCTTGAGCGAGGCTCTCGTCAGAGATACGCCGTTTCTTATTTGACTCAACCATTGTGAAAAAAAGAATTCGCAAACGTTGGACTTTGTGTAATCAAAAGTCGAACGAAAGTCGAGAGGCGCAAAAAAATTGGCGGCAGAAAAACGCTGTTGCGGTTCCAGGGCGGTGAATGTTGGTCTGGACGGGCTGATAAGGCGCGCGAGCTTTATCACTTTATCGTCGTACCTCCCATCCATCATGGACAATCGATCTGCAGACGACTCTGGCTCTCACCCAGAGGGAGCTAATGCCGGATCATCTACTCCTGTAACACCCGGGTCTTCGTCAAATCAACTCAAAGTCCAACAGCCGAAACCACAGGCCCTTCCAAATCGACCCGGTCCATCGGCGATCCTCGTGTCCACGCGACAGAAGGGCAATCCAATTTTGAATCACATTAAACTCCTTCCCTGGGAATATGCCGACATCCCAGCTGACTATGTTATCGGTACAACGGCATGCGCACTTTTTCTTTCCCTAAAATACCATCGTCTACACCCCGAATACATCTACTCCCGAGTCCGACTTCTCGCCGGTAAATACCAATTACGTATTGTTCTGGTCATGGTCGACATCCCCAATCATGAAGACCCTCTAAAGGAGCTATCCAAGACGTCAATAATCAACAACCTCACCCTGTTCCTTTGCTGGTCCGCTCCGGAAGCAGCCCACTACCTCGAACTCTTCAAGTCGTCGGAATATGCACAGCCTACGGCAATTCGCACTCAGCAAGCCCAATCATATAAGGAGTCACTGGTGGAATTTGTTACAACCCCTAGGACTATCAACAAGTCGGATGCAGCCAGCCTGATCTCCACATTTGGAAGCTTGCAGAATGCAGTGAACACGCAACCAGAGGTGCTCAGTGCGGTACCTGGCTGGGGTGAGAAGAAGGTTCAACAGTGGTGCAGTGCCGTCAGGGAGGACTTTAGGGTGGAGACCACCAAGAAAGCTACGGCACCTGGCTCCAAAAGCCAAAGCAGAACGCCGGTGCCTCGACGACTACAAAACGCAGATATAGACGAGGACGAAGCGGTACTACGTGCCGTATTGGAAGAGAGCCATCGGACAGCCCACACCTCTGCTCTTCAAGACTCTACGAGTGAGGCGCCGCCGGAGGAGGGGATGAGCGAGGGCGTCATGGCTGCACTAGCCAAGTTACGAGACACAGGCGGGTGAAGATTTTATATGGACCTTTACGAAATGTATGATTTATGATCCCATTTGAGGCTTCCTCAAATATTCGAAGGACGTCACTTGCAGGGAAGAAGACAAGGGACTGTCATTCCCATGAGCCACAGACTGTGTCCAACGGCGGCAGTCGTGTTGTACTCAGCGCCTGCAAAGACGCTGAAGCCTCTGAAGATCACAGTATGCCTCCATGATCTCAATTTGGGGAACATACCAGTTACTGATTGCCAGATAAGCGGTACGGAATGGTCGGAGAATGACCTCGAGGACTCATATGGGGACTGATGTAAACTCACAAGTCACGACAGCGTCGTAGATCCCTTAAAAAACCAGTCAACTAATACCAATGAACGATATCAAGCGAATGGAATTGGAGTGTATAGGCTTACGAGTAGTCGAGATCTCCGGCATAGACTCAAACAGGACGTTCTCCACTTCCCCACTTCCGAAGTGGGACATCCTTGTTGGACCCCTCAGAGGCTCGAGCATTAAAAGGTGGACAGCCGAGCTACCGGCCTTGTGAGGTGAAACTACTTTGCAAAGTGCCTCAGGCTCAGCTTGCCGTTTTTATGATCTAAGTTTCAAGGCTTATCTGATAAAATGTCTCCGCTCTTTAGCAGCTCTGTTTTTCACGAGGAGGTCCCCATTCTCATTGTAGGGGGTGGGCCATCCGGTCTTCTTCTTGCCTATTTACTTGCACAGCTAAATGGTACATAGAAATCACTTCTCATTCGAGTATACACAGCAGCTAACATCTCATAGTCCGGTCTGTGATCATCGAGCGCTATCCTACACGACTCGCGGCCCCCAAAGCACATGCGCTTTCTCCCAGGTCTCTTGAACTTTGCCGACAGGCCGGTCTCGACGTGAATGAGATTCGCAAAATCGGGAGTCCTCGCGGTGATGCCTATTGGGTGAACTTCATCACCAGTCTTGCGGGTAAACAGGTCGGCCGGCTACCCTATGAGCGAATGGATAAGGAAGTGTTGAATGACACTCCCACAGTAAGACTTGGAATATCTGTTGAGAGTGGCTATGCTGACTATGAAAAGATGATTCACAACATTCCCCAGCCGGCCTTTGAAGAATTAGTTGCTGACAAGTTGGCTAAGAGTGATCTTGTTGAAATTCGCAAAAATCACTCGTTTGTAAGCCTGGAGCAGGTAAGTTGCCAGATCTGAAAGTGGTAGAGGGAGGCTGATTTGATATTCAAGGGTGATGGCTTTGTTGTAACGACTATCAAAGACCGTGGGGCTCAAAAAGAGTATAAGATTAGATCCCGCCATGTGGTCGCTTGTGATGGTGCCAAAAGTGTTGTTCGAAAATTCCTTGGCGTGACTTGTGAAGGAGAAGAGACATGTGAGTACTTTGCGAAGTGAAGTTCTGTACAAAGAACTAATGTTCTCTTTAGGTGAAACCATGATGACGATTCACTTTAACGCCGACCTGAAGCCAGTGATTAAAGATCGGGTCGGTATGTTGCATTGGGTTATGGATCCCGTGGTGTCTGGGTTCATCATCGGCTATGATTTGTCTGGAAACCAGGTCTTGATTTGCAACTTTGACGTGAGATTTCACACATATTTACCCGAAGAGGGATATTGACCATACTCATGCAGCCTGAGAAGCATCCGGTGGACTCATGGAACGAGGAGCACTGTCGCAGCGTTATAGATGCGTCTATCGGGATGAAGACTCCATACGATGTGCTCAGCTACCGACCATGGATTTTGAGTCGAAAAGTGGCTCGATCGTATCGAGTTGACCAGGTCTTTTTGTAAGTGGGAATCAAAAGGGTACCTTGAATTCGGAGTTCTGACCCTTGCTTACTAGGGCCGGTGATGCGGCTCACTCTTTCCCACCCACTGGCGGCCTCGGCCTGAACTCAGGACTTGGCGACGTTCACAATCTTGCGTACAAGCTCGCCGCCGTTCATCAAGGATGGGGCGGAGACAAACTACTGGACACTTATCAGTCCGAACGCCGTCAGATCGCACTGGTAAACTCCAGCCAAAGTGTGAAAAACGGAAAGCAAATCTTCAGCTTGTTGAAAGCTCTTGGCACGACAGATCCAGATGTCGAGGTTTGCAGACAGAATCTTTACCATAATATTCAAGATGCCGATGCAATGATCGAAATCAACAAAGGGATTGAAGGACAGCGCGAGCATTTCGACAATCTCGGCCTACACATCGGATACGTCTACGGCGACAAGAAAATCCCCACTAATGTGTCTCACTTCCAATCTTCCTGTGTCCCTGGAGCCCGGCTTCCTCATGCTTGGATCAAGGTTTCTCGTGAGAAACTGCAATTACCTGCCATTGATAACTCCTACGTGCATGAGTTATCGGAAGATGAGGTCTGCAAGAAGCAGTTTTCTACCTTGGATTTATGCGGTCTGGACACCTTTACTCTCATTGTGGACGAGACTAGAGCTCCTCATTTCAAAGGGATTATCGAGGGGGCCATCCAAGAACTACCCCGGGAAGTCGCAGGTGTCTTGCCCATGAAACTCATCGTTCATGGAGTCGACTTTGCCCTTCAGGCCGGACCCGAAGCACAAAAGTGGACTGAGCTGATGAATTTGAAGAAACAGGCCATTCTCGTCTGCCCGGATCAACATATTTTGGCATGTCTTCCATGCAACAGTGGAACGGTCCAGCTTTTAAAGTCGTTGGAAGGACACTTGGGGTGGTAGAACGTTATTTATAGAGAATGAGCTCTGAGGCAACCCCGGAATCCATCGTGATCAGTTAGATGACTAGAAACCTACCGCCTGGATGTAGACTCAGCCATCATTCGATCGTGTGGGCCTCGGATATAAATCGAGTGACGCGTTCGTTCTGACCCCATCCCGGCTGCGGAATCAGCCCTTTCCCACTTCCCCACTTCCCCGGGTTAACTATTAAGAACGCGATCCCCAAGGTATTAAACCTACTTTTAGTACATATTTACAATCCTCTTTATTCGAATCTGAAACACAAAACTTTCATCTCGTCATGACTTCTTTTCCACCAGCAAGCCTTGCCGTGAAAGATGCAGGACTCCTCCTCGCCAACCCCTACCTCCCTATGGAAGCGGGTGTGGCCTACGCCGAAGATGGCATTTGTCACATTGCCGCATCAACCTACATGAAAGGTAGCACCGGTGCAATGATAGACTGGTGGTTTGGCTGGATCCATAGCACGGAGCAGTACAAGATCTGGCATCCACGCGACCATGTATTCTCCGATTGGGAGGGGCCCCGCGAGAACAACAGCACATACATTGGCGGCCACCATCTCGTCCATGAATATATTGGAGGTGAGCTACAGAAGCTGAAGATCTCATTTAAAGATCCAAGTGAATACTTCGGGTCCAACTGGAAGGACGCCTTTAAAGAGGCCGGGTACTCCACAGCAGTGTGTGGACGTACTGGAATGTGGGATGACGAGACGGGCAATGTAGTCTATGTTGGACACTTGATCCACTTGATCAAGGACGAACCTGATGGTGTGCGGATGCGATCTCGCTTTTGGCTGGGAGATGTGGAAGGAATTACGGACCCGGAGATCAGGAAGACCAATGTGCCACAGAAGTTTGCAATGGGCTTAATGCAGCATGCTACAGAGGAGATGGCTATCCTGGCTACTGTTCTGCCGGAATTATATGCAAAGTACTCGAAGGACTCGGGAGAGAAGCTGTGATTGGGTCTATGAAATCATTGTTCAAGATAGACTTCAGAATTTAGGTCTATTCTAGCGGAAACCTATACCCGTTCTTCGTAGTGCCAATTACTCACGTCGGTGGATCATGACGCTCACGAGCGAGTGTCGCTAAACGTCCTATGATGTCCTCCATCTGAGCTGAAATCCCCCATTTTGATGCAACAGTCCTCAAAATAATCTGCAGAGAATTAATTTCATCCAACAGATTTATAGATACGATGGTATCGGTTCCATCACAGGTCAACTCTTTGAAAAGATCCTCCATGCTTGGACTCTGGAGTGGAAATTCTTCAACTTCGTTTTCAATCAGCTGACGAGACCATACATCTAACCAGTTGTATTTTGCGGGGATTCTGATCATGCTTTGGCTTAACAGACAGATGATTGCCATCACCATTGCAGATGTGAACACAGCAGTGGGTATATGCATCGTGTAAGCTTGGCTAAGTGGAAGGTCGTTCAAAAGACGAGTGATTGCTATTGCATGTAACACAGCACGGTAGCAATCTGCTCGTCGAGTCCAGTGTGTCAGATCAAGATGATCAGCACTGCCTTTGGCGTGGATCCCGCCAAGCATCTGCGGTAGCTGGTATCGATTGCAGAGCCACCGGTAGATTGATATTGAAGGTGCCGTCATTTCGATAAGAACACAATGCCACCTGATGAGAATCTGCAGATGATGGATGTTTGGGGACGGTGAAAGGGATGCTATGTTACCTTCATAGATGTTGAGCAAGGCTCTGATGACTTGTTGCTGAGAAACAGTGCCAAAGACTACACCTCGAACCTCGTGAAGATCAGAAATCAGAGACTGAAGTCCCTCGATAATAACAAATATTGAGAATTGCGAAAGCTGCAATGGCATTGTAGTATACCCTGAGGAGAAAACGCGAGAAAATGCCTCAGACACGGGTATTCGGACTGACGTCGACCGCATCATTTCAGAAATCCATTCGTCGGCAGTTTCCGCAGCAAAGACAGTCTCCGAACAGGTGGTTTCGAGACTATTAATCAGGTGTCGCGCACTAGCTGGAGAGCCAGACGCTTGTGAGATCAAGCCATCAAGAACATAGTGACCCAAAATCGCTCGGCGTTGAACTTCTGCAGCGGCCCAGCTTCGCCAAACAGCGTTTTTCTCTGCATCTGGTGACTCGATACTCGGCATTCCTTCGGATACTACATCGCGAACAGAGAACATGCCCGATGTTCTTGCCCAGTAAAAGCCCAGTCCGTGAAAAACCGATGCAGTTGTTCGAATATTGACATTGCTTGATAACAATGCGTATGTCTGTCCCAGGAGAGCGGTTAAAACGAGCTGAACTCCATCACAAGCATCCCACAGTCCCCGAATCTCAATCAAGGTCTGCCAGGATGTAGCAACTGCCGTATGTCCCAATCTCCAAAGCATTTCGCCTTTCTCTACGGCGCCTGATTCACAGACAAATAGTGAACCCAAGGCGACCATATTGAGGAGCAATGGTGGTATTGATCTCTGAAGTGAAAAGGTCTGCTCATGGATGACAGGAAAACTCGGAGACACTCTTTTGAAAAATTCATGAAGAGAAGCATCCAGGAAAGCAGACGTAAATCCAGAGTGATGAACATCCGAATTCAGCTTCCTTGACAAGTCGTCAATCAGTTTGTAGATCTGGTCCAATGCCATGTTTCCAGGACCCTGAGTCGGTTGTGCAACTTGCGCTTCCATGTCTGCAGAGACAGGGAAGTGCAAGTTGTCAGTTGTATTTGAGCTTCCAGGGAAGTCTATCAGTGGAAGTGGGACAATAGAAGCTCCATTAATATCGGACATGAGCCATTCGAGTAGGTTGTCGGATTCGAAGAAATTGGGAGGCTCAGAGAAGGTTGGCTGTCCAAGGGGATTGCTCTGACGTAAGGCAGGTGCTCCAGTAACAGAATTGATTGGTGCTGGAGCTTGAGATTGACCACGGTGAGGCTGGCCATTCTCTAGCGTGGTGGACGGGTCTCGAGTGTCATTCTCGTGAAGTCTCATGTGTCTTCCCAGCACATCCTGGCGCCCGAAAGATCTGCCACATTGATTGCAATGGAAAGGCTTCGAATTTGAGTCTATGGCTAGATTAGTATTGAAAAGAAGACAAATGACTATCGAAAGGCGTACGGGTTCTTTCATGTCTCTAGGTATTGTTAGTGGGTGTTCACCAGAAAGCTTCAGGGGGCAAAACGTACGCGAAGATGTTCCAACTTGGTGTATCGCTTATTGCACTGTCTACATGCAAATCTTCTTGATGCTGTCGATTCCTCCGCTTGTCGATTTGCCAATGAGCTCATCCTGAAACGCGTGCATCGACCAATCCTGGCAGTGAAATGCAGGTGGGTGAAGTGGGAAAGAGGTGGGGAGTTGGATGTGGGGACTTGCCTGCCGAATCCGTGCTGAGCCGAGTGATTATCTTAGATAGTTCATAGGTAGAAGAGAACATGAAGAATCTGAAATTTTCTTCAAGATCATTATATGAAAAGCTTACAATGACTATTATAATACGGATGAAGTTAGTGGTCTAGTTCTATAGTTCATAGTACCGCTTCATGTAGGAGCACCCTAGATTTTCGTTTCTTAGTAGAAAACTGCGGCGACAAAGAAAGGGAGACGACCACATCGGCTTCTTTTGACCCTTACTATGTGGTCCCGATAAGTGTAGCTCTTCCACATGCCATGGCGATCAGGAGAGGTATGCCTGGCTTGAAGTTTTGAAAAGCCGGATATTCTGCTCCACAATACGTATCTACCCAACTGCTTTCTATCCAATTCCATAAAACTTTGCCATGCCGCCTCTCCTGTCGCTCAAAGAATTTCTCATGTATATCGCAGCTTTCAACGCCAGAGACTACAAACTCCAACATAGCTTCTACCATGATGATCTCAAGATGGTCATCCCCGACCCTGAGATTGGAACTCTATTCGGATCAACTGGCATTATGAACCATTATGACTTGGTTCATGCGGATGCTCAAGAAACGGTCGTCCCAATGTTTGTGATAATTAATGAGAATCGGATTTTCCTCAGTATGGAAGCCTACTTTTTCTACACCAGAGCCACAGACAAGGCTGTTCACAGCCACAAGGTCAAGCCGGGCGATGTTATTCGCGTGAAAGTCTGGGCTGTCTACGATATGCAGGATGGGAAGATGGCGTGCATTACTTGTAATGCTCTTGGTGATGAATTCTTGGGCGAGGTTGATGTGGATGAGCTTATTACAATCAGTTGGAGTCGCGCTGATGATGATGTGAAGATTTGTTGGAAGGATAAAGGAGCTTTTTGAGACTGCTAGGGACGGCACGTGTCTTCAAATCAAGGAGAGGCCTCTCGATACAGCCTGATTAGTATATGTTAAAACTTCAACCTATCACCGTGGATGTTTTGGAGTTTTCCTTGGTCAAATAATTATGCTGTGGTATGTAGGGTGGATTTGAACGAGTCCAAAAATCAATTCATAAGATGACCAACGTTCTTTTTCATTGATAAAGATGAATAAAGTCGACATGAGCCGTGATGAATTCGTTAGAGCCGGCTGACAAGCTATGTTTCTAAAAAATGGCCGTGTCGGAGTATAGCAATAAATTACGCTTCGCGGGCCTCAAACAACACCAAGATCGGAGTGATAACGTGGTCCCAGGTTAGCTTTAACGTGCAATGGGCATTAATTTCCTGGCCATCGACGCGCGATGCAGTGTCTGATTTTACGGCTATAAGCGCCGATTTCCATAGCTCGCTACTTGAGGCACTTTGTCTTGTACCGAATCTTCTGTGTACGCCATCAATCAAACAACAAGGGTATAGTATAAACGCGATGATGGCTCTTCGGTCAAAGGACGGTGATTCGGCTTAAGTACCGACGACGAGCGTATATTCCGGCGTGGATGAGGTTGTTCAGCCGCAGATGGACAGCAGCCAAAATCTATCCGCCTCCCTGGAAGATGTTCGTGAAGTGGGCATGACGAATACCCAAAACAACTTGTTTGTCCTGGGAAACCGGTTGGGGGTCTCTCTCTCCATGAAACGATGCTGGTCAATCCGATTGCGTACGCACTCTCTGTCGATGCTCTAACGCACGATGGACTCGGGGATTTATCTCGCATTGATCTCGATACCGTCTGTAATTTGATTGTTTCTCCAGGGCTTGAACCGAGTGATTTTCTGGCACGGAAGCTATGGCGGCTGTTCTGCGAGCGCTTGACATAACGAAGGTTGGGTATGATGGGAAGAATCTTGAGCCGCCGCTTAAGGACTATACTCATCAATGAGCGTGAAGTGGGCTGTCTCTGGGCTGTCAATATTGTGATGTGAATACCTTTTATACTATTGGATGTATATAAAAGCTTTCCTATTAGTGAACCTGATTGGCAACTGAACACGTTGCAGACAAAAACACCGTGTTTCAAACAGTAGGCAGCTAGCTAGTCAAGCATGACTTGAAACAGCCTCATTCAAATCCACAGGGGTTTCGACGCTAAAAATGCAGGGTTTCAGGCACTAGCCACTGACAAGCTCACAAGAATAAGCGATGACGTTTGAGAAAGATACCGCAATGTAAATGATTGGCTACCCAGACTTATGCAGGACCACGAAGCTCACATGCATTACAATGCATAGAGAGCTTATATCAACAATTTCAAACGCATCCATTGGGTATTATGGTCGGGATCTCTAATCACACATAGAAATATGGATGAACGCAGCAGAAAGCACAACCCGGACCTCCAACCCAGGCCAAGAGACATTCAAAAAATCAAAACCAAAAAACAACGCATGGATATAGGACCTGGAAAGGAGACACACGGGCACAAATACGGAAATCACAGAGAATTCTGAGTCGGGCACTTCATTTTCATCAATCGCAGGTCCACCATAACCTAACTAGCAGCCGCTAAAGGGGGTCAAGGTAAAGACATTGCGCGAAGCGCAGGCAGGGAAAACAAAGAATAAGCAGACGTCACGGCATGCCAGTAAATACGGGTCATGAAGTGGATTCGTGAATAAAAGGAAAAATGGAAACGAAACAAAGCCTGCCATCTAGGTAGGCTTGTCACATCCGATGCGGCCCAAAAGAGCCTTGCGGTCACTCTGATCGAAAGGAACACGGCCGCGGCCCCGGGCACGCATGGAAGTGGCTCCGTTGGACCGGCGGCGATCCAAGCCGGGGGCGGCGTCATTTACGACGGGTGTAGCACTAACGCTTTCCTTAGCGGCCAGCCGTACGGAACCGTTAGTTGCTTCTTCGACGTTGACTTCGATTTCGTCCTCCTCATCGCTGCGGGAGTCATCGGCGGCGCCGGTGCAAATGACACCGTATGCGACGCGGACGATCATGGTGAACCAGACGATGGACAGTATCTGCAGGGACATCAGGAAGGCCAGGAAGATCCACTTGATGGTGGCGTTCATGCAGACGGGGTTCTCCAGGCTGCGGAAGGGTGCAAACATGTATGCAAACTTATTGGGGTAGCCGTCGGTATTGGTCATCTGGCCGTCAATGTAGCAGCCGTAGGGCACTCGGAGGGGAATGTTTTTGTGAATGGACCAGGTGAGTATATTATAGAGGATGTGCCGTGTGACAAACCAGGTCGACATGAAAACACCAAAGGCAACGTTGCAGGCGTTCTGGAACTTCAAGTACTTAAGGATCTTGGCTGACTGTCAAGATATGTTAGCAAGGCAAGCTCTCTCATCTCGTGTAGAGACAAACGTACAGGAAGCAAGAAGTCGACAATGTCCATCAAACACAGAACCACGTTGGACACATTGTAGAATCCATAGATATAAGCGGAGGTCATAAGAGTGCAAGTGATAATGTGATGAGACAGCATCTGGTAGTGGTCCTTCCGCCTCTCTTCCACGTGGATGACGAATATCTGCTGAATGAGGAAAGATAGTTCCACGAGGAGATACCATTTCATAAGACCAGAAAGCGAGCGACCGGGCCACTGTTCCCAGATGGCGTCGAGTTCGAACCAGTATTGAGAGTTCTTCCACAAAAACTATATAGCGCACGGAGTAAGTCAGCTATACACATTCCTCGCACTGTTCCGCGGAAAGCACGTACCAATCCCACGCCCCAAATGAAGCCATAGTAAAGAGCCTGCCAGCCTTGCTCTGCAAGACGGACAGCACCCTTTCGCTTCAGGCCAGCCTGGCGAGCCAATGGCTGGAGAATCCATTCAATCGCAATTGCGCGAATCGCGGTCAGGGCCAGGGCGGCGCTGACAACGAAGGAGACATCATTCCAGCCCTGGACATATGAGTTTGTGGCGGCGTCGTAGTAGGAAATTTCGAAGAAAGGTTGAGTATAGGGACGGAGGGAGGGGTAGAGGTTGTGGAGAGCCAGTAACATGGCCAGGATGGTCAGCGAGATTCCTGCAGCGCAGAACGGCAAGTTAGCGGAATGAAAGTAGCTTTCGCTGCCGAGACTACCTGGACAAAGCAGCGCGGGCAGAGTGCCTTGAGCGCCTTGAGCGCCTTGATTGCCCGGGTAAAGGACAGCCTGGTGTTGGTTGATATCTTACCGATCTGGTTGACGACCACCCATTCGCGGAACGTGGTCTGCTTGGCCGGCCGCGTGCTGGGAACATAAAGTTCCGGCGACTGCGCGGGCGCAGTCTCTTTAGCCATGACGAGATATTTGGCAAAAGAGAAAGAACTTCCAGTTGGGGGGGGGAAGAGGGAAAGCGGAGCGGAGAGGGTCGCCGGGGAAGAAATGGCGAGGGTTGAGTCTCGGCACCAATTAATCTGAGGAGCGGGATGGGTCTGGAAACCTCATGAGCGGAGCCGCCGCGCGGACACCTTTTCAATAGTTTGAGTGCTTAATTCCTCCTCTTCCCAAGGCGTCGAGAGAAGATCAGACGAATTGTCTTCAAAAATTTCCAGGAAAACGGGGAGCGAATCCCAAGTGCAGCGAGGCGAGTGAGAGGGGGGGAACCGGTGAGCTCGATTCTCGTTTCAAGTCCTTCAACACATAATGATCGACACTCCCACACCGCCTCATGACTGGCGATGTGAAATTATTTAAAGTGTTAGGAAGGGCTAGATTTTACAGGGTCCAAGCTAGGCCCCAAGGAGGCTCGTGTAAAATTGCCATACATTCGGTTGGTTGTTGACATCTATACTAATGCGTCACTCCAAACCTTCCGTCACCCCGCGCACAAATTCATTGGCGTTCATTCCCAACTGCGCCAAATCAACACCACCCTGGCCTGCCATCGCCCGCGACACAGCTCGAGCCACTTCTTCTTGGTCCCAGATATTATTGATCACTGTTAAATTTTCCTTTCCGGGTTCGGCGAGTGCGCTTCGGTTAGGGTTCTCCGCCGCAGCCACAGTCTGCCAGTATGCATCGTCGCGAGCCTTCAGGGATCTGTCTCGGACGACAGCATTACGAGCCACACTCGAGGCGTGAAGCTTGGTGTTGGCGCTCGTGATCTGCGTTAGGGCGGCGGAGACCGCATTGTCGAGCTGGTCCACTGGGGACGGTGGCTTGAAGAAGAATCGGTTTGTAGCCGACAGGTAAACAATTAGCGAGCACGATACATCGCAGAGCACGAATGCCAGCGGCCGCAACAAGGTAATGAGATAGTAGAGGCCAGAGGGGGGTCGCTGGCCAGCTCGCACGGCGGGGGATGCCGACTGAAGCGCATCATACGTAGCCACGATCCAAAGATCAAGAGCAGCCAGCGCCAGGCCGGCAATGGTGAACTTGGTTCGCCAGCGAGCAGCCTCCCGGCCCGCAATAGGCGCGGATGTAGCCACGCCTAGGATCAGTAGGTGCACTATATGCGGCAGAAGCACGTCGAAAGGCAAATAATAGATCAGGTATGAGTTGAGGTTGTCGAAGGAGCAGAATTGGCACGAGATCAAGGCATCGGATCCAAATGTAAGGTACACTTTGCGTGCGCCAACGGAGGTAAGCTTCTCGCGGAGCAAGTTGTCGGCGTCGGTCAAGATCCCATCGGGCCGGAGCCTCGTGAGTCGGTGGAAGATCACATCGGTTGGTGTATTGATGCGCGATCGAGTCAAGTTGAAAATATTGGGTTCGGGGGCATGGGGATTGAAAGGTAGGCTGAGGACGAGGAAGAAAGCGATGCTTGCGAACAAGACATTTAGCGATCGACTAGCGGCGGCAGAGAGGGCGCACGCGGGTGGGCGACTCGCAATAGATACACGGAGGCCACGGTAGGCATTGATCAGGCGAGGGAGAAGGATGGGACCGAAGAAGATGAGGAGCGACTTGACGCTGCTGGCGGTTAGACAGTGCGGTGCGGAGTGCGGAGATTCACATACGTTCCCCAGGAGATTTCGAGTCCAGCCATGTCTGCAGCTAGCAGATAGATATTTCTACCTCATTGGAATAGGCCAGATCGGGAGTGAAATCACGGAGGTGGAGGGGGGAGGAAGTTGGAGATCGTCAACACGTATCATCAGCGCGCCGGGGCCAAAAGCGGTGCGCGGAGACTCGGCGGTTATACAGTAACAGCCCTCCCGAGAAGAGATTCTTCTGGAAGTGACCACTCATCGTCCCCTTCCACATATTTTTTGACATCTTCAAAAGTTCAAACATCTTACCCTCGACTTTGATCGTCTATTCTGGGTTTCTACATGATCTTTGTATCTTGGCTCATGCCATGCTCCTTTCATCATGAACATGGGTCTCATTGAAAACAAAACTAACGCCTGCTAACAAAATAGAACAGAATTGGAGAATACATGCAAGCGCCCCGTTCACTCTTCCCGAGGAATTCCAGCCCAAAAAACGCCATGTCCCTTAGCTCCTAGCGAAATGCCAACGCCTGAACCTCTCCTTGCCCGAGAACTAAACCTGGTTCCCGTACATTGCCGGGTGGTGCGTCAGATCTGGAATAGTCACCCCAGCAGTATCTCGAGAGTATCTTGATGAAGCGTCGTCGTTTGCCTGGTGACCCGGCATAAGGTGGTTGTTGTCGGTGTTGTTGTTGTTGTTGTTGTTGTTGTTGTTCCTGAGCGGACTCGAGATCTTCAGAGGGAAACGCGACAACCGGTTGGTCATGCGCTTGAAGGCGGGCTGTGGCGAATAGCTAGGGAGGCCTTCTTCACGCTTCATGCTGAGCTGGAACGACCGGCGGCTACTGCTGGTCCGGCTGATGGATCGACTCAGTACCTTCTGCGGAGCCACGGCACCATATGCTCGGACGTGGCGAGCGCTGACGCCCTGGCTGCGGTCGGTGAAGATGAATGTCTAAAGACTGGATTAGTCTCAATCAATTTGCTGAACTATGAGTGACATACCGACAGAATGTTGATAACGCTCATGACCATGGCCAGGACACCCGCTGATATAACGATACGCCAGAACGCCAATCCCAGATGCTTCTGGTCCATTACCTCAATGTTCAGGTTGCCTAGCATGGCTACCCCTAAGATCATCATGATTCCCGCAAGTGCGAGGAAGCCTGAATCTTCACCGAATAGGGGCCAGTTGCGGTTGAAATAGCCTCGGAGGATGGGCAGCTCGGAAATGATGAGAAAGACTATATGCTGTCAGCTCTCGCCCTAAAGTCATGTAAAGACACCACCCACTGCTGATAAGCGCAACCACGGCATGAGTGACAGCTTGGAAAAAGAAGAATCCGTTCTGCATGTTGATTTTGACCAGCATCACAATGCAGGCGGCGATCATGTCGAGAAAGACGACGATATTGAGGGCGCGGACGGCGTTGAGAATCACATAACCTGGACCAGCCAGAGACTCCTTGAGATTTCCCATCATAATTGCTGGTAATTTCTCTAGCGGTTCGCAAAGAAAGTGTAGTAAACAAGCGGTATCGATGGAAGGTAGAACTTGGAAGCAGCGTGGATTAAAAGGACGGGAAGTAAGCAACCGACCAGCAGAAAGCTTGACGTCCCAGAGAAATTAGATAAAAGAAGTGAACAAAAGAAAGAGGTCAGCTCGAGGATATATTAGGGAAAAAGGAAGAAAAGAAGAGAGGCGGCGAAGAATATACTCCATTCACACCTTTCCACGGCGCGTCGACAATGGGCGACAATGGGAGTCTCCTAGAATAGTTCCTGAAACAATCACTAGGCCGATGCGTGACAGGACAAAGGGATATAATTAGGAAGCCCCTCGGGACCGGGCTTTCTTCAGGCAATAGACGTTTCATAATCAGATCCAAGGCAGCGATTGGCATAGTTTAAGCGCAGAGATCTAAGTATTGAATCAGTGGCCCGATTTACTAAGCTCAATCTAGACAGAGCTCTATTGCCTTCTCGACCACGTTTCAAAATAGGCGAATGAGTGGCTGACAAGCACCGATGATGGTTCGCGGTGAAACCAACCCCGTCCTTGGGCGCTTGCTTGTTTCGGTGGTATTCAACTAACCTTGTGACATGACACCTCACACCCTCCCTCAAGAGGATGAAAGGATCATTGAAACCCTTGGGCACGTTCCATGAGTCTCTCCATGATACATATCTACTCCTCGGGGTCTCCAGGTCTAGGGATCGGGCCGAGGCAAGATACCAATACCGCCTCGACGCGCCCAGTCAAGCGCCCGCCAAAACATACCTTTTTCGGCATTTGCGAAGAGACAAAACGTGAATAGCATCTTATCTCCCAGATCAGGATAAGCATGGAAGTTGAAAGAATGCAAGTTCCTTGCCACCGGGCCCGCTGATTCGCGGACCTCAGTGAGGCCTTTTTGGCCGCCGGCGATGAAAGGCCCCGCCCCCGCCGACTTTTTTTTCCTTCTTCAACTATCGCATCACCCTCAAGCCTCTTCTCCTTCCGCCTTTATTGCAACATGACCCGGGGTAACCAGCGGGATACTGATCGGGCCAAGGCCCAGAAGAAGCTTTCTGCCGGCGTTCGTACCCCCATCGCCAACCCCTACTTCAAGACTGACCCCCCAATAGAAGAACAAGAACACCATGTCGGGTACTGAGTACCAGAAGTCCAAGGAGGATGCCGCCGCTATTATGCGCGAGAAGCAGCGCAAGGGTAAGTTTCGCGATTCCAGCCATTGAGACCCCGGGAAGACACAAATCTGACTCTTTGATCCTACAGCCGACGAGAAAAGGCAAGCCGAAGCAGGCGGGAAAAAGAAATAATCCCAATGCGCCCATCCCCATATATCACGCCCTCTCTTTGTCCGAGTTCAACAATTCGATCCGAATGGAAATGTACACATGTACATACCACAGGCTATACGACTGCCATTGGTGACAACCATCTCTTGGATACTGTGACGAGGCAAAGGTATATGGACCGCGTAGAGGACTAGACCACATGTGCCGGCCGGCTCCCTTTTAGCGTTACTTTGTGCCGGTGTCCAGCGAGGCTTTTTGACTCCCAAGGCGTTCATTCCCCATTGCAAATACCCATATAAACCCCATCGCGAGAACATATATACGAGTCATGATAGAGACCTGCTGAGATCAATTCGCTGATCCAGGTGAATTCGATCTATTGTACATTGTTCTGTCCGTAGGATACCCAGTAACCCTTCGCTCTGGCTAATCGAGTCTTCCAGGGCCATTTGGGCGCGTCGGCCTGAGTTGTAGGATATTCCGGTTCAGTATCATCTTTATCCTGGTAAAAAACCTCATCAACCACCGTTTCCAAGTCAAAGTGGCGGACAGTATGATCAACAAATGTCCATAGGCTTTCCCCTTCCCATCCAACATCGCGCGCAAATCGAAGAGCCCGGCTGACGCTTTCTCCTCGGACTTGCTGCTCAGGGACTTGTTCAAGAAGATATTTCCCAAACGCCCAACCTGATATATCTCGCGGGTTAGCAAGACACCAGTCGAGCGTCGGGTTGATCAATATTCTGGCTAATTCGACCGTCCAGCTTACGCAATCTGTGACATCAGTAGATGTGTTTGCGAGAAGAAGATGAAGCCGCCGCATATAATTGAATGCATAATAGTTCTTGGGATGCAGTTCCCCAGCACGAAGAACAATATCGAGCTCCGCTCGCTCGAGTTTCAGCAACTCTTCCGAGTTGAAAGATCGAATTAGGAATAATTGGCCCAGCACCCATAGACGATGCGACCACAGCGTCGGAGATTTGGTATGCCTATGTAGCGGCGAGCATTGATAGGAAGCCAGGAGCGTCAACTCCGTCTCAAGCATATGTATCATCAAAGGAACTTGGTCCGAGACCTTCAGGCAATGCGAGACAGCTGCCAGCAGCCGGCGTTTCCGCCAATTACACGCGGTAAGATGCTCACAGTCAAAAAGTAGCATGATCTCGGTGATAGGTGGGCCAGATATACTCGCTGAATCGGTTCTCTTTTCCAGAAGCTCGAGTTGGAAGTCATCGTCGGACATGGGCATCAGACGCTTGATGAAAAGCTGTCGTGCGATCGTGAATGCTTGAACCAGAGCCTTCTTAGTGATACCAATCGAGCATCCATCCTGAAGGAATGAAGAGCCTAGGCTCGAAGGAATGATCTCGATCTCAAGCACCTTGTTGTCCCGAGAAGAGAGGACGGCGGCGAGACCATGGAATGCATTTTCCGAGGTAGTCATGGATAACCCAGACTATCGCAGTAATGACACTGTTATAGTGAGTTCTCGGGTTGCATGACCCTTCGATCTGGGTTGCTGGCAGCTCTAAAGATCGGAGAAAGTGCGCGTGGGGAGGAGCATGTAAAGGCGGAGACGCACATCGGCGGCTCGTTGCGACTTCCACCCTTCCAGATCGCCTAAACGTCATTTCGCCATCAACCCGCGAAGCTCGGCGACGACAGGTGCTTCTCTGAAACACTATACAGGCAGACGTGTCCTTTGTGAAGCTTATCATCTAGCTTCTGGCTCTCCTCAGCCCGCGCCACCCTGATCAATTACCCCCGGCTGCCTGACCAACCCCCGCCATCATGCTGTCGCTCATTCTCACGGTCCTCTTCGTGCACATCGCAATTTACCTGGTGAACACTATCGGCGCAACTACAATCGATGCATTGGTACGTGTACTGATATTTGGAGTTGGGGTAGATCCCAGAACTCGATTGCACGTCTCGGAATAGCTTCAGCTGACTCTCGCCTTCTTGTTAGTTATGGCACCTCTACCTGAAAATACCGACATCGACCTCTCGAAATGCCCGCGAGCAGCAGAAAAAGAAGAGTGAAGCCACGCTGCTAAAGCGCGAGATGAACAACACTTCCTCACAAGACGAGTTCGCGAAATGGGCCAAGCTCCGCCGCCGACACGACAAGGCCATGGAGGAATACGAGAGCATGAGTACGCACCAACTAAATCTATAGATTACAGAAACACCCAACTAACACAGTACCTCCCTCCAACAGACAAGATGATCTCAGCCCAGAAAACCTCCTTCGACTGGAGCGTCAAGACAGCTCGATGGCTCAGCACGAACGGCCTGAAAATCTTCCTCCAATTCTGGTACTCGAAGACCCCCGTATTCGCGCTCCCCGCCGGCTGGTTCCCCTATTACGTTGAATGGATCCTTTCGTTCCCGCGAGCACCGCTGGGCTCAGTGAGCATCCAGGTTTGGAGCAACGTGTGCGCGACGACGATCGGAGTCGTGGCCGAGATTTTGGGAGCAATGCTGGTGCAGGCTATTGGGCAGAAAAAGAATGCCGTGCCGGCTAATGGCGACAGTAAGAAGACGCAGTGATGAAGATACGACATGTCCTAGGGCTGGTGTACATTATCATAGGCGTGGGAGGATTTAGGTCTACGGTTCAATGAGTATAGCATAGCCATTTGCATTCGAATTCAAGTAATGTTTGAAATTCCATTGGGTATCATAACTAATCATAAAATATCTGCAAAGTAACTAAAGGGTGAATGTTCATCAGATAGAATAAATCGTTTCTCGTCAAGAACCCCCTTGGGGGTCTCAGGGCTTGACTCTATGATTGGTATATCATCACGCGAACAAAAGCTCATGGCAGCGAAGGAGGAAAAATAAGTTCAAGATCGAAGAGTCCGGCCCCTTCGACAGGGCATCTGCGACAGCAAGGTCACCGCTTTGCCATAAGCTACAGACTCGAAAAAAAGATCATAGAACTCCTCGCCTCAAGAATGAGCCCCATTGAGTTACCTCATTCGTAAGAATGAGGGCAATCGCATGACTATCGAACCTCGACGAAAGGCAACCCGATACAAGGAAGACCGAAGTCCCCCTTCCCCTCTCCAACCCCAAACACACATCCCATTGTGACCGGCTTCCCGTCGGATGGTGCGTAGGGCTGGGAGGGAGTAGGGCAGTAAGCCGCTATCGAATTGCTTCTATGGCGGCGCGTTTCCGCATTGCCTGACTTGGACAACTTTGGCGAACCAAAGCGCAGGATGTCCGGGGACTTTCTCCCAAAGCAAAGGGAAAAGAAGCAAGCTTCCTTGTGTGTGAGCTTTGAATGCGATTCTTTGAGCGAGGAGTTGAAGAGAAGAAGTGTTGGTGGGAATTTCAATTTTTTATTTGTCGGGCAGGTCATGTGATTGGACTAGGTCGAGTTGGGGTAAGCGGGTCATGTGATTTGTATATACCTGGGGCTCATTTGAGTCCGCGGTTGCGACTCAGTAAAATGCGCCAACACATGTACTTATTTTCATAACCCGATTTCCCAAACTGTTAGATTGCTCAAGCAATGCCAACACAAAAGTACTAAATGACGGAATTCTTTATCATCGACTCAACAGTATCAATGACACTCTTTTCCAGGCCAATGTACTCCCACTTGCCCTCCTTGGTACCATCGGCGAGGATTCCCAGACTCACGCGCATATCCCACCCCGTCGGATGAACTCCAGGAGGTAATATCTGGGAGGGATTACCCTTGGGGACCCGATCAGCAAGGGCAGGGAAGTTCTTGCAGATACTGTTGACCACCAGTTGGGGTGATATGAGACCTGAGATGAGGATAATCCGCTGATTTGCCGCCGAAGAGTTTTCTAGCGCATCTACATGACTCCGGGCCACGTCGCGAACATCCACCTGAATGTAAGTAAGCATATAAGCCAAATTCTCTCGATTTCCAGCTTGCATCTTGCTAGACGGCAAAGATGTAAGCCCTGGCGGACAACTTACAAAATGGTAGAAAGGGAAGGTTACACCGTCAATCTCCTTGTGGGTTCCATCAATAAAGCTCGCTATGGCAAAATGATTGGTCTCATTGATAGATTGAGGGCCTGAGATCGGGTGGATCATTGGGCCAATGATGATGTCCGGATTGATTACGGCCAGATCAAAGGAGGTAGTGTTCTGCTTCATGAATTTCCACGCAGCAGCCTCGGCTCGTGTCTTGGACACGTTATATCCCAAAACGGGATCATTTCTGTCAACTGCTTGCTCGGCCGTCACCTGTACCAGGTCAGATCAAAAGAATGTTTTGATAAAGCAGACGCCAGCCATATTTACCGGGTTCCAATCCTTCTCCGTATACGGCTTGCCTTCCTTGGACATGTCTTCGAAGGAGTTAAGCATGGATACGGCACTTCCCAAGAGAACGAAACGCTTTAACGCGGTGCCACCATGCTGATGGGCAGTCTTTAGGATCTCGGTGGTCCTTTCAAATGTGAGCTGCGACTCATGCTGGGACATTTCAGGCAGTCATCTTACCCCTTTTCTGCAGGCTCGATCATCTCTTTTCGGATATCAGACACTTGGAACTTCAAAGGTGATGCCGTGTGGATCACATAACTGTAAGGCGTCTTTGGGCTCTCGAAGAGATGGTCGAAAGGTTTAGCCGATGTGAAATCAGCGACGATTACAAATTTCACTTTATTTTTCCAAGATGGATGTGTTTTCATGACATCTTCCGCTTTTCCTTGGGAGCGCACCGTTGCAGTCACGGTGTATCCACGCTAATGGTAGATCAGCCAGCTGGGATTTAGGAATTTGAACGGTATTTGCCCACGTTTATCAGGATGGCCAGGATATGAGAGGCCACAAAGCCATTGGCACCCGTCAGCAAGACGTGTGGGCTGCTATTTTCGGCACTTGACATTGCGAAGAGCAAATGGACAAAGATTGTTAAGAAGGTTTTCACCAAATCGTAGACCCTTATGATTTCGGTATTGGATTATGGCACCGAATATATTAAAATAAAAATTTGGGGGGAACTTTGGAACTTCACGGATAGCAAATGACGCTTTCATTTTCTCATACACAACGGAGACGCTCTGGCCTGCTTGAAATGTGGCGGGAGTTGATCGATCATGCTGACGTGATATAGTACACCTCTGCTTTGGATGTATTTGGTTGCGCCATCCTTTCAACACTAACATCATGTTGATCAAGATGCATTATTCAATGTAACTTATCATTTATTGGTATACTACTAGTATTACTGATGAGAAGACCTACTTTCTAGTTTGAAATAGCTTGAAATGGGCATTTACGAAGAGTAAAAAATATATAATAAATAAAGAGAGCTACGCGGACAGTTAGAAACGAGCTAAAATCCCCGACGGAGCCGATCCGCGGGCGGTAGTACCCCTTCTTCTTCTAGTACTCGGAAGGTATCTTCCAGCTCCTCCCATGTATCCGCATATCCTGTCCATCCCAGCTTCCGGGCTTTGCTCATACTCGCCACACAGCTCCAGTCCCGGCCCATGGTCAAAACTAGAAAATCCCAGGTTGCCTTGTCCCAGGCCCGTTGATCAAGATGGTACTTGTCTCTCAGGCCAGCCCAGGCTTCATTCACGTCAGCTCGACGCGCCCACTTCTCAATATCCACCTGAAGGAAGAGTTTGGGAGAGTTTTTCACCAAACTATCCGACGAGAGGCCCAGAGATGATGCATTCGCCTGGAGAGGCGGCCTGTTCTGCAGTGGGATCGTCAACGACTCGTAGTTCCGGTACCCCTTTGTATTCGGCACACCACCATTAGGGAACATTGGATCCGGGATCTTGCATCCAAATCGGGTAGCAAGACGAGGCCACAGGTTATGGAAGGATTCTGTGTCACCATTCATCACATTGAAGATGTTATTGCCCGCACCAGGGGCCTTCGCGGCCCAGAGGCAGAATTTGGCGTGTAGGTTTGCCGATGTCCAGCAGTTGAACGTGAAGTAATTGGCCTTGCTACCTGGGAAAGGCAGCTCAGATCCTGGCAAAGCTTTGCTCACAGCGCAGTAGAGCCCAATAGAGGTGGCCTCATTCATGAAGTTCCCCCGCGCATACCCGAGCACGTCCTCGGGCAGCGTGGCGACCCATTCCCATCCGCCTTTGGCGGCGGCTTCAATAAGTACTCTTTGTTGCTCGTAGTAGAAGATAGGAGGCCAACTGACCCCTTCTTTGTTCTCTAGCAAGGGGTCATCTTCCAGGAAAGGCTGTTTGGCCTGTCCGAGGTGGACGCCGTACTGCTTGAAGCCACAAGTGAGGATAAAGCGCTTGATCTTTTTGTCGGCTCCAGTAACCTTGAGGGCTTGGAGAAAGTTGCTCAGGAGCGTCACGTTTACACGCAACAACTCTTCCGGATCCTCGGGGACCAGATAAGCACAAAAGTAGATAAATTCCGCAGAGACTTCATTAAGGTTGTCTGTCATGTCCTCTACAGAGCTCTGAAGGTCCATGGTAACATGTTGGACCTTCGGATGCTGGTTACCAGGATTGCGTCGAGAGAACGAGTAGACTTTTTCAGAGGAGCTATCTTTGATCAGGTGGTGAACAATGGCGCTTCCGGTGATGCCTGCTCATTTTTTAGCTTCACAGATTCAATTGACAAGGAAGCGGAGATACCCGTGGCGCCCGTAACCAAAGCAGAAGACATTTTCAATGAAATTGAATAATGTGAACTTTGGCACTCCTAGACTACCTAGGTAGTAGGCTGCCCTTTATAAGCTTCGGTCGATGTCCTACGTCACCGCTGTATCTCACGCATGTTCAGAGGACAGCACAGTTTTGACGTAATGATTACTTTGGACAAAATACTCCCAAGACCTCAAATCCACTAAGCCCTCGGCCATTAAAGTCGATGATAGCGAAAACAACTAGAAGTTGTAGCAGGTGCAAAATCAAAGTAGAACTCTCTTAGCATGGCCTGATATTCTTCAACAAAAGGGCCCGGAGCTAATGTTCATGACGGTGCATTTGATTCGGGTGTAATGTTTGCACATTGTCATAACAACAAACAACCACCACCCCCAAACAACCCGAACGGGCTAAGCATTCAAGTTACACTGCAAGGGCATTCTTGACCAAGAGATACCAGGACAGTATCCTAATAGCCATGGCTTTGGAGCCGGATCGACAACTTTGACGGACCGACAAATGTATTTGCAGTCTAGCGATAGTCTTGCGTAGGCAAGTGAAGTTCGGGCGTTTCTTGATTATCTGCCATTTGAAGCCATCAGGAGCTCCATGCCGGCTCTCGTGACCGGTTATTTTGACCAACCGATCGTGGCTGGGCTTAGGCACCCACGAACATAAAGAGAACTCCCCTCGTGTTCCCGGACCAGGTTTCAAGGGAATGAAACCCACGTTCACCGCCATTGACCAGATTCGCTTGCAAACTTAGAATGTATCTAGGTACCATTTGTGGGTCACGTCACGGTGGGCTTCTTCCCCAGAAACAATCAAGAGTCTTCTAAGGTCGAGACTCCATCTGAACTCTAATCCATGGTCTTCCGTGGACCATGCACTGTCCCTGAATCACCCCATGCGGATCATTGGGCTGACCAGTAGACTTTATACCCTCAGCGGCATGTCTGGGTCTAAATCTAGCCTGCCTTATATAAAGACGCGAGGGCTTAGACAGTAGTACTATTCATTCCTTACTAGAGTATGTATCAACATCAGCAATCCGCATCATGCCAAAGAAAAAATAACACAAATGTCATCGTAAGCCGTGCAGCCCGCCCTGCCTGCCAAGTATACTATGACTTCCCTCATTGCTTCAAATTATATGCTTATGCTTACAAACCCAGCGCACCAGAAAGATAGCTAGCTCTCACTCGGGCCACAGGAAGACTTCAGCCTTCCACACTTGACACCATCTTCAATGACCTCCCACCGTTGAAGCAGGAGTAACTTCTAGGGGAATGGAACGGTGGCTTTCTTGAAATAGACCATTCTATGGCGAAAACGCTCCGCGACATAAAGTGGGTCGGCAAGTCGTTCAAGTCTGTCGACCAGGTTGACTCTATCATCGTGAAACTCGAGGGCAAGAGAGCTAGCTGGAGGCAGTGGGTATCTGCCACAGTGAGTATGTCCCCAAATCATTTAGCCAGCTCTCTGCAAATCACTTAAATGAATGGGTATAAGATGTCAGTTCAGTTTGCTAACGCTATTATTTTTTCGAGGTGCGTGAGATGATGTATCAAGGGGTTGCCTCATCAACAATGATTTATGACGATCGGCCGGTGTTTGATCATTTCCGCTATGTGAATGAGAGCTTGTGGCAGGCATCATGGAAGGCAAGGCATTGGGTAAGGCAAGGTATTTTCATCTCTATTTGAAGAGATAGATAACGTATATACGTACAGCAAGCAGGGTATTATCAGTAAACTAATTCCCGGGCCACCTACACTGCGAATACTATGGCTTACCCATACAGTGACGAGAGATGAAGACTTGTATTACCGAGAATAGAAAACTTTCTATATTATTATAGAGTGCTATTGATATTCCGGTTCTATTCCCAATATGTTATAGTAGATCTTGGCATTATAGTTCGAGAACCAATAAAAGAGTGTAGGTAGTGGCACTTCAAGACGCACTGTACCATCTAGTGTTCGAATGTATACTTTTCATAGAATTCTTTTCATCTAGAAAACTGGAACATAACAAAATGCATAGAAAGGCTATGTGACAGAAAAATACTTGAAATTCAAATTTTGTACACCCATTACGCCTTGGTCTTGGTAGCCTTCTTAGCCTTCTTCTTGGTCTTGGTGGCCGCGGGCGACTCAGCAGTAGCCTCCTTCTTGGACGTCTCCTGCTCGGCCTTCTTGCCCTTCTTGGGCTTGGGGGTATCTTCAGTGGGGGCAGGGGCCTCAACAGCCTTCACGGGCTCCTCAGCCGGGGTCGCGACCGGGGTCTCGGAAGCCTCAATAGCCTTGGGCTCTTGGACAGGGACATCATCCACGCTCTTGAGCTGGGGCAGCTCGATCTCGTAACCGAGAGCCTTGAGCTTGTCGGCCTTGGCCTGGCGCTTGCGCTGCTCTTGTTCAATACGCTTGGTCCACTGCTCACGGCTCTTGCCCTTCTCGAGTCTCTTCTTCTCGATGCGGTTCCACGGAGTGCGCTTGAAGCGACGGTTGGCACCCTTCCAGACATCGGGGTGAAGTGACTCCACAGGGACATACTTGCACTTCAGGATGTGGCTGTACATCAGGTAGTTGTCCATGGTCTCGGCAACAATTTTGGCAACAGTAACGGAGGCGAACTCGACGAAGGCGTAGTGCTTAGAGCGACCGGTCAGACGGTTGCGAGAGAGGCGAAGACGAGTGATCTCGCCGAACTGAGAGAAGTAGGCGCGCATCTGGTGCTCGTAGAAACCGTGGGGAATGCGTCTGAGAGGTAATATTAGTATGTAAACCCGAGACAGCCATGAAGGCGAGTGCTTACCCAATGTAGACAGTACCAGGCTCCTCGGGGGCATCGCCCTTTTGTTGATTTGCGATCTTCTTCTGTGCCTTCTTGGTATCAGGGATCTTAGGGACCGGCTTATCGGGGTTGTAGCCCTCGTCGCCAGACTCGTCTTCATCGCCACTGCTCTCGAAGCCCTTGATGAGGGCAGCAGTCTGATCATCCTCGGCATCATCGATCTCCTCCTCGCTCTCAGAAGGCATAGACAGGATGTCTTCCTCGTCTTCCTCCTCGGACTCGACTGGGGCCTCGACCTTCTTGGCCTTGGGAGCGGCCTTGGGAGCGGCCTTCTTAGCAGCCGGGGCAGGAGCGGCCTCCTCCTTCTTGGACTTCTTGTTCGAGGTCTTCTTGGGGACGGGAGCGGCAGGCTCATCATTCTCCTCATCGCTGAGGAAGTCGGAAGCGCGCTTGCGAGGCTTGACTTGACGAGCAGGCTCGCCATTGGTCTTGGATACGGCCTTGGGAGCAGCCTTAGTCTTCGAGTCCTTTGCGGCGCCACTCTCTTTCTTCTTCAGAATCGACTTGGGAGCATCGCTCTTGGTGGCCTCGGTGGCTTTGGCCTCAACCTTCTTGGTCTTTTTGGCGGGCGGGTCGCTGACGACGGGCGCTGTTGGACAATGATTAATTAAGATGCAAAGCTTCGAGAACACTCGTAGTCGGTTAACATACCCTTGCGCTTCTTTTCTCTCTTATCAGGGGCCATTTTGGACTTGAATTGCGGTAATTGAAGTCTGCAGATCGAACGATCCTGCTGCGGGAAACTTTTTTTTTCTTGCTGATTTGCGGAAGGCGGTGAGTCCCCACAGGGCCCTTGGCAAGTCATGGACAGCACATCCTTCCAACTCTTTCAGATATTTGGGTGGCGGCCATGGGGAAGTCTAAACGTGCAAAAGACCTAACTCATGAGGAGATCTGGGATGATTCCGCCTTGGTACGATCGTGGGACGATGCGGTTGAGGAATACCAGGTACGTTCAGCCAGTCATAACTCACGTGACCGTTATCTAACTGTCCATGGCAGCTCTACCACAGCATTCAAGCAAAGGGGGAGAATGTTGAAGATGTCCTGAAACAAGCGGAGGAAGAATGTCTTCCCCACGAGGATCCTTCCCTTGCTGCAGTAGAGGATAACGCAGATGATGTCTCTATGGAGGCCGAGACCGAGGACGGAGCAGGTGCAGGCTCCATATCGCAGGTATGCAAATACAATCAGATGCGCATGGAACCTACTGACAAGACCCAGGCCCTACCGTCTGTCCCTCAAGCACAACAGCAGTCTGTTGAAACTGCACCAACTCCTGCAGCCGCCCAAGGCCCAACTGGTGCTATGCCAATGCCTGAAGCAATTCTATCCCAAGGTATGCGCTCTTTGAAATCTGATCATTGATATGACAAGAGGGCTAATCAAACCCACAGTTCAGGACGAGAATTTGAAGCGCCTTATGATGTCCTGGTACTACGCGGGCTATTACACCGGTCTTTATGAAGGCCAGCAACAAGCCAACCAAGGAAAGAGCTGATTGACTCTTGAATGATACCAACAACAACACATGGCATAGGGTTTGAAACCCCCATGTAATGGCGATATTTCTAGTACATTTACATACTGCATAAATACCATGCCGCTGAGCCAAACCATGAAGCCTATTTCTACGTGTATACCTAGCTTAGCAGTAATCGGAGACATTTAACCTTCATATACGAACGCACATTAATGCAGAGCTCAGGAGAGCGAATACTTGATACTGGGTATATAAGCGATCAATTCACCGAGAACGATCTTAGCATATTCGTGATTCAGATTAAGTTCGCCATCAACACTACAAAAGAAAGTACAGGAATAGCAAGACATCCATCTCCCAACAGAACCACTTTCCTCGGACCAACAAGAAAGGGTTGTCTTGAATATTGTCTGGTGAGATCACCTAGAAATTTTACAAAGGACCACCAGTACCACCGAGGAGGCCACCGACGATGGGAATCTTACCCAAAGCGTTGGGCTGGGAGGTAGGGTGGTGAGTGTGAGTAGCGGTAGGAGTAACGAAGTCACCGGAGCTGGGCTTCTTCTGAGTGCGGCTAGGCTTGTCATCCGTGGTATCAGCCTTCTTGTCATTAGCAGCCGAGTCATTGTCATTGTCGTGCTTGGCTGCCTGAGCAGCCGCAGCGGCGGCCTGCTCAGCTTTGTTGTCCTCGTTCTCCTTGTCGTTGGTGTCCTTCTTGTCGCCCAAACCTTCCAGCGATTGCGTGGCAGTCTGTAAGAATGTCAGTGGATGTTGAATATCAATACTATTCATATAGGGAAGACTAACCTTTAGGCCAGCAAACGCATTTTCAAGGGTTAGATCCTGGGTGGAATCGCGCTTGGTAGGCAGGGACAGAGCGATGGCAGCGAGGACCATGAAGATGGTAAGCGAGAAGATGCTGAAGCGGGCCATGATGGATTGTGAATATTAAGCAAAGAGGTCGAGAGAAGGTAAATATATTCAAATATCGAGGATGCAAGCGATTGACGATGGCGATAGAACCAAATGAGTGTTGTCTATAACCAGATAAAAACAGTTGGGCAAAGGGTGATCGGAGCGAGGTGGGAAATTAGGTTGGATTTATACTAGAACCCCTTGTTATTACAGTACAGGGCGAGAATGAGGGGGCGAAGGGCCACAGGGCGTGGGGCCATACGTTGCCAGGAGCATGTTGATGTTTTCTTACGCGTTCATGGACGCGGTAACTAGAAATGACACTCACATAAGATATTCCTCTTTTCCTGTTTTTCAGTGGCTAGAGTATGTATCTTATCGCACATGAAGATATGGTCTTGGCCGTGTACATGCAGCTTCGACCACCCCGAGTCGACAATGATCTTCAGTATTCTATGTAAGGGGAAATATCCTCCAGTCGGAGTAAACAACGAGAAGGGAGATCTCCAATTCATGTTTCGAGGTGTCTGGCAGTCAAGGCTATACATTCCAGACAAGCACGTTTTGGGTTGCATTTTCCGCATATCATTGTCTCAAGTGGTTGGCATGTCTCTCGGGTGCCCCGATACTGAACAAGCCAAATAAAGTAATGACTTGGCTATTTCAGAATCCATAAATACGCAATGGAAGATGAATGAAAGCCATGAAGAACCAATAAATTTGAAACTAACTGATTATTCAAAGACCCGACCAGTGCACGGGATCAATGGGGACCCTCCTACATTCCACAGCCTCGAAGAGACGACGCGCAGGGTTGCACGGCTTTGGATAGCTATTACAAGGTCCTTGATTTAAGTAAGAATGTATCTCCCTACTTTGACACGAACAACTCCATATATAGGGAGCAGACGCAACACGAGGGAGTCAACAGAAAGATCTTGTCCAACTATTGAGGGTTCGTTTTTGGCACGAATTTTGACCTCGAATATCATGGAATATGACGAACAAGACTTCGAATGTGCCGTACGTAAGGGGTGGGATGGGAGGCGATACTATTTAAATGCTGATCACATCGGCGATGAGTTCAGGTCCTGTAGGTTAGTTAATGGCGTCGCAGTCAAAAGGCTCCCAGGTCAGTGGCCATAAGATTGAACAGACAAACATCACATCTGCAATTCCTTCACCAGTGACCTGAGAGAATCCCAAGACGGCGACAACGTGAGTCGCACACCTGTCATAGACGAAAGTAACGCATCCCATCCCAGCAATGTGTCAACAATGATGCTTCTCTCGAAGCTTGGAGATCCGAGACCACATGTCTTTAGATTCCGATGGGAAAAAAATCCCTATTCCTAGGGAGTGTGTGCTCAAAAGCGAACCCGTTCACCTCGTGTCAAGTCAGGTGGCGGGATTAGAACGAGCATACATCACTCTGGGTCTCACTTTAAATTTGCCAGGGGAATAGATGTCCTCTTGCAAGGGTATGGAGACCGTGTGTAAGTAAGTTGAAGAAGAGAAAGGAGAGAAGAGCGTGGGCGGAAGAAAACTTGACCCACGACATATGCTTATGTCATCGCATCACGTGCAAGGCCCCAAGCGGGACAGAAGATACAAGCTCGTTTCCATGCCCAATCCCTCAGGCCGCTAAAAGTGAATGGTTGGTTGCAGGGGAATCAGGCCCTCCTTCTGACTCGGCCCACGGGCTTTTTGGACCAACTCCACTAAGCACCCCAGGTGCTCTGTCCAAACCAAGCACATTCTGTACTAACTAGCACTCATCAGATTTGTTGATTGCTAATATCATAGCTATGTCTTCGTGAGGCACTTCTGCCTTTGGAACGGAAATTACTCGCTTTGTCACAATGTCACTATCGACAATCAACAGTCTGAGTACTTTGCCACCAAGTCTGCCCTTTTAGCTCAGTCGTAGAGCGCGCCACTCGTATAATTTCAAGGAATAAAAGCGTCATGGTGAGGTCCACGGTTCAATCCCGTGAAGGGGCATTCCTTTTTTGAACCTTTGTCAATACCGTCGTGCAATGTAATCGCCACAAAGGCCAACTCTCCCGCGGAGGCATAGTTTCTGATCCTCCTATGATTAGCCCCAATAATGGACTACTTTTAAATTACAATTTCGATTCAAGAAAAAATTGTGAACTTTGCTCGCCTAGCGATAAAGCCATTGGTCCCACTGTTTTACCTTCAAAACAACATAACTACTTCTTTCGCGCTCTAAGTAAAACAATTTCTTGTTATGGTCATATTATAGCCTCGCTTTCTCCGTTTCACGATATCTTGACAAGCTAGGTTCTAGTCCGGTTTGTGGTAAGAGTACGTACAGGTTAGACAGAGTTATAGAAGAGCTCAATAAGTAAAGCACCTTGATCGCCAGACACGCTTCCAGGGACCTTGACTTAAAATGAAGGATTTTGTCAAGGTGAGATGAAGTGTAACTTGTCCAAAATTATGAAAGCATACCAGGCAATACCCAGTCCAATCTCACAAGTTCACTAAAGTGGATATGCTAACAGAGCTGTAATTCATTTTATGCCAGGCTCTTCGCGAAGAACTCAGCACACTTCGCACCAGCATCGTCAATCTTATCATAGAGATCCGCGTGGGTCATACCATCCACAACATACAACTCCTTCGGCTCCTTGGCCTTTGCAATAGCGTCCTCGCTGTACCACTTAGTGGCAGCCTTGGTGCCAGTGATCATCAAAAGAGGACGCGGACTGATCATTTCAATATGCGCAAAGGCATCAAAGTTCGCCATAATATCCCAGCTGCGTGGTAAGGTGGTATTCGTAGCACGAGGGTGGAAAGCCCTGTCAGTGCGATAATAGTTCATCAGATCGCGGAACGCGTCAGGGAAATCAGCAGGAGCATCCTCTGGCTTTTCAGGAAGCAGGTGGACAATTGGAACTTTCTCGCCGCCAACATCGCTGTTGCGATCCTTGCCAGCAGCTTCAAGCTGCATTTTGAGAATATCCATGTTGGAAGAGTCCTTTTCGAGGCCACGGCGAGCCATAGTACCGGCGCACACGGCGGCAGAGGTTGCGCAGGCCTTGATGCGCAGGTCGGTCTGGGCTGCGAAAGGTGCATAGCCCCCTGATGCACAAATTCCGAGAACACCAATCTTCTCGGAATTGACGTCTTTATGGCCGACGAGATATGTCACGGCGCACTTGATATCTTCGACGCGCTGGTAAGGGTCCTCCAGGTTTCGAGGCTCTCCCTCGGACTCTCCCTGGTAGGCGGCATCGTAGGTCAAACAGATGAAGCCAGCATGGGTGAGAACGCGAGCATAATTAGCAGGCGATTGCTCCTTGATGGAAGTCCACGGGTGGGCGATGATAATGGCTGCGCCAGAGCGGTCGGGGGAGCCAGCAACTGGGGGGTAGAAGTGGGCAGCGATCTTGTAGTTGCGGGAGAGGAAAGTGACTTTTTGAGGCAAAGACATGGTTGCAATGTCACCAGAGAAGTACGATGATGTGATTTAAGATATCTCAGATGGCCGAAACTGTCCTATTTATATTCAATGGGTTTTGACGGGTCACATTTGTCGAGTCCGATCATTTTCGGACCTTGAGGTTCATCTCGGGCTGCGGTGACGTATGAGACCCATTATGCATGCATAACTACGAATGTTTTCAGTGTTGATTTTTTTCTCGGACTTAAGGATGGCATGACCAATTTATTTTGTTTGTTTGGTGTCAGCAAGAGACGATTCAGTGTGTTGGTGAGAGTTAAGGTCCGATCCGGGGTGGACATATCAGACACCTGCCAGACAGGATCTTTCAAGTTCATAATTTATTATTGTTTCCACTGGTGCCACTTTGATATATGCAAGTTAGTCTCGCCTTCTCTGAAAGGTTCCTCAAACCCAGCAATATAGCTTTCCAGAATCTTTTCTGTAACATGGAATGCCGAATCACCGTCTTCGATGACCAGCTGATTTCTGAACGCCACTCGCCGACGCAGTTCTGCAGCGTCCACATCTAAATACACAAGCATCCAACTACCGCCTAGCTTTTCAACTAAAGACCTCCAATCATTCCTTTGTTCGCGGAATGAAAATGAGAAGTCGAGAATCGCATCGCAAGAGGCCCAGTGAAGCACCACGGACAACTGTCCTCGAAGCTCTTTTTCGGCTTCCTCTTTTTAATCACTATACTTTCCGGCCGGGTAGTCGACTTCACTTAGACATTAATGCCCATAGATATACAGATCTATTGAGAGACGCTTGAAAGATGGGTGCTTTGAAATTAGCATCGTGAAAGCGGAATTTACCGGAACCTGTATGAGGTCACATCTAAGATTAAAGTTGTGGTTGGAACATGCCAGCTCAAAATACAAACCTGCAATGCCACAAGTCATCACCCTGACTGGTCGAGAATCACTTTCTGTGCGCTTTATAACGGACCCGAGTGCTTCGGGTGATCAGTCGATGGAAGGTGTTGATGAAGCCGTGTTATGCAAGAGCAAAGAGATAGATTTGTGTCAGCAAGCAGATCAGAGATCTCTAGTATGGAAGGAATCAATTCAAGAACTCAAGAAAATCCATAAATGAATAAGTAACATGAGTCTTTCCGTTCGAGAAATCATGGCGATCTATAAAATCATGCCTCAGGCACCAGTCCCACCCTCACCCGTCGCATCCGCAAAATATCCAGGGAGAGATTCTAACATCCTTCACATACCGCAAAATGGGACGCAAAATACACAGGTCCTCGATTCAATTGTTAGTTTTTGCCCTGGCATTATTCTTCATTTTATATTTGAACCGCCCCGGATCTAAAGACAGATCGTTCTCATGGAATAAAGTCCGCTACAAGACCGCCGCCACCACTCTCCCCGAAGCCCGGGGTATTTGCCCAAATCTATCCGAGTCCAAAAAGCCTGCCCTCATTGTATCACACGTGGCAGGAGACGGTGATCCAGCTTGGGTCGACGCGCTTTCCAAACGGTACCATCTTTGCGTGTACAACGTCGATAAGGTACTCGACAAGACCTCAAAGTATCTTCAAGTGCCTATGAATCGCGGTCACGAGGCAATCACTTACCTCACCTTTCTTATCGACAATTATGCTGAAATCCCTGCATCGGGCGCTGTATTCGTGCACGGATCGCGCTTTGCATGGCATAACGACGCGCCGGACTACGACAATGCAGCTCTGCTAGCAACGCTCGATTTTGAGCGTGCGCTGCAATCAACCGGCTACCATAATCTTCGCTGTGATTGGAGTACCAGTACATGCTTGCCTTCTGCGCCTGCGCAAGGGAGTCTAGAGATGCGGCTTCAGTCTGCCGTAGCGCCATGGAGTGATCGAGCAGCGTCTGATGTTGCGCTGCCGAAAGCTCTGGCAGCTATTTTCGGCGGCAGCTTGGATGAGTATCAGGCCGTGCATCGGGAAGTAGATTTGCATCTTCATCTTGGACGGACGGAGATTGTTCGGTCACAATGTTGTGCGCAATTTATCGTTTCTCGAGAGCGCGTGTGGCAGCATTCGCAAGATGAGTATGTTGCGTTGAGACAGTGGCTTCTTGATGGGGCTGATGGGCGGATCAATTTCCGGTCTCGAAATGAGAAGGTTGCGCCGATGGATGATCGGGTTGCGGGACGGGTCTTGTCGTATTTGTGGCATATTTTGTTTGCCAAGCCGAATGCTGATGGCGGGCTTGATCTTGAACAACTTAATAGGGATGCTTGTCCGAGCGCGCAGGAATGCTACTGTCGTCTTTATGGGAGGTGCAATCTCCAGTGTCCTAATCCTGGGACTTGTTGGGGACAATATCAAGTGCCTCCGTACTTCAAGCTTCCTGATGACTGGCCGGAGACGCATCCTTGATCTATTCAGGTGTTTACATTCTCGCATTTGCATATCAGAGGCTTTGGAAAGGATTGGATGTCAATCATGGGATAAGTTCGATGCAAATCATAATCATATTATACTATATACAATTTCCAAACCATAAAACCAGCCTTTTAGAATCGGGCAAGAACGCGCTCCTGGGCATCAGCAACCGCGTATTCACTGCTATGCTTCTTGCTCATCACTGACTTGGCTTGCTCTGCAGTGAAGCCGCGGGCCTCAACAGCCGGGTTGTAACCGAGGCCAGTGATCTTAGCTACTTCCTCGGAAGGTACGGCGGCAGAGACCTTGCCATCGGGGCGCTTGTACACCGTGACGACAACAGCACCGCCCAGACCAAGGTTATGCTGGAGGGCAGCGTTGGTACCCTCAACCAAGCGGTTGTTCGCCCAACCACGCAGGTGCCAAACCAGCTCGGCACACTGGGCTAAGCCAGTTGCGCCGAGGGGGTGGCCTTTGGAGATGAGACCACCAGAGGGATTAATGACCATCTTGCCCCCGTAAGTAATGTCTCCACGACGGACCATCTCGTGGGCCTTGCCGGGCTCACAAAGCTCAAGGGCATCGATGGTAATCATCTCATTGGCTGAGAAGCAATCGTGCAATTCGCAGACTTTGATATCACCAACCTTCACGCCAGCTTCAGCTATGGCGGTGCGGGCAGCATGGCGCGACATGGCGAAACCCATCAGATCAATCGAGCTCTTGTTGAAAACCGCCTCAGAATCGGTAGCAAGGGTTTGACCGGCGATCAGGATGGCTTGGTCCTTCAAGTGGGGACGAGCATCAAGGAACTCCTGGGAGACAACAACGACAGCGGCACCACCGTCGGAGGTCGGGCAGCACTGGAGCTTGGTGAGAGGCTCATGGATCATGGGTGCGTTCATGACCTGCTCGAGGGTGTATTCCTGCTGGAATTGGGAGTAAGGGTTGCGCTTGGAGTGTTCGTGATTGATACGGGCGATCTCGGCGAAGTCCTCGTTCTTAGCACCGTACCTATTGACTCTCTTGTTAATATGTCGTTCTTTTCTTCAAAGCAATCGGGATCACAACGTACTTCTCCATATATTCCCGACCGGCGTTTCCAAACATCTGAGCAGCACCGGGGGCGTTCGTAATTCCACGGGTCTCGGCCATCATCATTCCGAACAGACCGGTGGGGTTGGCACGATCATTATACATGGACTGTAAGCTACCAGGGTTCATCTTCTCGAACCCAACAACAAGAACACAGTCGGCAGCGCCGTGGGCAACCATGGTGCGGCCCATAGCCAGACCAGTCGAGCCAGTTGAGCAGTTGTTATTGACATTGTAAATAGGAATATTGGTCAGACCGAACTGGTAGAACACGCGTTGGCCGCAGGTGCTGTCACCGTAGACATAGCAGGCAACGCCCTGGTCGACATCGTCGTAGCTGATCTTAGCATCGAGCATGGCCTTAATACCAGCCTCGTAGCCGAGCTCATTGTAGTCAACCTTGCCGCGTGGCTTGATGAACTTGGTCATGCCCACGCCCAGGACGTAGGCATTGCTAACTTGCTTCTTGACCATTGTGTCGGATAAAAAGTGGAACCGAGAATGGAGGTGTTATGTTTGCAGAAAGTAGCAAAATGCGCCTATATAGGGAGGACATCGGGTCACGAGTGGGGAAGTTCCCAGTGTGAATTTGCGGGGAACGACCGAGGTCCCGAGGGAAGCTGGCCCGAGGGATGTTGCACAAACCTCTAGTGCATAAACTTTGAGATCTTCTTTTAATAGCCTATATGAGTTCTCCGAGTCCTATCTTAAATTTAAAATGACTTTTAGTTCTTTCGACATGTGTTATGCCGATATTCGCGGTCAAGGCTGTCCATCACGTGCATTCACCCCATGACATGGTCTGTCTGTCGCGCACTCACCTTTCTCACCCCGGGTCGCGCGAGGCTAAAGCGACTCTCACCCTACATTCAGCCGGGACACAGCACTTGGCTATACTGATCTTTGAGGCTTTACAAAATCCTCGCATTTTGCTGTGAGTTTACAGTAACTACAGGATCACTTGACTGAAATAAAAGCCCGCACGGAGTGCAAGCATGAGTATTCAGACTTATTTTGTTTCATTAAGCTATGTTGCCAACTGGCATATGAAATCTTCGATCGAGATAGCATAAAGGCGCGCGCTAAGCGGCCTTGTTACATAAGTACGGAAACTGAAGATCACCAGACACCACCTCACATGAACTAGCAGCTTGTCGCTTTAAATACTACGTAGCAAGTCAATGAGTATTTGCAGCGATCCGAGAGCCTTCAAAGATGTGCAGAAAGTACAAGCGTGAGACAGATAAGACACGGGGATAGGTTTGTGCTTGATGAAGCTACGATCTTGCAGACATTTCATCATAAGGTGCTGTGGTCTAGTGGTATGACGCCACGTTGTGGAGACAACACAACAAATCCGTGTTAGCCCCGGTTCGATTCCGGGCAGCGCCATTTCTTTTTTTCTATTTCCTTTTTTTTCTTAACTCTCGCTGAAATTGTGACATAAAGTAGCCACTTTGGAGGGAATACATAGTGGGAAACGAGTATTCGTAATTATCTAAGAGCCTTGAAAATTTGTCCAGAAAATATAGCGTAATTCACTACCGAGCGGGCCACCGCACCATCATATCTAATGCCGTTTTTTACATCCTATATCTCAACAATCGGGACTCGTATAAAAGGCAAACTTCAAGATCATATTCTATGTAGTTAACATATTACCTATGTGGAATCCAGGAGTTTCCGAGAGTAACTTATTTGCAATATATATATTTATCGCTTATGCTGGTAACTTTGTTACTAAAATATCATATCATCAATATCCGGGCTATGGAGTCCTTTGGAAAGTAGATACCATATTATGAAGAATGCTTAATCGGTATCATTAAACTTATACTAGACTAGATTGAAGCGGTGATTCTTGAGATATAAACTGTAAAAACCGGCATTTAATATGCTGTTTTGCGGTGACCCGCTCAGTGGTGTGGCCCGCTCGGCAGTGAATTACATAATAATAGGATAAAGTAAGGCACAGAGAAAGTTTGGTGCTTAATCACACTATGATATTCAAAAATTTCCATCACAAGGTGCTGTGGTCTAGTGGTATGACGCCACGTTGTGGAAACAACACAACAAATCCGTGTTAGCCCCGGTTCGATTCCGGGCAGCGCCATTTCTTTTTTCTCTTTTAACTTTTTTGTAGCTCTCAGTTCATTTATCTGTATTTCTTGGTCCAATGTGAAACCTCCTTTTCACTCCTCGTTGGACAGAAATATAGACCTAGCCCTTGCCTATAATTTTCTTTTTACATAGACCATCCACTAATACGTTAGTAGTACCTAGGAGGCTTTTAAGCATATTTTCAGATAATAGTTGAGCAGGCGCAGATTCTACACACGAATATAGGACCGGTGTTTTCGGGGCCCTATATGACTATTCACGGACGTAGTCCGCTTTGCTCTAAAGAAACAAAGTTCAAGATTTGTCCTCAATCTGCGCTCGAGATTAGTATGAGCTAGACGACCAATTCTTGTAGGACGTCTAAGTTCGCTCGCGGGGGGCCGTTCCCGGGAAACATGCGGCTAAGGCTAAACCTTTCAGAAACCACGTTAGACATGCCAAGGCTATGAGTTCATGAGTTCTGAGTTCCATCCGTAGTATTTCTACCAATCGTTTCTTGTCGAGTTCGAGATCGTGTATCTCTGCAATCTACTGATAAGATTTATGCTTGTCACAACAAATGCATTAGCACATGCATTTTAGGCGTCTCTCGGGGCAAAGAGCTTGATCTCTTCTTCCTTGATAATGGTGACACTACCATGTTATTGGGTAGGCAGGTGAAGGTTCTTTGAAACATGGCATGAGAAACAAGGCATTTATGAATGAAGTTAGAGGCCTGACTCAAAAAGGTTCCAATCATGGTCTCAGCAGCTTATGGCTGCTGCTTGACCATGCAAGCCATTGATATAGCAGCGATAGTTCTCAGATTAAATTTCAGACTTGACCCAACGCGGGCGGTTCCACAGTTTCCCATTATCAATTATAGAAATAACCCAGGTATTGTGCCCCCGGCAGCGCTTCACGGTGGGCCTCCGATAATTTGAAAACTGGCTATTGGGGTGATAGAGCCCTCGACGGTCAAATCTTAGTAAACTTTGACATTCTACTAGCTATCTCGGTCAGCGAGAAGACAAACTTGGGAGGGAAATGACTATCAGTAGAGATCTGACCAAAAGAGACCTCAGGCACCACATGATTTTCTACTGCAAAATTCTGCTTAGAATTACGACATTGATTGGGACCGAGCAGGAGTGAGTACTGCTCAGAAACAGAGAATTCCTTCGGTAGTACCCGAAGGGCCGTTACTTGCCGGGTCCATAGACGAAGAAAAGTGACAGAGGACAAGAGAAGAAGTCAAGAGGCAGGATAAGAAGTCAAGCTATGGCGTGTAAGCCCCAAGTGTCTTGTCAAAGGCCAGTACAGAATAATTTGTGTGCCATTCAGAAAAGTTCTAAACTGAGAAAAGAAAGAGAAGAGAGAGCGAACAACTACAAAACAATTGCACCCCCAAGTCCCGATCGGGACTAGCTCATTACACGTGACCTATCCTCGAACCATGCGTCACAGGTCTTCAATGTTTTTCATGTCTGTCAATTTCTCCAAAACATAAAAAGAGGCTTCAACTTGCCGCCACGACTAGCAGCAGGAATATCCTCAAAATTTGTAACACTGAGAAAGAGAGATATAAGCTGAGAATTACAAAAAAGTTAAAAGAGAAAAAAGAAATGGCGCTGCCCGGAATCGAACCGGGGCTAACACGGATTTGTTGTGTTGTTTCCACAACGTGGCGTCATACCACTAGACCACAGCACCTTGCGATGAAAAGTTTGAATATCATAGCTATATCAAGCAAAATCAGAAAATAATTAAATTAAATAAACCGAAAAGCCTGCACTTACAGCATACTTTAGTTTGCCCCACAATTATATTTTATGGAAAAAAAGAAATAGAAAAAAAGAAATGGCGCTGCCCGGAATCGAACCGGGGCTAACACGGATTTGTTGTGTTGTCTCCACAACGTGGCGTCATACCACTAGACCACAGCACCTTGTATGATTATTAAGCAATTGTACTCACATATGATGCCGTTTCCCAATCATTTAAATAATAGGATGGGTCGCACCGGCACAATTCTAGTCTCTTTCTCCTGGTCACCGGCTTGATTTTCGACTGTTAAGTCAGAGTAGGAAACGTCAGGTGGAAAAAATACTTACCAATGAAGGGTCACATGTGCCGCTGACTACCATAGCCCGCCGTTAGCGCTATAACTTGTTGGCTATATCTCCCGAGCAGCCAGGGAAAAGAAAGAAACATAGTGATATTTGACTTGATATAGAGCCCCGGGGTTGGATTTAGGAATAATGGAGAGAAGTCTACAGGAGAGACTAGAGGCCCATAAGCGAAAGCAGTCAGAAAAGTAAAGAAATGAGCGACAGTAATGCTTCACATTTAAAAAATTCCTATGCATGGACATCACATTCATCTGTATTCAAAACCACGGCATATCGGAGTCATTCCATCGCAACCCCCAGTTACACCATATCGGATTGATACATGACTGGTAGAGCTTTTCATGCGTGGTTGTATATTGAGGTCACCACATAGTTCTTGCAAATCCATTCCAATCCCCTCCATCGTCGACCGTCTCATGTCTGCCCGAAGCATCCATAAGCTATTTTAACGGACCCACGGAAGTCAAATATAATAGTTTTTGTTGAGATTACATACCCAGCCCATGATTAAATAAATTATTCAAGTGTATGGTTATTGAGAGTAGCTCAAAACAGGTACGCAAGGATATAAGACATTCTTAACCATGACCGCGTAAAGATTGGAGGACTCTTCGCAAGCGAAATTATGTTGAATAAAGCATCGACTAGTATTAAGAAATTGACAGGGAAATTAATTCTGTCTGAGGCCTGTGGGAAGAAAGCACTGCCATTCTCGTCAACTGGTATAGACAAAAAACTTTAACAGTGATATTAGGACTCAAATACACAGTCCATCATACAGTAAGTTGTGGTGAAGGTAATGTTCGTCGACTCTTTCGTGGATTGATGACTTTTACTTGCTATTTTTGAATGTGCGAAGACTCAAGATCTCCTTGAAGAGCCTCTATTCCTTTATCTTTTTAAGACATGGAATGGTCAGACTAGGTATAGGAAGCACTAGGTAGGAGCCTGCGTGCTCTGAGATATAGTAATCAATCTTTCGAGCCTTTCAATTCAGTTTTTTTGGCCTTCTTGAGCTTACGGATTAGACTTAGCATCACAAGGATATTGAGAGCCAAAATGCCGGCTCGCTTAGGAGAAGGGTGGTTACTGGATGCATTATTTGCGCTGCTAATATGAATTTGATGTCTCCGGATCTCGTGACGTGCTTGATATGATTCAGTGGGTGCTTTAGCATTAATTATACATATTAAGCACGTAATATCTGTATAAAGTACGAGTAATTTCGAACTTTGGAAGTGGGGCCCCACAAATATGCCCTGTGCGGCCAAACAAGGCTTTACCCCTGGGGCCGAACAAGGCTCTGCCCCTAATACATAGTCCCATGGCGTACCCACACCGCTCCGGGTGTTGTGGGTACGCCATGGGACTAATAGATCCCGGTTTAGCCCCCGCCCCTGGATCCCGCATGTGGACGAATGCTAGTGTTAAGCCCAAGTTACTTATTTGAAGTTGCATCTGACATCATTGCAACAGCAAGAAACCACGCGCGATGTTTTTCTGCATAACCCTTATCGCCTCGCTGTTGGCAGTACTGCCTCCGGCCTCAGCATCTTCTGCATGCCGTTGCTTTCCAGGCGATGCTTGCTGGCCATCCGAAAGTGCCTGGTCACAATTCAACAAGACTATTGACGGGCGGCTGATTAGCACCGTCCCACTTGGTACACCATGCCATACGCCTAATCACAATGCTACCGCTTGTGCGGTATTGAAAGCTGGATGGGAGCTGCCAGAAGAACAGTACGTTGGTTCTTATGCTGAAATATTCAAGATGTCAAAGCTCAATCCATGCTTCTTCTAGTTATGAGTCTTCTTCATCTGTCATGGCCCCGTTCTTTGCCAATGGAACCTGTGACCCATATCACTCTGTCTCGAAGCCTTGTACTCTTGGCAATTATGTTTGGTACAGCATAAATGTCACCAGCCCAGCTCATATTTCATACGCCTTGAAATTTGCGACGAAACACAATATCCGTATTATCATTCGAAACACTGGTCATGACTACAATGGCAGGTCGACTGGAGCTGGAGCTCTTGCGATCTGGACGCATCATCTCAAGGACCTAGAAATCCATGAATACAAAGATAAGCACTATGCTGGCAAGGCCATTACTATGGGGGCTGGTGTTCAGGGTTTCGAAGCCTACGAGATCGCAGATGAAAACGACCTTCAAGTTGTTGGAGGTGAATGCCCCACTGTTGGTCTTGCCGGTGGCTACAGCCAAGGAGGTGGACACTCAGCGCTTTCCTCCCGCTATGGGCTAGGTGCTGATCAGGTCTTAAAATGGGAAGTTGTCGATGGTCAGGGCAACTTCATCACCGCCACCCGAGACAACGAGTATTCTGATATCTTTTGGGCTCTGAGTGGCGGCGGTGGTGGCACCTATGGAGTCGTCTGGTCAATGACCTCGATGGCTCATCCTGGAACCCCGGTGTCTGGTCTTAATCTGACCTACACAAACACCAATCTCGCGGCGAGTTCCTTCTATAGCACTATCGAGAAGTTCCACGAGAATCTTCCTGCTCTCGTTGACGCAGGTGCTATGTGTATCTGGTCCTACACTAACACTTCCTTCGTGATCTCTCCAATAACTGGCCCTAATATTCCTGTGGCCAAGTTGGTAAAGCTGCTTGAGCCTTTCACTGCAATTCTTGACAAGCTGAACATCAACTACACGATGTCCACAGGCCAGTATAGCAGCTACTATGGCCAGTTCAAGGATATGCAAGGCACTATTGAGGTTGGCATTGCGCAGTACGGTGGCTACCTTATCCCAAGATCAGTCGTAGAGAACAACAACAAAGCTCTGGTTCAAGCCTACCGTGAGATCACCGAGGCTGGCGCTACCTTTATCGGAGTGGGTTTGAACGCTTCACATAAAGTGTCTGGAGACGTTTATAATGCGGTTCTTCCCGCCTGGAGAGAGGCACTGATTGATACAACTTTGACCACCCCATGGGAGTGGGATGATGACGCTCTGATGGTGGAGCGACAAAATCAGATGACATATGAATTCATTCCCAAGCTGGAAGCACTCGCCCCCAGCTCAGGTGCCTACATGAATGAGGTAGGTTTACTCACATTTGGATCACCACCATGTTTTTCTGTTGTGGCGAATGCAATCTCACCGCGTTTCAGGGTAACTTCCAACAACCCGACTTCCAGAGGGTCTTTTATGGTAGCAATTATGATGCATTGCGCAAGATCAAGTCCAAGTACGATCCCAATGACATATTTTACGCCAAGACAGCGGTTGGATCTGCCGAGTGGAGAGAGAGGGAAGATGGCCGATTGTGCAAAGTTAATCAATGGCAACCCTCATGTGCTGAGTATGGCACTGTATAACAGTTGATAACCACCAATCTTGGACCCTTCGACATCTATTCTAATATCCAGTCCGGCTGTGACATTCCTGTTCTTGATTAACTGAATAGCATCAATATGTCGGTGTCGGGCGGTTGGCGGATCAGACTTCAAGGCTAAGAAGCCCCGTGGTTTCCTCCTAGATACCGGCCTATCTGTATAGCTATTTGAAACACGATATGACTTGACCATATACTGGACGTGCCTTCTAAACTCGTTTCTTCCGTAGAAGTGGTGCACTGTTGCAGTTCTACATTGGAATTGCTCTCTTGGTCTCCCTCATAAGATTCAGTATTGAACGCTGTTATTTTGCGCTACAGAATCAACAAGAAAGCGAATTTAACCTCATTATTTGCTTCAGTGGCCTGCGTCGTATGATTTAACCTCCCATAGGCAATATTTCTTTTGAAGATCTAACAAAGTACATAAGGATTTTCTGGTGTTAGCTGTTCCTAACTCCGACCAGTATGTACAGAGATAGATCACAGTTCTTCGTCTTCATAAGCGCGGGCTAAAGCCGATACTGAATTTACATCAAATGGAAAACGTGAATGAAAAGGGTTTCTTCAAATTTTCCCAAGCAATCACATCATCTTCGATTTTTCTGCTGTGGCCATTCTATCTCTTGCTATAAAGGGGACGTGCGGGCGCATTGGCGAAACACTGATAATTTTTTTTCTCAGCCTCAATTAGTAGATGACGCATTAATCAGGAAAACAGCGATTTAGTGACTATACCCGCTATAAGCGACTCAAAAATTGCTCGATTAACCAGTACTTTACTAGTTACACGTCACACACGCCTGTACACCTGGATGCCTCATAATCCTGGTTGCGAATGGCTCTAGTATTCGTCGCCTTGTTTGGTCAAGACAAATTGCCTTGACGAGGCGGTTTTTGGAGAGCATCCCTGGGCAAAGAGATCTTGATTGAGCGAAAGACATATCTCATGACTCGTATTGCAGATGTTCGTTCCCTTGTATTGTGATTACGAGGGAGCGGATACCCTATCGCTCTAGAACACATGGCTCGGAACCCTGTGTCTTGCATATGCAAGACACCTCAGCATGCCATTGGAAGATCCAAGCTCCTAGGGACATGAGACTTGTTCCGGTACGTGCATTGGTGAATTTACCGTTGTCTTTTAACACCAAACGTGAAATGTAAGCATCAATATATGTGCCTTCAGGATGGCAAGAAATTATAAATAAACAAAAATTTCCATCGTCTGAGCTAGATCGGAGATTTTCATTTCAATTCGCCCTCACATTATTTGGGATATTCATCATGTCTTCAACAACAACTCAAACAATAACACAACGAGGGCTCGTCTATACCAAAATGGAAAAGGACGATTTCTTGAAGGATAAAATCATTGAACACTTCAGCCAACTCACTCTTGATCCCGACTTCCAGAAAGCATCAGCGACTTATAGTCAGATCAAAGAGCAGCAGGAGCAAATCCGGATTCGAGATGCAAAGCTCGCTAAATTGGAGAAAGATTTTAAAGCTCAGGAAGGGAACAAAGTGCTTGCGCTTAGCGAATTGTCCGCAGTGAATCAAGTGCTGACCACTCAAAAGGGAGAGGCAGAAACTAAAAATTCTTCTCTTCGAAAAGAAGCTACAGAAAGAGAGAAGTCTCTGACTGAGGTCTCTCGAAGGATCAAGGAGCTTCAGAGCCAGATACAGGCGCAGCTGTTGGAAAAATCTTCGGATGAAAAAAATATGAACTCAATGGTTGAGAAACACAATCTTGACATTGATTCTCTTCAAAGAAGACTTAAAGAAAGCGATGGGGTAACCGGCAACATAAAGGCTACCAATGTAAACCTAACAAGTCTCCTTGCCGTTGAGAAGACAAAGACTGGCCGTCTCGAAGAAGAGAAGAAGTCTCTCGATGAAGAGATGCAAAAGGCTCGCAGTCGACTTGAAAAGCTCGATGGCTTTATATTTGAATCTCACAAAGTTGATGAACAGTCAATGTCAGTATTTTCTCGGAAGATGAGTTACACTCTATTGACGCTGTGTTTTAGAATGGATGATTTTTCAGGCCTGTGGGGTTATGCCAAAAATGAGATTTGGACCGTCTTACGGCAGGATTTGAGCGAAGAGAATCTCAGAGTAAGTTTATTCTACACCTACTCTTGCTCTTATATATCGAATTATTAATTAGATTAACTTTCCTGACAGAACGAAAGACCTTGGAAAAAACTTAGACTGGGTGCTGATGATGCTTTCCGAGATGGAGCTATCCACGGACAGTCTGTCCCTCTGTGTGCTTCGAACTCTGATGCTGCGAAGGGAATGCGACTGGCTGTGATGTTGGCCATTTTATCCAGGGAGATTGATAAGGAGATTTTTCAGCCGAATTACTTTCCGTCCGACACCGGCCATTTCAGGATGAGCTTGAACAAGCTTGTACAAAGCGACAACGAAAAAGAACATTTTTATCGCTCCGTGTTGCTATCTATCGATCGCGACGCGCAGGGGGCTGAACTTCAGTCCAGAGTCAAGTGTGTTGTTCAAAAAGTGTCCTGCTATCTCGAGGAGCTTCTTTCAACTGCCCAGTATGCTGAGCTTAAAGAGAAAATAAAGAATGTGGTTGACAGGGCAACCGAAGTGTGGCATCCTATCCAGCAGGCTACGAAGAGATACGAGACAGAATTTCATCCTATCGATTGGGTCCACGATGAGGATGAGCTGTTCCAGTATCCCATCGGTGACAACTCAATTGCGGCAGATGTTCCATATGACCACCTCTTTGTGATTTTTCCAGGATTGTCTTCCTTGGAGGAGAATGTTTTCATCTTGACGTCTGTTATTCCGCTCCTTAGTTCGCAGAGATTATGTCTTGTTGCGAAAGAAGAGCTGAGGGAAGCAGTTCGAGGAAAATCTAGCTCCACGGCCAAACAAGGCAATCGTAAGCGGCAAAACTCTGTTGCCATAGCCCAACCACAGCAAAATGGGCGCAGTTTTTTAGGGGGGTACTCCCGCGAAGACTCGGGCAATTAAGGAAAAATGGGTCCCGCTCTCGAGCCACAATGGGGTCTCAGGTATCACCGAGGACATTTTACGGATGAGGGAGCCTATCTTGATTGTTTGTATTCGCTGAGTGCCTGCATCTTTTCTCTCCTGTGTCATTTACTGAATTTTATTTTGCCTGTGTGTTGTACCACAATGTTCATCCACTCTTCGGGTACCAAGGCCAAATTGTCGACGTAAGAATGGAAACTCGCTACCACTGTAATGTCGAAGGACACCATATTTAACAATTCTGACAAAATTTCTGGGCGCAGTCAGCTAGATATCCCATGAATGACCGACTTGATAATTTCATCAAGCCTAAGTAGTATTTTGGAATGGACCAAAGACTGATGAGCAAGGCCAAAAGCAGCTACGTAGAACACGCCTGTGAGGATCTGAAAATCAGTTCGGCCTGTCGAGAAGCTTACAATAGACTGATCTGACACATGATGGATCCTAAGTCCGCCTCGGTAGGATACACATCTGAGCGAGCAACGACATGCGCGAGAGTCAGCGGCAGGTCGGCAAGTAAGAAGTACGCAAAATCCCCATATATGTACACACACAATTTATTAACGCCCGGCGGCTTCGCTGAAAGGGCAACTATCACTAATCTACCAATACATGTCCTGTTATATGCCGTGTCTCCTTAGAGCCCATACATGATTTCTTTCAGTATATGTCATCGCAGCTTTCAGTATCGTAGCGGATTCTCGTAGATTAGTAATTTTTGTTAGTAGACGGGCTTGAAGGCGCTTCATCAAGTGTTCAACATGCTACCCTCGGCAGTTGAAGCACGTCTACCGTTTCTGGCACGAGGTGGTTGGTATAAGTTAAGTCAGGGGGAGTGTGTGATTTGTGTTCGTCAACATGGCTAAACGGTGTCGAGTCGGCCCGTGGCGATTGTAAACCGTATTGAGGCATCTGATCATCAACACGGGGAAAGTAGCTGCTTTTACTTGCAGTAATTGACTCGGACCGGACACCTGCTGACTCATCATATTAGTAATGATAGACACCTGGTCAATCAGGAATCAATATTTTATCTGCTTGAGCAAAGCCCTGATCTCCTGTAAGATCCAAGGCTCAATCCATGGAATTTTGTAGCTCAGAGAGAGGCTCTCCTTATTTATACTTCTCATCGTGGAAACCACTAATCCACTCCTATAAGCATATACTCCGTTAGGCCCTGTTTCCTTCTCGAATGCGATGTGACTAAAATGTCATCCCTTGGGCTCTTTACAGGATCAGGGGAACGAGGAGGAACATTTCTTGTCTTATAGTTTGATTCAACGGATTGTAACAAGTCTTTTTCAACCATAGCCAGGCTGGCCCAAAGAATTTGATGCTAAGCATCTTTACCTTGGGTGGCTCATGGCGATTCTCTTGCGGCTCTCTCAGGCATCAAATTCCAACGTTACATTTGGGCTTATGTTCAATACCAAAATCCAGTCATATACCTTCACTGCCACCAAAGACTTTGCTCACCGACAATTCGACCGAGATTTCAGAAGCCTGAGATCCTAAGCATTCTGGAAAGACATCACACCCATCACACTTACATATTAGAGACGTTCAGATGAGCTACGTGGCTCCTATGGACGGGCTCACTTTAGAAAGATTTGGAATCGATAATGTTTGTCAGATGGCGCTTGTAACCTGATTGTCATTGGCTTCGGCCTGAAATCAAGTCAGTGCGCTTGCATCTCTGGGGAGTTACTTGGAGATCGAGCCCCCAGATTGCTTTATTAGAACTTATCTCTCAGAACACCAGCCTCATGGACCATGCAGTCACATAACGGGGGCTTGATCGTGACCTGGGGCTAAAATAACGTCGAACAGGGCGTTAGATCGATAAGTGCATCACGGGCCGACGGGATTATCCGCTTGACAAATACCTCAAATGATGTCAAGAACACCTGGAGTGCCTCATGATGTGCAGGTATGGCGTCCAATGAGACGTTTCGAGTCGCGGATCAGGATCAGAAGAGCATCAAGTGATTGGGCACTGAGGGCAACCCCGACATGGGCTGAATCCGCTTTCCCTATGGTTTAATTCCATTTTCTCTTATCGTTACTTTCTTCTCAGGCTGATTATGAACGATGTTGTGATTCTGCTGCCCAGCGGTTACATGGCCCTCTGCATATCAGTCCTACGAATGACTGGTGACAGTTCGGTGTTTCCCCGCTTTAGATGTACCATTCTCTAAGGTTCTCTTTCGTGTTTGAATCGGATTCAGTATATCCTGGCTCCAAGGTTACAATGAAACCAGTTGGAAGGCTAATCTCACTTATCAATATTCTATTCTCAAGACATATTATTCGTGGAGCAGCCATATCAAGGCGAGTCCTGGTTGAAGTAAACCCGGCTCCCAACTATTCTCATGGCGCAAAACCAGCCTACCGCAATCTACAATGAAGACCGATTGTCAAATTTTAGCCAGATTGCAACTTCTAGTGCCATCAGCCCAACTAAGTGCATACAATGTCAATGTACTCTGTGATAGTAGACTCTCACCCGGGTTAATTGTCAACACGTTGTGTACTCGTAATGCCTACTTGCAGGTTTTTCTTTTGGGGGCTTCCCTCGTGGACAAATGAGATCTCGCCCCAGTCACACAGCACGCTACAATCATGATTAACTTGAACCGTTGAAATCCTGGCTCGATGAAAAATTCTTCATATTGAGGCTGACATGCATGAACTGACTCGTGTAGTTCGTGTATCGGAATATCACAGCAAATAGCCTCCCTCCATCTCCAAGTATGAAACGAGAATCCTGGCCATTCTGGGCGCCAACGGCCAGTACATAGAGTTTTCGAAGATGTCTCTTCTATACCGACTTTTCCTTGCGACTTATCATGCGCAAATTGCTCTTTTCTTGATTCCATGTACTTGGGCGCATTTTTCCGTGAGCAACCAAAGGATGTCTATAAATACTTGATCTATCTCCATGAAATGACAGCAAGTTCACGCTTGGCAGTCTATTAACTCTCTTTATCTCTTGCTATACTCTCAGTTCACAAAAACCATCAGTTTATCGACTATAAAATCATATCATTCTCTTTTCATCAACTATCTCAGCTGATCCGACCACTCTAAGACTATTTTCCCACCATGTCACACATTACTAGTACTAGGATTGACTGTCGAGATCTGCGTGCAAGCGATCTTCAACCCGTTGATCAGCTTGAACACGCTCTTCGTGCTAGGCTTGGCACAGATATACCGATTACTTATATTCCAAGTGCAGGCAATGCTGCCGTCACGCTTGACAATGAGCTTGCGAGAAACAATCTCTCGCAAAATACCCCTGTGCATGCTACCAGGGATGTTACCACTACCCCTGCAAGCCTCTACATGTATATCTTCAGACCTTCAGACCGGGGCAGAATCGCAAGTCTCATTCGGCACCATTTCCGAGTTGAAATATTTACTCAGAGTCATACATACGATGAACTTGAAGAAGTTGGCTCGCATACCACCCAATCAGTAGCCGACGCATACTTTATCGACTTCCATCATACTCCGGGCCCAGACTGGCCACGTACTCCATGGCGAGGCCCTGTGAAAGTCGAAGTCATTAGTGAATCGCCGTGGAATGTGAAATTCAAACCATACCTTGGCGAGTCTCGTTACCTCGAGAGTTACTTGCAACAGCGGACCGATGATATTTCCGATATGCAGTTTTTGCAGACAAAGGGAAGCCTGGAAAATATCAATTATGTGCTCAAAACATGTTTGACTCGGAGAAGTGACTCCTGTCAGTGGCATGCTCAAAAGATACCCCAGTCAGCTAAGATTCTGGAGATGTTCTTGAAGGCTCATAATTGTTATTCTTCGAAGGATTTGATCTCTATGGTTCAGAAACATCTTGTGTCTGTAAATGAGAGTACTTATTCGAATGTCGAAAGAGCATATGGCGTGGATTGCTTGCCCCTTGGTATCTTCATCATCGATCATCTGCTGCTGGAGGAAAGCGAAACCGGAATAAAAGATTGGAACATCGGTTTCGCTGATGATAGTATCCATAAGGCTCAAAACGAATCGGAAGCTTACCTGTATAAGCTTAAAATACTTTTCAGCGCCATGGCCTGGCTCGGAGAGTTGTTTGATTTGGAATGTTTCGGGCAGATTTTTGAGACTGAGTTGGATGCAAAAATTCAACGAGCACGCGTCAAAACGCTTTTTATGTGGCTTGGGATGCCCAAGCAAGCAGCTTTTCTTTCCAGTGGATTACCGCCGCAAGGACCTGAAGCGACCGATGCTGAAGACCTCAACATACTTTGGCACTGGCTTCATCAACGAAACTATCGCCAAGTCAAGTTTGCTTTGGCGATCTCTAAGAGCGGCTTGATCAGAGAGAGGAAAGATGCAATAGGTTTTATATCAGACCTGTCTATTAAGTACCTCTCAATGCCTCCTGGTATTAAATACTAGTAAGGACCGGCCTGAGATTCCGTACCAGATCGCTGGGTACTAAGGGTACTCACTCGGAGTGTCCAGCGGATGCCTGTTGAATCGCCAACTGGACAGTACCAGACTCAATTTTCCATCCCGTCTTTTGATTGGCTAAGATTCTTGTATTTTCTTTCTTTTCTTTCCTTTTCTTTTTGTTTTTTTTTTTTTTTTTGATTTAGTGCACCTCTTAGTATGTTAAATCTCTTATCCAAATTTGCAGAATGAATCAATGCGCTCGAATCGACTCAAAAACCTGAAGTTCGTTGTGGTGTATATATGGCGGAGAGGGGGGATCCGGAGCCTTCCTGCATTCCTAATTACTAGTAATACTTAGTAGTAAGATTGGATACCTGAAAGTCTCGAGCCTGTTGTCGACAAACGTTCACATGTTTCCCTGCGTGGCTTCCACGGTTCGTCTTCAGCTGCATAATACCTGCCACTTACCAGGCACAAAGCGAAGAGAGCCTAAAGGATCGATCGATAGCGTAGAAAACTGGATCTAGCCGCGGTCCAGATCGGCCGAGTCTCCATAATTCGGCCCCATTTTGTGTCACAAACGAACGCCCGCTTTCCGCACCGACAACTCTTGCAAATCAGCTCTCACTTGGCCCAAAGGGTCGCATTTCACATCTCAAATCGTAGTGAGTCTTTGGAAGAAGACCAGGATCATGTTTGCGTTGTTGAGGCAGGCCTCGAATTCGGGTCAGGACCTGCAAGACGGGGAACTTTTGTACAGGCAGTCAGAGGGGCTGTGATGCTCAAATGATCCGATCTGTCATTTCCGCCAATATGTAGCTAGCTGCCTAGCTTCCGAGGAAGTTTGTCGCAAGACCGCCCCAATCAAAAGCCAAGGAGAGACGTAAGTAGATAAGAGGGAAGATAGATAGCTTGAACAGAAGAGTCATAAAACCATTCAGGATATCGAAGGCTGGACTGCTATCCTTGTATTTGATAAATGCAATAATCAAACACAATCATGTTCTCGCGGTCGGGTTGAGTTTATTGTAGGCCTGGACAGAGGACAGATGGTGTGGGTGGATGTAGCGCTTTCGCAGATCTGAGAGCTGATCAAACCCGACCTATGTCCACCCAGCAACAAGCCGAGTCCCGGGAATCGATTGGTTCTGAGAACTGCGAACTTTTGTCACCCATGAGCGAAAAATAGGCTGTAATTGCAGGTTTTGCCGGGGACCTGAGGAGTTTTCAGTCTGGCTCACACAAATTTCTTTAATGTACCCCCTTTTTTTTGCTCTTCCTCCCATTGAACCAAACCACACTTCCCGGCCCCGCCATGTGTGAGAGCAAACCAGGTATGGCAGCAAGACGCAAAGCTTTGACAGAAACTCGCTAATTCGAAAGTCTCCAGTGTCCTATTGGTTCTACTTGTGCCAAGATGTTGATCGAGTTCTCAATTCAAGGAAGGTGAAAGACATCGTGTCACAAGGGGAGAAGGAGACTTGGCTGAAAGCGGCTCAAATGGCCCGCGAAGACTGCGACAATGAATGCCACGTCACAATTCGAGTCGTCGAGTGGTGCATTTGGTGCGATCAAGAAGGGAGGAAATGGAAGTTTAGAGAGCCTCGTTCCACATGGCCGGACTTCCAAAAATCCCCTTGGTACAAGTGGATCGGTAGGGCTGATATACTGAGCGTGTGGAGACCCCGGACGATGCTGATAAATATACCATCCAGACGTCAACAGTGCCAATGAATTCCCATGATCCCAGCTAGTGTAGCGGTTGTTTTGCTACCTAGGTTGCATCAAGCGCGGTCATCTCTCTTCGTGAGTTCCGCCGGTCGGCATTAGCATGGGTGTTCACTGACGAATTCGGATAGTTTTGCCCACCGAGGGGAAAGAAATACTATCGAAACAGGTCGTGCATCCAATCTTGAAAGACAGATGAAGAAAAGCTCGCTGGGCTATTGAGGATTGATGGTAGTCGAGGATGAGGGATGGGAAGTCTTGGATGCCAGGGGGGGAAGGATGTGGGTTGAACAGCAAGAAACCATGTCACTTGAAAGAGAGGTTGCAGGACAAAATCAGTTCAGGAGTTCAAATGGTACCAGGATCATCCTGCTCAGGTGCCGGGTACAATCGATCTCGTGCATGATCGTAGCCGAGTACTTAGTTGTACCCCTGCCGGGTATTGAATACATGTGTTCATCTCGTCAATCGCCTTGACTCAGCTTCTGGTCATCGTTGAAAATGACTTCTTCGTATGTGACTCCGCCTGATCTTCGCTCCAACGCTCTCGCCGAACCTGAAGGTATGTTTGAGCCCCCATGTCTACCTCAATACGAGGCCTGTTTGTGTCTGGTACTGGTTCAGAGTACAAGGAAGCGGGGATGCAATTGTCACTCATACCCACTACCTCCGAGCGAATGAGGTCTCGTCATGCCCAGGTGGTTCAATAGAAGGCCAGAAAGGCCAGATATCGTCCTTAGTAGCCCTTTCTTCGGCATAGCCGAAGGCCACTAGTACAGTCTCACATCACACACGGGCCTATCATCAGCCTATTCATTAATCTAATAACCACTTCACGGTTCATCACACCCAGCCAAGCGATCTGAATGATTTGGGCCGCAATTTGCGTTCCTCGGTTTCATACGGCTTGAAGCATCCTCAGATGTGACAAGATGAACACGCATTTCCATGATCGTGTCAAAGCAACTTCACCTCGGCATGTTGTTAGTCCGTGTGTATGCAAGGAAAACCCAACACGCACGTACTTCTGCCTCTTCCAGACAAGACAGATCATTTCTGCTTCACATAAAGTAGCCTCTGTTTGGCAGAATCGATAACCCATAGGATGCCGGTGGGCGAGCCTAGCCTCTAACCCTACTTGTCTGACCCTACTTGTTTGGCCATACGTATGTCCTGCATGTGAACTGTCTTCCTTCCGCTGTTATGGGAATACTGAGCTCATTTCTAGGCTGAAAGGCAAGAGCCTGTGACCAGACCTTCAATTCATGTTATCGCCTAGGGATGGGGTCTACTGAATGTCCTCAATTTCATAAACTTCTCAATGCAATCAAACCATCCCCTTTCTACTTTTAATAGTGGTTTGTTGGGGTCGGGTTATCTGACGGCTTGCCCTATACTCCTGATGGCTTGCCTAAGTGTTTCTGTCGGAACCACTGCGCGACCTCTGGCGTCTGCAAGGATTCTACCTCCCCCTCCCGTTCAAAGTCTTTCACCCATCGCATAAATCTCTCCCGCATGCCTATAATATGAGCCATTCCACTCGTGTCACGATGCATGAGCACAGGGGAGACAGATTCTTCTTCATTATCTCGAATTAACAGGAAACGATCACGCCACATGTTCTCGATCACTCGGACATCGACATAGCCTTGAGAGTCTTCGCAATGCGGTAGGAACTGCATCGGCGTCTTGTCCTCCATATAGTAGTTACACGGAACACAGACAAGTGGTCTTCTATCAGGGGGCGAGGAAGTTTCCTTGATTGGGTGCATCCAGGTAGCCGCTGGCTTGGAAAAGTCGATAGGCTCACCCAAGGGGGGGGGGCGCCTCGGGTCCCAGAAGGGCTGGCAGTCATGGTCTGTTAGAGAAGCATCTATTCAGAAATTAGAAGTCTGCTAACGTCTGCAGTCTTTTGATGCAGGGGTCGAATCACACACCGTACGCGAATCAAAACTCCTCCAGCTAGTCAAGCGTCGTTTCCCGGAGCTCAAATAAGGGTGCACGGTACCCGCGTGAGACTTGTCTACCAGGTTCTGCATGATCGAGAAACATATCTCTCACATGTCGCGTTCTTGCTCGGGTGTGAGCTGGTAGGCGCCTTCGTGCGCATAACCCGTGAAGATCGATCTCAGCCCCTGAGGCGACGACCTGCTGGACCTCGTCGGGGAAATTTTTGACGGAGTGGCCTGGAATAAATCTTGTGCATCGGTTGGCCAAGTCGAGTTTCTACAGCATGCGAAGCAGTCAGGGGACACCCACGCAGGCCGCAAAGAGGCCAGAGGAGTAGTCGGCCAAGTTGTTGTCGGGGTGAGAATCTGCAACACTCGGGTCAGCTCTCTTAAATGTCATTCAATCGCATCCAGCACTTACTTGTCCCAAGCCAACCAGACATGGCATCTAGATCGATTGACACTATGACGCGAATCTTGTTCCGTTTCGGATTTGCCAGCATTCGAGGAATAGACTCTGCCGACCCCATGATTTGAGTCGTTTCTGACTCCTTAGTCGCTACGAGGCTCTTGCTATCGCTGTCGGGCTGGATGTATTGCCCCAATATGTTCCCAGATGTGTGACTCGAGGCCAGGAAGAGCACAGTGTGTGCGAAGTCTGCCGAGGTCTCGCTAACAGATCCTGATGTCACAAAGTTTATGCGCCCCGATCGATTTAGGCGCAATAAATCTTGTTGCATTCTGTTCAGGAGGCCACGGTGTATTACAACCTGCTTGCCCGGCCGTCAATCCTGCTCTAGGTTCCGTTTCGACAACAACGATGGCAGGATCCGGTAATGATGAGGGTGTTCGTTCTAGCCGCTTCGGTTGTAAGTATCGCAAGTAGTGCTTTCTTGCAAGGAAGGCGCCGCGGGCGTTCGATTGGTAGTCCTTATCCCATTCATCAGAAGGCACATCCCAAATGGGATATTCGTGCGCTTTTCCTTCATGGGCCGGAACGATGGTTAAGGCATTCACAGGACCGAATCAGTCTTCGGCAGTGGCGAGACCAGCTTGTATGGAATCTTCATCGAAAGTATTGCCGTTCACGATATGTAGACGAGAGAATCGCTCTACGTCAATGCCCGACAGTTGTAACGGGCGGTCGTCGAACGCCGTGACTTGATATCCGTTGCCTGAAGGATTATGGGTTAGATTATTTGCTCATAATACAACTCAAGACTACAAATCAAACAAGAAAAATGGTACTTTGGCCATAGCCATACCTCTATTCTAATGCAAGCTCCGATGTCAAGTCAGTAACGCAACTGCAATATCAGTGGGACCTACTTAAGGATTCCGGGTCAAGCTGCAGCACGGAGCGATGTGAGACACAAAAGAATATGTCATCTATTCGGAGCAAAGGAAGTCGACGTTCTCCCATGAAGGGCCATTCTTTATACACAAATAAACGAGGACCAATGATTCGGAGGTTGTCAGACTTGACGGCAGGGCCGATGGCGGGTCTGGTTTGCCAAGTAAAGTCCAAAAGCTTGAAGCTGAGGTCATTGATGCACGGAATGCTGCACGCCTGCCCTGAAAGGCGTACACGCTGTCCGGGTCTGTTCTGAATTGCCGTTCCTCAAAGAGATTTCGGCCTATTTGCTCCTCGTCCATAATCACTTCTCTCGTAGCTCTCCACACCTAACTACGGCGTTCTGTCATGTGATACTGATATCGTCCAACACAGAAACTCGTCTATTTTTCAATCATGCCAAAAAATGCGTGTTGATTTTTGGAATCTTGAATTCGACTTATCTTCAGCAGAATCTAAGCATCACGGCCACTTGATGGAAAGATCAAGTGGTGTCTCCGAGGATGTCTCAGTCGAGATTGGCCGCATGTCATCCTGAAGGAGAACTCATTTCCGATGGACAGAGCCTATAAGCAAGTTATTCATCTGGCAGTAAACGAATAAGAGATGCTGGACCTTGAGCGCGGCGTGCTCACTGAACACTGGTTGATAGGATCTTTGGCCTCCAGTGCGGCTGGTTTGACTAGGTAGTAAGAGGTCGACCGCGTCGCACGGCAAAAGCGGCGAGGGTATGCAAGACGCGTTTTGTATATATCCGAGAGCGCACGACGTTCCGCAGACAGGGAAAATCCTACACCACTTAGAAAGTGGTTCCTCAAAATACGTCAGTATGCTTCGGGTGATATGAGGCTATACTCACAATTCACCATCTTCGCTTCTGTTAATCCCTCTATACGCACCTCACGGTGGTCAGCGGACTGCTGAGATGACACAGATATCGCCTTTCGCCCTAGATTCTATGAAATTTCGGTTTGAGATGGGTTATTTGCGGGTTCTCAGATCTAGTTTTACAACCCGCTGGGTTGAGTTCGGGTGCGGGTTTTGGCGCAGACTAGTGGAAAGACAGCCGTTTCTGGCGTCAAAGGCGGTCATTTTCGGCATCCTTTTCACAAGTCCTCATATTCTAGTTGTAGAACAGTTGTCCATTGTTCCCTCAAGGTTGCCGGGCCAAGGTTGCCGAGCCAAGGCCGCCTGGACCACCCTCACTACAACTTCTGGCTGGCTCAGCATAGGCAGGTGACCCGCACTGCATCGCTCGATCTCGCTACCTGCAAGACCAGCTAGCTGCTCCTGAAGCGGGATTGGGAGCGCATTATCACCCTCGCAAATTAGATATACACTTGGCACGTCCTTCCACCCCGTGTAGCTGACCGTGTCGTCCCACCCTTCTGCGGGTTGCGTCTTGATAGCGGTAAGCCATTCGGCCTTTTCGGCTTCGGGTAGGTCGCCGAATAGGAGTGTTTCAGGTTGCACGCAGCTGGAGGATCCGCCCTGTTATTATTATCGTAATTATATCAGCGTCATCCAAGAGGAACATTCCCCAATCTTCGACACTATAGGGCTATACGGACCTCCACGGCGGCGAAGGGCAATGGCTGGTGCTGGAATCCTTCCGCGTAGACGGCGGCTGCCAGGAAAACGATGCTCACCACACCGGGCTGCTCTCCACGAGGTCTCTTGTCCAGACCTTGAAGAGCCTCGCTACCGAGAAATCCGCCTGCCGAGTGCAGAACTAGGAGGATATCTTCGCCCTAGTCGAGAATTGTCTCGATGTGGGCGCGAATTGCTGCCACACGTCTTTCATCCCTGGGTTTCCGGGTGAGGTAGTGCCAGTGCTTCGCAGCACGGCGACTTCGCCTCTCACACCATTCTCTGTTAGGAGAGAGGTCACCTTGTCAAATACCGTCGGGCCCTCCCAGAAGCCTGGGACGAAGAGGACGGTCGGAGCCATAGTAGAATTATTTCAGGCCTGGAAATAGTAGGTGAATGAGGGAAGATGGTAATGTAGCTACTGGTTGGGATTTGGATGGTGAGTTGCTAAACATATGCGCGTAAGAGCTGTGGTGAGAAGGCTATCGGATACACTATACTATGCGTTTGTACATACTGTCAGTAGGCTAATCCATTTTCGAGGCCTCATACCAGGATGTATCCTATCGACAACCCTTTGGCGTCGCTGTGTGCAGATACCAAGAGGTTTGTGTGTTCCAAAGCTAGCGATCTTATCCAACGAGCGATCATGATAGCCGAGTTGAGCGGCCTGTGCGGGCATTTGCGTGGGCTCTCAGGATTCTCACCCGCTCTCACCGGTTCTCACTCCGTCTATTGAATCACCTTCCTCACCCTTAGCCGACGGACACTAAAGCGGCTCTCACCTTATTCTCAGAGGGGCGACATCCACCCGGCTATTGTCCCCGTATAAGCCACACGTTGGCGGGTTAGCAGTTGGTTGGGTGACCACCACATAATTCCTGCTGTTGTATGTTTTTCCATTTTTATTTCCATTTTTTTAATCGTATTTCTGCTCGCAGTTTTACATCCATTACGCTTGCACTAGCAACACTGCCATTACCCCCTTCAGAGCATCCAGGCGCACAGGGGGCCAATCCTCAAAATTGATTTCTTGTGAGCACGATATTACTATCAGTCCAATCGAATTTGGCCTGAGGATACTTGGACGGCGATTCCGATAAGCTGCACTTCCTCGAGTCCCCTTTTTGTCACTACAAAGTACGACATAAACGCCAATATCATTCCTGCGTTCCATTTCAGTTCTTTGCACAATCTCATAGTCAAACAGAAATTTGTCTTCAGGCTGTTGACTGAACAAGGGGGGTACGCCATAGGAACAGAGGAAGGATATTTGGCTTTATGCGATGGCCCAGGCCATAGCATAATATTCCCTCACTTTATTGTATAGCCAAATATGGCACGAAACGAAGAATTCAAACATGAGGAGAGAGGGAAAAAAATGGAGAGCAAGATAGTACAGTAAAGAGTATTATGACTCGTAGACACCATAGCATTGGCATATAAAGCTGGCGAGAGAACGCTGCGGATATTGTTCAACACCAACACCCATCAGAAATGTTCCTGCCTTTGATTTAGAACCTCGTCATGGGCCTTTACAGTACTTCTGAGAACAAAGACAAAAAAATGATGCAACTATTGGTCACTAGCCCTCCTTGAGCTGGTTGCCTTGAAGGTAGTAAGACTATTCCGGAACGTCAATCCGGGGAACCGTCTACCTGCACATTTTGACTAGACTACATATACTTCCACCCTCGTTTCTCGTTTCTCGTTTCTCGTTTCTCGTTTCTCGTTTCTCGTTTCTCACTTCTCTTCTTCGCTTCTTACTTCTGTCTCTCTGCTTCCTCAAGTACTCGATCCGCAAGTACTTACTTTCTTCTCTCTATATCTTCACTTCTTTCATGTCGAGACTTTTACCCTTGCTTCGATTTGCTTCGATTCAGAATGCCTTCTCCAACCAAGCAGTAGTAGCACAAACGCGCAAGTCTCTCGAACGTCTTCAAAAAAGTTCAGATCGAACCCACCTCTCCTCCGCAAATCAACCTACCATCTATCAACATCAACCTTGCCAAGATTTTACGCCAATATATGCAGTCAACTCTTCACGTTGGCCGCGGAATCGTCTCTTCTGCCAGTCTGCACGGTGTTCAAGCTCAGTTCACTATTGCGATGGATGATGCCTACAGCTACAGAATTGGCGCAACCAATTTTGACCCTGACATCATCTTCCGCGAAATCATTACACTCAGAAATTAAGTCTCTGCGAGCCTTCAAGAAAAACTCACACCGGTCCAAGAGACTGCCTGAGATGTTCATATCCCACACAGCCTTCCTGGTATGGTCTATGGTTCCAATATGATCGAGCGCACCAGAAACAGCCAGGACGTCACACTCAAGCTCTGCAAGACAATCTTCTACGGTGAGGAAATACCAGAAGAAATTGGAGAAACCGAAGAAGAAACTCCTACGCAACAACCTCCCAGCACATATCTCCGCGGTATTACAAAGTTGTCGCGAAATCGTGCAAGACGCCAAGGCTGTCAATCAATCAATCAATCAAAGCTCTATTAACCTGATAGAGCCTAACTAGATGCGTCGAGGCTATGCAGGCGCTTCGTCCAAATCCGAAGCAGAACTTGGTGTCCTTAACTCCAGACTCACGGCATGCAATAAACAGTCATACAAAGGAAAACCGGCCCTTCCGCAGGAGGCCGGCACAGAAAAGAGTGTACTGATTCCAAAACCCAAGCATAGAAGACCCCATATAAAGTCAGACCCAAAAGTACAAAGCCCACAGTATTCCATTCTTTCTGCATCCCCTCGTACGCCAAGGCTGCCTCCTATATCATGAGTCAAGTTTGCATTCGCGACCAAGATATCAGCGAAGAGATCATTCTCCAAACTCATCAAAATCCCCACCTAGAAAGTTGACGCCACGAACACACCCTGGGAAGAATACAGTGGTGTCTATCGTACGGATGAAGATTGCGCCGGCCTCCACCCATTCCCTCATCGCAGCCTTGTGCCCAACAAAATGAAAGCAATGATCCGTGAACTCGAGTCAGACCTCAGAAAGGCCATCAAAAAGGCATAGTTGGCCCTATCGCCATTGCCTCCAAGTATACTCACATCTTTTTCAACATTCATTCTTTCATGGACTGCAACGGACGTATGTGTCGGTTGATCCTAACTCTATCCTCGTCAAGCTGGGTGGTTTCTTGTATGCATCGGCGACAAGGAAGAGGATCGCTCTCTTATATGGATGTCGCTGCTAATGGAGGTGCACACGAAGATATGTATGAAGATCGTTATGAAGAGGAGAAACCAGTCACGCATAAGGAGCTGGGAAGTTCTGTTATATGTTGAGAAGAGTAGACGCGAGCTGCTTACTACTATGCTTCGGTGAAATATCTTGAATCGGATTTTCGGGTTTCTCAAATGGATTTTGTATTTCTATGGATGGAGTTGGTCTTACTTGAGATCTGGCCAGTCCCATTATATTTTTATGTACCCAAAGGTTAGAGGACAAATACGGTGGTGAATAGCCGCCACGACGAAAATAACGATTTTTTTGCGAGCGAAATTTATTATTACCTAGTTTATGGCCTTCGGTTTGGTTTTGATTGATCGATTCAAATAAATATTGACTACCTCGAAACCTCGAAATCCTAAAAATTAGTTTTTTCTCGGCTCTTGAGGGTTGATTTTATACTTTTGCACGGTCGCGCTCGATAAATACTTCGCTACTTATTACGTAGGTAGCAGTCGACCGACAGACGGTGACTTTTAGGTGGTGAGCACATTCAGCAAGAGTTCGTCAAAAAGTCACAACCATTCCTTGTATCTCTCGACCAACCATTGCCCAAAGAGCCAGTCTCCATGTGCATCTCCAGACTCTCAGGCCTCCTGATGAGGCAAATCAAGAAGTTGGGAAACTTGTAATCTATGTAATCTAGGACTTGTATAACAATCGGGTGATCTCCAGTGATCAGCTCGCTTACGTAATGACTACTGATCCGATCAGACGAGCGTACTCAGTGCTACTCAGTGAGCATAGAGTCGAGCTCTGAGCAAAAAGTGGCAGAGGAGATCCGGTAGGCAGGTAGACTATAATCTATGTGACTTGGTATCAAGTGTTAGAAAACCGGTTGAGGGCGCGACCGGGCTGCGACCACCGGTGACATTGCGCAATATGAGCATGCTCGTCATATTGGACGAATACATTGGGCGTCGGAAATGCCTCATGAGCCAGTAGAAAGGAAATACCAAAGTACCAAGCGCACGATATCAGCTTCCCCATTCTCAGCCAATCCAAGGACATTCACGACGACGTCACTGGATTCGGCCCTAAACCGCATTGAGGAGTGGGCAAAGCTCGGCCCACATGTCGATTTACTGCACTTCTCGTCAACTCTTTTAACAACTTGTTGGCTTGATTGGACCCGGCCACTCTATACGGGATCCAGGGCCGGCTTTGGTGAGTTGGTCTTTGCGCTGCAGCTTGGTGGGTCAAGGGTGGCCCATCGGCAGCAACGCGGCAACGCAGCAACGCTAATCGGTCGCCTCAGCCAGATTTCCCGATCTTCCTTCATTGCGACGGGACAACCCCTCTGGAGGATTACAACTTGACTGCTCGGAATAGGGGACCTTTGAATAGTGTCGCCTGACCCCTTTCAATCGTCCTCGACGTGTGTTCGCTGTCTGATTGTTGCCGCGGGGTTCGCCTACCGTGCCGACTTTGCCCGCCCGAACCGAATCGCCCGCCCCTCGGCCTCTGTGATCGATAAGGGAGATATCTTTGCCGGATACAGGTCATCGAAATCGCTTCCAGCTTCTCTGGGAGATATCTGGAATAGCTCGAGTAGAGTGAATGGACAATTGTGGGACGCCAAACGGTCGACTCTGATTATTGAGAGGCCGCTTCGCGTTCCATAGGGTTCCCAGCCTGCCAGTCACCAACCTTCACAATCGAACGACACAGAAAGTTCCAATTGCGGTTGCTCGGATGGAACATTCTCTGGCATGACTCTTGACAAACAATCTGAACATGCACCCTTCTCCCCAACTACTAAACCCGCCCCCAACACCATGCCGTCCTCCAATGCCTGGACCATGGACGAATCGACTCGCAACAAGCTGCTCAAAAAATACCAAACCCAGGTAGCCTCAGGGTCGTCTACAATCTGTGCCACTCTGGCAGTGGTAGGTTTGGGTCCTTTGATTGCAACTCTGGCTGCACCTTGGGGCGAATACTGATTGAGACCGATCTACTGCAGACTCCTCTAGAAAATGTAAAGACCCGCATGCAAACGTGAGTCTTCTGATCTAAAAAAGCCATCTTAATTACATGCTGATCGACTGGTACCTCTAGTCATGATTTCCGCTCAATTCCCGAGGTTGTGCGCTACATTTGGCGCAATGAAGGTCCTCGTGGATTCGTGGCTGGTGAGTGTTCACTGCGTTTGGAGCGATACGGTCGTTTCTCCATGGTAGCTTCACTGGGCGAGAGAGTGGAAATAAGATGTTAACCACTCTATACCTTAGGTTGCCTCCCACCTCTGGTCAGCGTCACCGCAGTCCGGGTCATGAATTTTACAGCCTACAATTGGACCAAGGACAAGCTCGACGGCGTGTTCAAAGACTTCACAGGAGTCTCTCCCCTCGAAGAGTATAACAAGCCTGGCAGCACTCCCACAATCTCAGGGCTATCCATGTTCATTACTGCAGGCTTAGCCGCTGGCCTTGTCTCTTCCCCGCTTGCATGTATGATTTCCCTCGGAGTTGATTCCATCATCTTTGCATCAGACTAAACTTAACCAGGCCCCTTCGAACTCGCCAAAAACGTGGTCCAGACTTCGGTTCTCATGCAGAACCGTGCTCAGGCTGCCCCCGATGCTGTCCGTAACCCGTCTCTCCGTAATGAGCCTCGCCTTAGTACCGTGCAGGCTATCCGACAGATTGTCGCGCGCCATGGAATCCGTGGTCTATACACTGGCTTCGGTCTACATGCTTTGCGTGACAGCATCGGAACCGGCCTCTACTTCAGTATCTACGAGACAGTTAAACAGGTCGTTGTCAGACAACTTGGCGAGAGCCAATCTCCTTTCGGACCACCCGCAATCGCCGGTGCCATCTGCAGCACTCTTCCTTGGTTCTGCGTATGCAATACGATCTTCCAATATGTATGAAGCACCGGACACTGACTCTATTCTAGACCTATCCCCTCGACACCCGCAAAACCCGCGCCCAAAGCGTCCTCCTTGGTAAGGCCACTGAGATCGCCTCGGCCTCCAAGGCAGTGGCCGGGTCCAGCATGTATAAAGGGCTTTCCATCGTCGTACTTCGCACCGGAATCAACAACATGATTCTGTTGAGCATTTATGAGTACATAAAGTACCAGATTAACAACCTCCCCTAGGGCATCCGCTGCCTCCTGCATACGATCTCTGTCATCAGTCCATAGTTGAAATGCCCCTCACGTACATACTTGGGCTATACATGGACCAGCTTCATAATTTACCAGAAAATAGGAGAATGAAATCATATTTCCACCAAAGTACAAAACTCGTAAGCCAAGTAAGGGCATAGATCATCGCACCCACGCATAGCTCGGACCGCACTTATCACGTGACTTTAGGAAAGCTCACTACACCTATGAAGGTATAGATCACTACACTTAGGGTGATACCTTACTATGCCTATTTAATGAATTTTGAAACGCTCACCCCACCTACTAACATTAAGAACATGTCCCGCGACCATCTATATCCCGTTCTTCTGCGCACATGTGAGGGCTAAGCATGACGAATTGATGAAGAAATGGGTCGACGTAGACATTTTCGGCGAAGAAGCTTGGTGGGCCGTTTTCGATAATGCGGATCTATTCAACTTTGGCCCGGACTGGCATCGAGTTTACGAGATTCTCCCCGAGGTCGTCGGCCCTCTTTGCCCCGAGCTTAATGATAGGTGGAGCAAGCGGTTCTTTGATCCCGCTCACTATTGATACGATGCGTTCGTATTTCAAAAAGGAGCATGCTAATGAGAAACAAAACAACCCCGAAGCATAGAAAATGGACAGAGATGCCTTTATCGAGGAAGTTGCGATGGCTTCTCAGAAATCTGCCACGAGTACATATGTGATCATTGCCGATGAGGAAGCTTTCCAGACTGGAGGCCCGCGAGTGATATATTTGGACGGGTTTCGAAACATCATTCGTGAGGGTCGCATGGATCCCGAGATCGATGATATTTTAATGTGGTCAGTGATTTGATGGAAACTAACAATTTATTGCAAGGCTCGACGGTCGGCGAGAAGTATCGAGTGAATGGCGAGTTTGGTAGAGATTTATACCAGCTAACTGAAGAGGATCTTGCAGACGCTGTATCTCCTCTATGAAGCACTCAAAGTGTTTGGTTCGCCTACTCCTGCGCTTGGGAAAAGTGTCCCGAGACTATCACTCCATCATCAAGATCGAAAATTTATCGGGACCAACCACTCGAATAACCGTCAAGTCATCCGTATATGTGTAGGAAAGCAAGACACTTGATCCGTAGATAGAAGGCATTTGCTTTGATATGTTCTTATTGAAAGAGAATAGAATACCCTGCCGAATGTCACCTTCACTCGATGACTTTGGCTACAGTGGCGATCATTATTGCCTTCCATGTTGGTAGACAGAAAGATGTCTAGTCAAACCCTAGTCACCTGACATACTAATACCAATATGGATTAAGCGTAAATAACGGAACTTGTATGTACATCGTAACGATACCTACACTTGTACCTTATCTGTAAATATGTTGTCTCTCAACTAGAAGGTTCCATGTAAACTGGGAAACTAAACGACTGTTCGCAATCTGTATTGGGCATCAGACATTCTTTTTCTTTTCTGGCTAATCCCATACAGCTCTCGGCCAACTTGCCTCCCCCCCCAAGAGATTTTGACGATGATCCACGATTCCCTTGCTGTTGAATGAATGGACGACCCATGGGAAGTAAATTGGCAGTATGCTCCACCCCGGGTAACTTCGGTAGCACACCCGCAACCTCGTATTTCCCTAGCCCTGCCCGTATCGTGTGACATCGTGTGCCACGAAACAGCCACAATCTGGGATCAGCTCAGATCTCTACCGTTTGCCGGATGGGAAGGAGGTGGCGAATATGATGAGCAGCCTCCGAGATATCTGCTAGACAATCGAATGGAAAATTATACTCAACCAGAAGACGGTAGATACCGTGACCGAAGAAAATTTGTTATAGCTCCTAGCGGGTATTGGGAGGTGATCTCGTAAGCAGATGCAGAACTGGGAACACACGTCCGAACTCGCATTCATTCAATCTGCGGACGCTGCTATTTCGCTCATGAAAATGTTCATTTCTGAGGCCTTGTGTTTCTCCTTCTCTTTCAAGTGCCCGAGTACTGGGTCGTATGGTCTAGTTTTCATCCACGCTGACCATTTTCTAATAACAACAAACGCATCTGCAGCAGAGATGTGGAACCATTCTCGATGTTCACTCAAACACCCTACACAATCAACATGGACTTGATAATCCACTAATTCCGCATGGCACAATTCCTCAACGCGCCAGGCGTTTGGAACCATTTTTGCAGATTCAGGGGACGTAGGGTATAACACCTTTATGTTCCCGTTGCAGTCAAAAATCAACGATTGGAGGCGCTCAATAACGGGAGCAGTCGTGTATCCTATTATGAGATGACCCGGCATATTCTCTGCTTAAAAAATATAGACATATCCGGGTTTTCGATGCTGGGCACTTAAATTTCGACAGATTCTTCCTTTAATATGAAGATTCAGGGCATACGTGCTGCGTCTAGTCTTTGTTGGAATAATGTGAGGCAGAGTAGTGTCAAACCCCTCCAGCAAAAACGAGGTCGAATCTTTTAGAATTCCTGATGAAGGTAGGATTTTTAGGCTTGAGATTTGCTGATCGTTCAAACAAACGTCGTTGTTGTGCTCAGTGATTTCTGAACATAACGATTGGCATTCAGATTCATAGGCTACCTCACAAGGAGTAGACACTCCTCCACTAAAGTCGGCGATAGTGCGAATTTCCAGAATTTTGGACTTCCAATAATCCCGTTTCCGAAGAGGCATTGTAAGCTCGTGGTCTGAGCAGTACACTGTTTTTTCTAAAGTGCCGAGATAATAGTCAATATCTGAGACTCTTAGATATATGCTGAGCCTCATGATTTCATCAATTGTTCTCTGGAAATTTTGAACCTTTCGGCCTCCGATTCGTTTTCGACAAGAATTTGACTCTGTCTTTGCGCCGCAGTTGGTTGAAGCGGACCCAAGGAGTTCAATGACCTGCACCTCAATGTAACGCACGTCACTACCCCGCGCCGGAAAGGTAGCTATCCATTTGGATTTTCGGGCATCCTGTGGATCTTTACGTCGGTGGGAATGACAGTTCGCGAGCGCAGTAAGCTTTTCCACCTTTGTGTTTAATTCTGGCGATTCCTGGCTGAGAAGAATCATGGAGGTAACTAAGTTCTCAATTTGGTGCCTATTCTTTTCGAGTATCCATTAAGAACACGCCGTTTCCGTATTTGTGCAGCGGCCGCACTTCCAATTCCCAAGACCAAGGCGAGTTCTTAAAGTACACGCCTTGACTAGGAGTTGGCATTTTCGAGGCTGTTGCTCTTGATCATTTGCCTCGTGCGAGTTTCCATCAGTGTTGTTCGGGGCAGGGCGGTGCGCCAGGGAAAAGCTGGCCGAGGTATAGTACCGACCACTCGAGGGACTGGGGCAGGCTGCAGACATTCTGATTTATTATTCGCACCGCTCGCCAGGGCAGCCAGATACGCATCCTCTTGCAGAGCCAAGGCAAATGGAGGATCTTCTAACCTGCTAGATTTCATTTTTCTTTCCCGATAGGAATTTTAAATGACGGGGTGGGATACATCAAATCATGAATTCATATAGGCAAAGTCTGCGACATGTACGTTAGAGCTTCCAAGAATGTTGATGCCTGAAATAGCCGCCTAAGATAGGGCAACCAATCAACATAAGCGACCACGTCACGGATGCCTGGCACTGCCAGTGGCCGCTTGAATCTGACATAAGCAAGTCAATCAATCTCATCAATTCGCGATACGTTAGTTTCACACCGTTTCGGGTCCTATGTGCGGGACGCGCGCCAATCCTCCAGTACTATTAAAGCCACTTCTTTATTCCCGTTTATGCGGGACGAAACGCTTTGGGATAAACAGAGGGGTGGTCTTACCGACAATAGACTGACGCATTTTGAGTTAGGGTTCGAAAGTTACCTGCGAGTATGCAAAGGGAAAATCTGATTTCGAACATGGCAGTAGTACATATGCGATGACTCACCTTTTCTCACTTACTTGCAAACTACCCATGCAGATATTGACTGCGACAATCAGCTCGTCAGCAACTTGAATGATATTCGTCAACGCTGGGTCAATAGCAATTAATTTTCAAAGATAAATCGTCTCAGGGGCTTCCCCAGCCTCTAACTCAAACCATATGTCAATACTTTTGAGATTGGCTTGAATTATTAACAAAGATAGATTATTAAGTTTGCATGATTCTTAAGCTTATTGGGAAATGAACAGGAAACTTTCATTGTTGGCTATGCTTTGTAAACGTTGCTTTGCGGAGCGCGTCGGCTTGGATTTTCCATATAGGTTTTGCCAGTCTGAGAAAGTGAGGCCCGAAGCCGTTTTTGACACTTTCAGCGAAATTATCATCTGTCATGTAGACAGTCGAGAGTGGACTTGGAATCTCTTGAAACTCCTTAAAAGTCAGGTACGCCCAGAGGTCTTTCCAATAAGATATTGATGCTCTCGCTGAAGGATGCTCCAAATTGACATTTTTGGCGACCAGATAGAATGAGGACCCAATAGCACGTATTTCACGGTGCTTGCAGAGTTCAATGTCAGAAAATTGGTTGAAGGCATTGAGTATACACACAGTGTCCCAAGACTGCACATGGTGGAGCAGTAACACGAGCGACCCCCCGACGTAAGACGATTCATTGCAAACACCAGTTGCGAAGCTGTTAGCCGCGATCGCTCACATGTTTTGCGGTATGGCTCCAACCTATCAACATCGCCCACAGCACCTCCACAAATGACAATATCGTATAGGTTTCCGAGGAAAGGCCGGTCAATTTGAAAGTTTTTGTAATCAGGATGTTCTGTCGAAATGTTTTCTTGGAGGCCCATTTCCTTTGAATACATCGTAATATCGGCATACTCAATATTTCGGCACACTCCCTTGTCCATGACCTCAAAACCACCGATGTGGGAAGGAAGTGTAACGGCATCGATGAGCACCGTTCTGAGGTATTTTTTGGCCGTTGCAGCGACGCCACCAGGAGCCATGCAAAGATCCAGTACCTTAGGGCAAGTAGACTTCACATTAAAGATCTTTGATTTTTCAGCCAACCATTTGCCTACTATCTGCGTCATTTTGTACAAGCTGCGTTTTTGTTTCTGGCTCGGATTTCTTGCAGTTTGATCTCGACTCTGAAAGAATCTATCACCGGCTTCATTTGACCAGCCCTTCGCCTAGTTTTAGCATGCAGACTGCAGAAAAGCAATCCGTAACACACCGCTTCTTTCAAATCTCCTAGTTCTTTATAACTTGGCTCTGAAGATATAAAATCCTTCCACAAATGGGGAGAGTCGGCCATCGGGTCTTGCCTTTTCAAAGTAGAAACAACCATTGTCAAATCTGACAGCCACGTGGATGAGTTGCACAATGAGCTTAGAATGCTGAAGAAGTAGGCTAGAATAAAAGCCTGAGGAGGGGGAAGTTTGGATCAGCATGGTGTCCAGATCTCAGCAAATAATTAGAATGAGCGAAACATCCAATCAGCTTAAGACACGATATCTGAGTTGTCGCATATTAGGGCCATGTACATTGCTACATAGCGCTGAGTGCTAAATACTGTAACCAAGTTCACGTTGGGACATCACATGTGATATTGTTGAGGGCGATCCGCCAACCCCGCATTTAAGGGCCGGACGTGGTTATTTTTGGATCTGGCTAGTTGTTCTTTTCGTACGTGCAACTGTAAATTACTACACAGCTTTCATCTTTGTTATCTTGCACACCTAGGACATATTTACAATACCGAGCAAGCGATGTAGGATCTATGGTATCATGTAATTAAGGTCTGAAGCAGTATCTCTCTGTTCCCCGATATAGAAGGCAACAACGGCCCGCACTGTATGAATAATTATCTTACGTTGCCGGGAATCAATGTTAATTGCTAATTTATCAGTGGTTTGGAGGACTCCAGTTGCTGGGTTGGGAGGGTGGTAAACGAATGACGCTATGATGGTTTGCAGTACATGTCTATACAGTTTTATACCTTCATTCTATTACCATGTAAGTCCGTTACAGAACTTTAATTACAGAAGTAGCCGAATCTGGCTTAGTGCGTCATGTGATTAGGATTCGAAATAGCATCTCTGTGTTTCCCGATATGGAAGGCAATAACGGTCGCCACTGTAGCTCTCCTTGTCCGGAATGGTTCTTCTTGAAAGTATAACCAGGAAGATAGACATGCTTACAATCACCAGATACAAAGCCGGCTTCGTCTGCATGGCTTCATAATATGTATTAAAGAGTTGAGTCTAGTTTACAGCTAGAGTTACAATATATGCCTTCATCTAAAGGGCAAAGTACCACTTACATCATTGATACCTCAGGAGAAATTCGTATAAAGACTTCGCCCAATCGCTTTGCGGTAAAGCTGACACCATTGCCTCCATTTCTCGTGCAAGTTGCTGAGCTTTTATTAGAATTGTCAAGTATCCACTTGAGGAACAGCATAACATCTTCTTTCCGAGCTGCATCAAGAAACTGCAGTGATCTTCTTCTGAAAAATTGCAGAACCTGTTTTAATCGGTTTCAATTCCATTTCAACCATCAAAGTGGGTATTACTTGATCCACCGTCCCTTGATTTTATCAATGTTGTTCTTGGTCGAAACGGCATGTCGCTTCTGAACAATGCCTTTCTCCAGTTATCGACGGCGTCGGCGGTAATACTCGGGACTAAAGTCTTACTTTTTTTCTATTCGTGAATAAATTAGGAATAAACATGACCGCGAAAAGTAGTCTTTTCAAGCAGAGCAGAATAGCAGACTAGGAGAAGAGAAAAACCGATGTCGGAAAAGGAAATGAACACAAAAAAGCGGTAAAGACTGACGCCTAGATAGACTCTGGTGATCAAAGAGACAAAACACTAGACGACCTTTGAACGAAGTGCCAGTGAACAAGCGCTACGGGTTGATGGGGGCAGGACCTCTTTAAGTACTGAAAGAGCTGACTTAAGCCAAGTCTAAATGCGGAGTTGATGCCTCAGGCGGGCCAACGTCATTCCCGTTGCCCGGTGGGGTTTGACTTCGGTCAACAAAGCTCGGAGCGTCTTTTTCTCTTGCCCAGCTGTACCCCTCCTCGAAGTAATGGCATCGTGAGTTCCTCCCCAGTCGCATAGCCACGCTTCAGGTGTCCTCGACTGACACGTTCCCATATTCGCGAAAACAGCAATATTCTACAGCTCCCGTTCCGACGTTCCCACACCGTGTCGCTGTCGGATGCGATTACACAGTACATATCCTCCAAATATGACCAGCGTCCAGACATGTTCGCGGACGATCTGATGATCATCGACCGTCTCCGCACAGAGGCTGTAAATGTCCAGGAACCGCACGTCAGTGGGATCAGTCGACTGGTCACGTACGCGGGGCAGCTGAAATGGCTAGGAGGAAAGTTTCCGATCGATGTGCGCGGTCCCGAGGTTCCAATTTGTTGAAGATCAAGGTTGACGGTCTGATCATAGGTGGGGGTTGACTTTGCGTGGTATCCGGCTTTGGGGTTCAATTCTACCCGACCTGGTCAGTGACAAGCCTCGACTTAGATCGGGCAGATACGCACGTGTGGGACACTGCTAACGATGTCGAATGTAGTGTCGCAGAATAACTTGCGGTTCGAACTGGCGAATATCCTTTTTAACCTTGCAGCTCTTTACTCCCAACTTGCATATGCATTGAATCGAACTACGGCGGATGGACTCAAGCAGGCTTGCAACTACTCCTGCCAAGCGGCTGGTGTACTGAACCATCTCCGGACCGATATTATTCCCGACCTGCGTTCATCACCACCAGAAGATATGGATGAGATGACTTTGCAGAGTCTGGAGCTGCTTCTACTTGCACAGGGACAAGAGTGCTTTTGGCAGAAGGCAGTGAAGGACGGACTAAAGGATGCCTCGATCGCACGCCTTGCTGCGAAAGTCTCCGATTTCTACGGGGATACGGGGGATTTGGCTGTCAAGTCTAACGCGATAAGCACGGAATGGATCCACCATATGAATGCGAAGCACCACCACTTCGCAGCTGCAGCCCAGTATCGGCAGTCATTGGACTGCTTGGAAAAGCGGAAATATGGCGAAGAGGTGGCAAGGTTACGCGACAGCCTGAACTGCGTCAATGAAGGCCTCAAGGAGTCACGATGGATCAACCGGGTAGTCCTAGGTGATCTGAATGGGCTCAAGGGCCGTGTTGCAGATGACTTGAAGCGCGCCGAGAAGGACAACGATGTGATTTACCTCAGTCCTATCCCGCCCAAGTCCGAGCTTAAGAGTATTGATCGCGCAAGCATGGTTGCCTCCAAAGCACCTTCCCAAGTTACTGATGCCATCTCCATGCTCGGTGACAATGGGCCATTGGGACAACCGCTATTTGCAAAGTTGGTTCCGTATGCCGTGCACATTGCGGCTAGCATCTATTCGGATCGTCGAGACCGATTGGTCAATGAATCGCTCATTGGAGAGTTGGAGTCGATGACGGATAAGCTACGAGACCTGCTTTCATCGCTGAATTTGCCTGGATCCCTGCAAGCGCTCGAGAAGCCTCTCGGTCTCCCACCAACCCTGGTTTCCCATGCCGAGGAGATGCGTCAACAAGATGCTCTGAATCGTCTTCGGCGGTCTGTCGAAGACACTGCAACTGTCAAATTCAATGACCGATCTGTATACAACGAAGGTGTCGAACTCCTCGCTGCTGAGAAAGCCGAGGACAATGCTGCCCGTCGCAAATACGGGACCGAACGATGGAATCGCGCGACATCCGAGGCTGCTGCTCCAAAGGTCTATAATTCCTCCACCGAGATCAATGGCTACTTTACGTCTGCACGGAGCAGTGACGATCTGGTTGAGCGAAAGCTTCGAGATTCGGAGTCTGTATTCCGCGTCTTGACGGGCTCAAACCGCGACCTCGAGTCCTATGTCCCGAGCAGCCGCAGGGCAAACATACCCCCGGAGGTGGAGCGGGAAATCATCAAGCTACGCAGCTGTCTTAGTGAGGTCAATCGGATGGAAAACCGGCGACGGCGGCGAATTCAGACGTGGAAGGACAAGGCTCGTGCCGATGACATTCACCCTGCTCTGCTCAAAGCGACCGCACGGCTCGAGCGAGAATTTCCCATGCAGGCCATCCAAGCCAGCCAATTCGAAGATCTATTCGAGGAACAACTGCGACTGTACGATGTCGACCGCGACATGCTGGCCCAGGAGCGCAGAGACCAGGAGCAGCTCTCGGATGAGGTTCGCGAGGCAAACCGTGCCTTCACACGGGCACACACCGGGGATGCATCAACTAAGGAACGAGAGACGGCACTTCAGGATCTGGAGAATGGATACCTGAAATACAAGGAGATTATTTCTAACCTGGAGGTTGGACGCAAGTTCTATAATGACCTAGCCAAGATCGTTGGCCGTTTCCGCGATGATGCAAAGGCGTTTGTGCATCAGCGACGGATGGAAGCCAGCCAGTTGGAAGCGTAAGTTCATGTGGCACTTGCCGATCCGGCAAATACAATACTAACGACGATCGCAGGGACATTTCGAACGTCACCGCTATGTCGTCACTGCACCTTACCCAGCCTCATCTTCGCCAACCCTCTTACCAGCCCCCGCGGGCGCATCAGTCTCCATCCGCGTTCGCAGCGGCAACAGCCCCGCCATCGCAGCCCCCGTCGCAGCCTCCACCGCCAGTTCAGGCCCATCGACCATCAGATACGGCGACTCCTCTTACCGCGCCCCAGCCAATGCGAGCAGCGGTCGCACTCCCGTCGGTCCCCACCCCCGGCATCTGGAGTCCAGAGATGGGCATCCGGTTTGGATCAGCCGGGGCACCCCCAGGCGCGACGGCGCCTGCAGGAACAGCTCCAGGTGGCCAGCCCGGTCGTGCACAGACGGGTCCCTGGGACCCTAACCAGGGTATTCGGTTCGCATGAGACAGCCTCAGATTACCCAGTTCCGATCCATAGCATTTTTGTTGTACATAACCGTCTACGACCGAAGAGTAGTAGCCTGCATCAATACACATAGAAATAATGGCTACCTCGGACGCAATGAACATGTCCCATTCCAAAAGAAAAGAAAAGAAAAAAGATCAAACTTTTAAAATTTGAAATAATTAATAAGCCTGTTTCCAAGAATAGCTTACGCGAAGTTGCGTGTACCTTTCCACCGTGGGCCAAAGTGCAGAGCGCCACCTTGACTTTCAAGGCCCCCTCCCCTCGCACAGAATACCAGCCCCCCCCCCCCCCTTAGTTGAACAAAGGTGAAAAAGCAAGGTCGGCAACCATCAACGTAAGACAATAAATGTAAGAATTAATAGTCTCAAATAGAATAAAACAGGGTCCTTGAGAAAGAATAGCCAGACCCACAGCTCCCGGATTTAGACGATTGCGGACGTTGTGACCAGACTATGATGTATGTACGCGCAATATGCCCACAATCCCTCACCCTGACATCTACTGTAGTAGTGATGGCCCGTGGTGCGCAACTGAAGACCGAAATTACTATTCCACCGCACTGGATCATTTCCCGAAGAAATGGTCCGAGAGGTTGGGTCCTGCAGTCCAAGCATCATTGAGGCCATTTTAGCCGGCGTAGCATTCCTGGCGGATGGACCGGATTAGATAGGGTAGAAAAAAACTTAGGATCCAAGCCAATCTTGGGTAAGGTAATTTTGAACAGCAGTTAGTGGTGAGCAAAGGCTGGACATAACGAATCAAAGAATGTAACTTGTTAAAAGAGACAGACGATGACCCACCGGATGATGTGATGATCTGAAACAGGGCAGTCTGTTCCCGCGCTAGGGTGAAGGTGGCAGTGTCGGGCTCCGATCCCCGATGGATCCGACTCTTACGTTGATCTCCTCCCCAGTCTTCCCAGTCTCACTATCTCGTTGCCTTGGGCTTTCTCTCGTTTTACCGCGAAATGTCGACTGCGTCCGACACTCAATAATTCTAATCCTGTGACCCTTCACCTCCGCCTCTCCTGGACACAGGCGACCGTTTTTCCCTTTTTTTCTCAACATGAGAACTGCGTCATGGCTTGCCGCCGGCCTGTTCGGTGCCCTCAATTTTGTTCCCGCCGTCAATGCTGAGGATCTTTTCGAAGCGCACGCCCTGAGTACATGCGCGAACGACAGCATCGTATCAATCAACAGATTCGACGTCACTTACACCCCAAGTGACAACAACATCATCCTCGGCTTCACCGGATCCTTCACCGAATCGACCTCGACCGATGTCTTGATTGACATTGACGTCTTGATTTACGGATACAATGCAATCTCTATGACTTTGGATCCGTGCGGATCTCCGACAATCAGTTTCCTCTGTCCCATGAAATCCGCGTCTCTCAATATCCAACAAACCTCTTTATCACTCGATAGCGATGCGCTAAGTTCCATTCCGAGTCAGTTACTTGGCACCACTCTCGATCTATCTTCCCAGGAGTACAACAGCTAATGGCCCTCATCTCTTAGGTATCGCTTACAAGGTTCCCGATATCGATGCCGTGGTGCGCCTTAAACTCAAAGACGCCAAGACCAACGCTTCCATTACCTGTATCGAGACTCGCGTCTACAATGGCAAAACCGTTAACCAGCAGGCCGTGGCTTGGGTCCTAGCTGTGATCACCGGCCTGGGCATGGTCGCCACTATTGTGGTGTCGATTCTCGGATACTCCAACATTGCCACCCACATGGCATTCAGAACTCTACTTTTCTTGGGCTGGATGCAGAGCATGGCCATGTGGGGAATGACTTCAGTGACCCAGCCCCCAATCGTTCAATCCTGGACTCAAATGTTCCAGTGGACGATGGGCATCATCCGCGTTGGGTTCTTGCAAACCATCTGCACCTGGTTCGTACGCGCAACAGGAGGCACTGCGCAGCAAATTCTCGCCGAGGTTGCTGCTGATGAACTTTCTGTCGTTCCCATGAAGCGATCGTTGGATTCTTTGACCCGTCGGTCCACTCTCACTACATCCACAGGAACGGAAGTCACAGTGCGTGGCATCGAGCGCATGGCTTATCGTGCAAACATCGCATCGACCAACATTTTTATGACCGGCTATCTGTTCTTCTACTTCATCGCAATCGTCGTGATCATCGCAGTCAGCTTCCTCGCCTTCGTCTTGCCGCGATTGACCAAGAACACCACGAACCCGAAATGGGACCGCGCCGTCAGCGTCACAGCTAATTGGAAAGACTACTTACGAGGAGCGCTCTACCGCTTGGCTTGGATTGGATATCCGCAGATGTGCGTTCTCTGCATGTGGGAGCTGTATCACCATGACTCCGCCGCTGAGATCGTCTTGGCCATCTGCATGTGGCTCGTCATAAGCGCCGTCCTTGGTTTCGCGACTTTCAAGGTGTGGCAGCGTGCTCGCGTTGCTCGAGCCTTGAAGCAAAACCCCGCATACTCTCTTTACTCCGACCAGGCATGCCTCACCAAGTGGGGATTCATCTACACCAACTACAAAGCCACCAGCTACTACTTCGTTTTTCCTCTCCTTGCGTACACCATCATCAAGGGTATGGTCATCGCCTTTGGCCAGGATGCCCCTCTCGCCCAAAGTATTGTGCTTCTAATCGTCGAAGGCCTATTCATGATCGCAACATGCGTTCTCCGGCCGTACATGGACCGACCCGCCAACGGCCTGTGCATCACCGTTTCTGTTCTCAACTTCATCAACGCCATTTTCATTCTTGTCTTCTCCGGCGTCTTCAGCCAACCAACCCTGATGACCGGCATTATGGGCGTTCTATTCGCCCTCTACAACGCGATCTTCATGCTAGCATTACTGATCTTCCTCTTGATCGGCTTTTACTACTGCATTGTTCTTCGCGAGCCTCGCGCGAAATACCAACCCCTCGCCGACAACCGCGACTCTTTCCGCATGTCCGAAAACCGCCTGACAACAGAACTTCTCCCCTTGGAGAAAGCCGCTCAAAGCGACCTAAATACAGAACACTCATCTCGCGAAGAAATCATCGAAACACCCCCACCAACTCATCAACATGGCGAGCTCCGACCACCCCACTCACCCTTCGCCGATCCTGTGGAGCCAACACTACCCTTAATCTCAAACAGTTCCAGCGCCTCCGTGCGATCAAGGCAATCCACGCGATCTGGACGGTCTGGGACGGTAGGCGCAAATGCCAAATTCGCTACGAACCGGTTCGATAATGACCACGCTGCTTGATTGTGGTTGATTTTGCATTCCTGGTGCCCTCGGGTTTGGGTTTTATTCTTGTTCACAAGGGGCTATCGTTGGGCTTCCTTTTCATACAAACCTGGCGTTTTACTGTTCTTTTCTAAGGCCTCTTTGATTTGTACATAATTGATAGATCTTGAATATTTCGATATATGATTCAAAGACTTGGCAATAAAAGTTTTGAAGTCTATCAACTCACACTGTGCTTTGTTTCTCTGCCTACTAGGCCACCATGGTAAATTGTAAGATGGGTTTGTTCATTTCGCTAATTAGGATTATACATTATATAATATTGTGCACCAAGAATGCGGGCCGACTCGCTGTACTCTTGCATGAATGCCTGCCCTTGATCCTTGTTCACATGAGCATACCTGGAGCCAGCTTCAATCGATACTCTTGATAGCCATTCTCACGTTCCTCGCGACCGTCTCCATAATTCATTGTACAATATCCGCATTTGATGATCGTCCATCATTGTCATTATGCATAGCGTTGCTCACACCAACCCGACCAACGTATATATAGCCTCAAGAAGCCTTGGCCTTGGCCTGGTGCTTCTGCATCATCTCCTCGATCTCGGACTGTTCAGCCTCAGACCTATCATCTTTCTTCATACCATAAGCGAGGAACTTCCAGGCACTTCCCATAAGGAAGTACAGCCAAAAGAGATTGAGAATTTGCAGCGAAGCCAGCAAGGCAAAAGTAATAGCCTGAGAAATCCAGCACTTGTACTGTTGCGTCTCCCAATTCAACTCGTAAGGACCAACAGTCTTGAACTCAGTCAAAATAGACCAGAGAATACCCAAGTTCAAATAATGACGCAGATAAATCCACGACACCACCGAAAGGGCATAGAAGGGGATGATCAGATCCGAATCAATATAGTGGAATGACTTGGACATCTACAATCAGATTAGCACAATCCCACAACATTTTGTACCCAACCCAAAAAAACCCAAACTTACAGCGAGGAAGAAATCACTGATATCATGGGTAATATAGATCGCAATACCAATATATGTGAAATGAAACCTATAGCTCAAAGCAATGAGACTCAAAGTCACAATATGATGAGCAACAAGCTCCTTAAAATCCTTCCTCCTCTTCTCCTGTCCCAACAGCATAACAATAGCCTGCTGCGCCCAATAAGCCGCCTCAAACAAGTAATAGAACTTGAAAGCTGCCTCATGCGTCCTATGAGGGAACCCCTCATACATCGCACTCGTCTTGAAATACCACACAGGACTCCGCGACATAACGTAAAGCCCAGCAGGCCCCGTCATCCCAAAGTAGATAGCCGTATACATCTGCTCCATGAACCTCATCTGCTTGCCACGGGACTTAATACCGGCGAACTTCGCCAAAGGCCGCAGAAGTTCCTGCATGATGAATTCACGGGTAAAAGAGAGCACGATCGTATAAAAGGTCACGAATGCGATATCCCAAAGACCCTTTCCATACTGAGGAATTCCCTCTTTGCCGCCCTCGGACAACTTGTAAGAAAGGAAAATGAAATGGTGAATAACATTCGACTCAGACGGATTGATAGCGTACAGAGACAAAATAGCCAGAACCAGAACCAGCGGAACGAGCCAAGTATGCTCAGCGACCTGATTCTTGAATCCGCGCAGGAACGACCGGCGCGATCGTCTGCGTGCACTGTCAGAAGATTGACGCGCGTGACCGCGTGCATGGCCTTCTCTAGCCTCTTTAGTCTCTTTGATCTCTTTGGTCTCTTTGGTTTCTTGAGGACCTGGACCTCTTGCGCGCGCGCCGGCGGGCCGGGCTGTTGCTGTTTTGGCGGGCATGTTGAGACCCGAGTGTGATATAGTATAGTCCGGTAGAGGGCAGATCCAAGGTTGGGTCGGGAATGGGAAAGTGCGTGGCAGACCGCCTCAGACCCCTATTCGAAATGACGACTCGGCGCTGTTCCTTTCATGTTGATCTGATTATTAGCCTTTTTGGGTTAGACGTATGGGGCCGTCGGCGAATCAGGTCTGGTTTTCGGGGGAGTCGGGTTCCGGGGTTGCCGCGTGTTTTCTTACTTCTTAGGAGAACTAGAGGTTTCCTTGGTACCGACGGAGTTTGTGGTTACGGCCGAATGGAGAGTTTGAATAACTGGAGATTTTACCTCCGATTGGAAGGACCTGAGAACTGAACTGATTAATCTACCGGTATGCTTGAAACGAGGTCCTGGGTTGCGAGGCACGGAGAACGAGTATGAGCTTAGGTGTCATTGACTGGAGGGCTTATAGTGTAATTTGGAAGTACGAAATGTCTTAACCAGGTCATTGATAGCCCCTGGTAGAAATGGAGAAATGTGTCAAAGGGCGGTTGAGTCTGGCGCTAAATATTAACTCCGATTCAATAAACTATAGACCTGTTCGCAATTACCAGTCTGAACCGTAACAAAGCCAATCAATTCCTTTTCAAGTGCTACAGAATTAGTTCCAACGTCTAGGTCATCTTGCCAAGCCTGGGGTCATAAGCAATACGAGGACCATCTCAACTCAGCTCAGCTTCAATTCCCTCGGGGCTTACATTTATAGGTTCCTCGTAATGGAAGCATGTCAGGCGGCACCTAATTTCTACCTTGCAAGGTTTCTGTGTGGACAATAGAGAGGCAACATGCAGCATCTCCGTATCTACGACTGCTTTCAAACCTGACTAGAGTCATTCTTCGCCTGACTGCATGTCAGCCCCGGCTTACTTTTTCCCCTCATACGGGCGTGAGTAGCAGCCAATGGGTAGGAATGAAATAAGCAATTTTTTGAAGGCGTAATATTAGCTCCGCAGGCTGAGAAGACGTTGAGAGAAAAGAGGTTCAAGACGATGTGTACGGAAATAATCAGGAAAACGAAGAGGACTTTTGAAGGAATGTCAGCTGCCAGTCCCAATGGGCACCAATTAACGGATAGGTAGTTCAAATGTTGAGATTAAACGTTGAAGGTCTTGCCCTCCTAGGTGTGTGCGCATCAATGCCCTTCTAAAATATATTCCGTGAGGTTTGATTGTTGTGAGAACTTTCTGGTCGATCTATCATGAACCAATTGATTTTCTAGAATCCTAAAACGTATTATTAATTTCGGAATTAGCCCAGAAATTCTCAGGTTGAAACAATTGCTCTTCCTCACAAGCTCTGGCCAAGTATACCTGCTTGTATTCCTGTTTGGGCCAAGTCACCTGACCAAATAGCCCCTTTTCCACATCACGTGAGACCCATTCAATCCAGCATTTTCCTTGTTGACTCGACCTGTCCATATCATTCATCTTGAAGTTGTCAAAGTGTCAAAATAGCAAAATGGCCGCGCATCCTTACTACCCAATTGACCTCGAGATTGTGGGGTACCTGGCCAATGAGTGGGACACAGTGACTCTCGTCTCGCTCTTCGCTTCAGGATGCACTGCCATTTTCCTGGCAACCTACCTTCTTGTGATGAAAATTCACCCGAAGATTTCAAATGGTGATCTATGGACCATAATGTGGTTCGTCTTGTGTAAGTCTCCCAGGTCACCTCCTGAAGTTTCAAAATTAACAACCAAACAGGCGGCTGCATCCATCTTTTCTTCGAAGGATATTTCGCCTACAACTTCAGACGCATGCCAAGCATGCAAGACCTATTTGGCCAGCTGTGGAAGGAGTACTCTCTTTCCGACTCACGGTACCAAACTCAGGACGCCTTCGTGTTGTGCATGGAGACTATCACAGCGGCTTTCTGGGGCCCTCTGTCTTTTGTTCTCGCAGGCATGATCATGACTAGCCACCCTCTGCGGTATCCGCTGCAGGCTATTATTTCCCTGGGCCAGCTCTATGGTGATATTCTCTACTATGCGACTTGTCTCTTTGACAATTACATCCTTGGACTTGAGTACTCGAGACCCGAGGCTGCGATTTTCTGGGGATACTTTGTATTCTGCAACGCTTTCTGGATTGTGATCCCTCTCTGTGAGTATTTAAATGATCCCAGGTTTGATAATTTGCTAATTGTTTTCAGATTTGATTTATACTAGCCTGTGCGCAAGCAAAAAAGCATTCACTGCTTTGGCGGTGTCTCAGGGTAACGGGTCCATGAAGGCCGTCAATGGAAAAGCTTCCAAGAGCGAATAGAAGCCATGAAGAAATGTTGTAAATAGAAAGATTTATTTGTGACGCTGATATTCTTCTGATTCTATGAGTAGAATCAATGTTTTAGACCTCATTATCTTCCAAATTCAACGTGAGCTTCCGCACAAACTTTCCAACCTCACCAATATGCTCCCCCAGCCAGTTCTGAAAGCCATAGTCTCTTGTGTTGTCACTTTCAAAGCTATGCATTCCAGACTCGCCATTCGGACCAAAGCGCATGAACCTTTGGTCTTTAGAGTACGCATCCCACGGCTTCTGCCCATGCGCAAAGGCCGTCCAGATACGAGCAGCTTCCAGAGAAACCTTTTGGGTCTCAGGCGGACAGTTCGACAACTCATTAAGATGCATGAGCATTGCACAAAGACCATGATATGAGTACCCGTACGTGGGACCCTTAAAAGGCGAAGTTTCCTCCCAATGATAAAGATAGACATTATCTTTCCAGTCATCAGAATTCCTCGACGCATTAGCGATACCAAAATGAGAATAGTTGAACAACGTATTCCCAATCAATAGCCTGAAGGCCTTGCGGAAATCTTCTTCAGACTGCGTATCGCGACTGAATCCGAACTTGGAATAAAGCTCTTCAGCATCCTGCTGTGAAAACGCACCATCGACCAATTGATGGAACCGTTCTTGGGGCAGACGCTTGAGCAAACCATCGAAGATAATCGCTTCAACATTCGTATCACCGACAATGAACTCTTTGCATCGAGTATTGGCGACACTGTCCTCGTAGGTCCAGCCTTCTGGAAGGAGCTTGCCATCTGCGACGGGGCCCATAGCGGCAGGAGTATAATTTTGCAAAACCTCCGCTGTGCTCAACGAGCGAAGCTGCTCCAATCGTTCAGACGCAGTTGATGCTGTCACTGCAGTCTTTTGACATAGGCGGTTCCACTCCTTCTCATAGAGTTCCATTGACAACGGACCTAGAACAGGGGCGGTGCCGGACATCATGATTGCACGATCAAACAAGGCGTGTTCGGCAAGTAGGTGGTAGTGAATGCTTATACTACCAGCACTCACGCCGAAGACAGTGATATTGGAAGGATCGCCACCGAAGTCTTGGATGTGCTGGTTCACCCATTCCAAGGCATTACGTTGGTCGATGAGCCCGTAATTTCCAACTGGATGTGTTTTTGAGCCGCCGTTTCTCTCTTCAGCTAGATCCCGGGAGGCGGCGAAGCCCAATGCACCGAGTCGGTAGTTGATCGAAACCAAGATGACAGGTGTTCCACATTTGCGCGCATGCGCGACAATCGCCTGAGGGCGATAGCGAGCGACAGAGTTGGCACCGAAGGCGAACCCACCTCTAAATATTGGCTGGTCAGTGTTACACCATTTCTCAAATCGAGTAAAGCATACCCATGAATCCAAACCATAACTGGTAGCGGCTGAGAGCTCTCCAAAGACTCCTTGGGAACAGCGATATTGAGATTGAGGCACTTGAACTCGTCGTCACCGGGGAGGGGATCGTTAGTGCCTCCCGATACAAGAACGATCCCATTTCCCTGGCTACATCGATATCCAAGCTTGGTAGCATCGAAAGCCTGGTGAAGCGAGTGAGTAGTCTCACTATGTGTCCAACGCTTGGCTACAGTAGCAAATGGAATTCCTCGAAAGAGCGCGATGTCATTCTCACTATCCAAAGTTCCGGTCAATTCTGCACCGAGAGAGGGCGCATTGCTTGATATTGTTTCAAGGTCAGCCATTGTGATGTTCCGAGTTGTTCTAGGCTAAAAGTGAAAGTGCAAAAGTCATCGCAGTGAGGTTCGCCGAGGGGTTATAAGTCGCCGGGTAAACCAAACGGTGGAACTTGCGGGGTTGTTCCGGAACTTGAGTTGAGTGCTTATCCACGGCTAAGCTTTCTACTGGTCTGCATTGCCATTTCCTAGCTTAGAGCTGACGCATTGGAGCTTTTTGACTGAAACTAGCTCAAATAGGCATATGAAGACCCTTCCCTAATGCCATAACTGTCTTCTACTAGCTGCCATTGCAGTAGACTCACGACTCCAGACCCAGTGAAAAACACACGTAAAGGATGAACGGTTTAACCTAGGGTAAAACGACACGCATCTGCGGGGTTTAAGCGAGAAAAAAAGCCGAAGTTTATCCCGACAAAAGCTCAATCTGAAGCTAAGGGCGCGTGGCGTAGACAAAAGAGATCTAGATCAGTTTCCGGGGCCCCAGACGACAGAAATCGGCAAATCCGAATCCCCACATTGGTGCATAAACTGCGGAGGCAAGCAATTGCCGCCCGTTTATAGGATAGCTCAAGACATGACTCGGCTGGCTTCTTAGGTGGTTGCGTTTTTAGTATACGGCTAAGCGTTATACCGCAGCTGAAATACAGTTTTTGACCTGCTCAAATTTCTCCAGATCATCACCTGGACGTACCCCTCATGGAGGACGCGTTTATAAGACTGTGGGTCTTTCTGACTCCTCCCAGATTCCCCAGATTGCCCAGGTCCTTTTGTTTCCCCACGGGGTAGTTTTTCACTTAATCTACCTTTCCTATCCCCGGGTCTTCGCCCTATACTGTGACTGACTTTGAACATGACGGAAGCTGCAAAGAATGGCTCAGAGACCATTGAGATGGAGAACGCTCCGGCTTCTCAGCCTGTTTTCCTAGCAGAGAAGCTCCAAGATGGCGATGAGGCGTTGGAGATTCTCCAGAACCAATATGTCGAATATACTCCAGAAGAAGAGAGAAAATTGAGGTGGAAGATTGATCTTCGACTGGTATCTGTCATGTTGATTGTCAATGGAATTCAGTTTGTCGACAAATTGGTACGCTGTCAAAGCGAAGTCCTGAATTGCTTCAAAGCTAATGCGCTAGTAGACTATTGGATATGCTGCGACTTATGGTCTCGTCACCGAGGCGCACCTGATTGGGCAGGAGTATAGCCTGCTGGTCACGATATTTTACCTTGGTTATCTTGTGAGTCGCTCCAGGGCTCCCTTGGCTCAGTCTATATGCTTTCCATAATTCGATCTGACATATTATTCAGGTCGCGCAATACCCGACCAGCTATCTCATGCAACGATTCCCTACCGGTCGTTATCTTACAGTGAACTTCATTCTCTGGGGTAAGTCACGGTTAAGGTTCACGAGTGAGTTGTTCTAACGTATCTAAAGGTGTTGTACTGGCAGCTACTGGAAGTGCCACCACTTTTCCTTCGTTGGCTGCCGCCCGATTCTTCCTCGGCGTCTTCGAGTCATGCTTGAACCCTGGTTTCGTGCTGATTTCTTCATCTTGGTGGAAACGTGAAGAGCAGGCAGCTCGCATCGGTCTTTGGTACAGCGCAAACGGTCTGGCGTCGTTGCCTGCTGGCGTTTTGTTCTGGGCTATCGCACATATTGATGTATGCGTCAAGCTAGAAACCTCTAGATTACCCAAGCTAATTTGGTTTCAGGTCGATGGCATGTTCCCATACCAATGGATGTTCATCATATTTGGTATCCTGACTGTCCTGATCGGCGCCAGTCTCTGGTGGATTCTTCCCGACTCTCCGATGAAGTGCCGGTGGCTCAACGATCGTGAGCGTATCATTGCTGTCCAGCGTCTCAAGGACAATCGCACCGGAGTCAAGAACAACCACCACAAGAAAGAGCAAGTTGTCGAAGCTCTCACCGATTATCGCGTGTGGATGTTGTTGTTCGCCGTCTTCTGTCACAACATGACAAACAGTCTGCAGACCAACTTCACTGGAATTATCATCAAGGGATTCGGTTATAGCACTTACCAATCTGTTTTATTACAGATTCCCGTGGGAGCAATCATGGCCGTCGCAATGATCCTCTGTGGCTTCTTCCTCTCCTCAAGATGGGGCCAAGGAAAACAGATCATAACCATTATCTGCTGCTATTTCCCCGGAATCATCGCATGTGGCATCCTCTACGGAGTCCCCGTGAAATCAGACACTCTGAGCGCCCACCTGGCTGCCATATTCCTAATTCCGATCGTCGCCACCGCCGGTGGATTGATGTACTCCTTGCTGGCAGCCAACATCGCCGGATACACCAAGAAGACTGTGACCGGAACATTGTTCTTCTCAGCCTACTGTGTGGCAAACATCATCTCCCCACAGACCTTCCTCAGCTCGCAAGCCCCTCTCTACACAACCGGAGTCTTTGTGACCCTCGCCGCCTTCATCATCAACATCATCCTCTTTTCAGCCCTTTACATCGTCTACTCTCGCGACAACGCAGCCCGCAAGCGCGAAATGGAAGAAATCGGAGAACTGGACGAAGCCAGCGATCTAGCAAACGCATTCTCTGATCAAACAGACCGACACAACCGAATGCTGATTTACAAGATCTAAGATGAGGGAAATATGATCGATTGCAGCCCAAGATATGAAATAAAGTTTCGGGAAATTCTCATTATTCAATAAACGCTGACAGCTAAAAGCCTTTGCACAATCGTGATTGGTATTTGAAATGTAGCTCATAATTAAGCTATGATCGCCGATCTTCGCATGCCTTTTTCGTATTGGGACATTTGAGGCCCGGTAAATAGCTCAACTGGGTCTCTCACCATGCTCGCAGATACAGGGAGTTCAAAGTGTTTCTTGATTCCGATATAGTCGCTTGGGTCCTGCCCGTAGGGAGTATTGAGAATATTAACTGTCGGTCGCTCGTTGATAGGTTGGTTGAGTAGACTCAGTGATCGGGCTAAATGACGTTAGTTTTGTGCCGAATATAGATACCTAAGATCACGGTATAAGTACTTTCGCGGGTGTGTCCAAGGAGCAGCATAGGTTGACCCTGTTGATCTCCTTCCTCGCTTTGCTCTCCCTTTGTTCGAAGATCCCATCTTCGTTTTGAGGGTGGTGGTATCGATTCTTTGGTGGGTTTCTCGGCACCGGTGAAGCGACCCCTTGATGCGATTCCAGCGCCCCAACGAAGACGAATCCCATAGCCTTCGCAGGTGAGACCTCGCTCCGTGCATTTTCGGCAACCAGGCTGAGTTTCATCGCATTGGATTCGTTTTCTCTTGCATGTCCAGCAGCCTTTATGAGAACGGTGACGAGAAGACGTGTCTTTGTGTTTGTTATTCGCGGGAGCCATTATGAGCAAAAGGAGAGGAAATAGAAAGAAATGAACGCGAGGAGTGCTACAGTCGCTCATCGCAGAGTTATATGCGAAAGACAAGCTATAGCACCACCGGATCTACGAGCTCTGATTGGCTGAACAATGTCCTCAGTCTGAAAATTAATAGCGCGTCCTAAGCCTTTAAAGGGAGTGCTTTCCGGGCGCAGCTGCAACGTCCTTCTTAGCTATTTGGCTCGCCAATTCCCTCGCATAACAGTCCTACATGGACATATAAAAAAGAGTCGGACCGAGTCTTGTTCGGGCTCCCCACGGTGGAGCATCTCGGCAGCTCTCGCCTCCGCGAACGTTTCGGGCAGGTACAAGCAAGCGCTATCCGCCCCCAAGGTTCCACATGACATGGCAGTGGAAACCGGGGAGAATATTCTATCTGCCCCTGGGGAGACAAGATTTGGTTACAACTTTAAATCGTGTAAACCGAGATGCCTAGATAGGGCGATCTGGTCGGCAGCGCCAGCCTCTCGCGTTGCGGCGATGCACCGAGAGTCGCCACTTCGGGAATCTGGGGACCGTGGATGCACCTCTGTGTGTCATAAATTCGGGTAACGGTAGATAATAGCGCGCCTTGAAAGGCAATTGAGTCGTGACAAGGATCCATCAGGCTAGTTGATCTGGTGGCAGATGATTTCATGCACGAAAACGCACCTTCTGTACTCCGCATCTACCTCCCGGAAGAGGAAGTTTCCGCCTACCATCGGGTGTCGGTGGAGATGGAGTCGGTAGAAGATCAATAGCAATGAGTAAATCTGTTTCGTCAAAGATGACTTGGTTCTGGTCGCATGTGGGCCAGTCTCGGTGTCCACGAGTAGCTTACCACACAATGCCGTGGGGAACCCCGGAAAAATAGCAGAAAACCCCGGAGCGGAATGGGGACTGACATTTCCAATCCATTGATAGAAGCCCGTGTGCGCTCTTTGGTCTTGGCTAAGTGCGATACCCTTCAAGTGCTGCAAATTACGGAAATGAACCCATTCGAATCCTGACATCACCAGTTTACACGAATTATATATACAAGTTATGGACGGGGAAACAGACGATACTCTGAAACCGACCGATCAGAATGTCCAAGATGCTCACGACCTCGCTGTCTTCGGGCACGACCAGACCCTGGCGCGGAAGTTCAACATCTGGAGCATGCTAGCCATGGCCTTTTGCGTCTTAGGAACCTGGTCAACCTTTGCACAGGATTTATCCGATGGTCTCATCAACGGCGGTCCTATCTCGATCCTCTGGGGTCTTTGCCTGGTGTTATTCTGCAATATGTGCGTGGCCGTCTCACTGGGTGAGATTTGCAGCAGCATGCCTACAGCCCTGGGCCAAGCGTATTGGATCTACCGACTTTGGAACTCGCGCTGGGGACGTTTCACCTCATACATGTGTGCCTGGATCAACGTTTTTGGGTGGTGGACTCTCGCAGCGTCACAGATTGCGTTCATGACTAATTTCGTGCTGGGCATGAAAGTCATGTTCGCTCCCAATTGGACGGGGGCATCGACTGGATGGCTTGAATTTGTCGTCTACATCGGATGTGTTTTCGCTCTGACACTCATCAACGTGGTTGGATGCCGCAAAGAGGCATTCCTGCCCTGGTTGAACAACTTCGTGGGCTTGTTTTTCTTCGGCTTGTTCTTCGTCTTTTCTCTGGCTCTCCTCATATCCGTTGGAACCAAGTCAGGACTCGAATTCCAGCCTGCTTCCTTCGCTTTCGGCAAGTGGATTAACCAGACCGGATGGCCGGATGGTGTTGTCTGGTTCATCGGTCTGGTGCAAGCAGCCTATGGATTAACGGCCTTTGACGCAGTCATCCACATGGTCGAAGAGATTCCTGCTCCACGAAAGAACGCCCCCAAGGTCATATATATGGCCGTCATCACTGGAGCAATCAGTGGCTTCATCCTGATGCTCGTATGTCTCTTCTGCATCCAGAATATAAACAGCGTCATCAACTCGCCCACCGGTCTACCATTTATGACCCTCTGCCAAGATACCGTCGGACAAAACGGTGCCGCCGTCCTCATGGCCCTTTTCATCTTCAACGGACTCGGCCAGAGCATCAGTATCCTCACAACCGCATCCCGGCTTACCTGGGGCTTTGCCCGTGATGGAGGTTTACCGTTCAGCCGATACCTATCCGAAGTCAGCCCATACTGGAAAGCACCTGTTCGAGCGCTCTGGTTCCAAGGCTTCATCATCGCCCTAGTCGGGATCCTATTCCTCTTCGCTCAAACCGTCCTGAATGCCATTCTCAGCGTGAGTACCATCGCATTGACTATTTCGTACGGCCTACCCATTATCACGGTGCTTATGGTCGGCCGTGATAAGCTGCCATTAGGCGGAGAGTTCCATCTTGGAAAAATTGGGGCTCCTGCGAACTGGGTCTCTGTGATCTACTGCGCGATTACGACGGTTTTCTTCTTCTTCCCGAGTTATCCTAACCCTTCGGGTGGCGATATGAATTATGCCATTGCTGTCTTTGGCGTGATGCTTGTTATTGCGTTGGGATTCTGGGGTTTCCAGGGTAGGAGGACTTATTTGAATACCGAGGAGGCTGCGATGGCTCAGGTCATTCTGGCTCAAGAGGAGGTTGCGAATGATCCTACTGCTCCTCCTGAGCCTAAGAAGGAGGATAAATAAGGGATGAAGAGGGCCAAGAGAAATCCGAGGAAGATGGTTGTGCTGAGTGACCAGTTGAAAGTTCAATGTTGAATATGGCAGTGGAGACAAAATTTGTGATTGTGTGGTTTTGTATATAGACATTAAGTACATGAAAGCCTAGACTGGATAGAGAGGGGCTTGAATATGCAACTTAGCGTTTGCTTTTTGGAATATAAATTGTTTTCCAATGAACATCGATACGAAGCAGCAAACTAAAGTGTACCGGATTAGAGTACCAGGCTATTTCCTATTTCATAGCATATTGTAACTATGCACACGGCAGGATTTTTCAAGAATCTCAAGTGAAAAGTAAATTTTGATATCTAAACTGTACAAGAAACTAACCACTAACCACCCTCAAAGCTTAGACTTCATATTAACATGGACAGCTTTGATAGCGGAGTACGCATCCAAGCCAGCCTCGCCCAGTTCCCGACCAATACCACTCTGCTTGACACCACCGAAAGGAATGCGCCAATCACTGTCATTGCTAGAGTTGATCCACACCATACCCGCCTGAATCTGCTTCGCAACGCGGTGCGCACGGTTCAAGTTGGTGGTGAACAAAGCACTACCAAGACCATACATGGTATCATTAGCCATCTGCACCGCATCCTCCTCCTTCTTGAAGCGAGCGATGCAGACGAAAGGACCAAAGACCTCTTCCTGGTAAATGCGCATGTTGGGAGTAACATCTGTGAAGACGGTGGGCTCGAAGAAGAAGCCCTTTCCATCACCGGCCTTGAAGGGCTTACCACCAGCGGCAAGAGTAGCCTTCTCGGACTTGCCCACGTCAACGTAGGACATGATTCGCTCATACTGGGACTTGGTAACCTGGGGGCCTTGGAAGGTCTTCTCATCGAAGGGGTCACCGATGATAGACACATTCTTAACCTGCTTCTTGAAGGCATCGACGAATTTATCGTAGATCTCGTCCTGGACCAAAATGCGCGAGGTAGCGGTACAGATCTGGCCCTGGTTGTACATAATACCGATGTGAGCCCACTCCACAGCGAGGTCGAGCTCGGCGTCGTTGAAGACGACCAGGGGGCTCTTGCCGCCGGTCTCAAGGGTAATGTTCTTCAAGTTGTTGCTGGCCATCTTCATGATATGCTTGGCGGTAGCGGTGCTGCCGGTGAAGGCAATCTTGTCGACGTCCATGTGGGAGGCGAGGGTGGCGCCAGCAACGGCACCATGGCCGTTGATGATGTTTACGACACCCGGGGGGAAGCCAGCTTCCACGATTAGGTTTGCGAGGAATAGAATGGAGAGAGGGGTTTGTTCGGCGGGCTTGAGGACGACGGTGTTACCGCAAGCTAGGGCGGGGCCGAGCTTCCATGCGGCCATGGAGAGAGGGAAGTTCCATCTAAGAAGTCTGTTAGCGTGAAGGTTTCATGGGTAGAATGCGGTGGGAAATGCTCACGGGATAATCTGTCCGCAGACACCAACAGGCTCGCGCACAGTGTAGGCGAACTTGTCGGGAGTGGTTCCAATGACCTGGCCGAAGATCTTATCGGCATACCCACTGTAGTAGCGGATAGTCTCGGCAGTCTCGGTCAAGTCGTCGTCGCGGGACACAGTATAAGGCTTGCCGTTGTCGCAGGTCTCAATGGTAGCCAAAGTCTCCCGATTATCCTCGATAAGCTGAGCAAGCTTGTTCATCATCTTGCCGCGGTCGGTTCCCGGCAGGTCGCGCCAGCTCGGGTGGTTGAGGGCAGCGCGCGCAGCCTTAACGGCGTCGTTGACATCCTGCTCGGAAGCAGCATGGACGGATGTGATTTCCTTCTCCGTACTTGGTCAAAGTTAGCAACTTCATTCACTTTGAAGCTGTGATGAGCTTTTTGAGAACATACGCGGGGTTGATACTGGCGATCTTCTTGCCGTCGGACGACTTCACCCACTGGTTGTTGATGAAGAGGCCAGTAGGCTGCGTCCACACGCGGCCATTAGGCGCGGTCAGCTGAACAGATAATGAAGACATGGTGTATGATGTGTTTAGCAATATGTTGCTAGCTGAGGAAAGAACAGGCGATAAGTACAGCTGGGGAGCTCTTAAGCAGTTCGATAAGAACTGATTCGGCACGACATTCCAAAAGAAGAAGGCCGATGAGATGGCATCTGGAGTAGACCCACGGACCCCACCAGCAGAAGATCGGGTCGAGGCTCGAGGCTCCAGAAGGACACTAACCTGGATTCGGTAGGTCCAGCCAGCTCAACGGCTGGACCGATAACGAGATACGGCGAGATAGCGACGATAATCATGAGTAGTAGTGCCGAATAGCGTCTAAATCTATCGCGATAGCGTCTATTGTTCTGCTTTGATGCCTTGGCAGTGCGCACCCCTGAGGGCCATCTATAGCCATCTCGCTACTGACGTGAATCAGCACAGGAATGTGGCAACCGCCTCCGTCACGTGGGTTCCCCGCGAAAAGATAAGCTTGCACTGACACTTGGCATCTGCAGACCAGGGTCGCTATAGTGACAACCATAGGTCTGGAGGGTCAACCTGCCCCGACCAGAGTAGTCTGGGGTATCACCCTCGGATCGGGAAGGGGGAGATAAACCTAGGAAGGCGATTGGCTCGAACCTCCGGTATAAGACAGTTACGCAAAAGATATTATGGCATGAGAATGCAGACGGAAAGTACAAATGAACCAAAACGTAAGCTTAAACGAGCTTCTCCAGGCTTTCGCCAAACTAAGGTATGGGGAGGAGAGCCCGGTGAAAGTGGACTCGGGAAGAGTGGTGAAGGCGAACTTCTTTTTCTGAGCCAGACATCCCGACTGCCTGATTAGGAAGGTACATGCGTTTTCTATCTCTGTTCGAAGATGTGGAAATTCAACTATATAAGCCAAGGTCCGGCGAGAAGTGAGTCGGATTGTTAACTCCATCTTTCACACTCATCCTACACCATGGCTTCTGTCCCTGATACCACATCCATCCCGGGTTACACAATCTTCCGGGAGGGAGACTATGACAGTGTTGCTGCAACTGCCATGCTTCCGCAGGGAACTCCCCACCCGCTTGGTACGTGCATTGGCATTTTTTATTTTATTTTGGGTTTTCCTTTCTTTTCGTACAACCACTAACTTGACCAAACAGACCAGCTTTCCATTTTGGAAATCCCCGAGGCTGCTGCTCTCATCCGCCAACATGCTAGCCCCAAGACCATCAAGTTCAACTGCCTTACTCTGCGGGAACCCCGCAAGGCCGAGTACCAGGCCTTCAAGGCCGGTCAGATCCCCGCGCCTGACCGCCGTGCTTTTGCCATCATCATTGAGATCGAGACCAAGAAGGTCGCCGAGGTCGTTGTCAACTTGAAGTCCAAGAAGATCGAGATTTGGAAGGAGGTCTCCGAGGTCATGCCCACCCTCACTCTCGAGGATCTGGATGTCATGGAGCGCGTGGCTCGCGCCGATCCCCGTGTCGTCCGGGCCTGCAAGGAGATCGGTATCACCGATATGTCCAAGGTCTTCCTCGATGCCTGGGCGATTGGCATTGACGAGCGCTGGGGCTACGAGCGCCGTCTCCAGCAGGGTCTCGCCTACTACCGTAACTCGGAGTTCGACAACCAGTACGCCCACCCGCTCGACTTCAGCGTCGTGGCCGATACCGAGACCGAGGAGGTTCTCAGCGTCGATGTTCGTTATGTCAACGGCGAGCGCACTGCGGTGCCTCTCCAGGAGCACAACTACATGCCCGATTTCATCGGTGACGGCTACATCCACGACCGCCTGAAGCCCATTGATATCACCCAGCCCGAAGGTGTCTCCTTCAAGGTCCGCGGCAACGAGCTGCAGTGGGCCAACTACAAGATGCACATTGGTTTCAACTACCGTGAGGGTATTGTCATCTCCGATGTCCGCACCCACGACATGTACGAGGACCGCGAGCGCACCCTCTTCAACCGTATCTCCGTCGTCGAGATGGTTGTCCCCTACGGCTGCCCCGAGAAGCCTCACCACAAGAAGCACGCCTTCGACGTCGGCGAGTACGGTACCGGTCTGATGACCAACTCCCTGAAGCTGGGTTGTGACTGCAAGGGTGCCATTCACTACATGGACGGAGTCATGACCACCAGCAAGGGTGAAGCCGCCGTGATCAAGAACGCCATCTGTATCCACGAGGAGGATAACGGCCTTTTGTACAAGCACACCGACTACCGTGATGGCACTGTCATCTCCGCTCGTGACCGCAAGCTCATCATCTCTCAAATCATCACTGCCGCGAACTACGAGTACGGTTTCTACCACACATTCACCCTTGACGGCACCTACAAGCTCGAGATGAAGCTCACCGGCATGCTGAACACCTACTGCATGCACCCCACCGAGACTGCCGCTCCCTTCGGCACTGAAGTTGCCCCCTCGATCAACGCCCACAACCACCAGCACATCTTCTCCCTGCGTATCGACCCCGAAATCGACGGCACCAACAACACCGTCATCCAAAATGACGCCGTCTCCTCCGACGCCGCCGTCGGCTCCCCCGAGAACCCTTACGGCAACGCCTTCCTCAGCAAGAAGACCCCCCTCCGCACCTCCCTCGAAGGCGCCGCCGACTACTGCTACGAGACTCAGCGCTCATGGGACATCGTCAACCCCAACCGCATGAGCAAGGTGGCCAAGAAGCCTGTCGCCTACAAAATCCTCAACAACAACTGCCCACCTCTCCTCGCCAAGCCCGGCAGCACAGTCTACAACCGCGCCGGCTTCGCCCGCAAGCCCCTCTGGGTCACCCCCTACAAGGACTACGAGCTCTTCCCGGCCGGCGACTACGTCTGCCAATCCACTGGCGAAGAGAACCACCCGCACAACAGCACAATTGTCGACTGGTCCAACCGTAACGAGAACATCGAAAACACCGATATCGTCTGCTACCTGCAGTTCGGCTTGACGCATTTCCCCCGCACGGAGGATTTCCCTATTATGCCTGCTGAGCCGGTTAGCATTATGCTGCGTGCATCCAACTTCTTTGAGAAGAACCCTGGTCTTTGGGTTCCTCCTTCTGCTATCTGTGTTGATTCACAGTCAACAAATGCCTTCTCGACTTCTTGCTGTGCTTCCAAGGTGCCGGCTAGTAATGGGTCGAGATTGTAAATTGCCATCTTCATTGATGGTGAGAGAAAATGTTGATAGGAGTGGTACATGGGATTGGACATTGTAAATAAGCCTTGTTTCTTTTTGTTTATGATTATGGTTATAAAGAACATATTTTGCATCACCTTGATCTGCTTCCGATCTTGTAGACTCTTTTTGAGAAGTAACGTTTTATACCTGGAGTAACTGAGTTTCTTTTATACACAATTAGAAGAATATTAAAATAATAAAATATTTACATGTTTATCATACTTGAGCGACCTTCTTACCAACCCCCTCGGTGATCCCAAGTAATCAAGATACCAGGGACCAGTCCACAGCTACCTAATTCCAAGAGTGGACATTTCACAGAAGATAGAAGAAATATTTTGGGTATCTCGCGAAACAAACCATCCATACCAAGTCCGTACCCATCCCATTGAAAATTCCCCATCCAATATATAATATAAACAAGCCAACAAGTAGATCCCAGGCACCTCAAGCACTCACAGCCCATTCAAACCTTTCTCCTCTCCATCCGCAACTCCAACTCCACCCCCAAGAACCCCCTCATCAACACCGCCACTCAAGAAGAAATCCAACTCACTAGGCCCACCCTGCGAATTTTCATTCTCCGCAAGCTGCTCCAGCAGGCTCAAAAACGGATCCTTCTCCGCCGTCCCAGTTTCACTAGCTGTGTGAGACCCAGAAGTCTGAGACTGTGCGCCAGGCGTCAGGGCAGTTCCGGTTCCGTTTAGATTGTTTAGATTATTGTCGAAGGGGAAGGTAGCGTATTGAGGGTTTGAGGGAGGTGTTGGAGCGATGTTTAGGGAGGGGTCGGTTAGGAAGGACGGGGGTGAGAGGCCGAATGCGCTTGGGGAAAAGGCACTTGGTAAGGAGAGATGGGCGTTCTCTTGGAGGTCGGTTTGAGGGAAGATTGTTGAGAGGGAGGGAGAAGCTTGTGAATTCGTATTGTTGGGAGCGTGAAAGTGGAGGGCTGGAGAGGTGGGTGCTTGGAGATGTTTGAACTGGGGGTGAGAGAGGCGGCGTTCGGGGCCGGGTTGAGACGAGAGAGATGGGCGAGGTTCGAAGAAGCCCCGGGCTTGGTAGGGCGGTGCCATTGGGCGTTGGTAGTAGTGGTCTTGTCGGTCTATGAAGTTGGCACTATTGTCGATGTTAGTTTCTGCAAATGAGATACGGAGGGATGGAGATTTACCTTGATACCAGATCATCCCCTGTGTCAATCAAGCGGACGTGTGCTCCATCTACCGCTAGCCCGGGATAACGATCTAAGAAGTCTTCGAGATGGAAAACTGGTGAAAATCGCATCGGGCTGCTGGCAAGATTACGCACCAGTTCAGCGTGGCATGTATAGATCGATTGAAGCAGCTCACGCTGATGCTGCACGCCTGCCCAGGCATTGCGCAACCAGGCCAGCTGGTGCATCTCGCGAGTCAGGAACTCGGCACTGGACGAGAACACCTCGCCTTCACGGCCTTTGTAGTGCACTCCATGGACGTGTACAGTACCAGCTGTACACACACAGTAGCCGACGAATGCAGGCCACTCCACGAGGGGAGAGTCTCTGCCCAGCTCCACAAGCTCTGCAATTGCATTTGAGTGTGAGAAGCACAGGTTGGTCGCTTCAATCTGCCACGACTGGTGCTGACCCGTGCCTCGCAGCTCCACGAGGTCGATAGGCAAGAATGGACGATAGACCAAGCAGTGCACGAGATGATAGATCAATTTGCTGAGAAGTAATATCGTACTCTCCGGGTGACCGAACAAGACTTCAATTGACGCAAAGACGTCCTGCGTCCCCGCTGCCCAAATGTCTAGTTCTTGTCGTATTTTCGAGAGATTCGAAAGTGCATGCCAAGGGAAATGTGAATCGCCTTTGACACCACCGGCAGCCAAGTACCGGTTAGTGACACCGAGTATGCGGGTGATATCAATTAACAAGGATGCCGCGCTGGGCGCCTTCCGCCGAGAGTCTGCGGAATATTGAATATTGGGTCCCACGTGGAATAGCTCACCATCCACGCTGAGACCCGCGGCATGTGGCGACCAAGAAGGCAAGCGCAAAACAATTGAATGGTCGGAAATGAGACACGGACGACGGGAACCACAGGTGATGAAGCGATCCATGAGATAAATGGACCAGAATAGCCGGCGCCTCATCTCGCGCTCGGCGGGCGACATGTTAATTTTGGTTGGTACTTCGCGGAGCAGGTCTAATGCCACCACCATAGCCACGCAATTTGCTGGCCAAGGTTAGCGTAGAACATTGCATGGGGTTTATAGTCTTACAGAAGACCATGTAGGCTTTCTTTCCCAGTCCATAGGCAAAGTAAGCCTGTGACAGTAGCAGAAGTGTCTGCAATCCCTCGACTGTCGGGTTGTCGACATCAACCATCTGTCGCGCCTGCAGAGCAGCATCTAGGCCCATGCGTAATGAATGATCTGGCTGACCGACCGAATACGTGTACCTACTGTGTATTAGCGATTAATTTCACGGGGGAGTCACCGACGAAGGACCTACCTAACCGTCATAGCGCAAATGGCCATACACAAATGCGCAGGTAGTTGGTTCAATTGAAATCGCTGCCTCGTGCTTTGCTCATCAAGAACGAAGAACGGCTTGCCATGTAATCGAGCAAAGTACGCATCAAGCAAGACATCCGACAAGATCCCATTCTGTTTCGGCGACGGCTGCGATAGAGCCGAGGTGGGCGCATGAACGGTTGGCCTAGCAAATGTATCTATGTTTTGCGACCCGGGCGTCGAAAGTGTCGGTTGCGAGTCCGAAGGACTGTACTGATTGAACGATGCATCTATAGTATTGCGACGGGGTTGACTGCCGAGCGGGAGATCGTCGGGAGTAGGTTCCGGGGAAGTCGGCGAGATAGGGTTTTTCTCATCCTGGAGTCTTTTCTCGAGACCATCGACGCGCTTGAGTAGAGCCTCCAGGACGTCTGTCTTGGGGCCGCGCTTTTTGGGGACCGCATCTGTGGGGAAGATCAGGCGTGATCGGCAAATGAGGGGGTGGGACTCACCGTAGACGCAGAGACATTGGAAGACCTTGCAGGCTTCGCAGCTGGGGCGTAGGCGGTTGCATTTGATCTAGAGAGTTCAGCGGGTTGTGTTTGGTCGGATTGAGATGTACCGACCTTTCTCTTGCGACAGGACTTGCAGTTCATGGCCTCGCGCGGTTCGACCGTCGCGCGGCGGGGGGTGAGACGGTCGATGCTGACCTGCAGACGAGACATCGCGCACCTAGGGGAGAGACATGAACGATAGAGACGGAGACCACATGGAAAACACGAAAGGAGGGCGAAGATGAAGACATGGCGAGGAGGGAAATAAGAGGAGCCGAGCGTCTAGTCTCGAAATGGGGATGTGGAGGGAAATGCGGAGAAGTGCCACCGGAGTTTTCTCTGACTGGTGTACCAGCCTTGGCTACAGATACTACAGCATTTCCTATTTGACTCTTCACCCTTGATGGTTCTTAATTCTGCTCTATTTTTCAACTACACTCCTTTTCCATCTGGATTGAGTCGTGGATGTTTATTCCTCTCCCCAAACTGCCTAGCACCGAACATTCTTTAATATATCCCTCGGCCAGACCCCCGGGGCACTTTCCACTTTGCCTCTTACCTCCGGTTTAGTCTGTTAGGGTTTGTCGCTTGCAATTCCGAGACGATCCTGATGGATACACCCCTGCATCTCGGTCGTCCCATCACGGGGCTCACCATTTGCCGCATGGACGCACGCTAAACCCATCCCTGCAGAGTCTTGCACCTTGGGACCCCGCGCTCGGCTACTCCGACCTCACATCCAGATCGGGATGTGATGAAACCCTGAGAGATGAAAGGAACACCCAAACTGCATGTGGGGCGTTTCTTCTACTCTACACCCCGACACTGAAGGGACTTGAAGCCTTGGTTTTTCTTTCTTGACTTCCCTAGGGATTTCTCTACCCCTTCTTGTTAGACGTCTGTTACTCCTTTCCAATGTACTAATTAAACATCTAGAATACTACTTGGTCGTGGCCGTCTAGGAAATAGTAAGGGTCTCAAAGTATCTCTTTGGTCTGTACCTACTTTCCCATGTACTCCTTCTATGTACTCCCTAGTGTCGTGCATGAGAACCCCCTCGATCGCCAACCCAAACTACTCTTTTGGATACGGACATGCCCAGGATCAAGCCTGGTGCATTTCTTCAAAGCGCCACATTCGAACCGTCTCCTCTACCCGCAGACACACATAGCATGGTCCCCGGCCTGCAGAAACCCTGCCTCTATACAAGCATTTATCCAACCGAGGTCCGCCTCCAAACAACGTGTAGCTCGCCAAGCGTCCTGAACATCACTAAACACGCCTCCCACCTGGGCTACCTTGGCAAAGTCGTCATCCCGGCGAAGCCTTGAAACTTTGAAACCGCAACCCAGGCCAAACTCCGGTGCCACCAAAAGGCTCACTCCGGAAGCACACCACTCTTCACATAATCCGCCATATTCCTCGCCCTCTCAGTTTCCATCTCCTGAAGTCCCTCAATAACCCCACCACGATCCTTAACCGGTCGTTCCTGACTAACCTTGAACCGGCCCTCAATCCGCGTAATCTCAATCCTCACCCCAACAATATTCTTCTTCAGAGTCTCGATATACTCCACCGGAGCATCATTGATCTTCCACGGCGTCTTCTTAGCCCCTTTTCCATTTCCAGTTCCATTTTCATTCCCATACCCCATAACACCCTCTTCACCCAGAACAGCCAGATCCGATAATTGTCGATGCAGATATTCCCCCGTCGACGTGTCTCTGGAATGATATATGGTCGCGCGGCCGTAGACTTGAACAGCGGCGTAATTCCACGTTGGCGCGACCTTCCCAGTAGCGGGCTTTGATTCAATATAGAAGTTCGGCGTGATGTAGTGATCTGTCGGACTTGTGAAGACGACTAAGACTTCTTCAGGCAGGATGGATCCTGTTGTGGAAGGGTCGGAGGAGATGGCTTCGAGAATGGCTTTTGTTTGGGGGTTTGCGCGGGCGATATGGCCTCGCAGAATGCCGAGGGGGTGAGGGAGTTTTATTGCTCTCTTCTCCATTAGGTGAGTTGGAGTTGGACTGGGTGGTTTCGGGGTCTAGGACCCAGGGGATATGGCTGCATTGGAGGGTTGGGAAGTTGTCTGATGGGAGGGAGGTGGTTATTACGCCGAGAGGGTGGGCGCGGATGAATGCATGGAGGGTTGGAATACTCCGGACTGCATGGTCGGGACGGAGATGCATTCTTGCTTGTTTATTGCTTCTAATGGCAGAGGTGTAGAGGGAGACCTTTGGAGGTAAAGACAGGAACGAGGGGAATGAGGGGTTGACCCCAGGTTTGCGGCGATAGCTTATCAGCCGGGCCGGGGAACCGGCTATACATCGGATGCTGGATCTAATCCAGGTACGGGTACAGGTACCCGTACAGGTACCGATACAGAATCGACTCAGATTGGAGATGGTGAGGGAAAAAAGGGACAACAATGTTCGGAAGAGGGAGAGGGAATGGGTATGGGGATCAAAGATGCTGGGGGAGAGGAGGGACACACTACTTGGAGGTGGAAGGAAAGGGAAAAGGAGGCTATCATTCAAGTTAGATCGTCTGACTATTGCTGATGCTCACAAAAAACTAGCGGTGATACGCAGAGAATTCTCAGTGTAGTAAGGCTAAGGTCTTAGTAAGTGGAATCTCGACCAGGAGTGGTAACCGATGAGCTCAATATCACAGCGGTGTGCACCCAAGGCGCGGCTATCTTGTTGTCTTTTCTCCTTTCTTCCTATGACTATCTCGCAAGCACTGGCAGAACTCGTATATTCCAAGGACATGTGCATGTCTAAATGCATCCGGATTCAACTCAAAAACATACTGACACAACCCTAAATCCACCCCAACTCCAAAGAAATCGATGTTAACATCTAGTGCGTCCAATGCAATGGTTGAGCCCCAAAAGTCCCACTCCTCACACCCCAAGTCGCGAGTCACCTAGAACAACGACCGCCCAGATGCCATGCGCACGAAATCAAACGGTACGTTCTGACCAACGAGTAACCTGAGCGTTTCCACTGTCGTCCAAGCGCTGACGTCCTCGGATCCATAAGCAGTCCAACCGGCGCTGGTAGCTACGCCTAGCGGGTCCCCCTTTCGAGGACCGCTAGTGAGATCGAGGTATACTTTACCTCGCGTCGAGGGAGGTGATGAGCGGCCGTTAGCACGGTAGTGTCTGAGAAGAGGTTGAACGAGGAGGGATTTTTCCGGAGGAAGAGCCGAGACGATAACGAAAGGCTGTTCAACTAGCTTGACGGATTGAATAGATGTGAACGGTTCCAGACCTGCCGCGAGGGGTCCGCTTGCTTTGAAGCCGACGGTGTAGATTGCGCCGACGCCAAGACTGCGTAGTGCGAAGATCGCGGCCGATGCATCCGATTCTGATCCGGCTAGGATAATCGCTGCTCGGCCGCGGTATGCTGATGGGACGTACTCTCGTGTCAGCGTCGCGCGGATGCCTTTCCACGCGGCGTTTTCGCCGATGAAGCGCGCGCCCTTTGTTCCGTCTCCTGGGGCCCTGGCGATGGTGTCCACGACGCCGATGGCGCGTGCTGCATCGCTGATGGAGGGGATGTATGAAGTGGAACTCGAGATCGGGGGGTTGACTGAAGCACCGCCGAATTGCGGCTGCATCAGGACAGATTCCATTGATCCTTTCGGCCCACGGTCGATGGACGTGAAGTTATGTGGCAGGCCCAGCTCATTGAGACACTTCTCCATGAACATAGAATGAGGCGTCGATCTGAATGAGCCGATAGCGTGCAAGTCGCGCTTGGGGAGCTGGCCCATGATATGCAATGCTTCGTTGATCTCCGCAGCAGTCAATTGGCCCGGTGCGGCAATCATGGGCAAGAGAGGGTGGGTGATGGGAGAGAAGACGGTGTTCAGGGCACGCGAGAGCTGGCCCATCTGACCCATGTTGACAGCCGAGAGCAAGGGACCAGGACCACGACTTTTGATAGTCATGCGGAAATACTCCAGCTCATAGTTTTCCTCGATCGTCGAGACCATAGCGATCATCTTCACGATATCCGCGTACTTGGCACTTTCATCAAAGATGCGCTGCGCCTCAGGAGAAGTCCATTTCCACGTCCCTGAGAAGTCGTGGAACGCCGACATGATAATGCTATGTCCTTTGACTTCCGCTAAACGCCGCCTGATATCTTCCGGAAGCCACAGCTCCACATCAATATATTCAACACCCCACTGAATAGCCCGTCGCAAGTATTTATAGAACAAGTTCGGATCCTCCATAGGAAATTTGCCATTCTCCTTCGTACACCTCGTCGTGAAAATAATAGGTAGCTCAGTGTGCTGCCTCAAGAGCATCAATTGCTGACCGACATACTTCAAACTAGGCACCGAACCAGCCGGCGCCCCATCCTTCGCAGGATCAACGAGCAAATCCACACGAATCTCAACCGCATCGGAGCCCACCGATAAAATATCCAGATTCGGCAGGGCAGCATGGACATCGGGGAAAGTAGTGGAAATGAAATTCGTCCTATTCTTCGTGCGCAGATCCTCATGCGGTTTTGTCTGGCCAAGAACGAGAGACAAGAATCTGGTCAGATCACGCCGTAGGAAAGGACTGCGCGAGTACAGGAACTCATAGTCGCAGCATTCGGTGAGAGTATCATCTGGCGCGGATCCATCTTCCACGCAATGGGTATTGATGAAGATCAAACCCGACCTGTCGGTTCCTTCTAAGTTTCGCAATAAGTCGGGCGCCAGAACCCCGGCCACGACTGCCTCGCTAGCTTTTGTTAATGTCGACAGGGCTGTTTCGGTGGTCCATGGTTTGCCGAGTACTTCTGCAACCATGTGCACTATATGATCTTGACCCGCACGGAAGGCGATGACGACTGTTCCGGATGGGGTATTGGCTGGTGGCAAAACAGGAGGAGCGACATAATTCTGAGGCAACGAAGAGGGTGTAGACGAGAGGATCGAGGCGATGTTCAAGGCGGAGGTATTGGTATTGGAAGTGGTCAGTGGAACTTGGTTGAGTGTCATCGCGGAGACGGCGGAGGTCTCGTCAAGACGCGGCGTCGCCATGGGCGGCAGGGCAGTAGGCATCATCGCATAGCAAATGTTTTCATAGTTGAGCAGACGGGAGTGCAAACGAGTCCGAAGAAAAGTTAGAGGGTCACGCGAGACTCAAGGTCGAAGACGAAGACTTGTCCCCCACGGCGCGCAACAGACGTGCTTTCGGGGATATCGGAGCCTGTGGGAGAAGAGGGAACCGAATATCACAGAAGGTAGTACCCGCGCATCTGCCGGGCTTTGACCGAGCTAACGACTAAGGAAGGCAAGTTCAGCAGAGAGTCGGGGACCGGGGTAGTGAATTCAGATCAATTCCTCCGAGCGCAGGGCAGGCAAATAGAGTTTAAAGGGGCGACGCGACACGAGTAGGCCACATTGAAGTGCGGACATGGCAAGGAAATGGGGCACCAAGTGCATTGGGAGGCACATTTCAAGCGCAGGGAGGATCCGGGGGCGCGGGGATGGTCCAGACGGCGTTGGGTTTCTCCGCCAATCATGGCCCGTGTCTAGCGGAGGTAGATCTGGAGTGCCCGTGGGGGTTGGCATTCGAGTGCCAATGGAGTAGTTGATGATATTTGGTGGAAATTATCGTGTTCGACAAACCTAGGCAGCCAAAACTACAACCTAAGACTTACCCAGGTAGAGTCACGTTCCATCGTTGAGCCACCGCAGCCTCCATGGTCACCTCGGACATGGCCACCGCTGCAACTTCCACGATCTGATACGGGGAAAATCTCCATCAACCAGAGCACGGCTCAAGAGAGCCAATGGCCTGGTCCAGGGTTATCCACACAAGATATGGATGCCCGCGGGCGGGACGGGATACAACCGGGCTTGCCGAAACCAAGGCAGTCACGGATGAACATGGCCAGGACTGCTGATACGACAGGGTCAGCCCTAGAGCAGACTAGCCAATTGAAACCGGAAGATCCCATCACCTAGCTACATATTCCGGGGTAGCACCGGGCAGTCTAGGGTGTGTTCAAAAGCAGAGAGTACATTCATATCCACAGGTCTAGTACATCAAACATACGGTTTAGATCTTTCATACACTCAGCCCAGACTCGAAAATAAATGACATGTGTCACATTTCAACATTGGAACATAAACACGACCAGAAAGGAATTCCTCGCACGGTATGGGGAACAAGAAACGAGAGAAAAATACCAGCCGATTCAAGGGGGTATTGGGGTAACGACAAGGATCAAAATAGGAACAGGAAGATCAGATCATGGAGAGGAGGAAAAAAATCACAACGATATATGGGGCAATTGAAACGACATATCAGGCCACATTGTACTTTTTGTTTTGTTCACTCCACCGGGCATCAAAACGGAGTTATCACTATGTACGAGAAAAGCCCGCGATCAACAATCATCGTCTAGATCGGAGATCGTGGGTTGTTCACCAGGATGAGCACTGGTATCAGCACAGGTTGCCAAACCTGTAGCAGACAAATTGGAGGAGAAAAAAGGGGTTGAGACAAACAGGAGGTATCCTACAATGGCGGTCCAGATTGAGGCCATCACTGGAGCACGAGGTCATCGGCGATGACATTCTGTCAGTAGATCCGGTCCCAAGTGGTGTATCACAGGGAATGAGAAACACCAAGATACATCCTCGAAGATAACAGATCGTGGGCGCGATGGAAGGAATAAGCTCGGTCCGGCCAGCGGTCTGTCTTTCTCGGGTTGCAACCGCCCATCTCCAGTGGAGACAACCAGCATCATCCATGCAGTGCCAACGAGGCAGACAATCACGAGCAAATCCCCGACCGTCTAGAAAGTCTAGCCGGAGCCGGAGCCGGGATAGGTGTTTCAGAGAACGAGTAGGAAAGGTGTCGACATAGATGCAGGAGGGGCCTGCGTGGCTAGGTGATTAGGAGGCCTATCCGGACGGTCGATCGAAAAATCACACCAATTAACTCGGCGGAGAGGACGGGGAGATCGCCAGCCCGTCCATCAGTTTAGGTAGTGGCTTCCTGCGCGCAGTAGCCGTCTTGGACACCCGTGGAGCTCCGTGGATCATGCGGGGTTCTTTCATCAGACTAGTATCCAATTTCGCCGGTGCTGAAGATGCATGTCAGCAGGGAAACAATGGGGGAAAAGGGTTGAGTACTCACCTCTGGTAGCCACCCGGCTGTAGTCGGCAGAGAGGCCCTGCTGGCTCCGACTAGTGGGGGTGAAGAAAGTAGCGCTGGCAGTCCGCCACAGATGGTTCGAGGTATCTGACAAGAAGTCGGTGGTCGATCGGCCAGAGAAGATGGAAGTGCGGCCACGATTGCGCTTCGAAAGAACAATCTCGTCGAACAAGGCCATCTTCGAGTCCTTAGCCTTGGGGCTAGTTCGCTCTCGCTCACTGATGAACTCGTTGAAGCCCTGGGTCTGTTGCAGGACGGCAATATACTCGGCATGCTCACTAGGAAGACTCTTCATGAAGGCTTCCATGTTGAAAACATAGTACATCCCGGCCTTCCGTTTTTCACTGCTAGCAGGCACAAGGTACTTCTTATAAGTATAAAACAAGCTAGCGAAGCATCTCACGAACGCCGCGCGAATCTGATCAGGGTGGAACGCCGCATCACAGACAAGACAGACTTGAGAGGCACAACGGTTGTGGACAGTCAACTTGCACGCTTGGCACTTATACATGCCCTCCTCCGCTCGGTCATCACAGATGGTACAGACCAACTTGTCGTCCCAAGGCTGGGTCTGGAAGTAATGGCCTTCCACCCAGCAGGTTCCCTCGGCATTGTTGACATGTTGCACACTGGACGGCGGGACAATAGTCGAAGCGGCGATGGTGGATTGAGCATACACGGACGGGGCATAGGTTGACCCTTGGCCGTAGTCTGTGTTCAAAGTGGTGACTGAAAGGTTGGAGGCATGTCCGAGGAACGGTGCACTCGGGCGGCGAGTCATTCCAAGAGACGAGCTTCTTCTCGATGCAGAATCAAAATGACCGGAGCGCTTTTCACGAAGCGAAGCCTGTAACGCCATACCGGAGTCATTGCGAGACGAAGGAGTAGGCGGAGGCGGTGGGAAATAGCCCGAGGTGGGGGAGGAATTCTCGCGAGGGGAAGGAGGAGAGGCACCGGCCTTGGCCGTTGAGCTAGTTCCCGGTCGATCAGAGCCCTTGGAAGAGTATCCGCGGGAAGTAGAGCCGTGTTCCTGGCGGGCATGGAGGAAAGCATTAAAGATGGGCGGTTGGTAAGAACCCGGGACCACAGCGGTTGAACCGAATGCGGTCGAGTTGAGACCCACATACTTGGCCAGGTTTGTGGGCGGGGCTTTAGAGGTATATGATGCTGGAGTTTCCGTCAAGAATGTGTCCCATGGGTAAGTCTCAACCGCATATGCTGGAGGGCCCGTTGGAACCCTACAGCGGCCATGGTGTGGAGCGGCCAATTGCAAGAGGGATAGGAGCTTTCGGCGTTGGTGTCGAGGAAGAGGGGTAGGTTGAACGGTGCTTTCAATCATGTCATTGTCCAGATCCACTAGAACAAAGTCGTCGGTTGGCAATTCAACCTTCTCATAACGACGCTCAATACCCACAATGTACGGACACGGGGCTTCGATGGCCTGGACTAACCGAGCTGGAAGCACTGGAATCAAGACACCTGCCCACTCGATCGGGAACAACAGATCAACCAAGGCTCGGGTCGCGAGATAGAGCATGGAGGTATGAGAGGACAAGAAGATGATGCGGGACTCGGTCAAAGCGTACTCGAACAGAATCATAATGTTAGGGACGGAAAGAGTTCGGAACAGGGCATATAGATCGGTGTTGCGAGACCCAGGGAGCTCATTGGAAGCTTCCTGTCGCGCGAAGAGTCGCAAGTCTTTAATTGCAAGCTCGACTTGAGTCTTCGAAGAAACGGGGCAAAATGCCTCGGTGCAAAGGTTCATGACATAGCGCTCAAGCGGTTGCCAAAAACCCATTCGCGGTGAGCTTTGCGGGATACGCTTGACACCACCCTCGGTCATAGGAACAACAATCGCCTTGAGCCATTCCTTCCAGAAGGTAGTCATGTTGGCCTCACGGCCGAGGATACCATAGGCACGGGGAATCCAGAATCCAGTATCACCGTCCGTCAGACCCTCGATCTTTGAGGCTGCGCCGTGTCGTACAGGTCGTAGCAAATCGGTCATGAGCCCAATCTTCTCCTCGACGGCACTAATCTCGTCCTCGAGCTGCTCACGAGATTCGGAGCCTGACGGCACATTCGGCAGCTGAGCCAGAAGCTGCGAAAGCTTGGCTCGCTCCTGTGCAAGCCTCTCGCCGAGACTAGCTGCCAGCTCACGCTCCTCATCAGTCATGTTGTCCCTCCGCCATTCCTCGCAACGTTTCTCAAGCTCATCTGCAGCCAGTATGTTGAGAGGGATCCAGATAATCACGCAAATCGCATGGAGCTTGGATCCGTTGTCCGTTGTCATGGCAAAGCCGTGCCATGTAGAGCGCGGCCGCTCGTCAGAAGACACGATATTGATATCATTCGGGAAGGCAAACATCGGGACATAATCCGGGAATCTGCCACGCTGCTTGGTATCGTCTGCCATGTCTCGGGTGGGGTATCGGTCGAGCAGAACGGGTTCAAAACGTCGCTTCAAAGGATGCATGGAGGGGGAGATTTCGAGGGGTTGCGGAACGGGGATCACGGAATTGTAATTGCTGAGTCGTCTAGAAGTTCGCACGGAAGCTGCGACATGGGATTGACTGTTAACAGCTGATATTCCACGCGCAAGATAGAGCATCGGAGCGCTAGCAGTTACTCACCTTGGCGGGCAATGGATGGTTGCCTCTTCATACTGCTCATATCCCGGAATGCCATATGCCGACGAACACTGCCAATGCCGGATCTGAGCAGACCGGACCCTCCAGGGGACGGCGAATCCTCCGCAACGATCTTCTGTGTCCGGACGCGAGATCGCGGGCGGGAGTTTGGGGTAATAGCGCCAGCGCTCAAGCTCAAATCGGTCAGGAATGATTCCCGCTCATTCGCGAATTTGAACAAAGCCGAGTCGAAATCGAATTCTCCGTCAAACATGGCCGAGGCCCGTAAGGGCGACGACGCACCCTTGACGGTCACGCTACTCCGGTTACTGCTAGAACCATTGGTCTGCCCTGAGTCTTTTGAGAGAGTCGACAATCGTTGGTTGGAGCTGCGGCGGGTAGGGCCCGTGTATAAGGCTGACGGGGGTCGGGAGGCGCCCTCCGGCTTGTATTCTTCTTCAGCGTCGGCATCTTCTTGGATGGCATCGGCGAGTGCGGGGCCCGGCGAAACGGCACTGTTGATGCGATAGTCGTCGCCCAGTCGTCGGTAAGTTTCCAAGACCTCTGATCCGTCCACGCCTGCTATCCAGAAGTAGTCGGCAAGAGGGGCACCCTCCAGGGAGCTCGTAGCACTGGTCGAAGGCATCGGGGGCACAGTCGCAATCAACCAATTTACCCGAACTGGTCAATCTCTACTGTCGTCACCACATCAATTGCCGCATTCAAAGGAGGAGGAGGAGGTCGCGCGGAGTAGGGGGGACAGGGGAGGAGGAGGAGGGGTTTAGGAGTGAAGATCAATTTTGGGGTGGGTTTGATGTCGTATGTACAGCGACGGAGGAAAAAAAGGGGAGACCGGATTCAATTGAACCACACAATGAAAAAAATAAATACAGAATTTGATTTACGTGTTCCTTTGCACTGCTAGTCTAAGCTTGAATTCAAATTTCTTTTTTATTCACGGAAGCGGATGGTTGCGTAGGCCACGGTGTAATGCGATTACTAGCTGGTAAGGTGGCCGACTCTTAGTGCTGCACAGGCCAACTTGTCTCTGCACACGCACTGATCTTCCCCACTGTTCGTTTTGAATATACTGGACATGATAGGAAACTCGAATTATATTCTAAGGTTTTGGTTTCCCGGCCTTGGGCGTAAGGAATCAAAGACTGCCCCCCGCTGGTGCATAGTCACCCCGGTGCATCCTGCAGCCTCAATGCAGCCGACATGCACCGTCACTGGACAGTTTCAAAGACAGACTTCGGCTTGAGTCGCCCTTTTTACCTGATTGGGAGCCTCCCTCGGTTTGTGGGCTTTCAACTGCTTTTTCTAAACTCCGAGGATCCCCCAAAGTGAGAACTCCCCCTCCTCTAAATGCAATCTCCATGATGTCCCCACCGTGCACCATTAAAGCAGTGAACGAGTGAGCGATGCGAACTGGCAGAGAGATTGGTTCGGTGGAGAGGATCGCACACCGGTGTTCGGCTCATTGAGGGGTTTCTTGCAATCCAACCATTGGGGTTGTCGGCTATGGGGGTATTAGTGCTGGGCCCGGGGGCCGACTTGCTCGAGACCCATGGTTGAGTCTATCAGCCCGAGCCCAAGGCAAAGAGCACGATCATCCTTCAACGGTGATTTTCTCTAGGAAGGTTATAGGGGCGGGTTGTCATGGGACATTCGTGAGACATGGCGCTGCTAGGGTCGCTGATCACTTGCTTCCGTATTGTACACTGTCATTTCTTAGGTTATTTTTATCTCCTGGAAACGACCTACGGGGCTTAGTATGTAACCCATCTTTTCAGATTTGTTCTCGACGGGAAACCCGTCGGGGACTGCCGATTCATAGCATATCTAGAATTGTCTGCATAAAATATGCCCGATCGCCATACCTAAGGATTCAATCCATGGACACGAAGAGCCTCCGTGATATCCACCTTAATCTACATTCACGGATCTTACATGGAGGAAGTCGGAGTTCGAGTCAGGAGGATGTGGAGGCACGGCCTGTGCCTCTGGGGGACCCCATACCGAATGTGACGCAAGTGGAGCACTGAGGGGCGCGAAGTACTTTCAGGAACATGCTCTGTACTGCGCACACTATACGCAGTTACTGAGAACCCTAAGGCCACAACCACCCACTCGACCCCCTTACTCTGCCTATGCAGAACATTCTATCGTAGTCCGACGATTGGCACCCAGGACGCCTTCAGCCCGCCACAGTCGCACCAACCTCATTTGGAGGCTTGCAGAACCTTACATGTAGGGCTTCGGGCGTCTACGCACCGGTAGCCCTATTCGACCATGCGCACAAAGATTACAGGTTATCTCAACCAGCATTCCTCGGCCCTGAAACGGCTCCCCCAAAAAGCGGTGGAGGTCTTTCGCAGATTCTAGACCTCGTGCCATGTATCTAGACGGGCCCTAGAACCGTAGCATCCTGTACAATCAACCCTGTTATCAGCCCGATTGGGCCGTGAAGAGAATCCGGCTAATCCAGACGGTTCTTGCTGGCCCGTTCTAGACAAAAGCGTAGCTGAAAACGAGAGTTCGGGGCGATGGATCCCTGTGTTTATCAGTTGGGGATGATGGGTCTAGACTCTTCCGCCAGCAGCCTCGATCACTTACTGGTCGATCAGAGTACGGTAAACGGCGTCTTCTATGTACATACCCAAGTGACTCATGACTCCATATGTTGATTTACGGCTGACATCGCACAATGATACCAAAAATCCAACAAAACAAAAAATTACGTCGGACACAATTCGTGTCTTCAAATCTAGAACAAGCGAGATAGCAACCGGCACTCGTAATTCCGAGTGCGTGACTGCTGTGTAGCATTCATTGACATACGCGCGAGCTGCATGGCAAAGCCGCCAACCGCCACCCCCCATTCCTCCAGGCCAGTGGCGCCGGGATCCGAAGTGCGGCTCGGTAGACAGCCAACTACCATGGACGGGGAAGCACCAACGCTAACCAGTTCAAGAAAAACAGTATACGTGATTATACGGCAGTGGTGCCTTGGTTGTATGCATTCAACTATGTACTTTACTTTGGACTATCGGCCGACTAGCGGCATGATCCCTGCGGATGGCACGCTTGTGTCCTGCAACCAAGGCGGCTGGATGCACCAGCGACTCAATTGGCATGCCAGTTGTACAGCGGGGGACCCATCAGGCTCACACCGTGTTTCAAGTGCGTTTCCGGCTCATCAGGTTCCCCGTTGTGAGGAAGCCCTTGTCGCCCATTGCACCACGCCATTCGATGGACAATTGGCCCAGCGTGGCGCGGCCGTCTCGCTTAAGATCTTTCTGTAGACCCTCGAGACCTTCCTGGCGGCCTTCTTCTTGTTCCACTAAGAATGCAACCTGTAACACGTCGCGCGGGTTTAGGGTTGGTGGTGCGGATTCGGTTTCGCTCGTGTCCCAATTAAGGGATTGCGATTTGAACGGCGCCTTGGGATTCAGCCGGGTTTGCTATTGAAACGGCAGATAAGCTTTGTTCCTTGTCTGGTGTTTCATGAGGGACACAGTCTGCTTGTGCTTATGCTTACCTTGACCACGACCGCGCCATCTCCCACGTTTTCCAACTGCGCCTCCAGGGCAAAGCGGAGCAGACGCGTTTTCCCATAAGGGCCCAGTGACTTGTTTTCCACCTCCAACGGCGGAAGCTCAGATGCCTTAGTCCGCACGCTGAGACAAGGCTGCGCAACAAACTGGTACAACTTGCGGAAAGTCCGGACTCGATTGCTTGCTGCCTGGGAATCCTGGCCAAGTCTAGTCTCCGAATAGCTGACGCTGACAGCTAAAATATGGTTTCCCTCTTCCTTGAGATCGTACCTAACGATATTTTGTAAGGACTCGCCAATCTGGAGCCCGTCTGTTTGGGCCGCGTCACCAGCGGGGTCGAGTTCCAGGGTTGCGACGGACGAGGGCGTTTGCATTTCGGCCACGATACGTACCGATGTCACGGCCCGCCCCGTTTCATCGCTAGCGATTTCATTGTTTGCGCTGAGTGTGCATGCGAAAGTTTCTCCGACGTAGACTGATCCGAATGCGGGGGGAAGGGTGAGCTACTGCCAGTCAGCAGGCGGTCTAGCGGGATAGCGGAATAGCGTAATAGCTGGTGGATAGGTTGCTCACATTAGGTGTGAGTATGAATTGAGGGTCGGCTTCTGTGGATGGGTGGCTTAATGATGCCTTGGGGGAGATCTTCGTGTTGGCCGTGGGGAGAGGGGATTGATATGACAGTGAAGGTCGTGAGAGGCTGGGAGGCGTTAGGAATTTGTTGATTTGCATGCACTGATCAAGAGGGCTTCATACCGTAGAACTAGAATTTGAAACGTGGTAAGCTTCATCTGCCTGATATACTGGTGGTTTGTTGAATTCAATACCTTTGAGAGAGACCGCATGGGGTTCCTTGGGGGTGTCCGCGCTCGACGCGGCTCGCGGACGTGCCATCATTGCGTAATAAATTCAGAGTGGCTTGACGGGAATTATGATCGATATATTGCAGTCCCTTTGGGCATTGCAGCTTCTCAACAAGTCATCTTGACGATCGTGAGGGAAGCAGTTGTCTCGCATCAACCCGATAGCGATAGCGAAGCTTCCCCGCCAAACAGTGCAAACACACCAAACATGGCAAACGTTCAGGCGTCCACCGTATACATGTACGGCTATGCGTGGGCATAGCTAGAAGGCTCTCGAAGTTTCGTGATAGGTATGCGGAGACGCAGCTTTTTGAAATGGGCCGGGGACCTCAGCTGGAGATTTCGAGTCTTTATGACAGTATCCGCCCGCTTGTTACACAGTTTCTTTTTCCAATGCTACGAAGAAGATAGAAGTAAATCCCACCTACTTCTTAGTACATATGTTGTCGAGGCCAGACTATTGAGTGACTGGAGAGTATAATTCTTGAACCTGGCCACTTTTCAGTCTTCAGTTTCTTGTACAACTTTGAGTATGACTCATTCCCGCATGAGACATCCCGACCAGGATCTATATCGCGCCTAGTTGACTTGTGGTCGATCCTTTAAGACGTTTAAAGACGCTCAAATTCCCCATCAAATATTGCCGTCAAATATTGAACTTGAATCCATCATCCATACTTCTCCCTTTTTTTTTTTTTTTTTTTTTTTTTTAAGAACATGTCTACCACCAATATCATAACAGGCAGCTGTCTCTGCCAGAAAGTCCGATACGAGGTGACCGGGCCCCCCAAGATGACACTACTTTGCCACTGTGCCAACTGCCGCAAAGTGACAGGATCCACTTACATGGCTAACGCACTTTATCAAAAAGATGTGGGTTCTCCTGAAAGATCCTCAACCACCCATATCATTGAAGCTAACATCTAAGTAGCAACTTCACATCATATCTGGAGAAGATGTCCTCAAAGTTTACAAAGACAACAACACAGAGTCAGGAAACACTGTCGCTCGGACATTCTGCTCTAACTGCAGCTCGCCATTGTTCGCCAGCGGAGACTCGAACAGGACTGTTGCTGATGTAGTCGCCATTACTTCCGGGACGATGGATTTAGGTCCTTCGAGGGGAGACTGGGCACCTCAATTCGAAGTGTATTGCAGAAACCGGAGGGAGTGGATTACACCTGTTGAAGGAACAATGGGGAGTGAGGCTTTGGAAGTCTTTGGTCCGTCTCAAGTGGAATGAGCGTGTATTTATGACAAATATTTGGATAACTGCTCAATTGAGAAATCGACATATGTTTAAAACTATGACCTCGATCACTACACGGTTGAGGTAGCTAGTGCTGGATAAAAATCGGTTGAGAATGAACAAGAATCACGTGTCTACCGGGTATTTAGGTGTGGTAAAGAATGGGCCTTTGTTCTAGGGTTTATCTTATTCAAATCTGTCATTGGCGTCGACGTAGTGACTTCGACTCCACAAGGCTCCATAGAAATAGCCTTCTGGGGGTGTTTTGAATGCTTAAATATATAACTATTTGGTCCGAAAAGTCAAGTTAGAGAAAAACACCAGGAGTGGAAAGGTAGAAGGTGAAAGGAAGACAGGTTGAAGAGTTGAAGCCTAAAACACCAAGGTCGTAAATCAATACAAAAGGGGTATACAGTTTCGTTCCAGATTGTTTATTTCAAGAGGATCATAGGCAGCCTAGTAAAAGATACAGGCTCGAAAGTCAGTAGAACCCTGTCGACGAACTGAGCAAAGTCAAGTCTGAGATCCCCTGTGGAATAACCTCTTTTGGTCCTGGATTCATCTCATGAACCATTTCTCTCTTCTTTTCATACGCCTCTTGTCATTAGGCTCCTCGACTGTAATCGAGTGTAGATGTCGGCCATACTTTCAATGACCAGGTGGAGCCTTTGGGTGACAGCCCCGCTGACTAACAATGCAAACAACCGTGTCGACTCCGAATTCACGCTCTTTCCCCCTGAATCGATTATTCTATTATAAAGGAGAAAGTTGGAAGCCTTCTTGTTGAGACACTTCCCCAAGGGATCAGTCGGCGCCTTCTGCTTTCCCAAAGTCCACCTGTGACGTCACACATCACAGTTATCCCGCTCTGAGCGTTTGATAAAGGAAGACAGCTACCTATCGTTCAATTCGGGTTTTTAACTTTCTCTCGTCCTTATAAGTGCTTTAGTTCATCCCCCATCCCTGAGGTACCACAACTCGAAGGCTTTGACATGAAGCCTTCAAACGATGCGCCTCGGGCTCGGGCTCCAAGAGCTCCACCCCATGGGAGTATGAACTCGCAGACATCCCGAGTCACCAAAATGCAAAGTGCCCAGTCATCTCCCATGAAGAATCCCCACAGAAGAAGGCCCACAACTCAAGCAGCCCGGGCTCCTGACGCCGAGCTCATCGAACTAACGAACGATGCTCCTGCAAGTGCCAAGAAACCGCAAGACCAGGGTAGTTCCAACGAGCGTCGAGCACGCAGGTGGCGCGATCATCCTCCTCAGTCTTACTTGGAGCGACTGGAACGAATCCGTCAGACAAAGTTTGCATATCACTCGGCCCCAACTTTGGTGGTATTTATCAGCTAACACTTTTATTGAGAATGATCGTCATAGAACACTCTGTCGGTGGTACTCACGAGTGCCCAGAGATTTCCTTCGATGTTGTCGGGTCAACTGGCAACATCTACGAGGTTGTCATCAGGAAGGAGCCGGTCTGCAACTGTCCCGATGGGCTCAAAGGCAGCCAGTGCAAGCACATTTGCTACAGTCAGTCTCCAACAAGCCTCGCCCTCCTTTGCAATGGCGGACCAAATATATCTATTCATTGTATTTTTACTGATCGTGTATAAAGTGCTTTTCCATGCCCTCAAAGCGCCTTCTCATCTTCAGTACCAACTCGCCTTCCTGCCCTCGGTAAGTGGCAAGGCTGCACTCGTGTTTGGGGCTCAGGAATGATAAACTAAGCCAATTGAAAAGGAGCTCCGTGAAATGTTCGAGGAATCCCCCCTCAGCCGAGTCGATGCCACCAGCACCGAAGGCACTGACGGCAAGCGCAAGCCTTTGGAAGGTGACTGTCCCATCTGCTTTATGGAATTTGAACCCAACGAACAGACCGTCTGGTGCAAAGCTGCATGCGGAAACAACATCCACAAGAAATGTTTTGAACAATGGGCAGCAGCCTCGCGCGAAAACGGTGTTCGCTGTGTCTACTGGTAAGTTCGAACACACACACACACACACATAAACACACATCGACTCCACAGAATTAACAATATGACAATCCAGTCGCACCCCATGGGAATACGCAGGCGAACAGATCGACATCAAAAGCTTAAGAGCCTCTAGCGATTGCATGCATGAAGGCTATGTCAACGTGGCGGATCAATTTGGCCTGTCTCGAGAACGCGGTACGGAACCATCTTTGTAGCTAGGCCTCCAACGCCGAATGGGCTTTCTGGTTGCAATGACTAATACTTATCGTGATGAACAGACTTTTCCGTCTACTCACCTTTCTCGACTGCCCGATGGTCGTCCTACTCTTCGCGGCGTGGTGCCTCTGAGCGGTACCATGACGATGATGGAAGTCTGTGATTTTTTATGGCGCTATGAATGAACCAGGCGTGGTTGCTACTGCCGATATTGATGTTCTTGAGGTCGGGGCTTGGGGGGAGTTTGCGTTCCATGATACTGGGTGTTAGGTTGACGTTATGGCACTGAGATACCCAACATGAATATCGTTTGTTATTATGAGAATTGTTTGTCTATTTGCAGCTTTTATCTAGGCTACACTGTAGTGTGACCACCGTCAAAGAAGACATTTGGCTCGAATTAGCAGCATAAGCTCATAAAAATGATTAATGTCATTGCAAAAATGCTAAGTATGGGGTATCATAGCAAAGGCCGTCAACAGACCCAAATCCCAGACGCCACATGAAACAAACTGGTCAACGGAATTGTGAAGTTAAGCTTCCTTCTGAAGCCTCTTCCCACCCCGAACAACGGCCATACTGACGCCTTCTTCGCCTGTCATCCAGGATGGCATTCGCTTGGGGTCAATAATGCCCAGCTCAGCAAGCTTGCGTATTCCACCAATAACATCCGAGCCGGTAAAAGTAAGCGATACCGCAGGCAAATTGGAGCTGTTTTCATCATCCTCATCGTCGAAGGTAGGCTGATCCAGAAGTCGAACATCCAGACGATCCAACGGTGCTGGTGCTAGTGACCCGCCCGCTGTTCCAAAGCGACCCTGCACAGCCAAGCGTCGCTTCTTAGATGTCGGTGACAATGTACCAGGGTTGGTATCTGCCGCTTTGCGTTTTTTCGACTCATGTGCCTGGTCGGCACTAATCTCATTCTCTTTATTTTCAACAGTCGCCTTCCAACTGCGCATATGCTCTTCCGCCGAGACTGTATTCGAGAGACGCGGATCCAATGGACTCCCTTCAAGAGCCGAGTCGGCAAAAATGCTGAATGCACCATTCGCAGAAGTTGATCTGCCCGGCCCGCGAAGTGCAAGGAGGGTAGGTAGGTTCTTTGCGGCTAATGATGTTGGTTTCAAGGTATACCGTTCCTGCGGCCGAGAGAGTGCCTTGGGAATCGCATCGCGCACAAGACGCTGTAGGCTTCGAGGATCTGTCGCCACGGAACTTGTAGTCGGACCTGCTTGTTTGGAACCTGTTGCTGTGATGGAGGTGTAAATGTAGGGACAACTGTCCGGGAATGCGACGTAGATGACACGCGAGGAGTCGGCGAAGATCTCGGGAGCTTGGCGAGGTGATTGATAGGGTGAGTCGATTATGAAGATTCGTAGGATTGTAAGAGGGAGAGTTGATGAGCGGGCTAGGTGGTAGTGTGCTTTCACTAACGGGGCGATCTCTTGCTGGAGACCTTTCACGAAGGTTGCGGTTTGCATGCGAGGGACGTTGTTTGACCAGTCGTCGGCTTTTCCTTTCTCGATTGGCTTTTTTCTTGCGTCGATGCGACTGAGCTCGAGGGCGGTCCATCGTAAACTGGCTGGGTGGTTGTCCATGTATCGAAGGTCCGCCATTGCGAGCTGTCGCAATGTGATGCCTTTTCTCCAATCGCCCTCGAGCATACGCTCGAGTACTTCACGCTTTCCACCCTTTCGATCTTGTAGGTCTTGGTATGCATTGCGAACTTCTTCAATTGTTTCGGCGGCGGGGTACGGTAGAGTGTCTTCGTCGTCGCCGCCATTCTCTTCATCGGCTTGTAGATATGGCGGGAACGATGTGATATTCCGATCATCGAGCCATGTTAAAGCGAGCCCTAGTAGCGCTTGCCGCGATAGCTTGCCGAGAGTTTTTGCGAGAGAGGGTGTTGATGAGGGAATGCGTAGGTTGTTTGGGAGACTGGCTGTTGTTGGCGCGCGGACTGATTTCGGGCGCGCCATGACAGGCGACCAGATGTTTCAATACAGAGATGCACAGTCTTGTATTAATCAGTGGTATCGCATGATGTGTGGTGCACTTCTCGCATTGTTTGTTCTTCAGTTTGAATTTCACGCGTAGAGCATCAACAATGTCACGTGCTGATAAGCACGCAGCTTTGTCACGTGTGTTCTTAATATAGAGCCACGATTCGAGTTCTGTGTTCTAATTCTTTTGTTCCATTGATACATCATTATGGACAGATATATTTTATGGGTTCTCTTGATCTGATCAAATTAACAAACAGCTTAGACAGCATTTGATGCCCACACTTGACATACTAGTGAACTGTCACTCGTGCGCCCGTGCATCGGGTGCATGGCATATAGTATTTCTTGCCCCTAGCAGACAATGACTAAGACTATGTCCCCCCACGATATATTCTCAGGCTGTAACCTTCGATGTCCGCGTCAGGATGCTTAATAATTGTCCGGAGAAATCGGGAGAAGCAGGGAAGTGACGGTGCCAGGGTATGACTCGACGATGACTTAACCCCGATTTGGCTGTGCCCTGCTACGCTTACAAACGCGGGCTTCGGGAATCCGCCAATTACAGTTGCAGCAGGCGCCGAGTTCGCCGTAACAAAAAAAAACAATGAGAGCCGCGCTTGTCGCTGGAATTGCGACCATGCTCGTATAATGCCACCATAGTTCGACTAAAAAGAATTTGATAGGGGACGAGGCATTAGATTGCACCTAGATGTGTGTGAATTGCCCTCGTGCCCTCACCCGTTAACCCCATTTGGAGGAACAATCCGGTGTGGGTCGAAGTGGGTTGCCTCCGATCTTCGGCCACCCGGAAATTGACCCTCGCGGTAGATGGAGTCGGCTGTGCGACTCTGGGAGTTTTCTAGGATCGTGACAATGAACTGTTCTCAAGAGTATAATGAAACGCTGTTTTAAGGTAGCAGTGAAATAGAGATTTATAATCTGATTAGAATGCAGAAAATAGAGCATCAAAAACGAACCCCGGGAATGATCATCGGGAGAAGATTAATCAGCGCCCCCTCGCCCTCCCCCCACCTGCAAACCACCTCAAACTCAAAGAGAAAACCCACTTTGTGGTCCCAGGCCCTAACCTGCGTTACCCTCCTCCCTTCTTCATCTACCCACCACCGTATCTGATTCCATATCGACATTGGAATCGCCTTTCGAAACACCGCCCATCCCGAACGATTCACCCGGGCACCAAAATTGACTTCGCCACGACTTAAGAGCCGCATCCGGCGCGCCCGAGCCACCTCGAATCACTCATCGTGAACGCGAAACCCTCAAGTGTCTGCGCGACACACAAAAGCGAATCCGAATCACCAAATACAAAAGTCAACCCGAGTTGACCAATCTTCATCATGGCCGGCTACAGTGGGCGCCGCGCGCCGAACTTTTCCCAGTATCTCGATGATCTGAACACCATTCCCTCGCCCTACGACCAGGCTCTGCAGCAACAGCAGCAACAGCAGCAGGACACCATCAACTTCGATGAGGAGTTGGCTGTATTCACCAATGCCGAGTTCTTTGATTTCGATAAGTTCGCCAACCTGGACCTGCCTACTTTCGATGGCCTGGAGGACAAGAACGCTCAGGTTGAGTCTGAGGACCAGACACAGAATCCGGATATGAAGTTCCTGGACTTCTTGAATGGTAAGTGAGGGGTGCTTTTGATTTTTATTGGTCGCGTCGCTGGTTGGTGTTTAATACTGCCCGAGTTTCCCCTACATCACACCATCCCGAGCAACCTTGTCCACGGTCCATGCGCGCAGGGATCCATCTTGCATGGCCCTATGTATGACACTCTGTGACTCTTTGCCTCATTGGCTGCCTGATCATCCACTTTCTATGATCGTGGGCCACTTCGCGTGTCTTGGCTGGATGTCGTCTTTTGGACGCTCTATGAGCCTTCGATCGGCCGTGCACTATAACCAGATCGGACCCTTACGAGAAATTCTCAGAACGCTGCATGCAATTGAATTGTGGCGCACCCAGAGATTTTCTTTCATCCGATCTGTGTGCGGCAAGTGGTCCTAGCATGATGCCCCCCCCTCCTCTATTGCGCCACTTCACGTGATTGTAGAGAGTGGCCTTGCTATACCGAGACTCGTGCAGCCTGCATCAGCTTACACAGCATGCGACGCGACCATGCATATGCAATTGTATTAAACATGATGCTAACTGAAATGCAGCCGATGGATTGGGCACTATCACCGACTTCCAGAACGACCTCAATGTCCACCCACAGCCTGTGCCTATTCAGAACACATCCTACCAGGTTGCCCCTCAAACTACCACTTCCCTGGCTGCGCCCATGACTACCCATCAAACTGTGGCTCCTGCTCCCGCCCCCAACATGTCCGCCGCTGCCTCTGCCGCCGCTGCCGCCGGCCCCAAGCGCAAGAACACCCAGAAGTCCACCCAGGCCAGCGCCGAAGAAGCCGCACGCAACATTGCCGAGGAGGACAAGCGCCGACGCAACACCGCCGCCAGCGCACGCTTCCGCGTAAAGAAGAAGATGCGCGAGCAGGCTCTTGAGAAGACCCTTAAGGAAAGCAACGACAAGAGCGACGCTCTCGAAGCCCGCGTCTCCCAGCTCGAGCTCGAGAACCACTGGCTCCGCGGCTTGATCATGGAGAAGAACGGCAACGAGGAGCGCGACGAGCAGGCCGAGAAGGCCATCTCTGACATGTTCAAGGCATTCATGGCATCTCAAAAGACCGAGTCAAGTCCTTTCGCGTCCAAGCTTGGCGTTGGCACCAGTGCGTAAGCACCGCCATAAAAAAGTAAAAAACAGACAAAATCACCAAAAAAAAAGCCTCAACGCCGTCTGATTTGATACAATTAACTCTTACCCCTGCTGTTCATGACTCCCGACAGTCTTCTTCTTGTTAATAATGTTTTGAGCGATCTTATTTTACTTTCGCAGCAGCCAGAGCTACTTTTGGTAGTGTCTGCGAATACGGGGATGGCCACAGGCCATGAGTGATGATGATTGCAATGCAGTTTCAATAGACACTTCTATCCACAGCATTGATCTAATCGTAAGCTTTAGCGAAGTATCGCCGCGTCTTCGGACCCATAAAGCGTGTTGATATTAACGTATTAAAGTCTGAATATGCCACAGCTCCGGGGCATATCAATGAGGTGAATTCCACATACAGCAGCCAGATGTATGCGGTTGCTACACACTTTCCCTCTTACTACGCCATGTCGCGTCTCTTGCAGAAGATCAACGAAAACTTCCAGCATCGGAAGGATAGTTCCCTCGCCATGCAGACTATAGCCAAGCCAAACCACGAAAAATTGGCGAATGAAGCCACGGCATGGGATTTGTAACAGCGCTGTACTTGAATGATCAAAGAGGTGGCATATGACAAGGAAATGGAGAGTTCGAGTGATGACTCGTGAATTAAATGATGGATCTTCTTTGTGTGAACTATGCAGCAAGATCTATGTTGGAAACTGAGATTGAGGTGATTGTTCCTCACAGGGGCTGCAAGTAGATTGCAAAGAACAGTGACTAAAATAGCCATTCCTCTTACTGACCTGTCCAGCTCCTTCTCCTGACTCGTACTTCGCTTCACTCCTCCTCATCCCACATGTACCCATCACCCACCTCGGCATTCGATTCGAAAAAAAGGGCCATTCACTGAGCGATGACCTATCCAGGAAACCAGTTTGCCCATCACGACCTAGCTCATCCCGATCACCAGGTCCACCCAACGGCGGGATAAAAGTCTCCGGGGGCCCCTGCATCGATCGACAGCGCTAGCCCTGTCACTCGACTGGGCTGAGTGCAAATCCCCGTAAACAATCTCCTGAGTTTCACCGTTTAGGCGAATGATTGTCCTTCCTCGCGATGTCCTGACAGGTGCTTTGACATTTCTCGCATCTACCGGTTTAATCGAACCGTTATTCTCCACGATGCAGCCTCCCTTGTTTGGCCTGTTGGCTGGCTCATTTCCAACACATACCCGTCTGGGAAAATGCAAGTCGGATTCTCTAAGCCGTGCCGGATGTAAAATGGAGTCTGTTGATGTGTGATGAGACGCATGTCTCGAGATTTACTCGTCAGTGCAATTCAGTAAATAATGCTTACCACCTGATCCTTGTCAGCAGTGTTTCACTTCGAAAAACTGAGCATTGAATTGCCTGATTTTATTTCCTGCTTCTGTCATCAATGGCAGTCCTCAGGAATCTTTTGTTGACTGTTGGTGCTGCATCGGCAGCCGTCGCGAGCAGCAGTGACAATTTGAAGTCGTGTCTCCAGTATGCCTTGACTGACAGTGGCAGCGTGGCATTTCCTGGAGACCCGTTCTATCAGATTTCTGATGTGAAGGTGTACAACTTGAACATTCCTATCACTCCAGCTGCTGTTACTTTCCCCACGTCATCGCAGCAAGTTGCGGCCATCGTCAAGTGTGCAGCAGACAATGGGTACCATGTCCAGGCTAAAAGCGGTGGCCACAGCTATGGCAACTACGGTACGTAAGCTGTCTCGACCTAATCAGAATGGAAGGGAATGAATAGATTGACATGTCGATAATCATAGGCCTCGGAGGAACCGATGGCGCCGTCGTTGTGGACCTTAAGCATCTGACGCAATTCTCAATGGACAACACAAACTGGCAAGCAACCATTGGAGCTGGAACCTTGCTTGGAGATGTGACACGACGCCTGCACGATGCGGGAGGACGGGCCATGTCCCACGGAACCTGCCCCCAAGTTGGATCGGGCGGACATTTCACAATTGGCGGGTTGGGCCCGACCTCACGGCAGTTCGGCGCAGCTCTGGACCATATTTTGGAGGTGGAGGTTGTGCTGGCTAACTCGAGTGTTGTGCGAGCCAACAAAGATCAAAATCAGGACATTTTGTGGGCTATCAAGGGCGCCGCTTCGGGCTTCGGCATCGTTACCGAGTTCAAGGTGCGGACTGAGCCTGAGCCTGGCACTGCTGTGAAGTATGAGTACAGTTTCAAGATTGGGACAACTGAGCAGCGAGGTAGTCTTTTCAAGAACTGGCAGGCTTATATGTCTAACCCTAACCTGACTCGGAAGTTGGCTTCTACTTTGACTCTGCTGCAAGACAGTATGATCATCACAGGAACCTTCTTCGGCACACAAGAGGAGTACGACGATCTGAAGATTGGAAGCCAATTCCCTGGTGCTAATGGCACTGCCGTTGTTTTCGAAGATTGGCTTGGTCTGGTGGGTGACTGGGCAGAGGAAGCTGCCTTAGAACTGGGCGGCGGCGTCGCAAGCAACTTCTACTCGAAATCTTCATCCTGGACGCCCCAGACCCTTATGTCATCCGAAACCATCGACAAGATGTTTGAGTACATCGACCTTGCTGATAAGGACACCCTTCTATGGTTCCTCCTCTTTGATTTCCAGGGAGGCTACACCAGTGATGTCTCAGCCGACACGACTTCATATGCTCATCGCGACGTTCTCTTCTGGCTGCAGTCCTACTCAATCAATCTGCTGGGCTCTGTTTCGCAGACTCAAATCGACTTCTTGGACCAGGTCAACAAGATTTGTACCCCTACCGATACTCCCTATGCCGCTTATCCCGGCTATGTTGATCCTCTCATGCCTAATGGTGCCGAGGCATACTGGGGTTCCAACCTGCCCAGACTGCAAGAGATCAAGGCGGAGATCGATCCCAAGAACGTGTTCAAGAACCCCCAAAGCCCACTGCCCGCATAGGCTCCTTCGGGGACCGCGTTGCAAACACATTGAAACCGTTGTCGAGGATATATTCACTTGTATTGATATAATCACTTGTGCATAAATGTACATAATGTCGACCTGTTCTGTATCTAGACACAAATATTACCTCCTAGCAACAACCACAACACCCCGAACAACTCCACTCTTTGCCCACCAGCCAAATACAATACCAGCTGCACGGAACTTACCCATCTTCATGCCAAATGGTTGAGCCTCTTTCACTCTTCGATTAAGAAACCCCGATATTCCAGGAAACACCTGCCTCGAAACATCCCTTATTGAAATTCTAGAAGGATCATACCCCGCATTAACTAACATGGGTATATAATCTTCCTCAGTAATAAAGTTACTAAACGGCGACCCTGTAAGCCAACAGACAAGTCGCAGGATAAGCCGTTGTTGCCAAGACGTGCCCTCCGAGAGAACAAGATCGAAGGCCATGAAGGAGGCGTGTAGGGTATCGTGTGCATATTGAAGAAGGGGGAGACGTGATGGACGGAAGTGATACATTGTATCAAGGGCGAGGAGCCATGTAGATGTATCATCATCCTCCGAGGAGGCAGCAAGGTCGGCTATAGAGCCCAGTAGCTCTGCAGGCCAACTCGAGGGATCAGAGGCATCGGCGCGGAAGACCTCAGCAGATGTCCGAGCTGAAGATTTCTCAACATCAGGGCGGGCATTATGGACTCTACTCTGGGCGAGTTCGGCTTGTGCAGGTTCAAGAGTAATTCCGATGTAAGTATCAATCAGCGGTGAAGAATCCTGGCGAGACTCTGGACCAGAACGCTGTCGAAGGGCGGTTGTAAGTTCGGACTGTGCTTTATTTGAAGCGCCCTTTTTAAGACCGAGCAGGTGGAGTGACTGGTCACCGCATCCGCATCCCACGTCTAGGACTCTGATAGATGGACTTTTGTCCTCTAAAAGGCCTGCTGCCAGTACCTGGTCTAACAGGGCTTGGCAGGCCTCTGGGAATTCAGCTGTTGACTGGGGTGTGTCAGTTTGGATCAACTTGTTTTTTTTGGGAGACTTACCTCCCAATATCCCATGTTCATCCACATAGTCTGCGGTGGTAGTCGCACATTGAGCACTGCGTGGTCCAGCCCGTACACGTCATTGCGGGCGCCCCCTAGAAGCCGTTTAAGGAATCCCAACATCCAGAGCTCTGTTTGAATTGTTTCCACGTAGCTTCAGTTCAAGGGTATCTTAAAAAGGGATTGGAGCTAAAGTTGTTGCAAGGGGATGGTTCGGATTTGGCTGCGCGGATGTCGGTGGGACAAGCTCCCGCGCCAAGCCTTATTTCCACTGCCATAAACAGTCGCATTAACATAAACAGTCGCATTAAACTGTTTAAAGTGAACAAAAAAATTGTTTAATGCTGATACAAATATCACAACATATAACTGAGCGTAAAAAATACACGAAAGCCATCGCGCTCTATCCCTGTAAACCATACCTCAAATTTCATCAAGCTCAACATCTTGCTCAGCACCCTGCGGCTCATCATGCTTGTGAAGGCGGAACTTGCGCCTCATCACTTCTTCCTTATGTGTCCATATATACCATCCTCCAAGGGTGACGATGGCCAAGATGATCGTAGCAACAACGAATATCCAAAATTGTTTGGATATTATGAGTACTTTGGTTGTGCCATCGTCAAATTTGAATAAGTTCATTCCGAGAACCGACTGTTAAGTAGTCCACAGGTCAGATTAAAATTCACTAAGCGGATGGGCTGGGGCACTCCCTACTGATACAAGGCTTGCTGGTAAGTATATAAGCGTCCCGAGGGTCACGATCTTGACAGTAGCATTGTCGTCAAAGTTTTTGTTTCCAAGTTGGAGCAGCTGCTTATTTGCACCGAGCATGCGGTTGTTTAAATTAACCATTCGGTTGTTGAGGTCAAGCATCTTGCTGGTCATCTTGGAACTCAATCCCAGTTCAATCTGTTCATTATTAAGTAAACAAATCATCAGTGTGAAATGGATTACATACCATATTCAACATGTCTTTGACCTTCTCCTTAATAAACTCTATCCCCTTGAAAAGTGGTTCGAGACGTTTTTCATAGTAAGCTGCACTTGTGGCAAGTTTTGTAAAGCCATTATCTTTGGACTTTTGCTGCGAACCAAGAATACGGCTCAAATCACCTAGTTTCTGAAGGGTATCCAAGATTACTATTAATCTGTATGGAGTTGCTAGGAGACGATTGCGGGTGTGGTGAATGGCTGTAATATCTCCATCACTCTCAGTAGTTGAGTGGGGGTCTCTGCTGTTGGCAACGAAAGTTAAAGTCTTGTTGAACTGAAAGCAAAAGTCAGAAAAGCCAAATTATATGTGTTGCGCAAACTCACATGCGCATCCACGTCGTCACCTAGATGACTAACGTAGGAGCGCCAGTCTTTAAGGCACGATTGAAAAAACGGCATAATGAAGTGTAAACCAAATATCACCTGCGCATGGCCCCTTGTAAGTCTTCGAGGCGAAAGTCTCAAGTTCTTTCTGCATTGGCGTATCTGGGCCGACATGAAAGAAAATCCAGAGGGTTTGAAGATTCTTGGGATCATGACGGTTGAAAACTCCTGTTTGGCGCATAGTCCAGCGACCGGGTCTCCCTGTCACTGGAAAGGCGAAGCTATAGGAGATATCTGAGAATTTGTTAGAAGGGTTGGTAAGCGACAGGCCGCGTTACTGGAGAAGTCTACCTTGAATGCCATTATCACCATCTCGGATTCTTAGTACCCCTTCTCCTGCAGCAGTAATCGATGGCTTATGGCCGAATGTCAAAGTCAAGTCCCATAACTCAGGTCCGATACTATATGTATCTTTTAACGCCTCGAGGGCATCCTTTGATATTTGTAGCGGGCTTATCGAGTTTATAGAGTGAATCGAGCTTTAACTCAGGAATTCTGAGATAAGTAATATTAAGGACAAGCTCGGAAAGAAAAAGTCTTACACGATGCGCAAGTTTGGACATGGCTTTGTGTGAATGTGTTGTTTGGACAGGCTGGCTTCCGTGAAAACACTGGTTGTAAGTTTATTTTGTGTGGCCCCTGTGAGGACGACACTTAGCGTAGATTCAGACTTTAAAGTTGCAGAACAAACCGTCACTCTCGTAAATAAAAATTTTCAGGGAATCATATGGCTGACAGAAAGTCGTATATATTGACTTGGTGGCCAGTTCAAGATTTCAATGATAGTTTTCACTTGACTAAGCTCTTTTCTTCGAATTGCTGAATAAGTAAGATAGGATTGAAAGGATTCACCGTGAAAAAAGTGGGTATGTAGCTCATCAGGTCAATTTGGTTATAACTGGTAATTACTAGTAAGCTACATAGTAATTTTAATATTTTCAAAAATGCCTATTTTTGTCATATGACTACAAGTATCAAATATTGCGGTCTTTGCGATAGAGCGATAAGTTCTTCTGTTCTTGGAGTTGAGGTTATCCCACGAGCTCTAACTAATGACAGTGTACAGGTACGGCTCCAGCTTGTTTTTCGGGAATATGTGCAAAGCTGGACAACAATATTCTCCATTCCGGCGCCTGCAGTGTGACGTTGGGAGTCACACCTGCAGGCTGTACTGGAGAGTATATCGATCTCGCAACAGATTTGAACCCCTGCGGATCTTGTAACACAATAGTAAGCTGGACCTTTCATCCTTTTTGGACACTTTGCAAGTCATTCGGTTGACATATTTGATCTCGGGTGGACCGCTTTCTGTCTGCTGCTTGGATGGGAACATCTGTCCACCTGCGTCAAGCTCCAGTGGCTCCAGTATCTGCTTAAGTGACCTGCGAGATAAGATACTTCCAAGAGCCATTTCATAGCGAGATCGCTAATTCTCTAGAACTAGTGCCCCATGCCATGTAGTCTTCAGAGGTCTCCGAGTTCTTTGACCTGTTCGGGCTTCTAATCGAGGGCGAACGGGCGATAGCTTATTGAATTCGAAATTTCCTATTTCAAATACTCGATAGGTCTTATATCTATTGTTGTGCAGAACTACCCGAGCATATCAGGCAGACTTTCTTAACCCGGATTAGCGCGGGTTGGTGCCTGATTCGGCGGTAATCTTGCTTGCCTTATATTTGAGACCAGGGGGGCGTTGGATGAGCCATCTTCAGGCTCTAATAACTAAACTTCTTCTACAATTATTTCCGAATGTCTACACAAAGCGGCTGCGGGCTGCAAGAACCAAATCCCCTGAAGGCATAGCCGCACTGGCGAAGCAATCCGAGTCGACTGGTATTTTGACGCCAGCGCAACGACCTGCAACCGATCGTTCAGAGCGCCAGGGGGCAACTCGGGAATATTCTAGTATGCTATCGGTATTATTCGACGAAATGAATTAATTATCTGATTCGCTTGTACAGTTTCTGATCAGCTGATCGCTAATCGAAAGTTGACAAAATATTCGGCTTTTGAGGTTTCCCTTCGTCGAATCACTTTGCCCTTCCAGAGGATATTGTTGTGCTCTCCTTTTCTAAGCCTATCTAACGATCGCCATGGACCGAATTACGGGCCTTCCGTTAGAAATCCTGTTTATGATCACATCCTATCTAGAGAATTGGGTGAGCGACATCAACGCGCTTTCGCAAACCAACCGTTATTTCCACCGCCTTCTCAATGATCGCATTTACAGCATTGTCTCTGGGGATATCTCCAACGTCTTTGATATTCATTGGGATGTCAAAGAGTCCTGTTACTCTAACACTTTGTGGGAATGGCCTTCAAAGCATGGCAAAGTGGACTGTGTGCGGAAACTTCTACAAGCCGGTGTTCCTATCAACATGGAGTTTCCAGAGAACTACCATCCTTTCATTATAGCAGCAAAACATGGACAAATCGACGTTATTCGTTTCTTCCTTGACTCTGGGGCAATTGACCCTCGCCCATGTGACGCTAAATGGCCCAATAGCCAGCATATTTGTGAGATCGCCTTGTCAGAGGCGGTCAAAGAGGGTTACGAACCGATCGTTCGGCTGCTGGCTGACCATGGAACTCGTCTGCAATTTGACAGCCAACCCCTGTATATCGAACAGCCTTTAATTGATGCGACAAAACATGGACACACCTCAATTCTCCAATTTCTCTTAGAAAGTGGATGTGATCCCGTTGCGGGCGATGGCCGTCGTAATCCGGGAGCAACTAGGCAGACACACACTGCGCTTGCAGTTGCTGCCACCCATAGTCCCGAATGTCTCAAGTTGATGCTGAAAACAGGTGTAGAGCCTGGTTTTAAGTCTACTATCGGCAGCGACATAACATTTCTCCAAGAGGCGCTCGACTCTGGAAACTTGGAGCTTGTCAAATTTCATTTTGCGCTGGGTCTCGACTTTGAGGAGCCATTCGACGCCGCTGCGGACAACTTTTATTCAGAAAATATTCACTCCGACATCTTCTCCGAGTTTGCCGAAACATCATTGTCCCACCCTGAGCTCGGCATGCTACTTTTGGAACGAATTGACGTGGAAAGTGTGTTTCGACATGAATATCTAGATAGTTCCGATTGGATGCCTCATGGAAGGCGCGTCTTCCTGTGGCCAGGTGACTTTGGTTGAACGAATTTTGGTGGCAGACTGGTCATTTCTTACTAGAAGGGATACTGAACAAACTCAGTCATGGATAGCATTGTTGAGTCGGGGTCTTAAACGAGCCGTCAAGGGGGGCTTCGTCGACATAGCGACACTGTTACTCGACCATGGAGCAAATCCCGACCATGAACAGGCAATTGTTACCACCGTGGACCACCTTTCTCCGATACTATATGCGATCCGACAAGGGGATTCCAATATGGTGACGTTGCTCTTGGATAGACAGGCGAACCCATATTCCAATGAACCCAATGAACCGTTTTTAAGCGCAGTTCAGGCAAAGAAGGCAAGGCCTGAACTTATGCAACTTTTGATTGAGCGGAAATGTCTCTCACGAGGGCTCTCCGCTACTGATGATATCATTTTGTTGACCGCCGTGGCTGGAGGAGAAGAAGTTTTCGAGATGGCGTTGCAGTATTACCAGATTCAGCTAGACCCCGACGACGAGCTTCATAAAGACATGTTCTGGCGAGCGATCAGACACAAAGACGTCGCAATTGTGAGAAAGCTACTCGCTGCAGGCTTCGATCCCAATGATATCCCGCAGCAGGTCGGCATGGATGAGTCTGAGTCTGTTCTTGTGCAGGCAACGACGCCATGGCCCGACGAATTCAGTGAGCATGGACCCGAGGAAGTAGAACTATTGGTTGACCTCCTAATTGAGCACGGCGTGAGTCCCCTGTGCCCCGAACATGGCTCAGGCTTGCCAATTTTGCATTACCTCATGTACGAAGGCATGAAAAACCATACCAACGTCGCCAAGCTGCTTTTGAAAAAGGGCGCCTGTCCATTCACTACGAGTATCAATGACCCATTCGATCTTTGGGCTCCAAATGATCCTTTGGATGTGGATTATTCTCTCGACGAAGACGAGAAAAGCACTCCGAAGACCCTCCTAGAGAGAGCTGCAGCTGAACACGATCGAGAAATGGTTTATGTCTTGTTGGAATTCTTTGAGCAAAATACTCCTTTCTATAAGATCAAAGACATGGTGCGGTCTGCTGCTCAAGCCGTAAACCCTCATGCCCCCAACCTCCCAGGTTTGGAAAGGCTTCTCTGGCGGTTTTACTGGCGGAAAGCCTATCCCTGCCCACAGACTTGATAACTGTTATGCTCAGTTGCCGTCAAACGCAGGGAAAGCTGAGCGGATGTTGAGTTCAATCTCACTTTCGGAGAGAACCATCTATGATGTTCCTTTTCCTGAGAAAGTTTATTGCGTGCAGTTTCAAGATAGACGTATGCTGCATGTATGACCTGCATGTGTGGCTTTGAGCATGGAGATTCCAACCTTGGAACCTTCCTATTAATCTAAGCAGGTACCAAATGAAGGAAGGCTCCACTGATGGAACCAAACATACTGTAGACCGAGCTGGTGAAATAGTGTGCCCCTGAGTCCCTCCCAGTCCTAGACAGAGGCTGCGAGCCCCCTCCTCTTTTCACTAATCTTACGCCGTTCCCTCCCCCAACCTGATTGCTCTGGCATTGACACTTTATATGGGTTTAGCTTTTATGACAACTGGCTTATGACCATTCCACTTAAAAGTTTTCCGTTAAACCCGATCATTTCTGCCCCACTTCATGTCACAACATGCCTCCCTATGCCAACTGATTGAATGATAATCGTGAACTTAATATCCAATGTATCTATTATTTGGAATTACTATAGATTATTACACCGAAGAATACGTCAAAAGACCGCGCTGCGATGCCTCCGGTCGTATAACTCGTATAGACAGGCCAGACAGCACGCATATCTTCCCGAGAACAACAACGGCATGCAACAAAATCCGCGCTCAATGGGTATCGAAAAGCTTTACCATCGCAAGGATCTGCCATTACTCGGCACTATCCCATGGTACTGTAACACCGAGATCAGCAGCGACCCGCATCGCAGACACAATGCATCCCTCAAGCAGAACCATTCCATCCCAGCACCACCCGCCAGCTAGGTAGACGCCGTTGTCACCACTGTGCCAAGAATACGGGGAGACCTTGCGCTGGCTGCGATCTCGAAAGATCGAGTTGATGAACATGCGACTCTGCGGACTGCGAAGAACGCGGGTGAAATTGGCCGAGCGGATAATTTTTGACTTATCGAGGGGGAAGAGGGGGTTGGTAGTGACGAGGATGGAATTGGGCTGTTCGTGTACTGCTTCGGTGATGCAGTCGTTGGAGAAGAAATGGATGCGTTGTGTTCGGGAGCTAAGGTCGGAGTTTCGTTTTTTGAGGGATAGTGAAGATGTCGCACGGAGCATTGGGAGGATGCTTGTTTCGTCGGTATGCGCGACTGTTTCGACTGTTGTTGTGGGGATGGCGGAGAGTTGAGAGTTTAATGGGGAAAACAGCGATGCTGCTACATCGGGGGAGACGGCGAGGACGACCAGGTCGAAGTATTCCGATGTTGTCTGTTCATCGGCTGCGGAGTATGTGATCTGGACGCCTTCGTTTTGAGGGGTGACTTGGGTCAAATTAATGCCGAGTCGAACGTCTATGCCCTGCAAAAGCTTCTGTTGGACAGATTGGACCCCAGAGGTGACGACAAAATGTTGCTGACTGTGGGTCTGTCGTTTGTATGCCAGGACATCGGAAGCGGGAAAACATAGGAGCTCATGGTGTGAGCAGGTGCATACGCTTGAGATGAGGGGGAGCAGGTAGTTGACCACGTAGGTTTGTGGAAGCCAAATACGGCGCAGATAGTGATCTAGAGACTCGCTAGGCGCTCCAGTCTTCTGGTCTTCTTCATGAGGCGCAACGAAAAAGCAGCAGAAAGTGAACCAGACATAGCAGGCCAAGGCATACACTGCCTCCACAAGCCAGTGAATCAAGTCCACTGTCCGCGGTACCGGTGGTACCTGGTGGAAATTAGATGCATAAACCATCGATGGTCCTGGAATGCAAGACGTCGTCGATGAGTCCTGGGGTTTCGGTAACCTCGTGAAGCTGAAGAGGAATGGTTGTGCATGGTAGTTGACGGCCAGGTAGTCATACATGCGAATCAGGTTCTGGTAGAAACCACCCGCAAATGCACGCATGGGTACATCAGCCCAAATGGCTGGATTATTCTTCTCCTTGGATGGAACCGAGATCGACTCCGCGCTCAAGGAGATTTGGTCGCGCTGGACTATGCATCAGCCCATCCATAATAGTCAAACACATTACCAGGTGCCCCAACGAGCAATGTTACTCATCGGGGACCCAGAAGCAGGTCTAAACTTACCTTTTCGAGCAGTGTGACTTGATAGCGCTTCTCGCGGTCCTGATGTAACAGATGTGCCGTGGTCAAGCCCGCCATGCCCGTTCCCACAACAGCGACCGACCTCGGTCGACGGAGCTGGGTCTTCTCCATGATCGGGTCACAAACTCAGCAGGCGTCAATCAGCTCGCCACTATTTACAGCACAGCACTAGGTTAGGCGCGGGGAAGAGATCGAACAGTGTGGCGGTATGCGCAAAAACCGGGTAGCGGGTACGCGAAAATCCCCTGGCTGTTGGGGACAAACACATGGTCCTGAGTACTTGGCATCCCGATCGATCACGATCGGCAACTTTCTCTTAACTCTACATCACCGGACATATTGATTCTGCCGTTAGCCACTTCTAGACCTCTATAGCTTATGATATTCTTTATCTAGAGCATTGCTACTTGGGTTACGATTGTATTGGTCCCGCACGAGGGTCTGTGATTTCTGCCTTATTAGTCATCTTCACAGGGCCGGGGACAATGTCCAGATGATTGCTTTCTTGTGTTTGCATCCAAGTGCATGTTTTAACTGCATAAGTATTGTTTGTCTACCATGCCTAATTTTCTTGATCTATTATTTAATCTATGCTTCCGTGATGGCATGCTTAAATCCCTCCCATGCGATTAAATAGAGGGTCATTATCCTGCAGCCGAGGTTCAGGTGTGTCAGCATCTTGTTTTCCACATAGCCAATCAGCAACGGAGACAAGAAGCAATTACAAGCAAAGGAGCTACAAAAAATAAGTGGCGTTTCTATGATTGTACATTGTACCTAAGAACAGCTGACGAATGCGATATAAAAAATTATCATGTTGCCATCGGAACTGCCGTGGGAAACCCTCACTTATCCCTCAAGACCCCACCAGACGTTCCTCGTTTTGGCCAGGGGCAGGGAGGCTCATCATAGCCAATCTCTGAATCAGTTGAAGACGTAGAGCGAGTGCTTGCGCTTGCGGATATCCGGTGAGCTGGTGCTAGCTTCCCGTAGTTGGGAATTCTTCAGAACCAACAGCCAATATCTTCTGGGGTCTCATTAAGAGGTTGCTGGGCTGTAGCCGGAGCGTAAATTCGAGGGTATACCGCTGGGAAGGCCCGTGTTCTTTTTCCGGAAGTGGTAAGTTGCCATCGGCCATTTTTAGGAGCCAGAATCTCACACGAACCAAGTAGTGCTGGGGCCATGCTGGCAAATCAGATAGTGAGAGCCAGCCAGAGCCTATCAAAGGTACAGACCGAGGCATAGATTGAAGATTATTCGTATAGTCATCAAGTTTTATCATTATTGGACGCAGGATTGTCTGTGTTTGTGAATAATCATAAGGGGAAGTATCAACATACATCTGTAACGAGAGTGCATCGGTCAGACATCGTATCACAATGTCTCTGTTGATTGGTGATAAAGGTGAAAGGAAGCTCGCTATGGCGACAGCGGTCTGCGCGGAGATGGAAGCAACAAATTCCGCGATGCAGAAAGGAAAAGCTTCGAGAATGGGGATAGAGCGAAAAGACGCAATGCAGGAAGGACAAAAACGGAAGTTTGATTTATTTACATCTCAAGCGGGAGATAAAAACTAGTTGAGACAGATGTCATGGTGTTCCTCGTTACTTTGAAGAGAATGTCCACTTCTTCGGTGAACGTGCTACTTTTCTTATTGACCTCGTGTCTTGTAGTTAGAATTAAGTTAATAGTCTCCTTTGGTAGTATATTTGATACATAGATGCTTTTATGCCAGTGCAATGGCACCCAGAGCTCACACTATTCTCCAGAATGATGAACTGTTACCGAAACCTCGGTAGTCATATTGATATTCTCCCCCTTCCTTGGGAGGGCAGGACCCAAAATGGCTGTCTGACTTCCGTTATCATGAACACTCGAATGACCGATGTCCGTTTGTGTCTCGCCCTGCGAATTGTCGAAGATTTTGCCTCGTGGCACAGATGGATGAGAAATCATGTCGTAGTTGTTATCTACTGTGCTCGGGAACATCTTGACCAGAAGAGGCTTAAGGGCTGGAATCGAAGCTGCAGTAATGGCAAGTCCGTCCTCGACCGCGGCCCACCAAAGTAACGGCGCGAGTTCCCCTATGACAGATATTTTGTTAGTCAACGTTTAGTAGAACAAAGATTTAGGGAATCACACAAGTAAAGTCGGCCTTTGCGGAAAGAGCGACAAGATAAGTTGTCTTGACGATGGAAGCTGCACCGGCACTATCAAGCTACTAGTTAGCACTCGTCGCGCTTCAGAAAATTGCAAGCTCGGATCAGAAACTTACAACACTCCAAGGCTCATAGCAAAGGCAACGCCAATCTTCTCTTTCTTTTTCATTTGCAAATTCCAGACAATCGTCCATGGTAATAGTGCAAGAACAAAGTCCTGCGCGCCAGAGTATGCTATGACGCAAATCTCGACATTAGCTTCCGCAATTCTGCATAAAGAGGATCCTAAAATGCAGACTCCTTACCTCCAACAAACAAAGAAAAGTCGGTGAAGACACTGTCGGGCCAGCACTTGGATGGGATCGCCGGGTTCCACAAGTGTCGAGGATCTTTGCATTGAAGAAAAACGAACAAGGCTGCGAGGATATTGATCACGTTCATGGTGACAATCACAAACCAAAGCAATGCTATCATCCACCTTTGCACCACAATTCGCAGCAGGGTCACGGCGAAGGAGGTTTTGCCCAGTGTGCACGCCATGATGGCTAGGGATTCGCCGATGTCACAAAGCAGCGCGACATTGATAAGATTCTCAGGATTTTCCTCCACGAAAGCAAGGTGTCTACCCAGACCTATTGTGGAAGCGACATGGCACACAGCTGCATACGCAACGAGGCAGCACTGTCAACAATACCAAGTCAGCTCAATACCGACCGACACACGATGCTTGCCAAAGAATGAGTACTCACGATGGCAATGATGATAATAAAGTCGTCCCAGCCAAAAACATGTCTCATAGCCACCCTCACATATAACCTCATCATGACGATCACCAGCGCAACAACGGCCATTGTCCACATCACGCCCTGTACCAACGGAGCCCGGCTCTCGTCTAGATAGGACTGTGACAGTTCGGTCCCCATATTGAACAGAGTCCTAATTCCAGAGCCTCACAAAGCCACAAATTCAGTGCCAATTGGACCCTGGGAAACTGGACGCCCAGAAAAGTACATATCGCACCCCTGGGGCTTCTGAAGAGATTTAAGCCCTGTCGCTTGACTGTCGAATCCGGGCGCCATCAAGACTAACGGGATGTGGGAGATACATGACAGGGGGGCGCGTGTAGCCCGGACGGCAAAGTCATGTTCGCAGCTACACATCCAGTGGACTCGTACAGGCGGGGGCCAGGATTTGAAGGAATAGTGGGCCATCACCTCACCTATCACACTAAGGGGTGATAATTGACATCGTGCAGGCATCGCTTCCATCGAGGTGTACTTTTGTGATTGTGGACCTGTCTACGGAAATATCCCCGTTGAAAGGTACAAAGATTCATGGCATTGCAAACCAAATCGTACCAACAGGATCTCGCACTGACAATTTCGGGTGCAAGACCCTGATACGGTTTGACGTTATTTTCCTACAAAGCCACGTTCTTCAGAACTGGGAAAAAATCGGCATCAAGCGGTATCCACGGGCGCTAGGGCGGCGCCGCTGTCAAATTGGAGGTCTCACGAGCCACTAATAAATCACAATATTCTCGATCTGGCCATTCATCGGGGCCATACTTATTACTCCAGTATCCACATCCCGTTCCCCCGGAACTGGTAAGAGCTAGGATATTAGTTGAAACGCCCCGACACGTTTCTAGGACCTCTTGCGCAGTGACCTTCTGTTCTAAGGGAATTAGCCATTGGGCTAAGCTGGATTTCAGTACATTCGAGCCCTAATGAGTCTAGCGGAACGTTTTTCGCAGCGGCCACCATTGAACATGTTTCTCCGCGCTTCAGATACCTCTGACTGTCATTTCTCACCGATCAATAGTGCTTCCTGCACTTCTTGTACCTCTGTGTGAGCCAGTACGGGACAATGGCATTGTTAGCCTCCCTTCCCTCCAGCCCGTGGGTCCAGAGCCTCGTGGCCCTTGGCTTGCTGCTCCTGACAAAGCTTGTTTGGGATAATTTCCTGTCGCCTTTGAGAAGTATTCCGGGCCCGCTCCTGGCCAAGAGTACCAACGTTTGGCGTGCCTATCACACCCATCAGGGATGTGTTGATCGCAAGCATGTAGAGCTGCATCGTAAGTATGGGTCTGCAGTTCGAATCGGGCCCAATTGCGTGAGCATCTCGGACCCCAGTTTGATCCGCACTATTTACTCCACACGCAATCCATGGAAGAAGGTAAAGTGACAGCTCACCTCGCATCTATTTCGACGTGCATTGAATTAATGACTGACATCCACTTCGATTTAGAGTGATATGTACCGCCCGAACGATGTCTTGATCGAGGGTCACCGATTGTCCAATTTATTCAACACCCAAGACGATGATTGGCATGACCAGAACATTCGACCTATTCGGAGTCTGTGGAGCATGACAAAGGTCCTGGAATATGAACCTCTTATCGACGAGACCCTGAACAAGTTCGTGGCGAAGCTTGCGGCCAAATTTGTGGACGGCGCAAATGCGGGGACCATCTGCCCTGCCGATGAATGGATTGGGTTCTGTACGTTTGCGCTTTGCTGTACAATGTTTGAATGACATTTACTAACGTCTACAAGTTGCCTGGGATGTCACGGCCAACTTCAGCTTCGGTCGCCACTATGGCTTCATTGATCAGGAGAAGGATGTAGACAACCTCATTACCGATTCTACTGATGGTTTGATCTACTTCGCACCCGTAAGAAGATACCTCCTTCTCCCTCTACATAAACACAAATAACACCATGAGATCAACCAGGTCTCTCAAATCCCATGGGTTGACAACCTCCTCGACAAGAACCCGATTAGGCGAATCGGCCCCAAGCCAACCCTGACCGGAGTCCTCTACGCCTTCAAAGTCGTCGCTGAATACCAAGCCCAGCTCGCCTCGAAAACAATCACCGCTGGCACCGTTGACCACACCCTTGACAAATACGTCCAGCTGAAAGAAACCCACCCGGACATGGTCAATGACCAACAAATCGTTAACTGGCTGATGCTCAGCATCCTCGCTGGTGGCGACACAAGCTCTGCGACCATGCGCGCCATCGTCTACTACCTCTCCAAGTCTCCCTCGGCAACTGCAAAGCTCGTTGCCGAGCTCAAGGAAGCTACTCTCGCCACCCCTGCCCCCTGGAAGTCAATCCGGGATCTGACCTACCTGGACGCCGTCATCCGCGAAGCAATGCGCATTAACCCCGGCATCGCTATGATCTTCGAGCGTGTTGTTCCGGAAGGTGGATTCACACTCCCTGATGGACGGTATATCCCAGCTGGAACTAAAATTGGCATCAACCCCTCCGTCACGAACCGCGACTATGAAGTCTTCGGAGACGATGCGGACAACTTCAACCCGGACCGCTGGCTACAGGGCAAGAACGAAAGCGACGAGCACTTCGAGTCTCGTTCGAGGCGCATGAAAGATACCGTTGACTTTGTCTTTGGTGGTGGTGGCCGGATCTGCATGGGTCGGTATCTGGCTGTGCTAGAGATCAAGAAGTTGATTGCTACATTGTATAACTTGTTTGATGTGAGTGAATACTTGGAGACTGAGAAACGGCGCGGAGCTAACTGGTATCAGATTCAATTGGTGGATCCGAAACATGAGTGGACCTACAGGAATGCCTGGTTCGTGTACCAGTATGATATGCCTATGACCATCCGTCGTCGATAGGTTAGGTTGAATAGCTTGGGGGAATGCACATACATGATTGAAGTAGAATGATTATAGGTAGGCTATCTTGAATACATGGCTCAATTTGCAGATTCACGAATGTATTGAAGTAAACGAAACGAAGAGAGAGAGGAAAAACCGAACATACCGCAGAGGGTATCAAACTGCCATCCGAAAGAGAAAAAAGGAAAAACGCCCTCGCATCAAACCAAAAAAAAAAAAAGCAAGTCAAAGCAAGATAACCCCAACTTCCTGATATCCATGCGTCAATTCATTAGAAAGTGTACTGTCGTGGTTTGACCCCGAATTCAGGGTCTTGCGTAACATCATTTGCCTTTGGCTATCACCTTTTCTAATCCACAGGTGACAGGGCCATCATCATTTCGAATTAGATTTCTTTGGGTTCTTCATATAGACCCTCTTTAGGCTTCACCGCGGCTTTCTCATCCATTCGCTCGGCTCGGCCTTCTTCGTCTTCATCGCCGGTTATCTCGCCCCAGCCGGAGCTTCGTCGGCTGACACGGCCTGAGGTCATGGCAAGGGGGCTACCCACACCGGTGATGCTAGCTGCTGTGCTATCGTTTCGGCTGTGGGAAGGTGCACCGCTGCGAATACTCGCTCCGTCGCCTGTGGCGGGGGTCATCTTCCCTGGGTAGAAGCCGCCCCGCTCGCCGGTGGCGGCGATGGGTGCTGCACCGGTCGAGTAGACACTGATACGCTCGGCGCTGGCAAGGCCGACCAGGCTCGGGCGGTTCAGGACACCCTGCGCATTGAATGTGGATGAGTTGGACGGTTCTACCACATTTCCACTGAGGACACTAAGTGGCAGGCTCTCCCGACTGCCACCGAAGACGGATGATGGTGCGAGCGCGCGGACGGAGGCATTGGTGTCCAGAGAGTTTCGGCGGCGGCGGTTGGACGAGCTAGCCAGTGTGAGGATAGAGGCATTGTCGGTCAAAACGTTGTTTGCGGTCGCCGTGTTGTAGGTTTGGCTGTTGGTAATCAGGTGTCCGGGCACAGCCGTGGCGGGCGATGAGGAGGTAGGGAATTGGTGCGAGAATTGGACCTGCTGGGTTCCAGAGCTTTGCGTTGAGTTTCCATGTGCGTGTCCCTGTTGCGTGTTCTGCGCGGGGTACAGTTGGGTAGAGGGTGCGGCCGATTGCACGGTAGTCAGGGTGGTGGTCAGGGATCGAACAGATGGTGCAGGGGACGAGAAAGTGCTGCCTTCGCCTCCACCATTGGTGCTTAATCCTCCTCCACCTGTCGCCAATGTTCCCGCCTTCGAGTAACCGGCCTCCGAGATCGCGGTGTCACCGTTCGTGGAAATGGTAGGGGCGTTCGACTTGGCGCTGGTCGCGGGGACTGCATGCTCATAGCTAGAGTAAACGAGTGAAGGATCGCTTCGCGAGCGAGACGCCTGACCATCTCCAACTTCTGGGTAGGAGTAGCTTGGATTGGGATTTCCTGCCTGATGATTGACAGTTCCCGACAGCGGGTAGGGGTTGTTGCCTCCGTTCTTTTTGATCTTAGCCCCGGTGGGTCGCCTGTGAGACCAACGGCCCGAGCCTGAGTTGGAAGAGCTTTTTAAGCTGGCTAGGCGCTTCATCCAGCTGGAGAAGGGGTGGCGGCGAGCGTTGCGGTCTATTGTATACCAGATGATTAGTGGTTTCCACAGAGAACAGTTGTCCCAAGTGAACCTACCGTGCGCCCGCGCAGGCCCTTCAGCAGTAGCCATATTTGATGCAAATAGTTTCGCCAGAATTAACTCCAGGTGTCAGGAGAAACAAGATAAGAAGCTCATCGACGCGCGCCGAGGCAATTAGGATCAGTGCGGGTAGACTGTTTATCCGAGTCATGTGCGCACCCTTGATGTCAAACCGCCTTCACTTCCCTTTTTTCTTCTCATCTTGATCATTATTTTACTATGATCGATCTTACTAGGATTTGGGAATTTGGCAATCATGACCGAGTGGCAATGTTCCTGCCTTGTCTGGAATCCCGCCCGTGACGCAATTGAAATGACCTGAACATCCACACGATTTTATAGCTCCTTTCTGCCATGTCTTCTGGAGCAGGGATCCGCCGACTGCCTCTTGATGTTATCGCCAAAATCAGATCATCGACTTCGATCGCTGATTTGAATGGGGTGGTTATAGAGCTGGCCAAGAACTCATTGGATGCAAATGCGCATACGATACTCGCAACCGTCGACTTCAAGCGTGGCAGCTGTATAGTCGAAGATGACGGCGAAGGTATCCGTCCGGATGAATTTGAGTCTACTGGTGGGCTTGGAAAGATGCATCGTATGTGATACTTACTCTGCGCTCTTGGTTTCGTGCTCACGAGTCTCGCAGATACGTCAAGGTTCCAAAAGAGAGATTCATATGGTCATCGAGGCCTCTTCTTGGCTTCACTAGCTTCATTGTCCTTGATGACCGTGACTTCTCGCCACGAAAAGTATCAGAGTACAAATTCGGTCATATTTCACCATTCGAAGCCGGTGGCCCGGTTGCTTCCTGCACCAGCACATCAACGCCTTCAGACTGGTGAACATGGCACGAGTGTTACCGTCAATGATCTCTTTGGCAACATGCCAGTACGGGTCAAAAGTCGAGCCTTGGCTTTTCAAAGGCCGGATGAGTTGGAGAAGGAATGGGAGAATCTCAGAAACCTTTTGGTCTCTCTGATGTTGGCCAATTCGCAGTTTTCGAAGCTTGTTATTACCGACGTGATACGTGACAAAAGGATATCCATTCGCTTCGTCTCCCATACTGGAGACCTTGCAGACAGCTCTATATCTACAACAGACCTCAGACGCATTGGATCTATCCTCGCACAATCTGGAATGATCAGTTCCAGAAACATGAACTCTTGGCACGTTTTATCAGCTACCATTCTCGATCTCACGATTCGGGCTGCCATTTCTACCGTGCCCAGCCCGTCCAAGAAACTTCAATTCATTTCTTTGGGTGATGACCCGGTTTTGTCACGGAGCAATTCAAACATATTATACAACGAAGTCAACCGATTAATGTCTCTGTCGGACTTTGGAACCGCCAGACCAGGTTCAAATGGCACGCCTTCAATTTGCCCATCGCCACTCGTGGACGGCACTCATGGCCCAGGAAGTACGAGTGGCAGAAGCTGGGCTAAGCCCATCAACAAATGGCCAATGTTCTACGTACGGATCGAGTCAGGAAATATTCAAGACTTGTCTGGTGATGAGTTATCGCCGGATTCCGAAAGATCTATACAGCGTATCACGGATGTCCTTGGCGCCATGATTCTAGAGTTCCTGAAACAGCAACATATGCGACCCCGTCCCGCGAAGCGGCAAGCCAAAGAATCGGATCGAACCCCGTCAATTACAACCTCTGGCCAGAAAGGTCATCGGTTTCATGCAAACTTGGAGGCAGGTTCAAATACAGAAGAGGCTTTAAGTAGCCAGCTCAAGCTTCCATTTTTTCAAAGATCTCAAGCTATAATTTCGGGTCAAAATTTCAATCATTGGTCCAGGGTCAAGACCGCGAAAGTTAGCTCTGGTCGTACGTCTCCAGCCGGACTATTGAATGAGAACACTGGTACTGGGGACGAAGGACGGGGCGCAGAGCAAAATCGCTCAATGTCAGATTTAACACAGACCACCACGGGGCGCAGGCAACGCGATTCGACTTTTTCAATGCATCCCGATCAAACATTCAGGCGATCAGCTTCATTAAAAACCAGCAGACATTTTGTTGTTGATGATAATGAAGGCGACACGCGCGCACCACCAGACCAGCCTATCCGCTGGTTTGATCCGCAGACAGGAAAAACACATTTGATCAACCCGCGTACAGGTCAGACTATGAACAGCAAGCCAGCTTCTTCTAGGTTCTCGTTATGGTCTGGTAGCCTGGCTGCCAACCGGGAACAACCTGACCGCGAGCAGTGGCCAGGTTCTATGATCGACCCTTCTGGGGGTCAGTGGGTTGAAGGCTTACTGGAATCATGGGAGAACCCAGTGTTCACTCGATCTGAAAAGCCACTAGCAAATATTGATGTTCCAGCCATGTCTCACAACTGTCTCCAAGGAATTGGGTCTCTGGATGCTTCTCATCTTGCCAAGTTCAGAGGCAAGATACAGCGTCACAGTCTAGCAACTTCCTCCATCATCGCCCAAGTGGACCAAAAATTCATTCTTGTGAAGATGCACTCAGAATTTGCGCAGCATCCTGGCTATGACTTGGAGGGTGTGCTAGTCTTGATTGACCAACACGCAGCGGATGAGCGTTGCCGGGTTGAGCGGTTGTTTGAAGAAATGTTCATCTCAACAGAATCTTCCACAGCAGCAAGTCAAGTCCGAATGGTTGAGATTGATCCTATATCGTTCAACGTCTCATCTATTGAAAGTGCACTCTTTCGAAAATACTTGGGGTTCTTCCAAACATGGGGTATTCACTACAACATAGATGCGAAGTTAGTTTCTACGGCAACTGTTTCTATTCATTTCCTCCCAGTTCTCATCGCCGAGCGCTGTCGATCTGAACCTAATTTGATACTTGACTTGTTACGCCGTGAGATCTGGACATGCGAGGAAGACGATCAGAGGCCACTGGGCTCGAAAAGATCGTCCACCGAGCACTTCGCAGATATGTCACCAAACGAGCCGAGTGGTGCTCATTCGTGGGTACAGCAAATGAGCGGCTGCCCCCAGGGCATTCTAGATCTTCTCAACTCTCGTGCCTGTCGCTCAGCGATCATGTTCAATGATCCCCTGAGCATCGAAGATTGTAAGGTTTTAGTCTTAAGACTTGCTAAATGCTCTTTTCCATTTCAATGCGCCCACGGGCGACCATCAATGATCCCGATTCTGGACCTACGACCACGCACAGTGCACGGCACAACACCATCTGATGAAAACATCACGATGTACGATGTGGATGATGATGATAATGACGAAAACAATGACGAGGGGTCGGATTTCATAGAGGCGTTCCGGAAACGATATGTAAAGTAGAATGTTGGCCTTAATGCCTAAACTAGGTATGCTTATAAACAAAATTATGAACAACTTTTGAAACTTTCCACTGCTTTGTCCCTCTATTTCAGTTCATGTGACCCAAATTGACTGAAGCAATATTCTCTCTAGTTCTCGATATTTCTCTAGTTCTCGCTATTACTCTAGCAATCATGCGACTTGACTGCCAAATCTGACCCAACGTATACCCAGATTGACATATCACATCACTCCACAGCAAACAAGAAATACCCTCCAAAAGTACCCAATACGCCCGTGTAATTTCCATTCTCCGAAACCTGTCGGAATACGAATACATACGAAACCCACAAGACACGCGAAAATACACTCGGAAAGCGTTAAAACCACCAGTCCGCCACTCAATGCCCTACAGGTCCCAGACCCGCATGAACTAGCATAAACACCCTACACTTCAATCCTGCAAGCCAAATTCCGCAGCCAACCACGCACGGCGCTAATAGATTTGGATCGGTCCTAGATGGTCACCTTGCAGATTTAGGCATACGTGTTTTCTGTGTTCCATGCGATCTACGGATCGTCAATGTGACAGCGGACATATCATACCCGGATATGCTGTTCCAGGGTACCGGTTTGACGTATCCCTTGCAGTGGATACCCATGACGGTGGCAGGAAGGCTAGATTTGTAACACGGGCCTTATAGAGGGGGTGGAGGGGCTCTGTGCAGGGATTAATCTGTTTTGGGAATATGGACGAAGATGTGTCATTTCGTCCCGAGGGTGGGGTTAAGCTGTTACTAGTCATAATTTTCAAATAGCTTCGAGAAAACACTAATATATCAGAAACGGCGCATGAATCTTAATCTGGCTGGAAGGTTCAGAGCGTTCGTTATCTCGCTTGCGTGGATGAATACTCTTTGGGCACGTAGACTGTCCCGTCCATTATTCGACGCGCAGTTCGAACAAAAGAGAGCGTTCGGAAGGTCGGTAATCCATCGGGTCCTTGGTTGCCTTCTTTTTGGACACATACACTCATAACACCAATAGGGTGTACGATATCCAAAGTATGCAGATCCGCTGCCTTGCCGATCACTCGGTTCACAACAGTGCCCGACACACGACTACAGGCTGCGGTACAAACAGCCCCAGTCCCTGCCATGCTTTCATGACACATTTTATCTAGAAATAGCCGAGCAGACACATGGCCCTCGGATGGGTTGGTTGAGGGGTAACAAATATCGGCAAGGGAGCGAAAGGAGATATCTGATCCCAATGTTGCCAGTCCTTGGTCCATGAAAGTAGCACTGCCACTTTCCCTCGAAGCTCCTGACATTTCTCGACCCATTTCATGTTCGCTGTCAGATCAGCAGCGCTTTCGTGGCCCGTGATATCAAAGTCTTGTGCGTCAACGAAAACACACGGGTTTGCGACGTCACATACTGTGATTTCGATGTCTTTTCCTTGGATGTTTACGATGTCGATTGATTTTCCCGTGGGCAAAATACCTCTCGAAAGGATCGCTCCAATAGACTTTATTGATTAGCGAACGCTTGAATCGGGGTATCCTAGGATTGGAGGGAGAACCTACAGATCGATAGTCCATCAATATCGGGCTGCCCGTCCCCGGGACACCTGAAATGGCATGACTCCCCTCCGCTTGAAAGGCACTGGAATCATCAATCGGAACCTGGGCAACGATAGTATTTTTGGTACCAGTGTTGTAGATGCGAACCTCCTGCGCTCGAGCCCCCGCATCGATCGAAACACCAGGTCGAAAATCAACAAGCCCTTCATCAATAGCAAAAGGACCAACAGCCGCGGAGATATTACCGCAGTTCCCATTATAAGAGATTTTATCATCTGCAATGCCAACTTGCACAAAAGTATAATCGACATCTATGCCCTCGCGAGTCGATTTCATGATAATAGCAACTTTGGACGTAACTGCTCTGGAGCCGCCCATTCCGTCGATCTGGAGTGGATCTGGGGATCCCATTATTCTCTTTAAAAGATGGTCTCTTTGTGGACCCGGGGTGGGAAGGACAGTCTCATGAAAGAACAGGGCTTTACTTGTTCCGCCTCGGTACAACGTGAAGGCTGTTCCGAAGCTCTTGTGGTCAGACATGGTTGTAGTTGCACAAATGTGTGTTTGGCTCATGAAGAGAGTAACATGAAATCTATATAGGTCCATATTTAAGACGCCCAATGCAATTTGTTCATAAATGATAAAACATCTCGGAGCGTTAACGGCTTCAGTTTGCCGAAACGGCCCGGCTTTCCGCCTCTCTTCCCTTGCAAATGCCTACCCCAGTTCCTAAAATGCTACCTTGTTTGGGCTTAGGTCTGGAAACGACTTTAAACGTTCTCTTGATCCTTTCAAGTTCCTTTCTCATTGAGGTCAGAGGCTTGAAGTTCTCGCTTGTCCTCGAATGAATGCTGAGGATATTCGTCTTTTATTTTGACTTCAGGCTCCATGCCAAGGCGTCTTCTCCCTGTTATAAAGTTAGTTACGAATATACAACAGCAATTTTTACTGTACTCACGTTTTGATTGTTGATATTTCCACCATACGATCAATATCGCCAAACAGTAAATCATTACTTTGAAGCAAGAGCCCACAACCACCATTATATTTTTCGATGACCATCCCTCCTTAGTACCGAAGTAACAGCACCAGGCGACTTCGAGTAATGCAAGGGCGATGATTCCAGACAGTGACCATCGACCCCATGATGTAGGATTAAGATAGGAATATCCTCCATAAAAGATAGAATTGCTCAAGGCCGTGTAGATAATATGCCAGAAAGGCGCATATTCTGGCGATATAGACTGAATGAATGCATCTACTTCTTCCTCTGCGAAGATACGTACGCGCAATAGGAGAAGGACTCTGTCCTTGATGAAAATGAAGAAGGGGAGGAGGATCTCTTTTATGGAATCCATCATGAACGGATGTTTTGGAAAGCTTCCTGAGATGAAGAAGAAGTCAAAATTTCTGCGACGAGGTTGAAAGGTAGCAGCCTGGCCCCCACCTTGGCGAGAGCCTTGTGTATATCTAGCGTCTCAAAATTGCGCGCTAAGTTCCAGTTTCGGGCGACCCTAGTGACCGTTACGGGGCTGTAATGGTTTGGATCTCTAATTGAGTCTCTTCCTTACCGTGGATAATTTTGCAAGAGTTGTAGACCCGTTTCGCTTAAACTAGCCATTGAATAGGTCAAAGATACTTTGGTTGAAGGTGGAAGGTGTAGGCTGAAACTTGAGCCTCAGTCGTGGGGCCGTCGCCACTCTACATGGCACTAAATCAGGTCCATTTCTGTGGTACGTAGTCGCGGCCCCTCTCCCCCTTCTCTCCTCTTTTCTCTCTATCATTCGCCAATATAAATTGTTATCTACATTCTATTTCTACGCTTCATCTCGCGTAATGGCTGCCGTAGCCTCTTAGAGGACATGATCCCCCAATTCCGAGAAGTCGCCTCACGTTTCCATTTAGTATTAGTGCTTTGCTGTTTCCCATCTACTAGGCCTTCTTTGGGTCATTTTTCTTGAGCTCTTCGATCTAGTATCGAAGCGTGCTCCTATTCCATTTTGGGACCAAACTTGAATGAAGCCCCATACTTCAGAGGCCGCTGTCAGATTCGATGGCGGGCTATTAAACGATTACCAATTATTCTATAGAATACTCTATATCTGTAACAGCTCATTTTTTTCTCGGCTTGTCTTCATCTCTGGAGAAATTCTGATCTTTTTCTAGACTGGTACCTTTCGGTTCCATGGTTCTAATGTTTCCACGGAGCACTGAACTATGGCACAAGCTTCCTCATCTATATCGGCTTGAATCACTAGACTTCTTTCAATCTCCTAGATTTCTTCTTTCAGGCAAAGTGCCTTGACGCATGTCTATATCGTCCCCCTCCTCTGTCATTTTCTCGTCTTCTTTTTTCTTCTCCTCCATCCAGCTTTGAGTATTCAGGAAGCTGCCAACATGTTGCTGCGCCGACAGCAGCAACCTCACTGGCTTTGGCGCCATAAGCGCAGCGAGACAAAGCTACAGATGATCCTCCAATCTCTACAAGGATCTACTGAAGACCAGATCACTGCCGAAAAGGCACAGCACTGCGGCATGCAACTGAACCCTCTCGATTTCGAGACTGGCGATACCTCGCCCTTTGTATCACCTTGTTTCGCTCCTCGAGATGACGACAGCCTCCTCATCAGGAAGACTCGATTCCAGTTACAAAAGAGCAACTTCTTTCGCTGCTGCCTTGGTACTGGCGCCAAGTACCAGAACAAGTCCCCGCGCCAGCGCAATAATCTCCTTCGAAGCGTGCTCGTCGAAACCTTCAAGGACTACCGCAACATCGCGAACCGATCTCGCAATATCGTCGCTGATCTGCATCATTATGAGTTTGATTCACATTCAATTTACTCCGACGACGAATTTGGGCCGAATCTAACCATGAACACTGACAGGGATGACGGTTCCCTCGATAGAGCGATCCACCACAACGGCAAGCAAGCGAATCTCCGAGTAGTGACTTCTCATGAGCTCCGATCTGAAAACCATCGGATGCGTCATAACCACCAAATTATCACTATTTCCATCAACGAGCGACCCGGTGCTCTTCCTTCAATTACGGAGCTTCAAGTTCTGGCCACCCAGATTCGACAAGCTATGCGCTTCGAGCGAAAGCTGGGTCAATTCAACAATCCCCGCAACAGACACAGTCAGCCCAGAATGGTCAAATACGAGTTCCCGGTGAGTTCGCCAACTGCAATAACATGGGATATTCACTAACAACCCAACAGACTCTGGTCACCACCATCTATCGCAGAGGCTACGTCCGAGTCATCTACGGCTACATGGACGGCACACTCAAAATCCAATACACGGAGCCGCAACAAATTACCGTTGACAACTTCGAGTCAATGATGAAAAAACTCCTTCAATGGAACCTCCCCGAGACACAAGGCGATCCCACAAAAGTCGTCACACTCCCAACAATTCAAGAGGAAGAAGAAGACCCAACAGTGCAAGTCACTCAAATCTCAAAAACAGCGCAGTTGACAAAACAGGAAATCACCCAAATCAATAACTTCCTGCAACGCTGCCTCGAGCCTCGGTCAAGTCTCACTAATCCCTGGCTCTACAAATCACTCTCACGCAACATCAACCACAATAACGTCCGCTCCAAATACACCTTCTACAACTGGGCTTACAATCCCTGCGCGCTGCCATCTCCCATCGCATGCAAAAAAATTGTCTGCAAAAAACCACAATCTCCCAAACCCAAACCCATAAAACGGGTTTGGGCCTTAGGCTCTGGTGATCATGTATTGACTTCATTCGGTTGAGGAGACCTTCGAGTACTTGGCTTACTCTTTTTCTCATGTTCGACGCTCATGTTAACGCGCATACCCATGGGGTTTCATGGCACCCATGGAATGGGCGAGGGGATGCAGGCTTAGTCGTGCGGGTTGTGCACGACACCCCGGCGAGACTTGTACCTTTTCGCGGTGCTGGGGATAAGTAGCCCAGTCGTTACTGGGTGAAACCAAACAAGTCATTCTTGTAAATGCTGTTAAATACTACAGAAGGAAAGACAAAATGACAGTGATAGACTTGGATTTGGTTTTTGAATTTGGGTTTACTATTACGAATAAATTATTCAAGTTGAAGTTCGATGAAAGCATTTTCTGCATTGACAGGTTTGAAGATATCACTTGTACAGAAGCCGCGAGGCTTATTCCTTTGAAAGAAAAGGATGGAACAAAAAGAAAGGCCCTTTTTATCCACCGAAGAAACCCATAAAGAACAGAGAAAACGAAAAGGAGGCCCTGTGGTACTCCATGTCCAGCCCGGACCCAAATTCCTGTCGCTTTTCTGATGCCAGTCCATGGACGATAAAACAAAAGACACGAGCGCCGCCCGATAATAAAAATGGATATTCACAGAACATTGGAAAGGGAATAAGATATGCAGCCAGCATAGATAACGGATGGCAGAAATAGATAGAATAAGAGCCCAAGAACGCAAGGTAAATAGCGCAGGTCATTAGTCGTAAATGTAAGGGGGTATTTGAATGAAAATGGTTGTTTAGCCGTGAGTCGCGACGGACTTAGGCTTGGATGGGTAGGTCCATGAGAGGAAGTCAAACTTGTCCTTTGCGTTTTCGAGAATAGTGGACGTGTTGGACTCGGGTTGAGGTTGTGCGGCAGCCTGGGCGGCAGCTTGGGCTTGCAGGTTGGTGCCGCTGCGAGAGCCCTCACGGGGCTCTAGGACTAGGGATCGGCGGTAGAAGGTTTGAGCGGTGGTTTCGCCGTTGGAACGGACACGCACAAGCTCGTTCTGCATCCAAGTCTGCAGCTCAGGAACCTCGGTCAGGCGGTAAGGAATCTGGAAGCGCTGGAGCTCGCTGATGATGCGGGCTGTTTTCATGTGCTTGTCAAAGTTGATCACGGCCATCTCGCCTTCGTCGGTGGGGAGAGTGCGGAGAGACTGGTTGCCGTGGTCGACAAAGGTCAGATCAGTGAGGTAGGTCCCGACGAAAGGAAGACACGGAGGCACATGGTTCTGCAGACGCTTGCGCAGCTCCGCGTAGTTCCGAGAGACGTCCACGATGGTTCGGAGATGTTCCAAGGATGTCTTGGTCTTCTGGGACACGATGTCCCAAGTTCGCTTGAGACGAGAGATCATTGACAAGTTCAAAGAGCAGATGATAGCCATGAGCGAGTCATAGTTGTTCAGCTCAAGACACTTGTTGGCAATCTTAACCCAGTGCTTGATAGTGGCCGCGCGCTTCTTGGGCTCCTCCAAATACAGAATAGAGTCAGCGACCAAGTGAGCCAAGTCAGTCGAGAGGGTCGACATAGCGCGAACGTTGACGGCCAGAGAGCCCGACTTCCGCATCCATTCAGTATCGAGGAGTTCCTCGGGAAGAATGGAACAGAAGATACGGGACTCCTTGATAGTCAACTGACGAGCCAACTCCAGCGGGTCGAAGTCAAGAATGGTAATCGCAGCATCGCCGGTTTTCCACTGCTTTAACAAGTGGGACTCCTTCTTGCCAATGATAGGGACTGGAAGAGGAGTGTCAGGGTGAATGTATTGGGCAATGGCAGTGTTGGTCTTGCCCATCGAAGACACCAGGCGCGGTACAACCGGTCCATGAACGGCCGAGACCTTCTCAGCAAGATCCGCGAGACGCTTGCCAGCGGTTGGAAGCTCGACGACCAAGCGAGTGTTGGCGAAGTTCACGACGAAGTCCAGGGCATCGTTGTCTCGGTCGTGGCGCCAGTGAGACTCAAGCCAGCCCTTGAAGATATTGTAAACACGCAGGCGGACTGGTCCGGCGGCGTGAGGGGTATCCCCAATGTACTCGAATCGCTCGGTCAAGGCCTCGGCAAACTCCAGGGGGGTCGCAAACAGACGGAAGGTGAGGTAGAAAGTGGAAACAAACAACGCGTCAGGAGTGGATTGGTGGGCGGTGAGCTTCTCGATCAAAGCACGAAGGCTCCCACCCATCACCTGGCCCTCCTTGTAGATCAACTCATGTGCGTAGGTCTTCTCAAAAGGTGAGCCTCGGTCTCCTCATTCTCCTCGGCCAGGGTTGAGTAGCTCACACTCTCCTTCAGCGACGGCTGGTTAAAGCTGCCGCTAATGTCAGGGGAGGTGGCTCGAGTGGAAGTACGAGAGACACCGCTCATTTCTGAGTCGCGGAGGTGGCTGTTGTAAGTGAAGCTGCTACCCGTGCTTGTGACACCTCGGCTGAAGGTCTCACTCACGTCCGACTTGGGGTGGCTCTCACGGTAACCGCTATCGTATGAAGAGAAGGACATGTTTTCGAGATGGGTGGGAAGGATGGCAGAGTTGGGGAGAGAAGAGAGGGCAGAGTGGTTGGTCGAGGAGTTAAGGTGCGATTGGAAAGAAGATGGTGTGGTCGCGTCGGTAAGGGCAGGGGTCGCGGGTGAGTAGGTCGAGTTTGGAATCTGAAGAGGTGGAGGGGGTAGACGAAGGGAGATCTCTTGGGGCTTCTCTTCACTGGGTGTGTCGGCTGGCTCCTGCGAGTCCGCAATGCCAGGTAGTTCCTGAGTTCCAGTCTCAACAGGATCGAGCTCGATGTCGCCAATCTGCTCCAGTACCAGGCGGGCTTTAGCAAGACAGGTGCCAGCAGCTCGCACACAGTCGGTAGCAGCGTCAACCAGGCGCTTGCCCTCGTCGGGCATGAAGATGAGGTCATCCTCCTGGCCACTGGCTGGACGGAAGACGTCGCGTGCGGCGTGAACAAGGTCCGAGAGCTTTTCACACATGGCCTCGCGTGCTTCTTCCAGGAGCATAGTGCGCTGGCCGTCGTGCTCGCAAACAGTCTCGACGACATTCAACAGGGCGCGGCAGGACTCAACAGCCTGTTGAGTAGTAACAACCAACTCGGTGGAAGAGCGAGATTGCATGTGAAGCCCGATGAAGGATCCAAGCACGCCGAGGAAGGCGTCATAGGAAGTGCCCAGGCGTTCCGAGGCCAAGTTCTGCGAACGAACGGCAGACGAAGGTCCGGAGTAGGATATCCTGTGAGACACAGAGATGCGTTTTGTTGACACTGAGATCGGCCGAGGGTTGTGGTCAAGCATCTCGGTCCGTATTGATGCGCGACTCTGATCCATGCGGCTGCGGTTCAACAGGCGGGATTCGTTTCGATCGTCAGGCACGTCGACGATGTTGAAGCTCTCCGATGCCGGGGTTGGGGGTAAGTCGTACTGGCTATGGCTATCGTTCGCGCCTTCCAGTTCGGCGATAGTTCTCGTCAGACCAACTTCCTCATTCCAGACGTCGAGGAATCGAACTCCACGAGTCACGATCTTGAAAGCCTTCAGCAGCATCTCATCCAGAATGGCCTCGACCTCATCCTCCGCGGGTGTTCCATTGGCAACATCTTGGAACCTCTTAGCAGTCTTAACAAGCGACGAAAGATCAGAGAGCAAAGCCTTCCGGATCCTGCGAAGCCCGTCATATTTCCTAACCAAAAGTGATTCCCGAGTCAAACACTCTGACTTCTCCTATGAATGGGTTAGGCACAGGCTCTCTTTTGCCATCCTCAAAGTCACTTACCAGAAGAAATCGAACGCCAGCAATCGGACCTCTCATCAAATCTTGGTTTCCAAAATCCTTCAACGATGACCCGCATCCTCCTCGAATGATATCCCAGAAGTCAGTCAAGGCCTTAAGCAAAGGGCGCATCTGTAATTGGTCGTATGCTTCGCAATAGTTTGTCGGCAACCAGCCGCGATTCCCAGAATCTAACAAAGTACCATCGGCCCAGCCATTGGTGTGAACGGAGTGAACCAGGATGATATCTCCCTGCTCCAAGGGAAGAGTGACCGTCGATGGCGATACATTGCCGGCCGGGTGAAAAGGATAGAATGCGCGGAGGTAGTTGTGGAAGACGGCCCTCGGGGCCTCTTGCGGTTCTGGCTGTTCTTGTTGTTCTTGTTCCATATTGTGTGCTGTCGTTCCCAAAGGCGTCATAGGCGGAGTCATCTCAGGCTGGCTGAGAGTGGAATAGAAACGACCCGGAACGAGCTTCGAGTCGTCGGAAATCGTGTTCAACTCGATTAAATTCGAATTCGACTTGGCGATCTTTAACGGTGGTATGTTCGGCTTCATTGATTCCATCTCTTATCGAGGCTGTGATTGAAATGCTTTTCTCAATAGCCAGTATGGTCACGGACCGAGGCGTTCATGCGTAGGAAGAAGCAGCTAACATCCTTCGGCTCTAATCTAGCAGATAGAGTGGCGAGTCGTCAGGGATGGGGGGAGGGGTAAGGATCGGATCGCCAGATGGCTGGGGATGATCCTACACAAGGTCAATTGCTGGTTTCTCAAGGGCTGAACGAGTGAGAGCCCTATGGGGATCCAAGGTGTTGGTTCCAAATAGGGTGGAATGTCGATTCCAGGGAGAGAAGTGAATAAGGAATGCTGGGGGCAGGATCATGGACTGGAGAAACACACCCTCAATAAACAATTAATCAAACTATAAACAGCAACAAATTTCTCAAGAGAGTCCGGAACATCGAAAAGCCCCAGCCGAGTATGATAAGTCGCAATCGATAAACAGGTCGAGTGTCAGTGCGTGGTTGGGGCACAACGCTCTATGAAGGGGAAGTCTTGGAACCCTTGGAAACCCTAGCCCTATTGAAGATCGCAGCAAGGACGATAGACCTGCGGATCTGTGCAATAGCGGATGACGAAAGTGGAATCCCTGGAGGTTTCGGGTCCTCACACGCAAGGAGGAAAGGGATGAATGAATGTTCTATTGCCCAAAGACTAATCAGGCTCTCAGATATTGGGGTTCTGTCAAGAGGGTCAGAAAAGAGGGACTGGAAGTCAAAAGAAAAAGGAGGGCGAGAGCCTGGGAATAAGAGCTGGAGTCGAGGACCCAGTTGAGTCTTCTGGGACTCGATCGGGACGATCCATGTGGACCCCACTTGCGTACGGATAGTATCCTCGTACTTTGTATCTAGTATCTAGTACCGGGTATCTGTATCTGTATCGGTGATTTACCGTACTTTCATACGGGTAAAAATACTGTCGGACCTTATACTTTATCCATCTGTGGTCGGGAGGCAATAGTACTAGTATTTGCCCCCCTGTCCTGACCTTGGTTTATTTATTTATTTCATTTTCATTTTTTTTTTTGCTTTTCCTTTTATTTTCCAATCTTCTCAAAGGCAGCAAAAGTTCAAAGTCAACCAAAAAAATAACGCCATGCTGTTAGCTATGGGCCCATCTCTAGGGAATAGTCATTCTTTGGTAGCGGTCTACACTAGTATCCCTGGGACCCGCGTGTAAGAATAGCTATGACTTAAATGTCCACATTATCTGCCGAACGCTTCCCGTTCCAGACTCTCCTAAATTAAAAAAAGTCGTTTTTAATTTGTCCAAAAATCCACAAACTAGCCGTTACCACCTATCAGAAAGCTGCTCGCAAATAAATCCGGTGGGGTTAATCCGGCCATGTCTCGAAATGCACTGACCGTGTGCGACTCCAAACGCAAGACTCGATCAGTCACTCGGTGGCGATGCTCCTTCACGTTGCTTGTCAAGTATCCTCCGGGGATCGACGGCGCAGCGTCCGGCCCCAAAGTGACAGCAGCCATCAAAGTTTCTTTTCCCCTCAGCAACCAAGCACTTGAGCTAGGTACCTTTGTAGTAATAACGAGCCGTGCTGCTCTCGTGATGCCAATTTGCCTGCAATTTGATTACCATTGCTGCCTTCGCCTAGAGGGCAAACATACTAGACTATCATCCCTGCTCCAACAAATCCACCAAATCTCCAACGCGATCTTTAGCCTTCCCCCTCTTTCTTTGTTTCCCCCTCCCGCGTGGGGCGGTGGTGGATATCGTGATATGAGCCGATGAAAGCCCAAGGCAAGTTCGCGTTGGCAGCTCCACAAACGCGACGTCGCCTCGAATTGGAGCTATCGCGGCGAACCAACGTCAGGGCCTATTGCAGACAGGACGGGTCGTGCATCTGTAGTAAGGCATAGTCTTTCGAGGTGCAGCGGCTGGGCATGCAACAGGAAAATCTTGACGTGGACCCGCCACTGTCTAAGACCCTGGAAAGGGTCAAGTTGCTTAGCTAGGGAGTAGCCAAGAGCGACACCAAATCGAGCCAGTGTACTTTTGTATCAGCTGCATTGGCGTTGGGTTCGAGAATCTGGTCTGCGATTGCACATGTGGCCATAATGTATCAATAATTATCAATTCAAAAAGGTAGAAAGTCCAGGATGCCATCCTTGGTTCAGTTCACGCATTGAAACAGAGCGTGGAGAGCTATGACCACATCGCATTGCGAACAGAGGGGGGAAAAACCGACCAGGCTACAGCTGAGTCAAAAACTCCCCCAAATTTCATAATTTTGGGGCGACCACTTGGCCTAACGGTCTAGACTTCGGTAACTTACTTAATACAAAAGGGAGCTCGGTACGCAAAGCAGAACCGTAATACAAAGCGATACAAACCTGCGATAACTTGCTTCCCAGCTTGAAGCTGCACGGACTTGGTGATTCTGCAGTTGCCAGTCCGCAATGCAATTTTCAGACGCAGGCCTCACTTCGTGATTCACCATCACATGTGCCGTAAGGGAAGAACGGCCCTGTCAGCACAAAATTAAAAGGAACAATACTCCGACGCACTCGCGGGGGGTCCAATAGGGTCACGCGCTAGGACTGAACTGCAAGCCCCCTCCACGTTATCACAGTGGCTCCCACGATGGCACACAGCTTCCCACATCACCGAAACGCGATCAGCGGTCTTAGGCTTGAAAGAGGGAGAAGCTCCGCGGCCGGCTCGGCATTGAACCGTGGAACGAGTGCGGGTGAAGCCATGCTCGAACCAGATTTCTTGCTGTTGTCACCTCACCAAACTACCATTTTCGGTTTCAATTTTTCACCGTTTGTCTACTCGTGCTACAACACAATCGGTGACACTCCGTTGATCAGGATCTGTCTGACGCCTTCGAATGCGTTTGCTCTTCTATCGAGGCTGCATTGCGCCGCCCATTATCGGTAAAACACGCGAGATTAGTGCCCAAGCAGTGGGGCGGATACAGTGGCTCTTCTCTAATATGCAGGTTCTTCTTGTGACGAGTTAGACGGATTGAACTATGGGCTTGCTGCCATCACGTTTGGGGGATTGTGAAGGATCGTCGTCGCTTCATTCCGCCGAGGTTGGGCTTCAGGCTGCACATGGTACATGGGCGTGTCAAGACCTTCAAGCTACAGACTGTAGAATCCTGAAAATAGAACAATAGGACAAAATGATAGGACTGGGTTTCCCCAAGCCATTGTCTCAGTTCCTGTGGAGAGACAGATTAACGAGTTGGTCTCTATCCGAGCATGTTTCCTTCAACCTTCAGTAGTTCCGGGTGCCCGGCTCGTTCGCGGAGTATAGCGATCCGACTTCTGTCAACTGAAGGGGTCCACTACCGGCAGTTCAGCTTTTCTAGTCCGCAACATTTGAGCTGACCTCGGTCGCATGCAAAAGATCTGAGTTTCAAGCCAGGATCAAGATGAAAGGCAACCACCCGAGATCTGCGGGAAAACGACGAATAACAGGGGCGATTGTTCCGAGAAAGTCTCAAAAATTAAGAATTTGCCGTTTTCACAGGGCTCTATTGGCTGTACCTGACATCAAGAGATGGTCTGTTCTTTTAAAGGTGGCCTCGGTGTTTCAAGGTATATCCAGGAGTAGGCTAGCCGCACTGGACAGAATGTTACCTGGATACAGCCTCGTGGAATCTAGACCATCTGAAATACCTAGGTATTTGAGGAAATACGCAAGCTATACGACCAGCCTCCCCATATGCAAGTCCCGGAGCCCTCTACAGTCAACAGGAAAAGCTCCTCGGATCAAATGTCCAAGTGTGATATGGTGAGCTCGGCGTCATACACCGCCAACTTGGACCCAACATGCTACCAGAATCCACCAACGTGGCTTGGAACCTCTCCAATTTTTCCCCTGTCCAAACTTATGCTGTGCGACCTCGTGACTTTTGATCAAGAATCGCAGAAGCCGACATGACGAGCTTTTGCATGCGGTACCTGCATTTGAAACGAAACTTGAAATAGTCGGTCCAACCTTCAACGACATCAATTTATTGACTCGTGCGTGACGATAGCGATGTATGTCACGACTACGAAATAATCAATGATTCGACACTGAGTACTGTTTTTTTTTTCTGCACGTGTCACCGACGCCTGCTTATAGTGCTGACCCCGCAAGATCCAGCTACGCCACTATAATTCACTGTTACACAAGCCTGCGTCTTCGTGCGTCTATGAACTATACTCTTTGAAAGTGCTAGTGCTGCCATGCTGTGTCGCACGTACCACAATAAATAAACACGGATCCTTCGCTCATCATTACTCCAACGGCATACATGTGACATCACGCAATTATACATACAGATCCCGAAGGAGAAGGAATGAAAATCATATCCAGCAGGTAATTTCGCGCGTCAAGTCAATAAATTGACCCCAAATATCAGACTTATATTTTAACGCAACTCGAGCCATGGAACAAAGAGTGGATCGCTGGGGAAAGCTATGGTGGCGTCGGTCGAGGCAAGTGAACACTATATGCAGAGAAAGAGGAGTCCGCTAGGACACATAGGATCTATGGATTACTGTGCCTCAAAGAGCAGATCATCTCTTGTCTGGTTCCTGTCCCGAGGAAGTTAGAGCGGCGGTAGATCGTGCTAGTCGACCCGGGCAAGTGGTCCACGGAACTGCTAGAGTGCCACGGATAATGGATTGCGTATAGTGACAAGCCATCCTGGATACCGGTATCAGATACTTTCAGAAACTCGCAGTAACTCGGCATCGGGCGATTTCAACAAATACCGAATAACAGGTTAAATGAGCAAGAATACGGAATACGGAAAGCCAAGAACCCGTGGACGCCCAAGAAGGCCGCGCGACTCCACCGATCAAAACTCCACAGTAACTCAGAAACTGTGTAATGGTGGATAACCTAAGAACCCGGAAAGGCATCCGCGAAAGGCACCCGGGAAAGGCATCCACGAAAGGCAGCATGAATCCACTCCTAAATGAACTCTTGCTGTGCCAACTTGGACATTGGCCCATACGATCCCACACCAACGGTTCAGTCGGAAGGAATGATGCGCGGCGCATAACCCCGGTCCATGACCGCGGCGCCACAAGGGAACATGCGATCAAATGAAGTGTCGTAGATGATGACGGCTAATTTTTCCATACTTTTCGCGGGCTTCCGTGGGACCTGTCGCCGGATGCCGACCGAGACAGCGCCAGGAGGCAAAGTTCAGAGGAGTTCCTTTGTTTCGTGAGATCTTTATTCCCCCAGTGGCGATGGAGCCGGTCTCAAAATTGGAACTAGATCGGCGCGCTTCGCAAGCTACGGGCTAGCGGATGAGACCTTCCGGTGCACATATCCAGAGACTGAGTATCGGGATATGTGGATGCCAAGCCTGTCAGGGGAGTCTAGAGATTTGCTATGTAGGTTCATATCAGCACTATGGATTTTCGATGGTGCTACTGTACGATGCGATCATGAATCCACAAGGCAGCAGAGTCTTGTCCATGTGGGGACGGCCTGGACAGGAAGTTTAGCTTTTCGATCAACAGGCCATTGAACTCAGCGTTGGAGACCAGTCACTATGTCCAAGCTTCAAGCTTGCGACGAAAGTGCCGTTGCATGCATGGTAAAGAGCTTCGGCTCATTGTTTAAGAGTCGATAGTGCCAACGTCTCTGGTGTTTCGGAGCTGCTGCGCCCCTAATGGGGAGCAAAGTTGGGCCCAGAACGTCTGGAAGGATTCTATGATCGCCCCTTCTACTAGGGCCTCTACATACTAGGACGGGCCTCTACTAGAGGCCTTCCTAGTCAAACCTACTCCTCGTAGCCGGTCTTCCGCGGCTGCCTTGGCTCCGGGCACGTGTTCAGCGTCGTATGCGACCCTAATGCCTTCTTCCTGTCGCCCCTGAGTCGAAGGAACAGGGTGTGGGGAGACTAGAGAACACTAGTTTATCCGACAACTCCGTATAGTAAAAAACGATAGTTACTTAGCCTCTAAGTACCAGAACAAAGAGACGTGAAAACGATAATCAACCTTCGAACTAGTTGGCTATGGCCCGTTGAATGAGCTGCTGTCATATGCAGGAGTGCGGCAAATTCGAGGTTGGCTTCACGCAAAGAATCGATAGTTCAACTCCTAAGCATAAGCCGGCAACGTTCCCCCACCTTTTCCGCGTCTTGGATCTTGGGACGGGATGGAGGCAGGGACATGATAGGTCTCAAGTCTTATCACTATCACTACTCCGCGGACGGGAAGGGGATCACCAGCTCGTGTCCCATAACATGATGTGACGAGCAGGAAAGAGCTTGGTAATTTGGGTCCTCAACGGCCATTGATACCACCAGATCCCATAATTCAGTCAGTTCGGGGATCATGGGGAACTGTGCCGTCTCGGCTCAGACTCACGTGAAAACCTCTGTTTACACGGGAAAAATACAATACGCGGCGTTCACTCGGCCATTACGACTTTACACGTTCTTACACTCTTAAACTACCGGTTCAAGTGGCACGAGCTGAGAGCTCTCCACGCTCGATCGAACCTCCACCTTTGCCTCACGATAGTAGTTCCCCAGAGTTACCTCGTCGATCAGTGGCAAACCAGCTGGTGTCTGCGTCAGTGGATATGAGGCGAGCTTTCAATCTACAGCTACATACGCTATCTCTCCACTCGGAACTCAGCAGTTGGGACTCCAGAAACCAAAGAGAGACAAAAAGCGAGCGCATCAAACCGCGATCCTTTCAATTGGCTCTGTTGATCGAGCAACCACTCACGCCTCGACATAAGTGGGTGCCCTCAATCTCGAACCAAGAGTTCGCTTGCGTGGGGCCTCTGTATCGACGATCAAACAGATGCGCACCAGTGACGAAGAGCACAGCGGGGCTTAGGAAGCTACCCCCTATGACGATGCCACAATGCGCGCAACCCTCAATTTGAGACTGAAGATCTCTTCCCATACAGGTACTCGGGTTATTCCGCGGACAAGACGGGGCAAGAGTAAGATGACGCTCGGCGGAGCGCAGCGCAGCTGAGAAACCAGGGCCTATGTGTATGCAGGAACATCACGTCAAACAGAAATCTCCGAATTCGACTCAAGGCTTAAAGTCTCCTCCTGAAGGATCGTGGGATCCGATTTGGGCATGAATAGCCCCCATCAGCACGCCTCGCCCCCCTCCACGAGCATGAGTAGCTTTCCCCATCGGGAAACCGACCGAGCGATCGATCCTTCCCCGGGCGCCTGCATTTACAAATCCTATCATCAAATACCTATGACAACCAATCTCCGCGCAGGGAAACCAAAAGCGAGAGGGTATTCCCGCCGCGCTGCACTCGTGGTTCCTGCAGCGCACGAGCGCACGCGCACGCGCAAAAAGCAAGTAACAATTACAATTCTATACCGCACACGACTCGATTCGCCTGTCAAGGTTCGCCCAGGATCGTGTCCACAATCCAAGGGCCCCTCCCCAGCCCTTCGGTAGAAACGAAGTGGGAACGGAATTGTCTCTCGGGTCCGTCCCCCCTTTTTTTCAAACTCGGGCCCTACGGATTGGGTTCCGCTACACGTCAGACACACACACACACACACACACACACACATACACACACCTGTAGATGGACCACAACACCGGGATATCTTAAATGAGGATGGGCACGATGATGGTTTGGTGGAAGGTCTAGAAAAAGAAAGCGCGCGCCGGCGCAGACTAGCTTTAACATTCGGAACGGCAAGTGTCGTGACGGATGATCTAGCGGCTTTTTTCCCCAAGGGAATTGTACTCCTTGCCAATCGTAGTGGTGTTATGATGCTTGCCTTGATTGCGACGGGTCTGATGGGTCCCAGTTAGGAAGGTGAGTGAGACCTTTTTGATTGATAGGGCCCGTCTCTGCCGGGTATCAGCCCGTCTGTATGCACGGGTTCGTGAGTGTGCTTTTGTTGGCTCCGGGGTCCTCGTGTCGGTGCTGGTTTTCTTAGTTATTGTGTTGGTTCCCAGGCTCTGTATGTGGGTTCCCACGTGCCCTATACGTGGTACCTGGTATCCACAACCTACTGTAAGGACCCAAGGTTGGAACGTCTGTTGGTATAGCATTAAGGTTCTGTCGGAACTTCAATAGTTGCCGATAAGTCGGCCAAGTGGATGACATCAGTAATTGCTTCAACAATTCAAGCATTTGAGTTTGAAGCAGATCGTTCGGAAACATTGACCTTCCAAGAAAATCAGGTACCTGCGCCGAAGTTTAACAAAGCCGCCATGCAAGTGATCTCTATCCTATTCACTTGTATGCGAGCCTAGCTTTGGAGGCAAAGAGATAGGTTCAAGACTTGACATCTGTCATAGGTATACTCGGGCCATTTAAAATCCACAAGTGATTGAATTGCGCTGCTCAAACGATGTTTGCAATGGATGGGTTGAAGCACCTCGGTTCTCGCATCGATATATCTCCCGATGTGTACTTTGCTCTGAAAATCTGCAGCCACGCACACTGCAAATTTTAAACCTGGATATTCGCCATTTGACTCGGAAGTAGAACTGTTCAATGTGGTCCATTTCACGTTTAATATCAATAAAGTATTCTACTTGAACCAGAGCTATTTTGAGAGTAGGAGTAGCTGACAGACAATCTTGATATCCAACCAAGCGATTTCCCCCACCCCGGCATGATATATTGTACGTTCAATCTTATTACAACCGAGAACTTCGGACTCCCCCATTGTCACATGCAACTGGAATTACATACGGGAATACTTACAGTGACTTTTTGATCCAGAGTGCCGTTGCAGTTGACCGAACACCACCGACCATCCCTTGCATGAACCCCGACGCGACGAAACCGATATATCAAAAGCCACCGCAACTCTATAGCAACCACGACAGATCACAATCTAATACCACTTAATTAATGTGAGACTCCTCCACAACAAACTACAAAAGTAAAACAGACCCTGAACCATGGTACAACATGCCCAAAGCTACAATCTCATACTGGCTAGGAGCCTAGATACCGTCCTTGTTCCAGACGCGTGCCTGGATTCTTCACGTCGACATGACCCCTCACCCTTAGACCCCTGGAATGGAAATAATCAATACTCATATCTCCCTTTTGATTGTTCAACTTGTGCCAAAATAAGAATAACTCGGACCTCACACAATACGCGCGACACTGAGTTCCACTCTAGCTACACAAATACTCACTTTCGACCGGTAAATATACCTATTTTTCGGTACGTACCCAAGCCACTTGAAATACAACTCCATTACAACGACTGATATGAGAGTAGCCCCACAACGACAGAATGAAGCTGACAGCCATCTTCGCCGCAATCTCACTCGCCTCGGCCGTCGCAGCGGCCCCGGTGCAGAATGAACCTCGGAACCTGATCCCGGGCCTCCCGACTCCCATGGATTTGGTCGAGAAGATGTATCCTAACTCTGGGATCCCGAGGCTTGCAGGCAAGGTCGAGCAGGAGTTGCACATCTGTATGTCGTACTTGAGAATTGAGAAATGGCCGTGACTGACGATTTTAGGATTAGGATCATTATCAACGCCTTGGATGTTAAGGATTGAAGCGAGATACATCAATCCAATGAACTGGAAATGAGGTTGAGAAATTTGCCCTGCAGCTAGACTGCGGAGCAAGTACTGCGGATTTGAATACCCTTCTACTTTAATCGAATATTGAGGTTGAACACCATACAAATGATCTTCTATGCCGGAGTCCACGGTTGGTATAAAGAAAGGGAAAAAACGTGAATGATTCAATATATCCATTATACTCCTAAAGCTAGAACATCCCCTCCATATCCAAATCCAAAAACTCCGGATTCCCAACCGCCATATCCGCAGCATTGAGCACATCATCAATAGCATCCATGCCCGATCCCGCACCCAAATCCATATCCTGCCCAAGATCCTGTCCAATATCATGCCCAATAACACCACTATCCATACCCGCTGCCGCAGCGGCAGTAGCATCATCCAGCATCTGGTTAATATTGTCTGTCTCGTCATCGACGCCAACGCCGGCTGTAGGTTCAAGATCCATGCGATCTTGGCTATCTACGCCAAGCTGCATGTTATGAATGATATTGCTAACATCAATATTGGACACTTGTGTCGGCGGGGTTGAGAGAACACTGACGCGGCGCCAGAGGCGGACGACGACCTGTGCGCGCAGAGGGTCTTTCTCTGAGATGTTGGGCACGTTGTCGTGTTGCAGGGCAAGTGCATCGCGGAGGGTGAGGATCGAGCAGCGCGGGAGATTTTCCTTGCTCGAATCAACAGGGTGGCAGGTATTCTGGTCGACGGCGAAAGACTCCGCCATAGGTGCGCAGATCATGGTGGCTGCGATATCGAGTGCCAGGTCACCGCTTCCTGCTTCCGTTTGTTGCTTGACTTCATCTAGCATTGCGCTTAGAATGCGCGCGGAGCCGAGGATGCGGATACCCGCGAGAAGCTGGCGGTGGGTGTAAGATTGAGGCGCGAGGGTGATTTCGGAATTTGCGCTCCAGAGGACGAGTGATTGGAGGGTGTTGCGTATGCTTCCTGGGAGGCCGCCTGCTGTTTGGGCGGCCCAATTGTCGAGCTCAGACCGGTGGCAGCTGCCGACGCGGCGGAAGGAGAGGTAGGGTTCAAGTGAGTCGAGGATTGGTTTGATGTCGGAGCGGGATTGGTGTCGTGTTCGGACGTCTTTGAGTTGTTCTTCTAGGGGGCGGGCGGTGATGTTTAGGACTGTTTGGTGGATGGCTTGCGCTTCGCCGGAGATGGAATTCGGCTTGACTAGGGAGTGGAGGGTTTGCAATGGGATTGTGGGATCGATTTCGGATTCCCAAATGTGATTGCCAAGCCAGGTTAGTGCGACGACTAGGGATGGTAGTAGGAACGGTTCGAGAAGGTCTGCGTATGTTAGTCAAGTGTTTATGCGAGTAGAAGTTTGGGTGTAGCTCACATTCGAAACCGCCCTTCAACGTCTCAAAATCCAGTTTTCCTGACTCGCATGCGCCGAGGCTCTGGTCGAAAAGCGTCGCAACTAGCATGTAGAATTCCTGGGGACTACAAGCAGACATGGTCTCTTCACTGATACCCTCAGCAATGAACAAAGCCGCAATCCAGCCACCAATATCCTTGTTCTGCTTCTCGCTCAGCTCAGTCAGCTTCTGACTGCAGGAGCCTCTATCCAGCAACTTCAACAGGAAAGAATCGTTGCTCGAGATACCAATATCGGACGGGCTCAAGTCATAGCGGTACTTGAAGACTAGAACCAGAAGCAAAATGCTTCCAAATTCATCATAGACTGGCTGGTTCTCGCTCTGATCATCATCCCAACGCCAGGAGTCCAACAGAGCACAGAGAGGCTGGAGGATTTGCTTGGTAGTTCGGAAAAGAAGCATGGCATCTAAGGCTTGGGGGCGCCGGGAAAGGGAGTTGCAGATGTTTTTCAAAGTCATGGTCTCTTTTTGGTGGCACAGGTTGAACATGACCTCAGTAATCGCACAGACAATGGCACCGGCATTGCCCTCCATGGACTCAATTTCACCGACCAGTTGATCCGCCCGTTCGAAGTTAGAGCTGATTTGCGAGACAAGATCATCCTTTTGGTAAGGACCTCCAACGGGTAAAGTTTGCATAGGGTTTTCGCCGAGAAGTCGTTCGATGCTGGATTCGGGGATGAGTCTGTGAGACGCACAGGCAAACAGAAACTCCTGACGAGCATCCGACAGAACGCTATTGCCTTGCATAGAGAATATCTGAGAGAAGGAAGGGAAGGAATTTGGATCCAGTCGGCTGAGCGCTTGTGTGATACACATCTCAATACTGATGGGTACCATGGAAGCTGCTGTCATGGCCGCAAAGAATGCTGGAAGTTTATTCACCAGGAAGGACCGGAATAAGAACATAGTCCGACTGGACTCATTGCGGTAGACGCCATTTGACAGCACGTCGAAGGAAGCTGTGACTATCTCTGCGACGAGGGCTTCTTGGTGGCCCTATAGAATGTTAGACCGGGAAAACCAATAAAAATATTGAAAATTTTTAGTCAAAGCTAATAGGTGATAGCAAACTTACTTCGTAGCGATTGGTGAGGTAATTAATGAGGATAGAATCATCAACCAACGGGCGACCAGCAAGCTGACCGAATCAGCATATTTCGTAACGAACCAGCAAGATATCTTACCATTGAGTTCAGATACACATAGAGACCGGCTCTAGTGTTGATGACAGGACCGTCCATAACCGACGATTCGAACTGAAGAGCGTTAACATTCATGCCATCGATAGCAGGATGCCCCAATGGCTTTGAAGATTGCTCTCCATAGAGGTTGAAATCTTTCTGAACCGTATCCAACCGATGCCGCAAAGGCAGAGACACATCGACGCATAGGGGCAGATAGCTAGACAACGCCTGGCCCAACTTTGTTTTCAAATCTGGCGACATTTATCAACAAATGGACAGACTCAACCAATTGAAACAAAACGTACCTTGACGATCATCACTGGACAACATTTCCAGGCCCTTCGGAGTCCCCGACAGCGCAGCAAGAAGAATACCCAGCGACTCAAACAAAGAGACAGCATCCGGCGAGCTCATCAACCCACTCCCCTGCTCCCCACCCAAACTATCATGATGCCAAGCAACAACAGCCACAATCCACTCAACAGTAGCCGCATAAAGGTCCGCCGCCTCAGCAACAGACCTAGGAATACTCCCGGTACTCACAGCCATCATAACATCCTGAATGACCTTAATATCAGTCATAAGCGTACTCGCCCTCCTTTTAACACTCATTTCCCTGATAGAAGAATGCCTCAACAGCGCAACAAGCGCGGCGGCACTCTTTACCCTCCCAATCTTGCACAAACTGTCAACATAGACAGGTAACAATGGATCCCAGGCAATCACGGAGCTCGCGCGCGCCTCCAGGAGTAGGTCAAGGAGTTCATTCTCTTTGACCGGGGACCGGGCCAGCATCAGCTTGGTCAGGCCTTTGAATTCGTCCACATCTACTCGATGCGCTAGGCATCGGTGGAGGAAAGTCTTCCATTGCTCCGAGGACGCTGTGTCGGGCAGCATTTTGGCTGTTTAGGGCATGCCAGGGCGAGATATAATGTTGGTCGGGATATATAGATGGGTTATTCAATCATTAGGTGATGGCTGGCGGTTTTTGGCGCCAGTGATTGAGATCAAATCCCAATTGGGTCGAGGGATGGCGTCTGTTTGGTGTTGGTCACGGGATCTGATCACGTGGTTTGTCGGTCGGACAATGAATGGCTGTGACTAGTAGACCATGGGCAGTTGGAGATGGAGTTAATTGTAGGATCAATAGGATCAATTGTGATGGGCTCTTAAAATGATATATTTCAACTGGATGAGTTTCTGAGGTCATTGAGAAGAGAGATGAGGCTATTGATTCGACTCTTTCATCTATAAGCGGGCCTGAGGTGCTGCAAAGGACTCGCAACGGCATTGGCTGTCTAAGTCTACCTTGAAGTAGTCTACGATATCAGTTTGACTAGAAATGATCTACTAGAGGAAATATTTTTTAAGAATAATTCATTCAATTTCATTATCATCATGACGATTCCAACATAATGATGCTCAAAGGGGAATATCATCAAATGCAAAGGGAATCCAGCGCCTCTATACCCGCTCATCAAAAAAGCTATAAACAAAGAAAATGCTAAGGCCACTCCATAGGAGACAGCAGAATATCAGTCAACTTTTAGGATGACTGATTTACCACCAGTCACCGTGGTCCTTCATGGCCTCAGCGACCTTGGTGAAGCCAGCAATGTTGGAGCCAGCAACGAGGGAAGGCAGGACACCCTCAGCGGGGGTGAGGTACTCCTGAGCGGTGCTGAGACCGTTCTTGAAGCAATCCTCCATGATGCCCTTGAGGCGGCTGTCAACCTCCTCAGAGGTCCAGGAGACACGGGCAGAGTTCTGAGCCATCTCCAGACCGGAGACAGCGACACCACCAGCGTTGGCGGCCTTACCGGGAGCGTACCAGATGGCAGCGGCACCGTTAGCCTCACGGTGGGCCTCAAAGACATCGATAGCCTCCTGGGTGGAACCCATGTTGGAACCCTCGGCGATGAACTTGCAGCCAGCGTCAATCAGAGCCTTGGCCTCGTCGCCGGAAACCTCGTTCTGGGTAGCAGAGGGGAGGGCAATGTCGACACGGCCGACAATGTTGGTCCAGGGGCGGGCACCGGGGATGTACTTGAACTTGGAGCTGAAGGCAGCGGTGGAAGCGATCTCGGAGATCTGCTTGCGCTCGACCTTGATGGTGGCGATGGCGTTGATCTCCTCGGCGGTGAAAGAACCCTCCTCACCGCTGAGGATGAGGGCACCCTGGGAGTCGGACAGGGAGACGACGGAACCGCCGAGCTCGATGACCTTAAGGGCAGCGTACTGGGCGACGTTGCCGGAGCCGGAGATGGCGACGCGCTTGCCGGCGAAAGACTCCTTGCCGCCGGAGGCGTGCTTGATCATGTGCTCGACGTAGTAGACAACACCATAGCCGGTGGCCTCCGGGCGGATGAGAGAGCCACCCCAGCTGCCGCCCTTACCGGTGAGAACACCCTCCCACTGGTTGCGGATCTTCTTGTACTGGCCGAACATGAAACCGATCTCACGGCCGGTAACACCGATGTCACCGGCGGGAACGTCAGTGTCCTGGCCGATGTGCTTGCACAGCTCAGTCATGAAGGAAACACAGAAGCGGCGGATCTCATTGTCGGACTTGCCCTTGGGGTCGAAGTCGGAGCCACCCTTGCCACCACCCATGTTAAGGCCGGTCAAGGCATTCTTGAAGACCTGCTCGAAGCCAAGGAACTTCAGGATGGACAGGTTGACGGAAGGGTGGAAACGGAGACCACCCTTGTAGGGGCCAAGGGCGGAGTTGAACTGGACACGGAAACCGCGGTTGATTTGGACCTTTTAGGTTGTCAGCGGCGAAACTTTTTTTTTTTTTCAGACGGCAATTAAGCTTACCTGACCCTTGTCATCCTCCCAGACAACGCGGAACTGAACAACGCGCTCGGGGACGGAGGCAACCTGGAGGGCCTTGCGGTACTCAGGCTTCTTCTGGAAAAGAGTGGAGTTCTCGAGAGTAGAGGCAAGCTCTGGAAAATGATTAGCTGAGACACTTGCCGAAGAACCACTTGCCGAGACCGGGAAAACGATTTTAAGTCGGGAGGGACCCGGGAAGGGCACGGAACACGGAGTGTTCCGTGAATGTCACTGAGGACATTTTAAGAGGGGTACGAGGGGCACGAGGGGCAGTAGAGGGGTAATGGCAGTAGTGGTGGTGATAGAAAGACATACCCTTGTAAGCCTGCTCGAACTCGGGCTCGGAGGGAAGGTTAGACATTGTGTAGATGTTTACTCTGCTGGAGGTATAAGGGTATAAGAGTATGTATTAATCAAGAATGCTGGGCAGACTTGAGAAGCAGAGGGTGGGTTGAGAAGGGAGAAAGTCTAGGGGAGGGTTCAACAGTTATATACGAGTGGCGGGGAGGATGGAGGATGCCGGAGTCGGACGAGAGAGTCCGGACAACGTGGACGGGGAAAAAAGGAAACAGAGGATCACGTCCCAAAGGTCTACAGGGTACGTAGGTACGGTAGCACAGTGTGTAGGGCCAATGTTGGAAGCATGAAACCCAATGGTTTCCGTGGGAAGAAAGTCCGAAGTTCGGGGCCCACACGGTAAATTTTACTTATCCTTTAAGGTCACAGATTGCTTATCTGGTGGCGGCACCCGACCTTACCTCCTTCACCCGGGCAATCACAGCAATTAAGAGGCTAACATGGGGTTTGCCGCTCTCGGATCCTGTATCCTGCTCCTTCCGTCTTAATTTCGTCCTTGGCCAGGACTTGACCCATCGGATCGGTCCTCTCCGATGACTGTACAGCATGGAGCTAATGTAACCTAGAGTTGAGTGCACAGCATAGCATAGGGAAAATTAAAGCTCGTGCATGATGCAATGATTATTTTTTCCCCGCTCCCTCTGGAGTATTGGTTATTTCCTAATGATTGAATCATGGGGGAAATCCGCCACCAGCTTCCTGCTTCGGCAACGGTCTCGGGAATAGTGGTCACGTGCCATACTGCAAGCGGCAGTGGGCTAGTCCCAAGTAGGCAAGGGCCCCACCACCTTATCTGATCGCTGGGATTCATTTTTCAATCCGTTTGACTCACAGGAATGCTCTACACTGGTCAACATCTTTATCAGTCCCTTCCCCTCCATCAACCCCCATGTTCATGCACGGCCGAACATCCGTTGTTCCCTAAAAGGTACACCGGCTCTCCATTCTCGGCACATCGGAATTTCCCCCACCGCGGGGCATTGGGATAAAATGGAGGGGCTGAGGGGTTGATTTCGGGGTTGTACACTGTAGTCCGGGAAAACAATGAGTACATAGCGTTCTACACAATATCATACCAATGCTTAAGCCAATTGTCGCACGATATCCTTCCACTCCGTACCTTGGTACCGGATTCAACCCCCTGACTCAAACAAGCCACAATGCCCTACCAAACTGCCCCAGTGTGATTCACATATGCTCTCAAGGTCTCTCTGTCCCTGGGTCAGGCACGGCCCTGCCGTGTGATGCCAAGCTCTAGCCCAACCCTATTTGCTAGGGTGATCCGACCGTCGGCAACGCCCCAGTGTATGGAGCATATGTACTCCATACCCTTGGGGGAACGCACCATCACTCCATCAGGAACTAATTGATTATTGGCGGCAGCGGCGTTCAGTTTTTCCGTCGGCTTGCCACTAATCTGCCTCATTTTGCGGTTTGGCTATCTCCATTCCGTCGTTTAATCTCTCATCACTGGTCGCTGACCTAGGTGGAAAATTCAGACAATGAATTTTTAGAACTCTCTTCAACGTATAAGGCTCGAAAAAGCCCACCGGGCATAGAATGGCAGAGTGCTTCTCCTAGTAGTTTGTCCGGCGCTAAATTCGTTTTATGAGAGCCATTTACTGGATCGGTGTATGCATGCATCAACTAACCTCCCACGATGGTCTCAGACGGACGCATCCGAAAAACGGAGATTCATATCGCGTCTCTACTCTCAAATTTAGCCTAAAACAAGGCAAGCATGGTGGGGCTCTTTCCTTGGAAGAATTCAATTACACCCGAAGTAGATCCGAAACGGTTAAGCTTCTAGCAAAACTTACTGGATAAAGCAGCTAGTCGCTCGGGTCTTGTAGCCTGTGTATAATGCATGCATCCGCATGCGAGTTATCTTATCAATCTCCGAGTTGCCGGTCCGCGCCAGCCCGTTAGGTATGGATTGAGGTGGCTCCATATAGATTGGCCGTTGCGTAGCCTTGAGCGAATGGTAGGCTCTGTTTGGTGCACATGCACATACGCAGTCCTGTCTATTGGTGTAATTAGAGACTCAATCTCAAGCATTATTATCGCTTCTTTCATCTCTTTGGAACATGTTTAAGTAGGCTTCAATATAAGGTCATGTCAAAGTAGATAAAGTTTGGAATTTCTGTAAGCCGAATTGCCCGAAGTCGGTCTAATGATGAAATGTCCTTGTTTTTATTAATAACAATTGAACTAACAAATCACATGTGCGTGCTCGAAGACAATAACTCGCATTTTCAGCGAGATAGTAAAGGCCATACACCAAAACACAAAGACCGCGAGGACTGCATCGGTCGCTCTCTGAACTCACTCGCAACCTTTAGTTAATCAGTGCATATACACAAAATTGATATTCTTGACCTTGACCAACCAAATTTCTCTTAAATCAATTCAATCTAGGTAACCACAACAAATCCAATATCAACTCCACCTCCCTCGAACCTTGGACGCCAAACCCCACAACCACGAATAAGCTAGACCCAGCACAATCCTTGACAAAACACCAAACTGTCCATTTAAGGAATTTATCAAATCAAAAGAACGTTCCATAATCTACGGGGCACACCCAATCTCGCTATACCCCGCCCAGCCACAGTGGCTACGCTGTGGCCGTGCCAAGGCCTGAGGGCATCGGCGGTCTCCGCAGCCCCGACCCCAACCCTGCGAATAATAATAGGAAGAAAAGCATTTGCAGTTTTCCTATCAGTTCAACCCCTCCTAAAGGTTCCGATCGACTAGCATGACACACCACTTTACTCGAGATCCACGTGTTTGCTTCTACTTTTACTTTACGGCCGAGAAGTCAATTGTGTATTTCCCCGCGGTGGCAAAGTATTAGGTCAGGTAGCGTACGTGGGGCTGATAGATTGCATTTTGATGGGTAGGATGGCCACCACGGTGATTATCCGAAGGAGTTAATATACATCTACTGGAAAATTAACTCGGTAGAAATTTGCTGAGACGGGAAATGTAAATTCGATCGGTGTGGAGAAATCTATCTGTTCGCGATACATGATACGCGACTCCGCGAAGCGAGGGCAGTGCAGCACAGTGCAGTGCGCGTTCGTTGACGATAGCGGTGACGGGAGTTGACAGATCACATTTACGGACCGGAGGATGAGCGTTGATAGGCGGTAGTTTAGAATAGTGGCAACATGCCAGGTGGGGATGCTGTATGCTCGTAGCGAGGAGTTTAAGCGATATGATTCAGGCCGTAGTGGCAGAAAGTGATACCCAATACTTGCCAAGGTAGTTTTTGACCACAGTGGTGATGGTGGTGGTGTGAAGGGGTTCAAAGTCAACATGGATTGACGAATACTATATCTTCACGAATACTAAATCTTCCATGTGGTTCCTGGTCGTGGGTTGCGCACCTTATTTTCGAGTCTTATTACCACGTGGTTGACGTGGGAAACGAAGGCTGATATCAGCGCAGCGGTGCATATTGTCATCTGGGAAGATGTTTTACTCCACACAAGGGTCTGATCCAGAGAGCGACCGGTGGGAATGTCATAGTATTGGTCACTGGGCAGCAGCACAGCAGAGCGTGACCTCTTGCCGCTAGTGAAAGATAATTAAAGTGTAGCGCTGGGATCAAGTAAGGTACATTAGCTTGTTAGTTAGTATAACCAGTTAGTCCATGCCATTCTGGATTTCCAGCTCAGGTGCTGATATTCGAGATTTACAAATGCCGAAGACTAAATTCCACTGGGGCCCATCCGCCCCAGGTTGTCGCTCAATGGCAACCATTAGAAAAATAAAAAAATAGTGCCCATCTGAATGCTATACGAGATACTGAGTGGACATTGCAGAAACAGGTTTAGACCATGCGCTTCTGGCGCCAAATGATCTGCCCCAAACTCCAAGTGGTCTCCTACATATCCTGGAACACGGGCCGCAGAATCCGTGCAGAGCGTATCGCCATCGTGAACTCTGATTTTCGATCATGGTGACTCGACGCAACCCGTGCAGTAGCGCCGGAACGGAGTGCTGCTTTTAGAGAAACATAGATCTAAAGACGATTAGTCGGAGGCCGAGCTGAACCCCAGCTGATTCACCACATCAGAATTAGAAAATGCAGGTCTTGCATGATTGCAATGAGGAAAATCGAAAAGAGCCAAACACTCCCCCGGATTAATCTGTCATGTGGAAATAGGAGTGGATCTGACTCGGGCTTTCCGAGCGTGAAACGTTAAAGGCTTGTAGGTTGTTCAAAAAGTAGAATTCGCCAAGGATGAGAGAGAAAAAGAGTATTAGGCATTGTTCAATACCAAACGCATTGCCAAACCCCTGATGGTATTTCGTGCAGCTGACGGACCCACCACATCTCGACCTTGACTCCAGAAAAGGGGAAGGCTAAAGTGTCCAAGGGTAGGTGATTACTGACCGAGGCGATGCGATTCCGCGATCAGCTCTGTCACTTTCTCACTTGGGAGACACTGCGATTGGGCCGAAGCTTATGGGCTCCGCCAAAGGGGAAAGACTCACCTCACCATAGCTCGATGGGTGGCCCCTGCTTGGCGCCGGGGTTTTGGTGAGATCTTCGAGATCGTGTACGAACGACGCCACTTATTGAGAATCCCTGGATTTTCTCAGTCGAGGAGAGCTGAATGGCTAGCGTTCCAGGGGGGCAAAATGCGGCTGGCTTTGACTCTGGGCTTGCGCGCCTCATCCTGATCAAAGCTGTGGAGGATCGACCCTTTGAGGGCTCGATTACCTGAGTTCGAGTTCGGATCCGTTCGGTGCGCCACGCGCGATCACAAACTAAGCTATCGGCTGTTAACGAAGTGGGTGTCGCGCGCGCGCCTGGGTCGTCCATTGTCGCCTCTCTTCTCCCTTTTCGGATTCAGGGGGGTTGTCGTGCAGGCGAGGTGGCAAGGGCGGACATGTGTTCGATGGAAAGCTACGTACCTATGTAGGTAGGTACTCCATGACCTGCCACAGGGTAAGTCACAGTCGATTCGTCATCCAGTTCGGCTATGATCTCGTTGTGCAGAATAGTGCACATGGTCAATATGTGAGAGTGGAGATATTGGATCAGTCGTCTTTTGGGCACAGCAGTACAGTACAATGAGGGTTTCCTCGTGGACGAATAATTCCAATCATGACCGAACACCTTGCAGCCAGTGTCCCGGCTCGGGTTTAGATTGGCGCATCGTCTCCCCGAAAAGGTAGGACCCGGTTCAAGGGCAGCCCCTTTTCAACCAACCCTGATCCCGGGAATGTGGTGAGGGAAAAACTAAAACCAAAATAAAAATGGAGTCACTCAGTAGCTTAACTAGGTATTGGAAGAAAGGGCTAAAAAAGGAGGAGTGGGTGGGTAGGATCATTATTAGAATCGACGCCGTCTTGAACTGGCGGGCCAATAAGATGGATGAAGTGGCAAGCGAGATCTCTGTATAATGTAAAAAATATGCAGTGTCAACCGCAAGGACGCAGCCTTACCAGACAGGTTTCCAGGTACCTGGACAGCAATACCTGGGTGCTGATTAGCCGAATGATTGGGCTGGGCTGGCACCTAAGAGTATGAAGGTTCCCCCCGGAGGACGGGCCTATTTTTGACATACGCCGGCCTATGGCAACCATAGAACGAGAATTACGCACGATTTCACAGTAATTCCCGTCTAGATCGATCCAAGTACCCACAGGTGACCCGTGGGCAGACAGATCTGAGGGATGGGCCTAGTACCAATGATTGGCCTGACCGGATAGACCCGTTCTGATGGATCCGATTCAAAACCAAAAATACTCCGTATACTTGGAATCCACTCTCCGCACGATTTCTTTCCCCTTCCTCTTTTTCTATGAACGTTCCAGAATAAAGTTTCGATTTTCTTTTGACATCGTTCTTATCTTCCTCCTTTCCTTCTTTCAAAAGTTGGGACCTCCGCCTCTTCTCCTGACCATGTATGTCTGCTGTTCTTTTTCTTAATCTGGCTTCCTTGACCTAGGGTTTTACCTTACCCTGCCCTATACCTCCCATACCTCCTATACCCTGTGAAAAAGGTTGTTATGAGTGGTTTGTCTCCCTAGATGGCCCTCTCCTGATATCCCATGTCCACCAACGAGCCCCAATCTGGCCGAGGACTCGGGGCCATCAGAGACCTGTTCCGCTCTGCACCCGCGCCTTCCCCTGCCCCCCTTCCTCTCGGCGCAGCGTGTCAGGCCTAGTGCGTCGAGGAAAGGGTCTATTCTCGAAGTATCCATCCCCTTATGTCCTATGATTTTGTGCACTCGTTGCTTTGGGCTGCCAGACGACTGTTGGGGGAAGCGGATCCAACCCCGCCTAACAACACCCCAGCAGAACGAGGCGCAGCCTGAGAACCCGGTGGCAATGAAAGAGAATGTCAGACTAAGACCATCATCCAACGAACAGACAACCAGTAGAGCCCTCTAGACGACCGCCTTCGTCACCAACCCGCATGAACTCACAACAATTCGATCCGGCCGCCATGATCGGGTTGGCCGGTGCCTCTCCCGGAAGAACAGAGGACAACTTTGACATCTTCGAATGGTATCCGCTCTATCAGAGCTGCCAGCGCTACTTCCTGGACCATGCACAACACAGCGTCCCAGTACAGGCGCTTTCCGCATTTTTGAACATCCGACTACCCTTTCAGCGACAACCCAACCCGACCCTCAACTCGAACCCAGTATCCACTCCATCATCATCATCCTCCGGCCCAACACCACCCGGAGCGCCCTTCGTCTCATTGATCCCTTATATCCGCCGACTAGTCGCAACAGGGATGGATTTCCCGGGAGTTCTGCACGGCTTTTTCGGAGACGATTGGGGGTCCGGAGTGGGACCTCTGCATGAGCAGGAACGTCGCAACTACCTTTTTGCCGCCAAGGGTGGAGGCTGGGCCGATGCGAAGAAAGAATACGACATGTCTCCGCTGGAAACGATTCCATTCCTACGCCCGCTTCAAGGACCCTTAGATACTGAGATTGAAGCCGCCGAGCGAAGCTGGAGTGAATGGCTCGCGATGGAAGACTGGATGGTCGGACCACGGGCACCAGATAACCTCCACGACTCGTCCTCGCAGAGTTCGCGCCCTCGAAGCGCACGCGGGTGAAAAGAAACCTTCATCTTCTCTTCTACGACCTGTCTTGAGCATTCTCCTTTACTTCTTACTTTGGACATCCACAGCGAGTGGCATCTATTGGGTCTTCCAACTCCATTGTTCTTGTCTAGCGATTGTGTTTCTCTACTTCCAGCGGTCCCTGGCATCTGTCTGATACAGCATTACACGAGGGGTTTCATTATGGCACCGAGCCGGAAACCGGCGAGCGCTACCCGCAACTCCCCAGCGTGCATACGCATTAAAGAGGGAACTAATTGTGCCGCTCCCAAATTAGATTCGATGGAAATTTACTTCCTATACTCTCAATCCTTTGGCCAAAAAAAAGAAAGAAAGAACTCTACATGCGCATGCATCCATCCCCCATATGCTCGACGAAACAAGAAATCTCAAGGGGCTCGGAGCAAGCGGCTCCAAGCGCTACTGAAGCTTCGCTACCAATTGGGTCGTAGGGGGGTCACGAGAGCCAAACCGAAAATTACGGCTGTAAACTCGTACCCGATATTCATCGGAATCGGTTGGACGGATAGCAAGGGGGAATCTTACCATGGATTCTTGTGAAAGCAAACGAAATCATAAGGCGTCTACAATATCCGCGGACGTCATTTCGGCCGGGAAGGCGACTAGATCGGCTCCTCTGTGGAGGCAGAGAGGACCTCTTGAAAATCACTGCCACTGTCAGCAAGAGAACCGTGACAGGGCAATTTTTATTACTAGCTCAGAAAGGAGCGTTGAGCCACCCAGGGGAATGTGGCATCGGTGAACCACAGGCTTTTTTTTTTTTTCCCTCGTTCCCAACCCCACTAGTTTGCGGGTTTCCGCTGTGGGCATCCCAGATCCAATCCTAGGCTCGGCCGCAGATGTCTGTCCCTTGGATGAGGTGGAGTTTACGTGTTAGGTTGCCTTCGTTACAGGCCTATCGCTGAATTTCAGTAGCCGTGCTTCGCCGAATCTACGATTCGTGCCAGCATCGTGCACTCTCTGGTTCGTGAAACCGGGATGTCCCTGAATTGTGCGACCCGACCCCTGGCGGGGATACGGATACAGATACCATCTACGGAATACCGAGAGCGCCTAGGTACCTACTTAGTTAGGTAGGACTCTTACTAGAATGACGAACCAAAGCAATGCAGGAACCAAGGCTCCAAAATCATGACGAGTTCTAGTACAGCCACTAGCCCAAGATAATCTACTGTAGACATGGAAACGGAGCGCAACACCGCCAATCGGGGAAGATCAAGAATCAAGGCGAAGGTAAAAAAGGGATTGAAATCATCGAGTCCGTGCCGCGCATCCTCCTGTGGCGTGGCTGAAACGGGGGCCTGGCGGGCTCATAGGTCGTCTTAGCATGGCGCTAACCCCTGCACAGCACATCTGAGTAATGAGGAGCCCGATGCCAATTGGACATTTTGACTCAAGAATTCTCCGAAGATCTCGTTACGAGATGCGTACAAGTCCCTCGTTACATACGAGGCTCAAGATTCTTGCTCCGCAAGATGGGGCCCCTCGGGAATCTTTTTCCCTACCCATTCCCGTATACGTTTGTTAAACCCTTCCCTTTCCTTAATGGTCGGAGATGAGCCGGTCCATCTTCCTAGGGCTTACCCCTGATGCGGTCCTCTTCCTCTTTAGTCTTCTGAAACATGTGCGCAAGCCGAGTACCAGATTTCGACCTTGCTCGAAACTTGCGACCGTCTATCAGTGGACTCCTTGCGTTTGTGATGTGCAGCTCTAGTTCGCCACTCAATTCCAACCGCACGGTCGTGCAGGGGTGTCCCCCTCGATCGGAAGAAATATACATCTTGAGCCTTGTTACTTATTTTACCGTGCGTGATCTCGATTACAGCCCCTCCACAGATCTACGGCTATTTCTCCATACGCCGTTTGCTGCCAAGACCAGAAACAATACAGACCGTTTGCCCCCTCAGTGGATCGTGAAATCGTGGACCGGACTCTTCACGACCCACGGCTGGAATCTTGAGTCGAGTCTCCATCTACTCCATTCAACAACCGTTCGTAACGGTCCTGGACCTACTTCGGAAGTCGAGCGTAGCCCTAAGTGGATTCTCTGCTTGGCTTTTGCGGCCGGCATGGTTCCACGGGGACTGTGCCTTGTGACGTGCGGTGGTGGGTGCATTTGGGGTTCAATTTGCGGCGCCAGAAAGATTGGGTGGGTTAGTGGGGTCCGTTCGGAACGTGCGTTGAACACTTCCTATCTAGGTAGTAACTGGTTGGCATATCTTGAGTTGTTTTATTCCTTTTCTTACCGAGGTTAAAAAAAGGCTGAAGAATTTGTAAAGCTATACCCCCGGAAATGCTAGTTACACATCAGACATTTTGAGGGGGTGGAAAGACACGAGTATCCCCCTGCGCAGGATTTTGTGGCAAGAAAGTCAGCGCTGCTGATGCTTGCTCAACCGATCTCGAATTCACGAGGGAGCCGAAAACCAGGGCGCCAGTGGCGCAATTGTCCATGCTCTGGTCATTGGCTCGATCGGAGGATCGACAGGTCTGGATCTCCTGTAAGAACTCGGGGCATTGCCAGCAGGAATCGTGGTGATTTACATGATCACATTTTTTGAATGGAGATCCGCTCAACTGCCAGAAATGCTTCTGAGATAGTCGACGGAAGCATATTTGATCACTGCCACCATGCCTCATAGACAGGGTTTCTATGCTCTGCATTGATGCAGCCAAGAAATCATTACCCTTTGGTAATCTGTTGCACGCCAAAGAAAGATCGAGAGCTCGATCGCCAACAATCGCCTCCCCAATACCGGAACAAAACAGACAATTGACCTCACCCAGTAGAGATAGCCAAGCTAGTCCTTCCCTTTGCAAGGGTTCCTTCTTGAGTTCAGATCGAGTCGAGTCCATCACGATGTCCATGAATTCGTACCCATAAATGGTGGATCGTTTGGGCTTTTGCGGGGACAATCTGGACATGTTTGTTGAAAATTTCATGATCAGCTGGGCAATTGTAAGAGTGTGATTTCCTGATCCCTCAATGACCATGTCGCCTTTGTCCCGCAGAACCTTCAATGAAACCGGGGTACCATCGGATAGCAAACCGGCCATTGGCGCATTTGACACCAAAGACTCCTCTTCCACAGAATGTACATAGACCAACAGCATATGATGCAGGACAGAGAGCAATGGGACCAGCCAAGCTCGCTTCGCGCTAACATCATACACAATGATCTGCTCTAGGGCGCTGTTTCGCAGACACTTCAAGTACATCGCGGACGGATCGAATCGAAGTCTGTTAGACGTTCGTTCGAATGAACCTCCGGCTTGAAGACCAATCTGTACCGGCGAAGCTGTTTGAAACACCCCCTGTAGATTTGCCCCTTTCCATTTCCAAGTGACAGGTTTGTTGCGGGCGGCAGACCAGGTCACTTCAGGAGCCAAGCGATCCGTTCCTAGAAGGATGTGCGCCTTAGAGCACCAGCCTAGCAGGGCTTTCTTTGACTGCAAGTAGTCGAGAGACTCAGTCCGTAACCAGTTACTTCTGGTTGCTTCGAGATTGGCGACTTTGAGTTGAAAGTCATCTTTGGCTATCTCCAGATGCCACAGTATCATTCCGTCTTCGGTCTCGCGGATCGGTACGAGCGCGGTTGAGTAACCCATCAAAATAGTTCCAGTGTCGACTAACAATGGGTATTCTACTGCCGAAAGTCCCAGCAGGATATTGAAATCCAACACCAAACCACGACAGGGGACTGTCTGATCAATGTCTCGCTGTAGACCAATCACTGCCGAGTCAAAAAGATCATGCCAGCAATTGTTGCTTTCTGAAGAGCCTGGAACAGGAAGCAATTCGTTAAGTAACATCATGTTACCATCCCATCTTGATGTTGAAAGACATACTAGCCCTGGGGATGGAGTTCTAGCCACGCGACATATGAGCTGCATAACTTCCAATAGTTCCGGAGTGCGATTAGTTGTCTCGAAAGACACCAATAGCGACTTTGAATGAATCGTTTCTTCTTCGGGCTTCTTTGAATAGACTTCGAGCCTTATGTATCCATCGACTGTGAGAACACACTCAGTACTGTCCGGAGATGCACACCGACAAACTCACTATACTGCCCATACTGCCTATACTTCCTATGATGTGATGCTGCACGAACGAGACCTTGCAGTACCCTCAGCCCCATGACTCCGTAGGATTCCCCAATCAAACGGTAGAGAGCGCCGAATTCCACAGTGTCCTCCTTCCTGACCAATGCGCCGTAGTCGAACAACCATGTATTATTGTCTTGGGTCTCACTCATCACGACCGGAGGATCCCAGATAAATGTTCTTCCTAAACGTTCTGTGCTAAACTTGTCAAAATAAACCCCAACTGCTTCAAGATCCTCGACACATGGTAGGAATCTTTTCAGGGATCGTCTGAACAATACTTCTGAAAGCGGACCGATACAAGTCCCCGCTTCCAAAAGTAGTTTTATGATGTCAAAGTTATTTAAGTGAAGTGCGCTCGAGATAGCGTCTCCAAAGTTTCCACTACTGAGCGGAAGCGAAACGTTTGCTCTTTCGAGAATCAAGAGACTGATTGTTTCCAGTTTTCTCGTACCAATAGCAGCAGCAAGAGCGCTTCTAAAGTCTCCGCTTTTGAGCTGAAGATCAATTTTTGCGCCCATGCTGAGGAGAAACTTTGGTACCTCGAGTTGTCCTCTGCTTGCAACACTGATAGCAGTAGCAAGGGCACTGCCATATTTTCCAGACGTCAATTGAAGGTTAACATCAGCTCCTTTCTCGAGCAGAAGCTTCACAGCCTTTAAAGATCCATTCGAACATGCCGCGGCGAGAGCACTGCCATACATTCCACACGTCAATTGCTGGTTGACATCTGCTCCTTTCTCGAGCAGAAGCCTCACAGTCTCTAGTAACCACTTCGTACATGCCGCGGCGAGAGCACTGCCATATTTTCCAGATATCAATTGCAGGTTAACATCTGCTCTTTTCTCAAGTAGAAGCTTTACAGTCTTCGATGACCCACTTATACATGCTACAGCAAGGGCACTGCCATATCTTCCTGACGTCAACTGCATGTTGATGTCTGCTCCTCTCTCGAGTAAAAGCTTCACGATAGATAACGACCCTGTTGCACATGCCACAGCGAGAGCACTGCCAAAATCTCCAGACGTCAATTGCATGTTGATATCTGCACCTTCCTTGAGTAGAAAATCCACGATTTCTGGTGACTGATCCCAACATGCCTCAGCGAGGGCACTGCCATAAATTCCACACGTCAATTGCTGGTTGACATCTGCTCCTCTTTCGTATAGAAGCGTCACAGTTTCTAATGACAATTTTGAACATGCTGCGGCAAGAGCACTGCCATACATTCCACACGTCAATTGCTGGTTGACATCTGCTCCTTTTTTGCATAGAAGCGTCACAGCTTCTAATGACCCTTTTGAACATGCTGCGGCGAGAGCACTGCCATATTCTCCACTGATCAATTGCATGTTGATATCTGCACCTTCCTTGAGTAGAAAATCCACGATTTCTGGTGACTGATCCCAACATGCCTCAGCGAGGGCACTGCCATAAATTCCACACGTCAATTGCTGGTTGACATCTGCTCCTCTTTCGTATAGAAGCGTCACAGTTTCTAATGACCCTTTTGAACATGCTGCGGCGAGAGCACTGCCATACATTCCACACGTCAATTGCTGGTTGACATCTGCTCCTTTTTCGCATAGAAGCGTCACAGCTTCTAATGACCCTTTTGAACATGCTGCGGCGAGAGCACTGCCATATTCTCCACTGATCAATTGCATGTTGATATCTGCACCCTTCTTGAGTAAGAGGGCTATCATCGTTATCTGTGTTGCCAAGCAGGCCGTGGCAAGAGCACTGCCGTAGTTGCCAGCTTCCAGCGGTAGGTTCACGTCTGATCCAGCATCAATCAGAAGCTCTGCAATCTCTATATCTCCCTGGTAACACGATTTGGCCAAAACACTACCGAACGGGGCAGTGTTTTTTTCAATTGGATCCACGCCTGCATCAAGCAAAAGCTTCACCATTTTGACATCCCCATTTCCGACAGCAAAATAGAGTGGGGTTCGACGATTCACAGTAAAATAGAGTGCGTTTCGATCGCGCATCAAGAAATGCTTCACATCAAACTCATCATCCATAAGTGCCTTTGCTAGTGCTATGTCTCCCTCGCTAATCGCCTGAGAGAACCGAATCTCTTCCTCGGTAGCACTGTGCCCAGGATCGATATCGGAAGAAGTAAACGCTTCTTCCGTGGGTGACGGAGAGTCATACCATAACGCATCCTCGGTTGAAAAGTGTCGTTTATTGAATAATGGAGAATCGATATCGGAGGTGCTAGACACTTCATCCTCAATCTGAGGTACTCGCTTTTTGCCTGATCTGACAGATTCCGAGCCCATGATGAAACAAACAATAAGTTCAATCGTCGAGAAAAAGTAAAAAGACCGCTCAAAATAAAGCGTTAAATGCAGGCGTCACGTCTAAGCCGTTCCTTATAACTCACGGGCGGGTCCGCTTCACTCAGCCTGCATACCTCAGCCTCACCCAGGCAGGGGCACTGCGCCGAGTTGGCACTCGATGAGAGGGACCATGCAGCGCCCGACATTTCCCAGAATCTTATTGGATATGGGCCCTGCGCCTCGACGCAGAATGCGGCGCTAGACAAAAAACGTTTGCGAAGAGCCGCGAGGCTGTGAAATCTGGGCCGTAATCGGGCACTGATTCCTGTTTGTAGCCCAGATACATAGCCTACTTCCTACATACATAGCGTGAATTCATCACACTTCCATATCTTACACGTGGATATCTACGTATTAAGTCATCCCCCCTTCTGACAATTTCAAATCATGAATCATTGAATTAGAATACACTATGTGCAATCAAATCAACCTTCCAAGTAAACCAAAAATTAGCCGCCAAACACCAACGCTAAAATGCAAAGATAGTCCACCCAAGATATGCAGCAAGAGTATCAATTACAATTCAATCCAAAAGCCAACAGGCGTCCAAAAAGTGGGGTTTCTTGGGGTCAACAAGAATATTAGATATAAATATGTTCATATGCGCATGACCGGAGTTAAAGGAGAGTCATGGGATCATGGTATCATCATTTCGGCGACTCGGCCGGCGAGTCTCTCTGCTTCAAAGACTCCGAATAAGACCCTGCATCCGAATTCGATCTCGAGGCCCAGTTCCCGATGCTTCGATACTGCGGACTAGGGATTTGATGTGTCTCGCCGGGCATGGGCAGATCGGGCATGAGATCGGGATCGGAGACGAGACTTCGGCGGCGGGAGAGGACGCCGCCCGTTGATGGGTTTTCTTTTTCGCGGTGGACGGTGCGGACATGGCCGTTGCGGTGGCGGCGGCGTCGGGGACGACGGAGGTACTCATTTGGTACGGGATCGACTTGTTTTTTGACGGCGGGGACGAGGTTTAGGTATAGAGGGAAGATGGCACCGGCGGAGAAGGCGGCGACCAGGACGCAGTATGACCATTGGGTACCGTGCGAGAGATAGGCGGCGTATTCGGCGAAGGGTAAGTATGTGCCGCCGCTGATGGCGACCGTGAGGAGGGCTGCGGCGGTTTTGGTGTGTTGGGCAGTTCCGCGCAGGGATATAGCGAATATTATGCTGAAGACGCCGCTTTCGAAGAGGTAGACCATCATTGCCATGACGATTGCAGCTGTGCCGGTGGTTTTCATGCAGAGGACGGAGAAGACGATCATGCCAATGTAGGAGATCATTAGGATCCAGCGAGGTTTTAGGAACCACTGCGCGAAGGCGGCGATGAAACGGCCAACGGCGAATACGGAGTGGCCGATTGTTAGAATGTCAAATGGGTAGAGCGAAGTGTGTGCATCTGTACTCTCGATAAAGCGTTCGAGGCTGATCGAAAGTACCTCTTGTCCGCCCACGTAAAAGAACTGTGACCAGATACCCAGACCAAGGGTCAGCCAGACCACAGGGATTCCGAGTACCTTGGTCATGTTATCTTCTCTGCGACGATTGGCTAATTCCTCCAGGTCTTCATCGGATGCTTCGGGAAGTGGCAGGTACCAGAAAACGACTGCTAAGAGCACGTCGAAGAGGGCGATGCCAAGATATGTCCATTGCACGTCTACCAACGAGGCGACATCAGTGACATTCTTGAAAAGAACTTTCTTTGCAAGTAGAGGTGACACGACACTCCCAATAGCTTGTATACCTTGGGAGATATTGAGTCGAATCTCGGAGTTCTCAAGGGGTCCGCAGAGAGCGATGAAAGGATTACCCGCGGTCTCGAGAACAGCAAGGCCGAAACCCACGATAAAGTTCGAAACTGTGAATGCGGCAGTGGATGTGAGGATAGCGGACGGCCAGAATACTAGGGCTCCACAGGCGTAGATGCATAGTCCAGTGATGAAAGTGGACTTGAACCCCCATGTCTTCAACACTGGCCGACCGACAAGCAGAGGACCAACCATGTAGCCACCATAATAGGCTCCGTGGAGACCCAATGAATGCCACGAGTCAAGTTTGACAATCGTCTGGAATTGTTCGTTGAGGGTGTCAAGAAAGCCATATGCGAAGCCCCAGAGGAAAAATAGAAGAGAAGTCCATGCGATGGGCGCAATGGACTCTCTGTTGTTCAGCTTGAGCATACTTTCCGGGTTCTTCATGTTGACGAAATCGAAAAACCTGACGTCGGCAGGATAGCCAGATGTAGTACTGGTATAGGCTTCGGCGTCGGAGGGGCCCGACTGTGGATGACTCAAGAAATCCATCATACTGATAGGTACATCCGATTCTTGCCGCTGGGGTGTGGTCTCATTTCTAGTTTGAGAAGGTTTGCTTCCGTTGCTGTCTGCTGGTGATGAAGACGCAGATGGACCACCCAGAATTGCAGCCGCTGGAGGCAAAGCTACCGGGCTATCTCCTGTTGCATAGTTGTTTAGTGGGCTGGTCTTAGTACCATCGGTGTCTCTGATCAATTTAGGCAGAATGCGAGCAACGAGAGGTTTGAGACTTGGGACGCAGCCACAGATGATCGAGATGTTTACTTCGACCACTGACCACATAAATGACAGCGATGCGTACCAGCTGAAATCCGCAGCCCCAGCGTTTTGAAGGTGAATGGTCTTCAGAGCTAATGAACGAGAGGTCGCAGCTTGTTGAAGGTATGCGATTCGAATCACATCGACGACAGCCACGAAAAAGCCGAAGCTGAACGTAATGACGAGAATCCATTTTTGCTTATATGGGAGACGCATCTGCGTCAGGATTGGTATAGGGAGGAATAGGATTGCCAAGTCGGTGATGATGTTGACGGGGGACGAAGAGAGGTAGAGCGTGACGATGTCGGTACATTTCGCGGAGGCGGGGACCGTTGAATAGAAGGCTGCTGAAACAGGATGACATTGAAAGACGTTGATCATTGTCAAGGCAAAGCCTGCCGCATTGACAACGAACAAGGTGACAAAATTGGCCCATCGAAAGACCTTCTGGTTGCGCGTCAAGGTCAAGTAGAAGACGAGGATGGAGGTTTTGACGGCCATCAATGCCGGGTTCTAAGCTTATCAGTATGCGACAAAAGGGACCCTGGGAAAAGACTAACGTAGAGCACGGTGAAGGCATAGTTGGCCTTGTTAAGGGCGTCCTCGTTTTCGGGCGGGATGTCTTTCGCATGAAGACCGAGGCCGTTCTTGGTCGCGTAGAATAGCGAGAAGGAAAAACCGAAGTCGATCACCTGAGGTTATATTAGCTTCTAATCCAAATCGCAATGGACCTGCCCGTCGCGTTTGCAGCCAGTCTATTGGGGGCGCGTCGCGCCGTCCAACTCCGGCAACATGCAGGAACCGGGCCAGGAAAATCCCACATACCCATGCGACCAGCATCAACCAGTCGTGTAACCCAATCTTGCGGACGACGAATATGCGCGAGACGAACCGCAAGGCAACGAAGACGCTGGCGATGACGAAGAAGGAGATCGAGACACCGAGAGTGGTCGGTTGACGAGACTGCATCGTGGCCGGGCGCACCGCCGCGGCGAGCAGCTAGAGTTGTAGGTCTTGAGTGTAGCGTCAAGGAGACAATGGGGCCGGTATATTACTGCATCACGGAGGGAGGAGTCGCGCGTGGGTCGCAAAGCTCCATGGTCTTGTGTGCTTTGTGGGGAGAAAAGAACCGTTGAGCTGCCGAGTCCGGGGTAAGGGTCAAGCTTTCGGGGTGAACGGAGGTTAAGTGACCTTAACTGAGGCGGCACGGAGAGACAGGAAGTCAGAAATCGAATGAGGATCGAGTCGGAAGAATGATGAGGGGAGTTCGTATTGGAGACGATCAAGCGTGTCATTGGCCCCCGCGATCGGAAAAGACCGTTTTCGCTCAACTTTGCGTCTCCATTCACCGCTATTGTTCTCCTTGATCTTGTTTTGATTTTATCGCGGGGTCAATGCTTTGGTCCTGGTCTTCTGGTACTCTGCTCTATTCATCACGATCCTACCCTATCTTACCCCTCTACGCCTGAGCAGAGAATTCTCATGATCCCCACACAGCCGACTGGGCGCCAATGACGAACGTGCACCATATGAAGGCTGGCGCCACCTCCTCATCGGTCCACTCTATTGACTCTTCCCCTGAGACAAATAGTCTGGGGTCGACTACTGCCCTCTGAGATGCTTTGGGCAGGTCGGTCAAAATCCGAAGGTTGCTCCTACATGTTCCGTCTACCCGGAGCTATGTGAACCTAGGAAAGTTTTACGTGGCTCCGAGGGAAGCGGTGACTCTTCCGTTCTGGATTGAGATGACCGTCTCCTATCGCCCCGAACGGCTAACGGACTGGGTTTGGAGGTTTTCGTAATTTCCTTTTGCTCTGTTCTGCAAATCTGTAGGCGATCTATCGGTTCTCTGGTTATATAGATACCTACCTAGCTAGGACCACCATCCTAACAGCTCGAAGTTCTACCACATGAAACTAGTCTCGGCGGGAATCACAGTTCAATCCTGCCAGTACTTGAAACCCCCTTCAAATGTTTCAAACACAGTCTACTCTATAGCCCGAAGCTCCTAGATCTACGATGTGAAATCCCCACATAGGATCTGATCATGCAGGACATGAGCTTGGCATGTCAGCTTGGGCACCTCACACCCAATGATCTTATCATGAGGCTCCTTATGAAACTGCCCTGTGAACGGCCCCTTATCAATCAGTTCATCTGCCCCTTTTCCATGTGAACTTATATTTTTTACCCTCACGGCCGATAACTAGACTCCGAGAACAACTGCGGATGGACTTCACCGTGCAGCGTTACAGATGCCAACCCGCTAGCTGCTTGGCAAAGCCCTCATTCGAGTATGCACTTGCGATCCCCCTCTTGCTCGCCGATCGGCCTGCATTAAATTCCGTTCTTAACCCGAATTCTGCAGCCTTTCCGTGCTACGGAGACATAGCTCTTGAGACATTTTTAGCTGATCGACCTGCCCGGTCTCCCGTCGGTCTTCGAATGCTAAACACGGCCAATGCCCGTGTGTGATAGGCCTGATGACCGTCTCGCTTATTCCTGAAGAACTAGCTGCAGGAGCGTCTCCGCCCCCAAGCAACTAGATGATCACCTGTGAATTTGGGTATTGATATCCTCGGCTGAGTCGAGGCATATAAGACATGCAATGCTCCAACTTCACTCACTACAGGCAGAGCTGGTCTGGTCTTGCATATTTCAGCCCCCTGTGACTCTGCTGTGAATTTCTATACAAGGGCTTCTACCATTGCCAGCCAGTCACGATGAAGCAGGCTATTCTTTTCGCGGCACTTGCCCCTTTAGCATCTCTGACTGGTGTACAAGCCAAGCCGGTTGATAGCTGGATCACTACCATTTGGGATGATTTCAAGGAGGCTGTGGACTGTGGCAGCTGCCAGGTAAGCTTGTAGTGGTTAACAAACCGCCTTCGGCTAATGCTTTCATCGCAAATAGGCTCTCCTGGGTGGCCTCAAGCTAGTTGCTGGTCTCGGGGAATCCTTCTTTGAGGATGTTTTGACCGGAGTTTGCGATATCAGTGGTGTAAGCCTTCTCCTCGAATTGCAAACTCCAAAGCTGATCTTGTAAACAGGCTGAAGACTCCGATGTCTGCTCCGGTATCATCGCAAATGAAGGACCTGCAGTATACTACTCTCTCAAGAACCTAAAACTGGGCTCTCACACGGCCAAAACATTCTGTGCCAGTCTGGTCGGACTCTGCGACTTCCCAGCTGTTCGACCATACAGTCTTTCTTTCCCTTCACCAAAGCCACCGAAAAGTCGACCGCCACCAAGCGGAAAGCCCCCGATCAAAGTTGTCCACTTCAGTGACACTCACGTCGACTTATCTTACGAAACCGGCTCCAATTTTGACTGTACCAAACCCATCTGCTGCCGGGTCTACACCGAAGAGGACGCTCCGGGAAACACCTCCTCACCATGCGGCTCCTGGGGTAACTCCAAATGCGACCCACCGCAACGCCTCCAACAAAGCATGATGGATGCTATCACATCCCTGAACCCCTCCTTCTCAATCTATACAGGCGACGTAGTCGCCCACGACGTATGGCTAGTCGACAAAACCGAAGTCCTCTCCGACTTCAATGCGACATTCAGCACTATGGAATCGACCCTCGGCCTCGTCTATGCTGCCCTAGGAAACCACGATGCCGCACCCCTAAACCTCTTCCCCTCAACCAACACCCCAAGCACCTACAACCCTCAATGGGCCTACGACGCCCTCACAACCTACTGGCTGTCTCTAACCAACAACAACCAAGCTATTTCCACCGCCAAAAAATACGGCTCCTACTCAGCCCTCCACAAAACCACCAACCTCCGCATAATCTCCTACAACAGCATCTTCTACTACAAATATAACTTCTTCTCCTACGAAGAACCAATGCCTTTCGACCCTGACAACCAGCTCGCTTGGCTAATCTCTGAACTCTCTGCCGCCGAAGCCGCCTCCGAGCGCGTCTGGCTGATCTCACACATCCCCAGTGGAAATGTAGACCATTTCCGCGACCATTCGCACTACTTCGACCAGATCGTACAGCGGTACGAGGCTACCATCGCGGGATTATTCTTCGGACATACGCATACGGATGAATTCCAGATATCGTATTCTGATTATGATCATCGGAGCTGGGACAATGCTGTTGCGATGGGATATGTTGCACCTTCGATGACGCCTACCTCGGGACCGCCTTCGTTTAGGGTTTATGAGATTGATCCTGTTACCTTTGGTGTGTTGGATTATACGCAGTATATTGCGAATATTACTGATCTTGAGGGCGAGCCGGAGTGGGTTCCCTATTATTCCGCAAAGAAGGATTATGGAGGGAAGCTTGATGTGTCGGTGTCTGTGGAAGAGGAGCTGACTCCTGCGTTCTGGCATAATGTTACTGTGGCGATGGAGAAAGATGGAGGGCTATTTGAGAATTTTTGGGCGAGGAGGACGCGTGGGTTTGAGGTTCCGGCTTGTGAAGGGGATTGTGTGAGCAATGAGATTTGTGCACTGAGGGGTGCGGATGCGCAGTTCAGTTGTGTGGAGAGGAAGCCTGGGTTTAGCTTTGAGAAGAGGGGAGAGCGGAGGGATTTGCTGGGTAAGAGGTTTCAGCCTGAGTGTAATCATGCCGGGATGGCGCCGTTGTTGGCGAAGATTGCGCACCGGGCTAGTTTGGCCAGGGAGGTGGAGGGTTGAAGTGTGTCTATTGGGTGGATGATGGAATAATCGTAATTGAAGTAGTTATAATTCTATCACTATACACTTATCTGTACATCCATCATATTTAAGTCTTCAAGCTGGATAAGTAGGTAACAGCGCCTGTCTGTCTATCATCGCAACAAGATCATCATCCATCATGAATTCTCCGAGCTCCATGCCGAATGGTGAGAGATCGAAATCACCAGCTGGCAATGAGCCAGGCTCCAGCATAGGAGCAAAAATAGGTCTTGGGTCGTCGGTTTCTTGTAATATCAGTTGACTATTCCCAGATAAGATGAGAAATAAGCTTACCTGGATCGACTAGAATCTTATTAAATTGTTCCAGATAATATCGACATCTGTCAATCAGACGATTCCCATCATCAAGTTTCGAGAGCGATGTCACTGCGCGACTGGGATACTGGCCGGCTTTCTTGGCCTGGGCAGTCATTGGAGAGGTGCTGAGGCTTGTGTCGCGGTAGATACAGACGGCGCCAATGATGACCAAAGCTGCGTTGAATGCTGGATCATGTTATTGTTAGATCCCCATCTTAAAACAGAAGGGAAAAGACCCACTGTAGTACAAGGAGAACCACCAAGCCCCAAGCAAGCCCTGCTTCCATCCGGGCTCAGAGACAACTCTGTGAACAATATCGATAATCTCCATTGCCGAGTCGGTGCAGATCTGCATGCTATTCATTCCAATCTGCTGGAGAAGTTTCAGATCCTGGGAATTCCGATCAGGAGACCTGCTAGCGGAGATGAATTTCACTAGAACTGGTCGGTGAAGTAAGACGCGGAGGTTAAGATAGCGCAGGGTCAATACAACACGAAACTTCCAGGAGAAGTATTCGGATTCGGATGGTAGCTGCTGCTGAGGCATGTCGTCGAGGCTTGCTGTGGAGACCAGCTGAAGGGGTTGAGGTAGTGATCGTTCCCAAGAGAACAGGTGCTGTTCCATGCTAAATATGTGAGACATGGTCTCGCTAACTGGCAGTGGGGAATCACAGCCAATGTTTTGGCCATATAGTAGATCGAGGACGTTCCATAGTTGCTTGTATAGTGTTCTAGACGGAGTTGTCAGTACATGATCTGGGGTAGGGCAAGACTGACGTACACGGTCGCATTGAAAAACCCGACGCTTAGTGATGAGGTTTCATCATCTACGAATGCCGACGACCTTTCGAAGTCACGCTTTAAAGGTAGCTCAAGTTTTACGTAGTTGTCAGGAATGGCAGCCGGTCTCCCAAAGGTCATGCTCAGGGTTCTGCAAAATTAGTGGTGGGTTTCTGGTGTCGACCTGCTGGAGCCTCTTACCGGTCTAATACTACACATCCATACCAGGTGCGCTTTCGTGTCTCCTGTTCGAGGGGCGAGAATGATTTGGAGGCAGTCTTGGATTGTAGTCCAAGCTGGAGGGCAGCCTTTACCGCAAGCCCATGAACCGTCCATGCTTGAACGGACTTTTGTGTGCCTTGGAGGTATTGCCCCATTAGGAGTAGAAATTGAACTAGAAATTCAGCATTAAGTATTTTTTCAGCAAAGAGTTGAGCGAGCCTCTTACCAACTTCCAGAGTTGTGCCTCTGAGAATCTCACTCCCACATAAGCCGAGTCCCCGCTGATAGAAAACGTCTGATTCCGCAATTCGTGTATCTGCTTTGGCTCCACCAGGAACCGCTGTAATGGCAGACATAGCCAGGACCATATTCAACAGGCCAAGCCATGTTCTTCGGACTTTCTTTAAGTTTTCTCGTGCCATCTGATGGTACGTTTCCAAGAACACTGGTGGGTAGATGTAGGGAAACAATAAACCCGTGTTTGAAAAGTATCTCTGGATCAGATCCAAAGTCTCAGACTGAGGAGGTAAAGCAAACATGTTGACCTGCGGCTGCTTCTCCAGACCAGCTTTCCGCGATGGAGAGGGCAGCCGCGACGCACTCACAATACCACCTTCCGCAGCACCAGGCGATAAAAAATATCCTTGCTGTACAACAGCGCGCGACAGGTGTCTCAGGAAAGCAATATTAGACGAGGGACCTTGTAAACATCAGCAAGTTTCCCCAAAGGGCAGGGCGTTTGAGTATACCGAAGAACCCCGAATCCTCCTCATCAGCAAACGTAACAGCCCCCATCGCATCAACCTCATCCTCTGTCCCAACCAAATCAGGCACTGATACCCTCCCTTCTTCGTCCCTCCCACCAACCTCAGCTCCCTTCTCCCTCGCAGCCAACCCATCAACATCTCCTCGAACAGCCACGAACGACTCCTCAAGCTTCTTAACTCGCTCCTCAAGCCCATGCAAGTAATCTTTCTGCACAATTACATTATTCGCCGTCAACGGCGGTGTATAGATACACTCAAATCCCAGATCGATGCAAAGCGAACATCGAGGACGGGAGCCGTCGCAGCGGGACTTGCGCGTGCGACATGCATCGCAGGCTACGGCAACGCGGCGCCGCTTGGATGTTGGCTGTGCAATCTCGTTATCCGGTGAGTCTGATGGGGCCATTGCTTGTTCGGTGTCTGATAGAGTCCGGGGCTGGCGCGGATAGACAAGTTCGTTGGGGTCGGGGAACGGTCGGAATATGACGAGCCAGACGGGGATGTATCGGAAAGAGCGGATGTGTCGGATAGAGCGAATGTGCGGGGAAGTCACCCGCACGTTGGACAAATCCTAAGATGAGCATGTAGATGTTTACTGATTCTTTTGGCTGCAGAAGATCAATTCAGGAATTCGCAATTTATCTGATTCAGCATCCCTTCTCCTTGACGCTCTCTTGATCCTTGTTATCTTCACTCTCAGATTTCTCATGCAAAATTGCTTCAAGACTGTATCATCCACATTATGCAAGTACGACCACCGCCCTGTTCAGAGGTATGAGAGGAGATAGCATGCGAGCTAATTTAGACACTTCTCATGCTCGACGACCCAAGTCTATGACTGTCGAAATCAAGCTCTAGGCGTGGATACGGCTTGGCTTAGGGTTAACTCATAAGCCTTTGGAATTTGTCGCACTCTCTTGTAAAACTTGGGGAATAGCAGGGAATTACCCCTCTTGGCTTTTATTGATGTGAAAGGCAAAAGCGCTGGGTCGTTACTGGCAGCTTACACTTTTACGGGCCGTAGCCTCTCCTTTGGGCCTAAAATTACTATGAATCGCTCATAGATAAAGTTGGAATGACCGGGGATATCGGATTGAACAGACCTATTCAGGATAAGATCTAGAAATGATAGATATGTAAAACAATAGAAGAGAGCAAGCAAGATAAAAGAAGCCCTGTGTAATGTGTAATGAAGGATACTTTGGATATTGGCTCAAGGCCCTCAGGCACATCTTGCTTAACTCCAAGACGTTTCTCAGCCCATCGTCAACCGCAGAATCCTCGCCATGGGACTACGAGGCACCAAGAGAAATACGATATATCAGCAACGGTCCACTCCACATAAATACCGCTTTCCATTTTCAAGTCGCCCACTTAAAGCAGCAAGAAAAAGTACCACCACGTCAGCCACGGAAAAACCATGAAATGAACCAACCACAACCGCGCAACGAAGAAGCAAGAAAAGATTCATATGCTCTCAATTCAGACTACACGGCGTCAATACCCTGCCCGCATAGTCGGCTTAATGCGAACGTTGCGTGACAAACCGTGAAACCGAATAAGATCACGCCGCTAAACGCCCACCAACCCCACTCATTCCAAAGCCTGACTGGTAGTCTCAGGGCCATGCAGAAGAAAGCGCAACAGTCCCCGCATGATGCAATTAGTTGCATTAGAGCCAGAGACCCCCCCCTCCTCTTTTTTGGGGGGGGGGGGGGGCCGGTAGTCTCGCCATGGAATGTTGCATGCGTGTTTCTTTTATGCATCAGGACAGAGGACTACGATAAATGTTAGAAAAGTATTACGACTAAAGTTAAAAAGAACACGTATGAGCAATTTGAATGGAAGAGAATGTGTTGAATATCCATTCTGCAGGATCGCAGTGGTATCAGAATCATAAAATCGTGCTGGCTCGCTAAATAGAGACCAAGGCCAAGAACCAGTCTAGTCCGGTCTGTATGTGCAGTAAAGAATGCCAACTGTCTTACAAAGACATCTTTTCGAGAAATGTTCACCCGCCACCGTCAAGATGGAGTCGAGGTTATATAAAAGGGCCCAATCAAAGTGGGAACGAAGTATAAATAGGACCGAAATGAGTGGTCGCATGTCATCACGCCTTTACACAGTACTGGTATCCAAGCCAGAGATTTGAGCATGAGCTATCCAAACCGGGGTTGAGGCTTTGGAGCGTGGATACGGTGATGCCGAAAAGAGTGTCGACAAAATCGCAGAATTCACCTCCGGTGATGGTCGTATACTGTGTGCAGGATGTGGTGGCATATGGGTAGATTGGTGCAGCTGCTGACGAGGCAGTGGCTTGCGCTGGGGCTGCGCTGGGCGTCACGGACGAGGCGGCACTGGAGGTGGCAACCGGGGCAGGAATGACGGGCGTGGAAGGAACGGCAGCCTGGGTTGGGATGACCGGAGTAGTCGTAGCGACAACGGTGGGGGTTGTGGTAGCGACAATGGTGGGAGTGGCCTCGGAGGTGGTGGTGGGCTCCGGAGTAGCGGTGGAAATGCTGGTGCTGAAGCTGGTGGGAGTGCTGGTGCTAGAGCTAACGCTGGCGCTGGCGCTGGAGCTGGTATCAGAGGAAGATTGACCACCACTCCAGTTGCTGCCAGTCAAGCTGGCGATGGAGCTCTCCGAGCACATGCTAGTTCCAGAAGACCAGCCCAGGAGACGGTTGGCGATGTCAGAAACGTAGCAACCAGTAGCAATGCCGGCACCCAGGTTACCATTGGAGGCAACAGAACCAGAGTTGTAGCAACGAGCAGCTTTGTAGTAGTTGGTAACGTCACCGGTACCGCCATACTGTTCAACGCACTGCTTGAGACCAGCGCCCGCAGAAGTACCGGAGGCACCATCCAGGATCATCTGGTGGATCTCGGACTGGGGGCAGGGAGTGGTGGGAGTTCCATCATTGCAACTACCAGTTCCATCGTGGCTCTGCATGAGACCAGGGTTGTTCACACCATAGTTGGTAGTCTTGACACGAACGCAACCGTTGCTTTCCTGCATAACAATAGCCAGGATGAAGCGAGAGTCCAAACCGCTAGATTCGGCGACGGAGGCGATGGCACTCTTGATGTCATCGGTCTCCTCGTCGGAGTTGTTGTCCACATCAAATTGAGCACAGCTCTCCTTGATGGTCGCGCGGTTGCTCTCAAACATATCGTCGAAGCTAGAGATCCATTCCTCCAGGGCAGGCCAGCCGTCCGACACCAAACCGTCACCACCGAAAACCGCAGAGTACAAGTCGGTGCTGCGTCCATTGAGAGAATGAGTGGTAATATCCTTTGACTCGAAAGAGAGAGTGGAAGGCACTGGAGCCCCGAAAATGAGGGGGAGACTGCCAGCAGCCAGAATCTATAGATCAACCCCGGTTAGCGACCATAATCCAATGGTTCACATGTTAATAGGACCCATAGGTATAGAGCTGTAGACATACGAGTGGAAGGGTGAACATTTTGATGTTTAAGGAGTGCCCAGCACGAAAAGAGAGTGAAAGAGAAGACTTGCTTACTGGAGAACAAAAAAAAGACCATCCCTGCGGTATATAAGTAGACTCAAAGCACTAAAGCTCAGTGTGGAGACACGACGGGCGATTCCACAGGAACCAGGAACACAGCTCTCCTGAGGACCGCGTAACGGTCCAATAGCCAGCCATCTGGAACCTTGCGTTGCAGAGGCTGAAACACCCTACTCTAGGGGAGAGTCCACTCTAAGGAACGGGAGCCTTGGAACTTCCTCCCGAGGGCAAAAGATGAGCGGGGGTCGCTAGTTTCAGGTGGATCCGGTGAGGGATCAATAGGGGGTTGTGATGCTGATTTGACCGTTATAGCAAGCGGACTCCGCGGCCTTGCATGCTATGGATCCTTATGCGGACCTGATTGGGTCGGTGTCTTGATCTTCGGTCAGCCATCAGCTTGGGGGAGCCACCAATCGCCTCTTTTGGGGCCCTATTTGGCCGGGGCCGCGGCGTGAGGTTTGATTTTTTTCAGGTTACATGTCAATGTGATAGTGGGTTGAAGTACGGAAATTACGGAAGCTCGAGATGTGTAGCGAAGTCGCGATGTAGATTAATGTTTAATTGGTAGGGTTTGTTTGGGGGGGGGGGATACGAGGGACCTCGGCGTGGGTCTGCCCCTGAAGCCCTTCCGGGTTAAGGGTTCAACATCAAGGGCTGAACACTGAACACTTGACTGAATGTGACCTGACATATGTTCACCAGTGGCTGTGTACACTCCTGCCACTCCTAGGTGGCTTGGTACCTAATTTTGTACCTGTACTCGGAACCCTCGAGACATCGCCTCCCACTAGTGTACTCCTTCGACCCGCACTAGACGCACAGAGCAAGCGGCGGAGCACTTCGCCTGGCCACAAAATTGAAGCTCAACCAAATACGCGCGGACCCTTGAAGCCAGCCTCGGGAAAGAATTCGGGGATAACAAGAAACCTACGCTGTCCGCGTCAAACAGTGGGGCGAACGGGGAGACATGGAACAACCCGCAGACGCCATCTACGTTACCAGTAAGATCCGTCACACAGATTTCCTAGATTGTCACTATCTACACCTGGGGATCGGCCAGGACCATCCACAGATCAACAGGAGACAAACTTTTCAATTCGATACCAGCGCTTCCACGTCCATTTCCTCAGAGCGATAGAATCCCAAAGCATCCAACATAGGTCGATCGTCGAATCGATACAGATACACTTTCTCGTCCGCAAAATGCTGATACTTGTACCACGAGGGGATGCAAAAGGTGTCACCGGCTTCCCATTCGTATTCCGCGTCTCCGATGATCGAACGCCCGTTTCCAGACACGACGTGATAAACGGAAGAGGTCGTCTCCCGCCGGGATGGCGCAGACGAGCCTGCGGAAATGCGCTCGGCGCAACCGCCCAGAACTCGACTCACTGTATAGATCAGCTGCGCGGTTCGTATCCAATTATGCAGGGAAAGAGAAAACCCACCTTCACGACCATCCGCTTTTAGGTACCGCTGCGTTGCCCAGTTTCCGGACGAACTATCCAAACGGGCCTTCATCTCCGCCCAGGGGAATACCAGCGGCGAGGTGGTACTATCAACGTCCTCAGCTGGATATCGTGGCTGATTGAAATGCTCCACGAAATGAACGGGAAAGTGCCGGAAATTGGGCAAATCTAGCCCATCTAGCCAGACCATTGGGCCTGATCCGTCTTTGCCGTGGTCGTGGTAGTTCCACGTCGGGGTTAGGATAACATCTCCGCGCTGCATTTTAATGCGCCGACCGTGGACGGCTGTGAAGCCGCCTTGGCCTTCGATGATGAAGCGCATCGCAAACGCCGTGTGTCGGTGTGCACGGGCGGTCTCGTTCGGCATGACAAGCTGCAGGCCTGCGTACAGTGTGTCGGTCGTATACGGCGCATCTAGATAGATTAATAGATTCCTCGATAGGGTCAAAGTATGGACTTACCTCGAGCAGGATTGATTAACATAAGGACACGACGCTCAGCTTGCTCCGCTGGGACGAGATTTCCAGCGCGCTCGAGATTTGGTCGGATGGATTTGTATTTCCATACATTAGGAATAGTGGTTGGGTTTGGTGCTGGCGGGTTCAGTCTTGCCATCTGCTTCCACAGGGGAAGAGTCTTGCTTGCTGCTAGATCGGCAAGAAGCTTCTCCTCCGAATCGGTGGTGGTGATCTGCTCTGTCGATGACATTTTGGAAGTCCGCAGGTGGTAAATAACGTTCGGATTATACAATTTAAGAAAGACCTTGGAAGACCTGTTTATCTCGACCGTAGAATTCATTCAAGTTATATTCGAACATGTTATCATGCAAAACACCTTCTTGTCCAGGACGGGGATACACCGGGAGACATCCCCGGCCAAAGTTGGGGATCGCGGGGAAGCATGGCATTATAAGCTACGGGCGACAGTATATCACATCGAGTCACATAGTCACAATCAACTTGATCTTTGCGTTGATATCACCGAAAACCGAAGATGGCAATTCAAAATGAAGTTCGCGGTGAGCCCGCTCCGGGTAGCTCACTCAAAGTAAGTCCGAGAACATGACATCTTAAGACTCAAAATTGAAACAAGACAGAACCCAACTTATCCCAGCAACTGTCTCACCTTCCTTAACCCATCAACTCCAACCCCAGCCCAGTCAACCCACGTTCGTCTTAAAATCATAATCGTGGGCGCCGGATTAGGCGGCCTCGCGACAGCTATAGCCCTCGCCAGCTCCGGGCACACCGTAACAATCTATGAACAAGCACCCGAACTTGGCGAAGTAGATATCTCACCCCTTAACAATCCACTCCAAGTTCCGGACTAATAGACCATAGGTCGGCGCCGGTATCCAAATCCCTTCAAACTCAACTCGCCTTCTAAGCAGACTCGGCCTAGACCCTTACCTGGAGAAGTGCGTCACAGAGCCGGAGACGATCTCATTTCGACGATGGGAGTCCGGACGTGTGATTGGTCTCACGCAGCTCATCCCTAATTTCCGCGAGACATACAGGGCGCCGTACTACGTGATTCACCGCGCTAATTTTCACACTGCGCTGTATCGCCGGGCAGTGGATCTTGGGGTGACTGTCAAGCTTGCGGCGAGGGTTACTGAGTATGATGTTGCGAGGACTGGGATCCTTCTTGAAAGTGGAGACTCTGTACAGGCGGATCTAGTTGTTGCTGCTGACGGTATGGGACTCCTTAAGGTTTCCGGGATTTTGTTAACTTTTGCAGGTGTCAAATCTGTCGCGAGACAGCTGGTTGAGAATGGGCCTGCAATTGAGCAAACTGGATTCGCAGCCTATCGAGCAACAGTCGATGTCGCACGTATCAGGGCAGATCCGGAGATCTCTTGGCTATTGGAACGTCCAAATCTAAATATCTGGTATGAGATGAACCTTCCGTCTATGAAACGTCTCCGTTAACACTTGGCCAGGATCGGGGATCAAAGACACGTCATGACATACACGATTGGAGCAGGTAAATCATTTAACATGGTTCTTTCGCATCCGGATGACACGGATCCTTCGACCTGGGATCAAACAACAGCGCTGAGCGATATGCAGCGTGAGTTTCAAGGGTGGGACACAAGGTATGTGATAGTAACAAATATGTATGAATCTCAGCTGACTTTACCAGGCTTCAAAAAATCATCGGCATGATCGAGAAGACCATCAAGTGGCCGCTTGTTAGTTGTGCACCTTTGACGCGGTGGACTACGGGCCGAATCGTGATCTTGGGTGATGCCGCACATGCCATGTTACCATATATGTCTCAGGGTGAGTGACAGACCTGGCTTAGTACTCTATGTATTTCTTGAAGAATTCCTAATTCAAGAATAGGTGCAGCAATGGCCGTAGAGGACGGCGTCGCCCTGGCTCGCTCTCTATCCAGAATCAACAACGCCCAAGATATACCCCATGCGCTCAGCATCTTCGAGAAAGTCCGCATGGACAGAGCAGGGAAGATGCAAGAAGCGAGTCTTTTGAACGGCAAGTTATGGCATTTCGCTGATGGGCCACTTCAACGAGCTCGTGACAAGGCTATGGAGCCGGAGACGCGGGGTGAGCCTTTCAGTCATAGTCCGAATCAATGGAGTGACCCGGCGACGCAGATGTGGGCTTATCATTATGATGCGGAGGTGGAGATTGATCGTGCTTGGGAGAAGGATGCGCGGAGGTGTTGCTTGTAGATTGATAGTTGTGTTAATTTCGAAGATAACAACTAGCCGTGTGTTTCATGAATATATACATAAAGGTTAGACCTCAAATCTTTTTGGTTTCTATCGAACCCTGCGCAGGTGTCAGAGTGGTAACGTAATGGACACGAGATGAATAATTCTGCAAGGAATTCAGCCTCACAGCTACATACTCGAATGAAATTAATGAGTGAATACCCACAGACAACGACTCAACATTCGCGTCGGAACCCCAACTCTCCCCGCCCGAAAGCAACCCGGAAGCCAACCGATCTACCCCCGGCCAATACACCCAAGTTCAAATGGCACATAAACCCCTCAAAACCCCCAGATGTATCTCCTAAGCTATTGAATATACTTCTTAGACTCCCCTTTCTCATAGATTATTGGACAGTCCGACAAAATGCCCCTCCCTTGGAAACGCCTCATCCGCTTCATCGCAACAGATGGACGAACGCTCCGGGGCGAACCAATCCTACCAACACCAACAACAGACCTAGGCTTCATCACAGAACAAGATAAGCTGCAAGCGCGGGTGATTGAAGGAGATGATATCTACGATACGACAGGAAAGACCCGCATCACGGATGAGATTGTGACCGTGCGGACGATTCTGGGGCCGTTGACGCAGGAGGAGGTTCCTATACTGCGGTGTGTAGGGCTGAATTATGCAAAGCATAGTGAGTATTGAATCATTCTCTACGCGTGTTCGCACTCTCATAGGGAGACGATGAGATACATAACCAATGCGCAATTGTCTACCCTCGTGGAACCCGATCGCTTATGAAGTATCCGTGAATATAGTCAAAGAAGCAGGCCGAACACCACCACCCTTCCCTTTCATATTTTTCAAACCAAACACCACTGTGCATGGCCATGGCCAACCAGTTGAAATCCCCAAACTCGCCCAAGACGAACAAGCAGACTACGAAGGCGAACTAGTAAGATCCCAACCCACACTCCACTCAGACACCGAACTAACCTGAACTAAAGTGTCTCATAATCGGCGAGCCGGCCAAAAACGTCCCCATCGCCTCTGCTCTCTCCCACGTTGCAGCCTACACGGTCGGTAACGACATATCCTCCCGTAAGCTCCAACGCGACCCCGCCCTAGCAGGCCGTGTCCCGCAATGGGGATTCTCCAAGGGCTTCGATACCTACGCGCCACTGGGACCGTGTCTTGTTGCTGGGAGCGAGATTGCGGATCCAGGTACGTTGCTTTTGAAGACGGTCGTTGATGGGGAGGTTAGACAGGAGGAAAGCGTGAGTGACTTGTTGTTTGATTGTGCGTATTTGGTCTCGTATCTTTCGCAAGGGACGACGTTGCAGAAAGGGTGTGTTATTATGACGGGGACGCCTGGTGGTGAGTTTTCCTTTCCCTCATCTTTCTTTGTTCTGGGCATGGAGAATGGCTAATGGGAATAGGTGTTGGGGCTGGACTTACGCCGCCGAGGTATCTTGTACCAGGGACGCAGATGGATGTGTCGATCTCGGGGATTGGAACTTTAAGAAACGGTGTGGTTTTTGAGTGATAGCCAGAGACGACGGCCATCACCTCCTATGTCGAATACGAGATTATAGAGATGCTCTTTCAATCCCCAATCACACGATAGGCCCATCCTGATATGGTTACGGCACCTTCTTCCAAAGGTCTACTAGTAATCAAATAACGAATCAGTAGACTGGGCTTGCAAGAGCTGCATGATCTACGTATAATGTGATGCGTTCCAAGGAGGGTTTGTCCTCAAGCTGTCCAATTTTCAGCTCTGTAAGGCCCAAACTCAAAAGTCAAGAACGGAGTCGTTCTCATCCCTAAATCAATAGCTCTTCATATAAAACCAGTTCAGCACAGCCACATGTTTAAGGGGTAAGCTCAAAATACATTCTAGGCAGGCACATGAGCTGTGGAATGTAGATCCGCACAGCCATCACTGGGCAAAGCCAGCCCCGGCCCGATGATTGGATCGGACACGGCTCGTGTCTCGCCCCTTTCCACCGTGCTATTTCCAGCTATGTCTTACATGTCTCATAGCTACGAGAAGAAAACTTTACGCAATAGAAATAGTATGGGATAGTGTGTTGTAAAGAAGAAATTTGATTCAACGTTCAAACTGGAAGCTAGTCAAAACCACTCCAATCGCCGAGCATTGCATCGTTCTTTTCTCTGTCACATAAGCATAATCTTCGTAGAAAACATCACACTCCCCCGCGTACGGCAACGAGACATGCTAAGACAAACTTGACACGCTCATTGCGCAGTACATGAAAAAAGAAAAAAAGGGGGAGGCGGGACTTTTGGACGGGTAGCATCTCGTAGGTAGTATTGACACAAGTCTCTGAGGAGAAGTAGATTCTATGAACAGGAAAAGGTTCTCAAAGGATAAAAACGCAACCCACTGGGCGCGCGGCATAAAAAAGGGGTGTTTGTAGAGAATGGAAGAAAGGTAGAGGAGGGCCCGAGAGGGAAAACAATCGGGAAAGAAGTGAAAAGCATGAAAATAGTCATCGAGACCATAAGAAATGTGAGACTTGTCCAATCTGCCGGAGATCGTGCCCTAATTTTTCATAAAACCCAGAAATTCAAACTCCAACGTGCACGGTCGACGTGGCTGGGGAGTTTAGTTGATGTACCAGGTGGCATCGGAGAGACGGCCCTCGGAGAGAGAGGCGAAGGCCTCGAAGAAGGCGCGAGAAAGGTCGACGGAGCCGTTGTCGCAGCCCATGCACTTGTCGACGACCGTGCCGGTCTTGGTGACGCCGTTGTACTCGATGGTGACGGTCTTGCCACAGTCGCCGTCGGTCATGATGCCGACGGGCAGGGCGAGAACGAGCTCAGTCTCGCCATCGTTGGTGGTGCCACAGGAGCTGGGGTTGGACGAGGAAGTAGCGGTGTCGTAGTAGGTCATCTGGCCGGTGCAGGGCGAGCCCTCAGAGCAGGAGCCGGAGTAGCCGGAGCTGGAGGTGGAAGCGGTGGACTCAGTGGTGCTGGAGCTGGCAGCAGCAGGGGCAGCCTCAGTGGTGGTGGGAGCAGCGCTGCTGGTGGTCTCAACGGGAGCGGGAGCCTGGGTGGTCTGCTCGGTGGGAGCGGGAGCGGGAGTCGCGGTGGAAGTGCTGGAGGTGGAGGTAGAAGTGGTCTTAGCCTCGGCGGGCTGTTCCTCGACCTGGGCGGGCTGCTTCTCGACCTGAGCGGCCCGGGCGGCGGCGGTGGTGGTGACAGCAGCAACGGCGGGAGCAGTGGTGGTCACAGGGACGACAGTAGCAGTAGCAGCGTCAAGCTGCTCGGGGTAAAGAGTGGTGGTGACATCAATGGTAGTCCAGACGATGTCAGTGACGGTCTCCCACACAACGGCGCGCTTGTCAACAGGAGCAGCGAAACCGAAGGCAGAGTAGAGAGCGCCAGCGAGGGCAAGGGTCTTGGTGATAGGAGCCATTGCGTGAGATATTTGGATTCTTCAAGGGAAAGTGGGGGGTTTGTAATGATTGGATCACTGCACAGCAGGAAAAGAGATCGAAAGCACTCAAAGGAGCGTGAGTGTACAGACGAAATGGAAGAGACCGTTGGTGAGAAAGAAGGGGAGGAGGAGGAAGAAGAAGGGTTTATTAAATACGGGGGACCGCAAAACCCTCACTCGGTACAGACCCACCAACCTTCCACGAACCCATGGTCAACCAACAGCCACTGGTTTCCACTTCACCCACTCAGTAGCCTCCGAGAGTACCTACCTGATCCATTCAGTACTTTCTTCGGTGGGGTGATGTAGTTAGGATCTTTTCTACCTCACTTTCTACTAATCGCATTCTCTGCTACGAGTGTACCTGGTCTCGGAGGGCCCGGAGTCACCTCACGCGCTGATTGGGACCACAAAGTTGCGCCAACGCGAATGGCGCAGGGGGCATCTGTGCCACAACAACTCAGCGGCTGAAGCAGCCGATCCAATTGTCGGAAGTTGGAGAAGGCTCCACCGGCCAAGGCTGGGTACCTGGCAGGAGGCCGAAGCCTAAATTCCTTTTCGATGCCATATCCGGCCATTTCGCATTGAGCGTTTCGCCTCGCGCCTAAAACAACCCGCAAAGAAAGAGAATGGAAGCCAACTGCCTTGAAAACCGTGGCCACACCCTACCCTGGACGGGTCAGAGCCTGCAGTCGGACTTTGTGTGCCTGGGCGGGTCACTGTGGGGAGATGCGATTGGCGAGATGAGCCCCTGCACAGCTAGAGATCTCAGACCGGCTCGTATAACGGGCCTGAGATGACAGGGGGGTCCTGTTCGCCTAATGACGTTCCCCGAGCGGAATACTGCTCCCTCACCGAACCGCGCTTTTTATTCTCTGTGGGTCCGTGGCGCTTGGTGGCGATCATCTCCAATACCCTAGACTACCCGTTCTTTAGTCTCTCAGACTCGCACTTCTTCTTTGAGCCGTTGAAGATGGCAGCAATTTCGACAAATGCGACCTTGTGCGAAATCACCAATCAACCCAAGGAAGGGGAGCCTTTAATGTGACAGGCCCCGATCGCGGGCGGACATGAAACAATCACGATCTCCGCCCAAGTTCTAGACCGGACCGGAATCCTAAGGACCCTGACAGACCAATGACATGCCCAGGGTCTGCATGTCCTCGCCAACACGCTACGGCCCAATCGGTATTCCGATTGGCACCCATCTTTTCTGTTTCTTCTAGTGACTGCTACTCTACCCAGGCGATCGCTGTAGTGTACGGAGTACGGAGTACATACTTAATCACCGGCAGCTGCCATACTCAAATTTGGACTGTGAGAGTCGGAGTTGGTTTTCCTGCTGCGAGACACGTAGCTGGGAGATGCTTGTTCACGTATCATGGGATTTGAGCTCGAATTTTCCTTTTCCCTTCAGTTTACCGAGGAACTAGAATTCCAGATCTTACCGATCACTCGGCACGATCAAAAATGTAGAATGTATGCGCGGCATGCTGACGATGCGATCGTTTCAGCTGTCATCACATACCTCAATACGCTAGCTCGGCGGCTAGACGAACCATTCAAAGCCCATTCAAAGCAACATACCCTTCACAACCTCGAAACCGGTTTATGATCTCGAAGCACATTCTTTTCTTATTGAAAAAGTGTATAGCGAAATGGCAAACCCGGAACGGTCTCATGGCCCAACGCCACTTGCAAGGAAATCACATCCAAATCGAATGATCCCGAGCAACAACGATACAATGGAAAAGAAAGCACTCAGAAACAAGTAGCTAGAAGGACATCAAATCCCGAGCTCTCATCTCGTGGCGAAAAAGAATGGTGTTCGGGACTTGTCCGACTGCAACGGGATGCGGGATACCTTCTTCAAACGGGAGCTGAAAAGTTTGGTCGGCTTTTGCTTTCAGCGGAGTCTATTGATCGGTTAAATGACTTGGTTCGAGGGGAAGAATGGAGCCGCCCCATTTTTATGTTCTTCCGCTCTTCCAATTCTTCTATTCAAAGGGTTGAACAGATGTGTCAGCGCCGGATATGGAAGGCGGGGGTGCTTGGACCGTGGGTTCGTTAGAGTTCGTTGGAGATGTCGGAGGGATTCGGATGAGAATATCGATGATGAGCAAATTCTATAGTGGATGGGTTGCCCTGGTGAGGGTGTCGACGAGTGTAGGTATAGTGGTCTCTTTGGCCCTGGGAATGGGTCCTATGACAAGGCAGTACGATTACGAGAGACGACTGACGAGAAGAAAAGGTAGCAAATGACGATGTGCATTCTATCGGTTCTATGAGTAGAAAAGCAACGGAAAGATCTAAAAAAGCAAAACGGAACAGCGAAACTCAGCCAATAACCTCAAGATCAAAGCGAAAGTTGACCGAACTCCCGGACATCGAAGGCCAAGTATAAATCCGTTTGATCCGTCTAGTCCCACGATCAAACGCACCCAGTATAAGGTACCCAACCACCTTACCAATCCTTGTCCCCAACAAAGCATCACACTGTGGTGTGCCAATGTCCCAAGCCCGTGGAACCCAACTCGGCCACTCTAACCCATAAGCCTCGGTATAGAGCTCAAGTTGAACGAAGTCAAGTGTTTCTTGATTAACCACGGTTCTCACAAAAACATATCTCAACCCATCGATCGCATGGTCCCTGGTATATAGAGCTTGGGTGACCTGGGATATTGGCGGCGCAATGCAGCCCTTTTGTCTCTTGATGGTGCAGAGGGCAATTGCTCCTTCGGCAGTAAATCCATCCCATGTGCAAGTGATATCGTCATTTGAGCCGGCATAGAAGCGAGATACGTTACCTGGAATAGTTATGTCCACTTTATCGGGATCTATATCACCCAGGCTCGTCCTTTCCCCCCGGCGGAATGTAAATCCTTTATCCGCGAGCTGCTGCCAGGTTAGTGTTGATTTGGTAATATGACAGTTGGGTTCTTGAGGATCGTCTATCCAGCGGCGGATCCGTGCTCCCCATTCTTGAAACTCACTGAAATCGATGGATTGGATCGTTATTCGTAGAGCGGGTGGAGTTATATCCTCAATTAGAGCACGTCTCCCAGCTGAAGAGCTCCCTTCACCTGTGAGACTCTTTGTGGCCTCTACCGCTTCTCTCTGTACGGCTGCTGCCTCCTCGGCGGCAGGTCTCTCTTCTGGAAGAGTGGGCGGTACAGGGCCGAGCTCAATGGGGCTTCGCTCTTTGTCTGAGCTACTTGGGCAGCAATAACAGTTCAACCCGTGGATGAGGTCTCTGGCAACCTCATTCAGATGACGAGCCATGATGGAAATACTTAGAGCATGCGCTTGGTTGGACTATTGCTTCAAATTTTCGAAGGATGTCTATGATTGATAGTTGATGGTTGACGACGCCAACTGAGTTAGATGCTCGAGCCTTTAAATGTAAACGATGACATTGTGCGTATAAATGGGATAGTCGAACTAAGACTTGAAACCTTTTGAATCGCTTTGTTGGTATGTTCGAGCTTTAACCATTGTCTCCGAACAAAAGAATTAATTCCCCGAACATCTAAAAAATTAATAATTGAAATAATATGAAAAATTTACATAATACTAAAATATAATATATTTTAAGATATTATATGAGTAAGTTTATAGGTGTTTGTTCTCATTTATTAGTAAATTTCTGATTTACTAGAATAGCTGCAAACCAAAGTTCTTTATCAGCTTTATTAACAAATAGAGTAGGTGATTGTTTATTAACTGTACAGAACAAATCAAGCTTCTGCACTAGCTCTACAGCCATCCACGACAGAACCGCATCGATATGGTTAAGTTTGATGTGGCCTGGTCTGGAACAAAAGGTTCAAGATCACTTGGTACTGTAACGGGATATTCAGAGAGATCAGTGTTTAAAAGAACTATGAAACGCCTGACGCTCTATCGTAAGCAATAACGGTCCGTAGCGGCAGTCCACGGAGTGCTAATGTATTTACTGAGACCGAGATAAGTGCTACATGAATTTTAAATTTGAGATACTGTGAAATTGTCGCTAAGAATGTCCGCTTGTAAACTTCGATCTTGAAACTATTATTCGTAATATCCCATGCTACCCTATCCCTACGCAAAACAACTTTCACCCTTCATCCTTCAATCTGCAGCGTTCCTTCATCGATCTCCAGCGCCAGCAATTTCTTAGTAGGCCGACTCTCCGCCCGATTTGAACGATTGTTCAACAAGCCCAGAATCGTTTCCTTGAAGTTCTCCCCTAAATCTTCCCACACAAACTCTGGGTTCAAAGCCTTGATGAAAACACGCATCGCAGTAACAGGGACATTAATAATCGTGCAGACATCTTCGGCAGAAAGTTTCCTCTGCATCGTGGTGATGAAGCTAGACTGCAGCGAAGAACTGAACTGCGCGAATTGATCTTCTGTAATTGATTTGCTCATGGCCGTTGTCTCCGTCCGGGGCTTCTCGTCTGAATCGACGGCTGCGAGCGGTGTTGACTTTTCTCCCGTCAGGATTTCATGAAGGAAGGCCTCATCAAGAGGCTCAATTAAATCGCCATATTGTCCTTCCTTTCCAACTTGCCAAGGAACACGGCGTGTTTCTGCATCGCCCAGAACTCGTCTGGTAAGTTCTAGATTATTGGTCTTGGTAGTTTCGTCAATGTTGTCTCCAAAATCTGCGTTCAGAAGATCATTGTACACCCTCATGCTTTGAACTTTCAAGGATGCAGGCTTGATATGCCAGAGAGAAGCGATGTCGGCTTGTTTGTACACAATGTCCTCGCAGAAATGCTTCACATCGGCCCATTCATTATTTTGGCACGCTTCCGATACCTTGGCTTTGAGCTCGCTAAATGTAGCCGAGCGCGTGGTGTAGATATTGGCGGCAATAGTATCATCGTGGACGCGCCGTTCACCTCCGTTGGCGAGATGTTCCAGATACATGATCATCTTGGTGTAGCCCCCACTCTGCTTTTCTAATTTGTGCGGAAGCTCCCCAAGCAGACGGGCTGCAACGGCTGCGATATTGGTATTCTCCATCGTAAGCATTCGCATGAACGCGGTAATAATTGTGCGAGAATGGTCGAGCTGAATGTTTCGAAGCTTGCAGAACTTGACCATCTCATCTGCATGGCTTGATTTGACCGCAGTCATGTCTTCGTTCTTGGTAACAACACGGACAATGGCCTTGTCAAGGAGCTTCTCCAGATTGTTGTAGAATTGCTTGAGAGGCCAGCCGGTGTAAGGATACAGAGAGACCACGGTTTCATACCAGATCCACCCAACGTCAGTTGTGGGAAGGTCATATTGCGGAATTAGACCAAACAGCTGCCAGACCATGCTGAGAGGACGCACTCCTGAGCCTGCTATTGTCAATAGATTGCCGAAGAGTCCTCGCATCAATCTTGTGACGGTATCCTCGGCTTCCTCTGACACAACTGGCGTAGTCGTCCGCATCGCCGCGAGCTTCCCCATGGCTGCCATCAGCAATGCGCTCATGAGATGACCGGTTTCTGGACTGCTAGATTGAATCTCATGTTCTCTGGACGCCACTGCTTGACTAAGGGTGGATCTCATTATAATTCTTAGGGCAGCAATATGTGGTTCGTTGCACTTCTCCATCCATCTCACAGTGTAAGGGCTTTTGAGGTTCACGAATTCATCCCAGCAGACCCAGGCTAACATCGATCCGGTTCCCGATCCTTGGCTCAGGTACGGCAACGCCAAAATTGGATGCGAGGGTCCGACTTGGCTTTGAAGTGGGCCATCATGGTGGGTCTGAGACTGCTCTATGATGATTCCTGCGTCGAATCCTTCGAGGTGTAAAACTCTTGAGTCGAGATCGCAGCATGGACTGTAACGAGAGGTCAGCGCTGAAGCTCTTTTTGGGACTTTCCAATGATGAAGAGGAGCTTTTCAGAAGACAGAAAGCTTTCGGAAAGCAGGTTTCACATACCTTGCATCGATGGCTTGGCTTTTCAAATTACGTAGGAGCCCGTGGTAGGATGTTGTCTTAATATTCAGAAGCATGACACCCATATCCCCCGCATATGTTTCGAGGTATCCTGCCAGAGTGTCAAAAGTCATGGACTTGACAGCCTCGACATTACCTTGAATCTGGGTTTGACGAACAAGTCTCTTGAGATCGTGTGTTCGCTTCGAAGTGGTTTGAGAAGATATCATATTGGCCAAGCTTGAGATCAGTGGCTCGAGAGCCACTTGCATCTCCTTGGTAATCTTTCTCAATCTCCCAAGCATATCGTTCTTCTTCTTCGCTGAGTCTGGGTCTGCCGCGTTGTACTCCTGGGTTAAGAACTTAGTGTAGCTGTTCCTCAATGGAGCCGCCACGGTGCTGATCTTTATTGAGAGTGCAGACACTAAGACCTTGGAGAGATCCTGCAGATCTTTTTGGTTCAAAATCATTTGTAGTTGGGGAACTGCTGCTGATATGTCCTCTTCCAGATCTTGGACCTGGTCGACAGAAAGGTCTTCGAACAGCTTCTTAAGATGTTTAGGCTGAACGAATTGGCCTGAAGAGGGCAATATGATCGGATTTGCATCGCCGAGTGTAGCCATACGCTCAATTCTTGGATCTAGTATGGATTCCACACCTACAGATTCAAGAATGGATGTCACGTCTGCGCCAAATTTAATTCGCGACGTGTTAATGTGCGCCCGATTAGCAAGGCCTCGGTAGAAGTAATACTTGTCGGCGATTTGAATCAGGACCAAGGACTGTGGCCCTGCAAGCGCTGTCACCGCATTGATGTTTACTGAGTTCATCAACGCCAGGATTTCGTCGGTATTCTTGGGCTGGTTTTCTGGACTGAGCTGCACGATGAAGAGCGCGTTGATTCTGTATATACTGGCGAGATTGCGGGCATTATCGGTCATTCGGTCGTCGACAATAACTACAGCACTCTTCAGTTGCTTATAATAATTCTGGATAGCATTGTCGTCGATGAAAGGAACATTTGTAGGGCATGTTCCTGTAGCCAATAAAACTGGGCCTTGAAGCTGGGAACCAAAAATGCATGGCAAAACAACGGCGGATGGCTGCGTTTTTGGGATAAGCTTTTTGTCTGGCAGCTCGAATTCTAACCCAGTCCCGAAACGTATGATTTGTGTATTTTCTAAATCAAAGAAGGAAGGGAGAGTGGCCGAATCGGTGGTAAACAGCGCATTTTCTTTGGTGATCTGGCACAGTATTTCTGAGTTCGAGCTTGTTTCATCGTTGGCCGAGTCGCTCAATGTGATTGCTTCTTTAAACTTATTAGCTCCCCAAAGTCCACTGATGTGATTCTGGGAACACCTACTTCTGGTAGCTATTAGAGGAGCAGAGATGGTGAAGTCGGCGCGCTGAATTGCTTCCGGGAAGCAAGCGCTCACCAACTTATTACTGTGACACATCATTCCACGGTCTGTAGTTGCCTTTGGCAATATAGAGCAGATCAAGGAGCCTTCATCCCGCTTAATTACCAGTGGGCAACAAATGGTCGCGTCTCCAATTGTCGCTGCATCGAGTGGAACCGGAACGATGTAAAGAACCTGCCAACCACGATTAATCAATGTCAAAGCACCATAAATTTTTGACTGACCTTATCGACATGATCGGCAACAAGCAATGCAGGGTTGGTCCCCAGGAACCTTGTTATAAGGGTAGATTGGTAGCCAGAAATAAACACGCAGATTTCTTCCTCTGTGAGGGTGTCCATGTTGATCTTGACATAATCTAGAAGATCCTGTCCGTTGAGAATATCACCACTGTGAGTGATTCCGGGAAATGTGTCTCTTGCAAGCCAGCAACATGCGTTATATGATGCATCAGCGAAGCAGAAATCGTAGTAGGTCGGAGTCCTTTCAGAGACTGCTAAGATTGTGATTTGGTCCGACACTATCGGGATCTTGAATGTAGAGGCTGGTGCTTGCATGATTTGGAAGTCCTCGAATACCCCTGCTAATGCTTAGTACTCACTCTTTGATCGAGGGTGGAAGAAGTGGAACGAGAGAAGACTTACTCAGGTGAGACTTGAAGCCAGCCATACGTCTTAAAAGGGTCTCGCCCATCTCGCCCAGATCGACAGCATTGAAAAAGTAGTCTTCCGGGTAGGAAGAAATATCGATTTCGTCAATACCGTTGTCTGTCCGACATAAAAGAAGACGCTCAGGACTAAAAGGGTGTGCAGAGCCGACTGGAAGATCCTCGAGGATCTCGCGAATGCGAGCCTTCGACGATGCGAGCGGATCGAAGAAGGTTTTTCTGACTCTTTCCATGGCGGCTAGTCGCGAGTTGCGAGGTTCGAACTGAAAAGATCAATGGAAGTTCTGTTCGCCGGATTATGGCGCTCTTTTGTACTTGATGTTTTCCCAAAAGTTCCCCGCGTGAGTCACGGCGGCGACTGGAATAGGTAAGAACGATGAACTAGTTACATTTAGTGTATAAACAACGCCGAGCCCTTGTTGTACTGTAATGAATAATACAGTGTCAAATGTATGGCATTTTCCACTAAATACGCAGGGTTCAACGAGCGCCTATCTTTCTTGGCATTCAGCCCCGCTCTAAACCCCAGAGTGAGGCTGAGAATAGACATACCTAGATCAATGATCTCCCATTCCCATCTCGCAGCAACATAGCTCGGGGAGATCACACTAAGCTTTTGATTCTCCACGCATCTTTTAAGCAGGTGTACGATACCTACTTGCATGAGATGGCAATCGACTAAGACCCATTCTCGTATCAAAGTTCTAAGCGCGTAACGATCCTATTACTGCATGAGTCATAGGACTCTTGCTTGGAGGCTGAAAAAGGTGCCCGCTGTATGTATCGTGGGTAAGCAATAATCCTTTTTCCTATTGTGGCTGAGTCGTTTAAACTTCTCGCGATACGCTACACGCCGTCTAGCTCATCCGAGTCGGCCTCTTTAACAAACACTCCCTTTACCTTTTTCGACAACAGAATTTTTCCCAGGACGAGCAATGTTCTGATAGAGGTCATCTGTTCGGCGACGTACTATGCCGTACAGGCGGACAAAGAGAGCGTCGCGCACTAACCATGCTTTACAATGAATCGACACTAGTAAGAATCGAGTGAACGTCAAGGTCATTAGACTAACTAACATAAGAAGAAAGAAACCAATCCACGCCATAACCATCGCGAGACAAAAGGAAGAAAAACCATCAAACTCATGATATAGATACATAAATCACACGTGTGCGAGTCCAAAGCAATGAAACATGAAGATCGTCAGGGATAGAGCTTAGCCCTGGCACATGAGACAAGCTTCCTTGTTCTCGATACTACACTCAAGGACAGCCTGTGAGAAGATATCGCCCTTGGGCTCGTCATCCTCAGCGGCGTCCTCGGTCTTCTCCTCGGCCTCGAGGGCGGGTGCAGCGACGATAGGCTCGGTGACGGTGCGGGGACTCTCCTGGATAGGAGCGACAATGGCAACGGCGGCCTCGGCGCCGGTAGTGCGGGGCACGGCGGAGTACGAGGAGCTGGCACCGCCGCCGGTACGCTTCTTGTAAGAGGGGTTGGTGCGGGCGATGTTGGTGTCCTCGACCAGGAGAGCCTCCTGGTCGACGGTGAACTGGATGGGGGCGGAAGCGGCCATGGTACGGAGGTAGTACATGCCAGTCTTGAGGCCCATCTTCCAGCCAGCGAAGTGCATGGAGGTGATCTTGCCCATGGTAGGCTCCTTCATATGGATGTTCAGGGACTGGGATTGATCGATGAAGGCACCGCGGTCGGCGGCCATCTGAAGAATGGAGCGCTGAGAAATTTCCCAGACGGTCTTGTAAAGGGCCTTGATGTCGGCGGGGATATTGGGGATGTTCTGGACAGAACCGCCGTCGGCGATGATGCGGTTCTTCATGTTGTCGGACCAGAGACCCAGGTCGACGAGGTCCTTCAGGAGCCAGGGGTTGACGACCTGGAACTCACCGGCCAGGACACGGCGGGAGTAGATGTTCGAGGTGTAGGGCTCGAAGCACTCGTTGAAGCCGAGAATCTGACTGGTGGAGGCAGTGGGCATGGGGGCGACCAGCAGACTGTTACGGACACCCGTCTCGGCGATCTTGGCCTTCAGGGAAGCCCAGTCCCAGAGGTCGGTGGGGGTGCGGTCCCACATGTCGTACTGCAGGATACCCTGGGAGACGGGGCAGCCGGGGTAGGTCTCGTAGGTGCCGTGGATCTTGGCCAGATCGGAGGAGGCGGTCAAAGCACCGTGGTAGATGGTCTCAAAGATCTGGATGTTGAGCTGCTTGGCCTCAGGGGAGTCGAAGGGCAGACGCAGAGCCAGGAAGGCATCAGCAAGACCATTGACACCCAGAGCAATGGGGCGGTGACGGAAGTTGCTCTTCTTGGCTTCGGGAACGGGGTAGTAATTGATATCAATGATCTTGTTCAGGTTGCGAACGAGAACCTGAACAACCTCGTGCAGCTTGCCAAAGTCGTACTCGCCGCGAGCAGCGTCAACAAAAGTGGGGAGAGCAAGGGAAGCCAGATTGCAGACAGCAACCTCATCAGGAGCACTGTACTCGATAATCTCAGTGCACAAGTTGGAGCTGCGGATGGTACCCAGGTTCTTCTGGTTGCTCTTGCGGTTGCAGGCATCCTTGTACAGCATGAAGGGGTTACCGGTCTCAGTCTGAGCCTCGAGAATGGCATACCACAGCTTCTGAGCCTTGATGGTCTTGCGGCCGCGGCCCTCCTTTTCATACTTCTCGTACAGAGCATCAAACTCGTCACCGTAGACATCGGCCAGGCCGGGAGCCTCGTTGGGACAGAAGAGGGTCCATTCACCGTTGGCCTCAACACGCTTCATGAACAGATCGGGGGTCCAGAGAGCATAGAAGAGATCACGGGCACGGACTTCCTCCTTACCGTGGTTCTTCCGGAGATCGAGGAAGTCGAAGACATCCGCGTGCCAGGGCTCAAGGTAGATGGCGAAGGCACCGGGACGCTTGTTACCACCCTGGTCGACATAGCGGGCAGTGTTGTTGTACACACGCAGAAGAGGGACAATACCGTTGGAGGTACCGTTGGTTCCACCAATGTAGGAACCAGTAGCACGGATACGGTGAACGTTGAGACCAATACCACCAGCAGTCTTGGAAATCATGGCACAGGTCTTCAGAGTGTCATAGATACCCTCAATGCTGTCGGCGGTCATATCCACCAGGAAGCAAGAGGCCAGCTGAGGCTGGGGGGTACCAGCATTGAAGAGAGTGGGAGAAGCGTGAGTGAAGAACTTCTGGGACATCAAGTGATAGGTCTCAATGGCCTTTTCAATATCCTCACCATGGATACCAACGGAGACACGCATCAGCAAGTGCTGAGGACGCTCGGCTACTTGGCCGCTGATACGGAGGAGATATGATCGCTCCAGAGTCTTGAAGCCGAAGTAGTTGTAGTTGAAGTCACGGTCGTAGACGATAGCCGAGTTAAGCTCATCGGCGTGTTTCATGACAATCTCGTAGATGTGCTTAGAGATCATAGGAGCGGGCTTGTTGTTCTTAGGGTTGACGTAGTGGTAGAGGTCGGAGATGACCATGGAGAACTGCTTCTTGGTCTGCTTGTGGAGGTTGGAAACGGCGATACGAGCGGCCAGGATGGCGTAGTCGGGGTGTGTCACGGTCATGTACGCGGCAGTCTCGGCGGCCTTCAGAGAAAAAAAAATTTGTTAGCAAAGGGGTCAATGAGGTCGTGCGAAACCACATACCAAGTTGTCAAGCTCGATGGTGCCAACACCCTGGTAGACACCGGAGATAACTTTTTGGGTGATGGCAGCTGCATCGACGTGATCGGGGTCAAGGCCGTAACACAGCCTCGAGACACGAGCAGTGATCTTGTCGAACTGAACGCGTTCTTTGCGTCCATCTATGTGATTTTTCCGTTAGTGATTGACCCTGACGTCGGTGGCAAGGCCTGGGAGCTTCCTTTTCTGTATAAGAAGCGTCCTACCCCGCGGCAAAGGCCACGGAGCTGCAGGCAGGGCAGATGCAGCTTACCTCGCTTGTAAACGAACATCTTAATTGTGTAGTGTGGAGGACGAAAGGAAGAAAGACTAGAACGATAGGGGGGATTAAGAACGTGATAGAGAGGTGATTGAGTGGGAGAAAGAGGGGGGAATTGTCAAAGGGGAGGTGAGGGTGTAGCGGACGAGGGGAAGGAAAGAAGAAGAGGACGGAGGGGCGTGGATATTTGATGTCGCCCGGGCAGACGCGTTTTTACTCGCGAATTTTCGTGTTTGACCTAATTCGGTTCCCTTTGGTTACCGTGCTGAGTAATATTGGATCGCGACAGTCACGTGGAGACGCGACAAAGTGGATAATCGAAGCCATGCGCGGCTTCGGCCCTGCTATGTCCGACGGAGAATGCCATTCCGGGCTCAGACAACTTTATAATCACTGTAGTAACACTCCGCAGCCCGGGTAGCCGTAGTAACTCTACACACTAGCGCCAGTTACCCAGGCATCACTGCTATGGGCATGTCCGTGCAACTCTCCTTGCAGCTCACAGACCGCCACCAGATCTACATTAAAGGGGCCCAAGGGATGTGTCAGATTTAGATAACACCAAGCAATTGGATTTGCTCTAATAATAACAAGCGGTGTGGGTTCTGGATGCAATAACAGGCAAGCAAATCCATCGCAGATCGAACCGAGACGAATCGGCGGAGAACAACGACACGAAGCATATCCAAGCTAATTATTTATTAACAGATCGGAAATCATATTGCAAGAATAGGAGTCGACAGAATCGACTCAAAGCCACGCGGCAACGCCGGCAAACACAGCAGCCCCGAGGAGGGTGGTTCCAGACAGCTGGCGGTCAGACCTGGCGGCACCAGTGTGGAGAGCAGTAGAGGCCGAGGAGCTACCAGAAGCTCCAGAACTGGTGCTAGAGCCAGTGCTAGAGCCAGAACCGGAGCCATTACCGGAGCTCGAGCCAGTAGCCTTGGAGCCAGAAGTTGAGACGGCGGTGGCGAAGCCAGAGCCAGTGGAAGTAGTGTTGGTAGCAGTGGTAGCAGTGGTGGAGGGGATAGCTATAACGTAAAGTGAGCCAAACGTGCAATCTTGATATCAGGAACAGGTGGTGCGGAGATCTTTACCAACTTGGTGGCCGGCCCCAGAGCAGACGTTGGCGAAGAACTTCAGGGACGAGTCGGCGCTGCTGCCGCACGTGTTGGAGATGGCAGTCTCAGTCTTCTTTGCATCAGAACCACAAATGGTGGCCAGATCGGCTGGGTTGCTGGTGTTACTAGAGAGAAATTGTCAATTGAAGTTCGGAGGTTGCCGAGTCTTGTTTATGGACATGGAGATGCGTACCCGATAACGGACAGGACACAGGCCGGGGTCTGGTGGGCAGACACGATGCTACCGAGGGCCACGAAGGCGAGAGCGAAAGTCGATTTGTTGAAGAACATTGTGAGAAAGTGAAAGGAGCAGATTGGGAGTTCGAGTTCGAGTTCGAGTTGGATTTCGATTGAGACAAGATCGCGCAGCGAATCTGGTGAAGCTGACTAGTAGTTGGTAGATGGAGTAAGGACAGTGAGAGAGTAAAGAGTGACAGCGATGAAAAAGAGTGATCGCAAGTAGAAGACGACAAAGGGTGACGAAGGAGAGCAAAAGCGGACCTCGATGTGGAAGGCGCCCAGGAGTGGGAAACAGGGTCTTAGCATGCAGTTTCAGTCCCTGGTAATCTGTGTGTTTTGCACCCTGTAAGATAGGGGGCTCCACTCACTTTTAGTATAGGAGATGCACCATCAAGCGCCCGTATGACACTAGTAACAGATGGGACAATTTCCCCACGCTTTGCACTGGTCCCTGATCGGGAATAGCGTCAGGGACCCTGCCGAAGCTCGTATCGTAGCCAATCGAGACCCTTTGCCTAGTGGCTACTTGTAGCAATTGTTAGTCGAATTGATATCCATTGAAAGCGCTTAAATCGTCAAATTTTGCGTTTAAAGGTACTTTTGTCGATGCGACAAGTGTTGTTGTCATCTCTCTAGGTCTCTCCGATCCAGAAGAGGATTAGGTAGGAAGCCTCCAAGCTTCAAGTGATCTATTTTTGAGTCTGAAGAACCTCTGTTCCTCTCAAGGTTTGCGCGGAACTCGCTTGTCCATGGAATACAGATTTATCTTGCTCAATGACGAAGTGACTCCTGGGAACAATAGAGACGAGGGTCTTATACGGCGGCCGACAAACATTCGATTCATAACCCTCTTCAGACCGGCAGAACCTGAGCGACCTAAGAAGAGATCCCCATGGGCCTCCACGCTTGATTCTTTGGTTCTTTCTTGATATCTTTCTCGGCATCTTCGCAAAGCTCTTTTCGGATAACTCTACTCCTTTTTCGGAGTGTCTTCCTCAATAGGTCTATAGATCCACTGGCTTTGCCATTAGTCAGTTGAAATAGAAGGAGTCTTGCGTCCTTAAGAAAGCACTGTAAAACTTGGAAAAATCTGCTTGTCAGTACGCAAAACTTATGAGAAACATGGGTTGATATCAATTGATATTCAGCTGTATTGACTTTCTATGCATCACCTTTGCGCCAACAATGCCTAAAATCTACCAGATAAGCAAAATCTACAGCCTCTCCCAAGCCGGATCATATATACTCGAAACAACCTCCTGCACCACCAATCTATTATCCACAATCTCCCTCCCATTAACCAAATCATTCTCCCTCGCCCTCTTATCCGCCTCCTCCTCGTCCCTCGCAATCCCCGCCTTAACATGCCTCCTAATCAACCTCTTCCTCGCGATCTCAAAATCCACATCCACAAACCACAACTCATCCATCAACTTCGCCGCCTGGCTCCAAGGCTCCTTATTGAGACTCAGATAGTTCCCCTCGAAGAAAACAACCCTACTCGTCGCCGGGATGGGGATATCGTCATCCACAGGATCCTTGACCGCATGATCGAAGCTAGGCGCGTAAATACTGTCTACTTTGGTTGTGAGAGATTCTCGCAGTGAATGCACTAGTGCTAGGAACTTGTGTCCGTCGAATGTGAAGGCTGCGCCGCGGCGGGCGGCGGCATAGACCGGGTCTGGCATTGCGGCGAGCTGGGCGCGTGTTAGGTGGTAGCCATCCATTGGGAGGGAGATGGCGATGGGAACGGCATTGGGATTCTCAGTGTTGTAGAGTGTATTGATTCGGTTGGCGACCATGCTGGCGAGTTCGGTTTTGCCGGAGCCTGGGATTCCGCTTATGGCGATCATGAGGCGGGCATCGGGTGGGGTGGAGAGAAATTTTGCTGGGAGGGTTAGCTTTCGAATTACTCCCTGGTGTGTTGGATTGGTGGGATCGAATGAATTGTGCAGTTGTTGGTCCGGGCTGTTGGGGGGGGGGGGGGGGGGGGGCGCAATGTAAAGAACTAACCCCAGGTCTTCTTGACCAGGCGCTCGACCTGTTCGTCCATGATTGGAGGTAGGTTTGAGTGATAAATTATGGCGGTTGGCTCGAGATGTCCGTCGAGGTGGGAATAATGACACTGGATGGTGGGAGTTCGGCGGGGTTGGCGTGTTTGTCGCGTGCCCTGGTGGTACAAGAGTCCGGAGTGAAATCCTGTATTTATTTCCGTAAAGAGGGTATGCGATTGGTGCAAAGGCTGGAATGAGATGCTCAAGTTGAGTAGTTGTGAGAGGAGAGGGTCGTGATGTTGAGTCGGGGGTGGTTCGTCTGTCTAAAATGCGCGATAACGAATCGGCGGGGCACGTTATGACTGATTTCCGGTGGGGACTTCATTGCTCCGAGGTCTACGTCACAAAGCCCCGGTCTTCGGCCCATCAAGTTGATGCTTGTAGAATGTCACATCGGAGATTTGGCGATTCAAGGGTTTGATGGGATTCAAATCACATGGATAAGTACATTATTGTGGATGACATCACAAACGCCTCAGCCAGACTCGCGAGTTGATTGGGCTGTAGATCAACCCTTGAAGGATTCATACTACTCCGTACGAGATTGCCGAGAAATTTGATATTTTGATAAGGTACCAGGAATTTGGGAGTACATTATCGAATATTATATTGGACTTGGGATACAGCCTCGGACGATGAGGCGGTAAATGCTACCTAATGAGCCCCATGCAAATGAAATTAAGTGCTGCAACCCGTGCAGCCTCAGCCGACTAAGCTGATAGAAATCACATATATGGCCCCTGAAGATGGAAGATTTAGTGCCCTTCCTATGTAACGCCGTGTGGAAAGAACCAGTCCTTGAACACCAGATGAATCATGTCCCGGAGAGAATTAGTCGAGATGCCATCATTATCGGTTTTGTGCCGTGGAACCGAGGAAAGAGAATCACTCGGTGCGGTTATTTTCATTGCCTTCGGCACTGGCACTCAAACCACGGCCCATTGTGCGCGACAGGCCAGCGCCAGCCCACCAATCATCGGGAATATCTTCACGGCGGGCAAGTCGGTCCAGAATGGCCTGCATCTGCTGAAGATCCGAGTCGCCCGAGTCTGAGAAAGAAAAGGAGATCGTGGGAATTTGAGGGTGGTTGCTCATAGTCGAGGGAAGACCTGGCGAGCGGCGAAGTGAGAGCCGGGGCCCCGGCCCTATCATCCGGCGGTAGTTGACGGGGGTATCCTCATCGGAGGAGGAGTAGTCACAAGGGTTCAGGTGATCCGGATAGGGATCAAGGGCGAGGTGGATAGCGCGAGAGGATGGTTGTGTCTGCGAAGTGGCACCAAAGGAGCGAGACGATGGGTTGCGCAGAGGGTTGGTTGTGGCGGCGGATGTAGATGAGAAGGAAGTGTCGGCGGAGGGAAGAGTTGCATCCGGAGTGATAGTCGAGAGTAATGTCTCCCACGCGTCGTCACTCTCGCGCTCAGCACTCGGGCTCAGGCTGCGCTGGCGGTCACCAAGACCATCAATGTCAGGTTCACGTTGAGGCCGATCCCGACTGCTGCCAGTACGATAGTCTCGGAGCAAAACAGAAGGTATGTAAGATGGAGGGTCATGATTGCGACGTCTAGGCGGGAAAACTGGGGGATGAGGGGGAGGAGGGATATGATCGCCCACCCGCCATGACGACTGTTGGGGATTAGATCCCATTGTGTGGTAGCCAGCTGCAGGAGCGAAGTTCGGCGTCAATGATGAATTGTTCCACCCACCCGGAGGAGGAGTATCAGGATCGCGAATGGGAAATTGGTGGTTGGGATCGGTAGGGCTTAGGATGCGGCTCAACGGATCTGGTCGGCGGTCCCCAAGACGCGTGCTACCGCGATTCAAAGCTTCGCGGCGACTCGAATCCAGGTCCAAGCCATCTTCGCTGACACCTAGGTTCAATACAGGGGAGCGCACACCGAGCTGGGGCTCAGCAATACCGCGTGAGATCTCATCGATGATCTGAGAATGGAAAGATGACAAGACATTGCTGCGCGCGCGGGCGGAGCTGTGGCGTGAAGGGCGACGCTGGCTGGGTTGACGCCGGATCGCGGACCGCGCAGCGGCCGAGGCATCCTTATCCCGAGCATGTTTGACGTTGTCGGCCTCGGTGGGCTCACGCCACATCCTTTGTTCCAAGTCAGTCACGACGATGAGGTGGCGCGCATGCGACAGCGTGCAGAAAACCGGAGCAGAGTCACTTACGGGATACCCATATTCAAAAGAAAGACCGGAAAGAATGGAAGGGGAATGAGAAAAATAAATAAGGCAAGTTAACTCGACCCCGATGAAAACGTTAGTGGGGATGAGGAAGATGGAGATAGATCGGAAGGGGAACGGAGAGATTGCGTTTTCTGGGTTTCTGGAAGGCGTACGCCCCGGTGTTGTTGCCTGAGGCTCTTGTTAAAGAGGCTGGCCACGAAGTCACGTGTCGCCGTGATCGGCGCTCTCCAATGAGGAGCTACAATTACAAGCTACCGTCTACAGTCTGACTATGACGAGCCGTTTTGGTCTATCTACACGAAATGATTGAGCTAGGATTGAGCCGCGTCTCGAGTCTCCTTCAACAGAGCTCGTTGACGTGGAAGGCTGTTCACATTGCAGGCACTAACGGGAAAGGCTCGATCAGTGCCTATCTCTCCCACCTACTGTCAGCCGAAGGTGTTCGATGCGGCCGCTTTACCTCCCCACACCTAATCGATCGGTGGGATTGCATTACAGTTGGCGAACGGGTTGTTCAGGAATCGCTGTTCCGACAGATCGAAGACCAAGTGAAGCTCCGAGACCAAAAGTTGGGCATTGGCGCATCCGAGTTCGAGCTCTTGACCGCAACAGCATTCGAGATCTTCAACCATGAAAGGGTCGAAGTCGGCGTCATCGAGGTGGGAATGGGTGGTCGCCTAGATGCCACCAACATATTGAGCGATGTTCTGGTCTCCGTCATTGCCAAGATTGGAATGGACCACCAGGCGTTCCTTGGATCTACAATTGAGGAGATAGCTCGGGAGAAAGCGGGGATATTAAAGCCTGGAGTGCCTTGCGTGGTGGACGATACCAATGAAGCAGCCGTATTGGGGGCATTGTCAACCCAGATCCAAGAATTGGGTATCGATGCGACATTTGTCTCCCCAGATAAAGCAGAGGAGCAGCTCCCACCGCTGGCACAGCTGTTCCGAAAGATGGACCTTGAACCTCATCAGAAGGAAAACATGTGTAGTGCGGTGACCGCACTACGAATCGCCCTCTCCAAGATTCGGCCTGAGGCCGACGCATACTCCTTGCTTTCTCATTTGAGAGATGTCAAGTGGCCCGGTCGCTTAGAACAGATTTCTCTTCAGCCTCTGGTACTTCGCGAACAGCCAGTTTTGCTTGACGGTGCCCACAACCCACAGTCGGCTGATGTGTTAGGCCGGTACGTTGACCGCAAACTGCGCCCAGAGGCTGAGGCTGGGGTGACCTGGGTGATTGCCGCGTCGAGTGGAAAAGACCTCGCTGGAACTTTCCGCTCGATCATTCGACCAGGAGACAGTGTTGCAACAGCTGAATTCGGCCCTGTGGATGGAATGCCTTGGGTGAAGCCGACCAACGCAATTGAACTCGCATCAGCTATACAGGTGATTCCCGAGATCGGACGGGTGAAGAGCTTTGAAGGAGATTTACTACCTGCACTTAAGTGGGCCAGTACAATCTCTCAAGGCCGACCGCTTGTCATAGCCGGCAGTCTGTACCTGGTCTCTGATGTGCACCGTTTGCTCCGTGATGCGCGCCAATGATACCCTTGAACATAATTGCACATTTGGACATATAAATGTGAATAGTAGAAATGTATACATATTCAACTGCTCCTAAATCTAGAAAAGAAAGGGAAAAAAAAAGGTGTGAATACGTAAAAAGCGGCTCCGTAGGGCTGATCGGCGTAGAGCACAGCCGCTGCATGATGCGGCGAGCGGCTTGTGGAGAAGGGAAAGTTCAAAACAACCCATCACGAACCTGCTCCTCGCGCCCCCGTCGCTACGACGATTTCACCCTGGGCTCTTTGTTTACTCTCGACCTCAATTTCTCGTCTGCGCGTTGACTCATCAGCAAATCTCAGCTAGGGAGAGCTGAACTCCCCTCGATGTGCGCTTGGTGAGACCATCAGCCACCCCCATCACTTGCATACGGACGAATCCCTATCGTCGCGTTTGCAGTCTCATGAGGCCTTTTGACACAGATGAATTAACCTTCCAAATCTTCTCAGATCTGGCGGACATGATCACTACGACCGTTGTCATCGGCTCCTGCCTCCGTCCCTACCTTCACCCCCACCCCCGTCAACCTGAAACCAGACCCTGAGACCGGTGATCGGATTGAACATAAATTGGATCGTCTACAGGCCCCTCGGCGATCCGTGATGGTATCTCGCTCCGGTGACGTGAGTGAGGGGCAGCGCCCCCTCACCCCCTCTAGGACGCCCGGCACGCCAATGAAGCCGCGATTAGCTCGAGTACAGACAAGCCCAGCCAAGCGCGAGGAGAAGATGAAGGATGATAAAGTGATCAAGTCGTCCGCGAAAGATGTTGCGGAGCTGAAGGATTATGTATGGATGAATTCCCCTGTCCGACGAACCTCCAATCGATGCTGACTGGAGATAACAGCAACTTGGCGACTGTTTGGGGAAAGGTGCATTCGGATCAGTTTATCGGGCGCTGAACTGGAATACTGGAGAGACTGTTGCTGTGAAGCAGATCAAGCTGACGGATCTTCCCAAAAGCGAATTGCGTGTTATCATGGTAATGTTGTCGCTTATTCATGGCTTTGGAGCTCTACTGATTCGTGACGTCTCAGCTGGAAATTGACCTCCTGAAGAACCTCGATGTAAGACATGCCCTCGAGACTTGCTGCGTTCGGACTAACCAAAATACAGCACCCAAACATTGTCAAGTACCAGGGTTTTGTGAAGTCTGTTGAAACTTTAAACATCATTCTCGAGTATGAAACCCGGAACTGTGCGCGGAGTGACAAGGAGGCTAACATGATAAAGATACTGCGAGAACGGCTCACTACATTCAATCGCAAAGAATTTTGGCCGATTCCCCGAGAACTTGGTCGGATTGTACATGTCTCAGGTTCTTCATGGACTTCTGTATCTCCATGAACAGGGTGTTATCCACCGAGATATCAAAGGTGCCAACATTTTGACTACCAAGGAGGGATTAGTGAAATTGGCTGATTTCGGTGTGGCGAGTCGGACGACTGGCTTGAGCGAATCAAGCGTCGTCGGTACTCCCTACTGGATGGCCCCCGAAGTCATTGAACTTTCAGGCGCAACGACCGCTTCCGATATCTGGAGTTTGGGATGCACGGTCATTGAGTTACTGGAGGGAAAGCCACCCTACCACAACCTCCAACCCATGCCAGCGTTGTTCCGCATTGTTAATGATGACCATCCTCCACTTCCACAGGGTGCGTCGCCGGCTGTGAAAGATTTCCTGATGCAATGCTTCCAGAAGGATCCTAACCTCCGTGTCTCCGCGAGAAAACTGCTCAAACACCCATGGATTGTCAATGCGCGCCGGACTGATTCCGTTATTCCCAAGAAGTCCACAGAGTACGAGGAGGCCGTCAAGAGCGTTCAAGAGTGGAACGAGGCTTTGCGATCTCCTAATGCGGGTACCTCGAGGAGAACAAGCAAGTTTGACCCTAGCACCGCTGCTCTTCCTGGTGGTCGAAATACCTCGCTGGTAGATACCTTGCCCTCTCCCACCTCAATGAAGACGGCCGACCGGTTTCGATCGTCCGAATCTGCTGAGGATGACAACTGGGACAATGACTTTGCCACTGCGATATCTCCAAGCGCTCTCCAGCTACCTCACCTGCGGCCGCATGACAATTTTGGTGGCATGCTTTCATCAGAACGACTCAAGGCCTTCGCATCCCTTGATGGGACCATGATGAGGCCAGATGACAGCTTTGATGAGTTTGAGGATGCCCTAGAGAATGATTCACTGCAGACAATACGGCCGCTGCCCTCCAGGCCGTCAGCTGTCGAACCATTAAAATCCCAAAGCCCATCTCGACGCCAATCCGGCAAACCACAAGCATCTGCTCTGCAGAATGTTCCCATTCTAACCCAAAACCCAGTACCCCCATCTCGTCGAGCTCGTCCTGCTGTTCTCTACAAGGAAAACTCCGTCGAAGATTATACAGATTTGATTGCAGCAAACGAAGATGTCTTGGATTGGAAACTTGGCCCTATTCAGGAACCCGATGAAGACCCTGCCTCTCCCACTCACGACGGATATAATGCATTTGACGACGATAGAAGCGGGCAACATCATCAACTACGCAAACAGCTTTCTGTGAAACGTGACCGACCTACCATTGAAATTCACAAGTTCGCCGAGAACGAGAATGACGAGGACTTCTCGGATATCATCGGGGCTGACCAAGTGGCTCTGGACAAGCCGGAAAGCGACAATAGCTCTGACAGAAGTACCCTGATGCTGAACTCAAAGTTGTCTAATAACTCATGGCTCGGAGACCAAGATGACGACGACGACCCTTTCGCGCAGTTGGAAGAGGGCTTTGACGAGATGGATCTGGAAGCTAATATTGCGCGTGACAAATACGCGCGTCTACGCAACCAGGTTGAGAGCTTAGTGGGCTCTCTGAAGACATCTCAAGACGAGGACGTTCTGGCAGAAATCTCTGAGCAGCTTCTCACTATTTTCTGTGATCTTCCAGAGACGAAGAATATCATCATGAGTGCTCATGGAATGCTGCCTATTCTGGAGATACTGGACACGTCCCGACACCGCGATATTGTCTTCTGTCTGCTCAGAGTGGTCAACGCTATCATCTACGAGGACTACGAAATCCAGGAGAATTTGTGCTTCGTTGGCGGTATTCCCATTGTCAACGAGTTTGCTTCGAAGAAGTACCCTCGTGAGATTCGACTTGAAGCTGCTGCCTTCGTGCAGCAGATGTATCAAACTTCAACTCTGACACTGCAGATGTTCGTCAGTGCTGGTGGACTGAACGTTCTGGTCGAATTCCTCGAAGACGACTATGAGGACGAACGTGATCTGGTTTTGATCGGCGTTAATGGCATTTGGAGTGTGTTTGAGCTGCAGGGCTCAACCCCGAAGAACGATTTCTGTCGAATTCTGTCGCGTAACTCTGTTCTTGATCCTCTTTCCCTCGTCCTCAGTCGCGTTCTGGATGAAGATGCGGAGGTGGCTGAAGTCATCGAGGGGCGCATTGCGAACATTTTCTTCATATTCTCGCAGGCCGAGAACCATGTCAAGGAGATGGTGGCTGAGCGAACAGTCTTGCATCGTAATAACTACCTAAACTCAGTATTTTCAATTTGCTAACTTTTCTCCATAGGTGTACTGAAAGAGCTGCGACGAATGTCACCTATCCACCAGATCACCATGCTCAAATTTATCAAGAATTTGTCCATGCTTTCGACCACTCTAGACTCGCTGCAGAACTCCAACGCCATTGATGTGCTCACTGATTTGCTCCGATCAACTATGAAACGTGGCCACTTCCGCGAGGTTTCGAACCAGATTCTCAACACCATTTACAACATGTGCCGCTTAAATAAGTCCCGACAAGAGGACGCCGCACTCAATGGTATTGTACCATTGCTGCAGAAGATTGTCAATACAGAACGACCCTTGAAAGAGTTTGCTCTCCCGATTCTTTGCGATATGGCACAGTCTGGAAAGGTTGGTCGTCGAGAGTTATGGCGGAACAAGGGTCTTGCCTTTTACATCTCTCTCCTTGCGGATCCATACTGGCAGGTGACTGCTCTGGATGCTATCTTCACTTGGCTTCAAGAAGAGACTGCTAAGGTTGAAGAGCATCTCCTGGATAATCGCCACGACAAGATGTCCTTCACCGATGCCATCGTGCGCTGCTTGACATTGTCGAAAGCAAACTCATTTGAGAATCTACTCGAGCCTCTGCAAAAGCTGCTTCGATTAAGTCCTCCGGTGGCATCAACACTTGCGCGTCCGGATCTGTTCACTAGACTCGGCCAAAAGCTCCACCACAACAAAGCTGCTGTTCGATTGAACCTCCTGCGTATCATTTCGAGCATTTGCGATTCCAGTGAGCAACAAGGCGGTCTCCTCGCCACTTATGGCCTCTTGGATGCCATCCGGGAACTTGAGAACGACCCAGCCATTCTGGTCAGAGACATGGCCGGAAAGCTGATTCGATCAAGTGACCTGAGCGAGTCCTACGGCCTCAAGCGTAGACCTACAAGCCGAAGGAAGAGCACCTCCACAACCCCACCCAATCCATTCTCCGGCTCCACTCCCTCAACCCCATCAGCAAACCGTACAAGCCAGTCAAGAGCATTCCTCGATGGCCAAGCAACACCCCGACATCCTCGAAACGCCCTCAGCGGCTCTTCTCTGGCCTTACGACCAAGTAGCCGCGACGGCCCACCTTCATCCCTGAACCCTGCCGTGAACGGCTTGAACGGCAGTGCGGTACCACGAACCCGACTCTCACGAGGAATATCCTCCAACCGACTCTCGCATGTCGAGTTACTAGATGACGAAGGGAAAGCACCCAACTCACTCAATCGTCGACCCTCAGTTATCCCTCGGCGGCGGAGACCTACCATTGCCGATTCCGAATGGACATGAGGGAATCAGTCTCCCCTGTCACACTATGATACTTTTTCCTTTGTTCTCTGTTTAACATTATGGCGTCCTGAACTCCTGGTGGGAAGGGGCAATGGTCACATTTCTTTGTCAAAAGGTCTTTCTTTTTTCCTCCCTATGATGGACACTGGATGTCGTACATAGAAACTACATAAACTTCCGAATGAGAGACATAATTATTGCCTTCGTTTTGTTGCTCTCCAGGGCTGCAGTAGCAGACAAGTGGGTGGCTCTTCTAATCATGCTCGCAGCCCCAAGGCCACTTGCTCTTGAGGCGAATATCGCATTAACTCTTCGGCAGGGTAAATTCACATAGCACACAGCACTCAGGGAAAAATTGTGGCCAACAGAGATATTCCAAAGCACAGTGACAAACCTTTGCGGTCTGTCTGTTCGGGTGTATGACTCGAAACTTTCATTCATCCACCAGACAATGAGGGAGTTCTTGACAACACCCAAGAAAGAAGGAGGTTGGAAGGATTATTTGACCTACCGCAATCCCATAGCGCCATGGCCCGTCCATTTCTGGATTTTTTGCTATTCTCCGGCATCGATCAGCCTAATGGGGATTGCTATATCCATTACTTCAAAGGCATCCTCGGCTCTGACATTCGGTACACTCAGCTAGCTCTTAGATAAGGATGGGCCCCGAATAATGCGTTACACTTCTGCTTCGTAACGTCTATTGCCATAGACCGAAAACTAAGGAAAGGCAATACGTGGTTAGTTCAAAGTTCGAATGGAGTTTCCAGGTGCCATGATACGCAATCATTCGTAGTTATATTCTTAATTTCAGCTCTATAAAATCCAGTCGATAACAACCATTAGGTTCCCTCTATTACACATTTCTTATTGCCTGTATACCTGTGCAACTCAAGATTTGCCTCAATGACGTCTGTCGATATAGATCGGAATCACGTGCAGGTCATACGGCCCGCGATCGGGCCACCCGATTGGCGGCGAGAACCGCAAAAAAATCTCCCCGATCAACAAGCAAAGCCTGCAATTGAGCATGGAATAATCCAGGCGCACCTGCACTCACTCTCAGATCCTGCGCTCTTTTACGATATCGACAGTCAGTCGACATGAGCGCGTTGTGTCGTCTGCCCTTGCGGGCATTCGCCAGTCCCGCCGCGGTTATCGGTAAATCACCCTCGATTCCCGCCTCGTTCCATTCTATTTCGAAACCGTCGCTGCGTCCGTCGCCTTCTCGCGAGATTATTAGATCTTCATGGAGTCGCCGTGTCGAGCGTCAGGCTCTTTCCTCGGGTCGCTGGCACTCGAGCTCGTCTCAGGCTGGGTTAAATACGGAGAAGATCTCGGAGAACAAGACAAAGGACTCTGGCTCGAGTAAAGGTCAGCGAAAGGCGATCAAGTATTTGGCCGTCTTCGGTGTGCTTGGCTTGGGCGCAGTGGTCTTTTCCGATCAGTACATGCATGCATACCGCGCCGCGGCGAGAAGTGGTCGCGTGGTCGGCACCCTAGCTGTCTGCATTAACGAGTAAGTCTAGTTGGGACTGAAAAACGGTCCTGAATCCTACATATCTATGTGCGATCTCGCTGACAAGATTTCATCCTATAGCTACCGCGTCACCCTCAACAAAGAAACCTCCTCTCCCGAAGAACGCGATGATCTGATCAAGGCTTGCCACAAGCGTTGTGCGGAGCGCACTCTGCGTGTACTGGAAACTAACGGATCAATATTTATCAAGCTTGGCCAGCATCTGAGTAGCATGGGATACCTGCTTCCTATCGAATGGACCACCACTTTCATCCCTCTCCAGGACAAATGCCCCGTGTCGTCGATTGAATCAATTGGCGAGATGTTCCAAAAAGACACTGGTCAGACTATCGACGAACTGTTCAGCTACTTCGATCCGATTCCCACTGGTGCTGCTTCTCTGGCGCAGGTGCACATTGCCACATTGCGCGAAACTGGTCAAAAGGTTGCAGTCAAGGTCCAGCACCCAGCGCTCGCTGAATGGGTTCCTCTGGATCTGGCCCTGACTCGCTTCACTTTCTCTATGCTGAAGAAGTTCTTCCCGGAGTACGACCTTGAATGGCTGTCTCGAGAAATGGATCTGTCCTTGCCCATTGAACTTGATTTCCGCTGCGAGGCCCAGAACGCCACCGAAGCCAGCGAATACTTCAAGAAACACTCAGATATTCCTTTGGTCATTCCGGAAGTGATGTGGTCTCAAAAGCGCATCCTAGTTATGGAGTTCATCTCAGGCGCCCGTCCCGACGACCTCGCCTACCTGGACGCAAACCACATTGACCGTGACGAAGTCTCCGCAGCCTTCGCCCACATTTTCAACGAGATGATTTTTGGTGACAATGCTCCTCTGCACTGCGATCCTCACGGTGGAAACATTGCCATTCGCCCGAACAACACTCGTCGCCACCCGAACTTCGATATCATCTTGTATGACCACGGCCTGTACCGTACCATTCCGCGCGACCTGCGCCGCAATTACGCCAAGCTCTGGCTAGCCGTCATCGACGCCGACGTCCCACGCATGCGCGAGTACGCTCAAAAGGTGGCCGGTATCACAGACGAGCAGTTCCCGCTATTTGCCAGTGCTATCACTGGCCGAGACTACAGCGTTCTCAAGAAGAACGTTGCCTCAGCGCGCACGGCAGAGGAGAAGAAGGAGATCTCCGGCGCTCTAGGTGAGGGTATGCTCCAGCAACTAGTCGAGATGCTGGGTCAAGTACCCCGAATTATTCTACTGATTCTCAAGACAAACGATCTCAGTAAGTTACACTTCTCCCAAACCTTTAAACAATACCTAACACCCTCGAAGCCCGCAGTCTCGACGAAAACTTACAAACCCGCCAAGGCCCCGTGCGCACATTCCTCATTCTAGCACGGTACGCCACGCGTTCCGTCTTCGAAGAACAAATGGAATCAATCCGCGAATCCGGCGGCGTCTTCTTCAACTTCTTCCGGTTCATCTCTGCCTGGGCTGGGTTCCTGCGCGTCGAGGTGAAGCTGTCTGTGTACGAGACTGTGCTTTCTCTGAAGAGTCGCCTTGGTATGAGGACAGGTGTCTGAGCCTGACCCTTAGGCGCGTTCTCGTCTTTTTCTTTTTCTGTAGATATCCCTGGTTTTGGTTTGGGCACGGATTGACTTCCATCTGTGCATCAGCGATGGCGTTTCTTTTTTAACTTCTTATCCCTTGTAAACGTGTTGGATCACCTGGGAGGTTTCTGTTGTTTTGTTTCAAATTCACCGTGACTGATGCTCTGATCTAGAAGAGCTAATCGTCTTGTACAGATAGATTCACAGATAGACATCAAGATTATAGATTATTTTTCGAGTACCTCAACTTCAGATATCGGCTGCATACTTATTGCCAGAATATAATTACCTAAAGACTACGAATTCAAAATCAATTCTGGTTTCATCTTTTCATTATGAAACTATCACGGCGCTTTTCAAAATAAAAGTAGAGTAGTTATCGATCGAGGGTCCCAACCGAGGCGCCGTTACAGAAAAGGGAAAAAAAAAGTCGTCGAGAACAAAATAAGAAATAGAGGAAAAACTGTACAGCAAACAAATGCACGAAGTTTGTTTGAAAAATCACCTATCCCGAGCCTAAGCTCTGCAAGATCAAATTGATCGGACTCAGCGAAAACGTCTGGAGTATCACTGCTCGTAAAGGAATATTGTCACTGGGTCTCCTTCAACCCATATCGCAGGCAATTTGAATATTTAAAGGGAGGCGGCGGGGCTGCCAGTCTCGATCTTGACGTCAGGAATGGCGGCGCCCGTCCCGGCAAGGTTGGTTGTGCGGGCGTTGGGGTTCTTGGTGTAGTAGTCCGAGATGGCGGACTTGATGGCGTCCTCGGCGAGCATAGAGCAGTGCACTGTGTACACATTAGCAAGCTGTTATAAGTGATCAAAGAATAGTGAAAGACATACGCTTGACAGGGGGAGGCAGAGCTCCTTAGCCACATCAGTGTTCTTCACCTTGCCGGCGTCTTCAAGGGACATGCCGCGGACCAACTCGGTCAGGTAGCTGGAGGAAGCGATGGCACTGCCACAGCCGAAGGTCTTGAAGACAACGTCATCGATCTTGCCCGTGTCCTTGTTCACTCGGATCTGAAGCTTCATGACATCGCCACAGGCGGGGGCACCAACGAGGCCAGTGCCAACGTCCTGGTCGCCCTTCTTGAAGGAACCGACGTTGCGGGGGTTGTTGTAGTGATCAAGCACCTTCTCGTGATATGAGCGACGCTGGATGGGAGCAGCGGCCGGGGCACGGCCTGCGGACTGGACGGACTGGAGGCCGGAGAGGGGAGCGAAGGAGCGAGGCGCGATAGCGCCGACGCGGGGAGCGACGGTGACGAGACGCTTGAACATTGTGTTGGTATGGTGGATTGTATGATAGATTTGGTTTCACTGTTGATGGTAGAAGAGTGGAAGAGGGATAGTGGAAAGATGGCGAAAACAGATCTGATACGGAAGAGGAGGCGATGAATTCATTGCTAAATAATCTGATTCTTAGTAAAGGACGCTAAGCCTGATTTGGAACATACGGCCTCGGAACCGCCGGCCATCGGAGCTGACTCATCCTTCATTCTTTCGTTGTTTTTACGTCCACTTTCCTTTGAATTCGGGGTTGAAGGCCATATTCACATTGTGTGGATGATATCTGATACCTATGATATCAATTATGAGGGGCTAGGGTGGCGAAGGCGTCTAGGGCTCCATTCACGTTGCCCGCGGTGGACTCGGGTGAACATCTTGTTTCCCGATGCACGTCCGCGGGCCAATTGTGTACCAATGATATCAAATGGTGGAGATGACGTTCATAGCAATGATAGACATACCAATTTGGCTATGTTTGGACTTTTTGCGTCCCCCTTCATCCGATTTAAGATCCTGCCAGAATATTCGTTATTTGTCTCGCGTTGCACTGGCCCCGGACTCATACCTCACGTCCGAGGTCGCTCGGAGATAAGCCGCTGACTCGGTATATTCAGCGGACTCCGGGGTTATCATCAGTCGGAACGGCTTCCGGTCATTTGACCGGAGTTCTTTTTGTGTATTGGTGGAAGGGTGCATATGAACTAAGTCCAGCCCGGGCGATTCCATGTTGATCAGTCAAGCATCGTCTTTCGGGGAACGTCTCCTGTGCAGTTTGCGACTCTAGCTGCCATATCATTGGTGCCGAGGCTGTCCGAAAATCGAATTAAAGATGGAGCTTTGACATTGATTACGGGGGAATATGATGCAATCGCCCATCAACGATAACTTCAACTCTTGATTAATAGTTATTCAATTCCTGAACCCTCAATATTCATTCATCTCAGCTTCTAGAATGTGTAGTTTAAATGGTTCCCAACGTTGTTTTGACTGATGACAAACACCCCGGAGTCTGGCCCCAACGTCCCAAATCCTTGGCGTTTCTTCCTCACTCAACCCGTGAAGCCGATGCTGGCCGTGCTTGCGCTATACATGACTTATCGCAGACAGCCATTCACCCGATTACTCATCTGATACTCCGCGATACTATCGTAAGATAGAAGATTTGCGAAAGCATTGGGCCACATGCCAAACTTCTTCCGAGTCACTGGCTGATTCCGGAATTCAAACCTGTATGGACTCGATCTGCCCACACGCATATCCGTACTCATTTGTACCTCTTGTGGTATCCCATCCAGGGTCATAAAATGACGCAAAAGAACACACTCAACCCCAAAACTTTGGGCAGATCCGCAGGGGTACGTGCATCCTTCCTAACAGCCAACGCTGCAGCCTCCGATTCATGGATGTTCAAGTCAGGCCTCTTTCTTGTCGATGCATATCAAATGATTAATTTAAATTCAAGTCTATCAATGCGCCAATCGCAGCCTTTACAATGGCCGTCATTCTCTGCACTTATTGCTTCAGCTCTATCCGCACAGCAAGGCGCGAGGCGCAGGAACAGTTGTCCACAGAGCCGGGTTCACAGCGATTTTCACGACAAGAGAGGAAGGATTCGTCACCTGCATGGATTCAACAGGCTCTTGAGGAGAGTCAGGCTGATGCGGGCAAAGGGGGAAAGTAGGGATGATTTGGATTTGGCAAGTAGTTGACTTTGCATTACAATTGCATCTTTGAGATACCAGTGCTACTTTGCGTACATTTAATATACAAGCATTCAGAACACGTTGTAGGCTTGGTAATTGTCTTAGTTGATTCAATGCTAAAGAGATCATAATCTTCGAAAGGGGATAGTGCAAAAGAATCACAAAAGCGATTCACTTCATCATCAATCAGAATTTTCAGTGTATTGAATGATCATATCCAGGAGTCCAAGTGTGTGACAACCTGGTTCAATATTCATAAGAAAGATCATCATGTGAAGAATGAGGTGAATCTGGTGAAGGAATGACAAGCCAGAGGACGCGTAGACACGGAAGGTTCTGTAATAACGGTAAATAGCATCACAGCGACGGATGCTAAATTATGTTTTAGGTGCACGGATCGCATGGGCGTAATGAATGCTTCGGTTAGTGTTTTGACAGCTAGGTGTCGAGTGTTTTGACGTTGAGATCATGGCGCTCCATTAAGGCCAATGCAAATGACAAAGAGCATGGAATGCCTAGTGACATAGTTGGAGAGCCATTGACAAAATATCTGGGAATCAAACATCAGATTCCTCGGATGGTTTGTGGTTGAGGGAGTTGTGGAAGGAGAAGAGAAAAGCGAAGCGAAGAAAATTGTGGCCGATCACCCACGTGACCACCAATTGTTCTCCACCTGTAATCACGAGTTGCTCACGAGCTGCTTTTGCTTCACCGACCGAGCACATGGGTCTAGGGGATGTCAATATGTCTCCTGGCAGACTCCGCTCAAAAGCTAGCTCTACAGGGCACTTGAAATCAAGAGGGGGGTGCAAAACATGCAAGTAGGTTACTTCTACTTCCAATCTTATTAAACGGGTACCCATATTAAGCGTCGTCTAGAATAAGGAGAGTCAAATGCGGCGAAGAAAAGCCACACTGTGCCAGGTGCACCACCACAGGTCGCAAGTGCGACTATGAGGGGAAATTTTCCATCGTTGACACCCCTCTTTCATTATCCCCGAACACAGTGTGGCGAGAAAGGCGATCCTTTGCCTACTATTTCCAAAATGCCGCACCCTCTATCGGCGGTGGACTAGATGGTGACTTCTGGAACACTATCGTGCCCCAGGTTTGCCGCAATGAACCTGCTGTATGGGATGCCATCATCTCCATTAGTGCACTCTTCGAGAGTCCCGAGCCATGTCCGGAACTCTTTTCTATTCGCCGGGGTTATTCACGCTCTTCCAACGCCTTTACCCTCAATCAGAACCACCAAGATGCGTTGAGCTGGTACTCGCGCTCGGTATCTGCAATTCGTCAGCGGATTGAGAGCGGTCGTCTTGACATCTTCGTTGGACTGATCACTTGTATCCTATTTATCTCCATCGAGGCCATCCAAGGAGGCACGGAAGAGGGCTTGCAGCTTTATAGTCAAGGCGTGCAACTTCTTCTCAATTTCCGCGTCCAAATCATGACTGGCACAGTGCCAGTAACGGAAGCCGCCTGGTTCAAGGATACAGTTGTCCCAATCTTCATTCGTCTGGGATCGATCGGCCTCCCTTTTACCAAGGGTCCCTTGAAAAGTCTACTATCAATCACTGAATCTTGCTCGACACAACAATCCGACTCTCTCAGGCATGCCCGAGAAGGCCTCGTTCTTTTAAGCGCAGAAGTCCAAATCTTCCAACTCGCATCCGTGGAGTATACGCGAGAGCACGGCACCTCAAACATACTTCCGGAACTAACAAACCAACAAACAATACTCCTAGCCAGACTCAAAAGCTGGCACACATCAGTTAACAATCTGATGGCAACCCTTCGCTCCAAACCACTTACCCCCCAACAAATTGGCATGGGCTCTCTCCTCATCGCTAACTACCAAATCCTATACATAATACTCCAAACAACCCTCACGACATCCCAAACCATCACAGACAAATATATACCCAACTTTCAAACAATAGTCGACCAATCCGCCCTCGCCCTCGCCGTTACTGCCCGATTAGATGGCACCCAACCGCCCTACACATTCGAGCTTAGCGTCGCCTACCCCCTCTGGTTCACTTGTCTCCGATGCCGCGAACCCCGAATTCGCCGCAAAGCACTGGCCCTCCTTCGTCGCGCTCCCTTGGTTCAAGGATTCCACAAAACTAAATCCGCAATCTCATTCAGCGAGCGGGTAATGGCGCTAGAAGAACAATACGGAATAGCAATAAACAGAAGCCGCAATTCCACGCCCGAGTCGCCTGCAAGTGGAATTTCTTCTCAGTCCGGATATCATGGCCCGGGCGTGTCTGATCTGCCAACGCTTGACTTGGCGGCTTTCCTTGAGTTGGACTTTGAGTATTCTACGAGTCTGGAGTCTATGCCTATTGAGTTAGGAATGGTGCCGATCTCAGAAATTATTCCCGAAGAGGCGCGCATGGGACCTATCAATGTCTTTAGGCCGATGGATGGGTTCCCGTCTGGAACGACAGCGAAAGATCTCGCGAAGTGGAATCCGGGTTCGGATCAGATGTTTTTGCGATTTTCATGGAATAAACGTGATCTGGAGAGTGATTCATGGGCTACAATTTACGAATATGTCCCGCTTACTCTTTAAATTACTTTTTCGATTACGATTGATGCATAGATGTGAGAATGTTTGAAAATGGAAAAGAAAGTCAAGGTGCCATAAACCTGGTGTTGGTGCATATGTACAAAAACAGGCAAGCAAGTAACTATGCGGAAAAGATAGTAGATGACCTCGGATGAAAAGAAACGCTTCAAAGAATAGAGATAGCGCATGGAGGAAATGCTAAGATCTCTGGCATGTGAGCAAGGTATAGTCTGGGGGCTTCACATGCAAGAGCTTCCTAAGAAAACTGCAATCTATGCCGAGAATCCTCGACTAACAGTTTTTGATGCAAAGAGCCTAATGCTAACTCGCTGAAAAGGGCCATCAACTGGAAGATGGTCATTTCCAGGTTCTATACAGGGTTGAAGGGGGGAGATGAAAGAGGCACTTGGAAGTGCAGGGAGTTCGGGGGCGAGGGAGAGGTGTTTCTAAGTCATTTCGACAAGACTTCATCATATCGTGCTTCCAGTATCGGTACCGTTATCTTCCATGTCACGCTTTAGCGCGCCTTCATGCTGAAGATTGTGCATGAGCTTCCGCAGGTACTCGTAAGTGAGCATGGTCGTCATAGCAGCCGGGACGGCCCGGAACAGGTTGGTGCCGATCCCGGAATAGAAAGCGGTCCAGCCCTCTTCTTTGAGAATTGTCTGACACGTGCGGAACATTCCTGCGTATCGAGGACGAAGCGGCATGCCGTCTGAGGACGAGAATACCCGGGGCTGACCACGGTCATGTGGATGATGCAAGCCACCGCGGAAAGCAATCTCTTCTGATGAAGGAGCGGGTGCAGAACGCTGCTGGGTTTGCAGTCGCGTGCGAAGAACCTCGTGGGGGTAAGTGATGGTGCTGGCACAGATTTTGCTAAGGAACGTGGCGCATGAAATCCCAATCCAGTGGGAGCTGCCGTTGTTCGGATGTTCTCCGATACTATATCCAGTGAAAGCCATCTTTAAATATTCGTAGAGTGGAAATTGGATGGCGACATGACTCAGTCCCAGAAGAGCGGGTGTCAAGCCAGAGTAGAATGAGCGGAAACCCTCAATTCGGTACATCTTACGGGCGGCATCTAATGTGCCTGAATACTGCCATGGGGCTCTCGCGCCTTCGTTGTTTTGTTTCAAACTTTGCGACATGAGCCGTGTCTTGATCACCCAGATGGGATTCGTCACGATCGTTGAGCAGGCTCCGGCTGTAACTGAAGCATAGCCTCGTGATAACCACCAGCTGCCTATGAGAAGTTAGTAAAATGTAACCAAATAATACCGAAAACCAGACTACCGACCTGTTTCTTCGTAGAAGTATTCTCGAGACTTGTCATATATCGCCAGGTAAACTGCCCAGGTGGGAAGGTACCCCATGAGCATCGGACCGAGTCCTTGGTATAAACCGCGCAGGCCATCTTCCCGAATGATCACCTTTCCGGTCCCTAACATACCCCGGTATAAAGCTTTCGTCTCACCGGACTGCGCAGCACGTCGGGAAAATCCGCCTTGGGCTTGCAGCTTGGTTTTAATCACATCGAGAGGACAGGTCACGATTCCGGAAGCGACACCTGCAAAGGCGCCGCAGACAGGAGCGATCCATATGTCGGGAACTTTGGTTGAGAGCTTCTCCAGGCGAGTGACGAAATCGGAGCTCGGTGACGCATCGCTGGCGGGGACGTGAGGAATGGACGAAGCTGCAGTATCGGGAGGAAAGACCGACGTATGATCGTTATGGTTGCTGACAGCTGTAGTGCTGTCTTTGCTGTCGGAGCGCATTGTGGATAGGCAGGCGCTCACGCTTGTCTGTCCGTCTTGATCACCGAGGGCTCCCGGACCCAAGCATATCGGATGCTCGATCCGTTTCCAATATCCCGTTCAAAGAGAGTAGAAGGCTGCTGGAAGGTCGTAGCCGAGGGGATAATAGTTGATGAAGAAAAAAGCTGTGACGGAGAATTTGGGGAGGTTCGAGCGAGGAGAGATTTGGTCCCGATGGTTACCGAACCGGTGATGCGACTGATATCGTGCTGCACGGACTCGGTGAGGGGTGATAGCAAAAGCTCCCCTGTCGCAACGGGGATCTGGCAATGCTTTAGAAGACAGGCGGCCCCATTATCTAATCGAGCAAGAGGCAGAGAGCAGGTCGAATCAAAGAGAGGACGATGATTATGACATGGGTAATTGAGTGGTGCGAGGTGGAGTCGCCGATTGGTATTCCTCCACAGAGCCTCAGGCAAACATCGGACATGTCACGTGTATTTGCCTAAAATACTAGGCCATAAATTACCGCATTTGGACTAGTGCCGCAAGCTCCGTTTTCCACAACCTCGCAACATCGGGTCATCTCGTGTTCAGCCGGACCGCCCTTTTCACTTCCCCAATCCTCCATTTGTCTGGATATCCGGGATCCAAAATGTCTGCCCCTTCCATCACCAACTACATTGTCAAGCGCCCTTGGCTCAAGCGGGCTATGACCCCGCTGGCCAACTGGTACACCGACGCCGCTGGCTACAGGAAACTTGGACTCAAGTAATTATCGCCCTCCCTCTCTACGCCACCAATCTCTTGCCGCAGACAATTGAAGAAGATATCGAGGTGTCTGCGCACGCGACTATTCACTACTGTCGCCTTTGACGGGTCGTCAATGCCGGCGTGTCGCATCCGCTCCCGGTCCTTCGGATATTGCCCGCCGATATATTCGTCTACGGCCTGGTTGCTAATCTCTTTTCAGGTTCGATGATTTGATCCCCGAGGAGTCCGAAGTTGTCCAGAAGGCCATCAAGCGTCTCCCCGCCAAGGAGGCCTATGACCGTGTCTTCCGTATCCGCCGCGCATTCCAGGTTCGCCCGACCCCCTTCCCTACCATCCGCCCGCCACAAGTCTAACAAGCCGTCAATTACAGTGCTCTATCTCCCACACTCTCCTCCCCGCTGCTGAGCAGATCAAGGCCTCCGAGGTGAGTTCCTCCCAGTCCTCCTGTCCAAGATTCGCCCTCCCCGCATTGTCCTTGAATTGGCCAATCCCGTTGCAAGGATTTGTCAATTTGGGACATCCACACCTGGCACTCATATACCTTCTCTACCAACAATACACTGATTTTCTGAACCCTTTAGGACGTTGAGTACCTCAGCCCCATCATCCGCGAGATCGAGAAGGAGAACAAGGAGCGTGTCGACCTCGACAACCTTGTCGTCCGCAAGTAAACTCCTCCACAGTTGACTTTACCCCTACTCCAACTGAATTTGAAAAGCCGGGATTAAGGGCGACATGGTTGTTTGCATGATATAGACGGATTTTTAGGCGATGGATTCCCAGCCCGTGTTCGGGGATATCTGGTTAATTCAAGTGAAGTGTACTGATACTGTACAAATCGATTTCTTCGTTTACCTGATAAATCTGTCCCAACATTTCTGGCGGTTGAATTCGTCTGCGTAATCATTTTCCCATGGCGACGTGTGACTGCTTGGCTCACGCTACTCGTCATTCGGTCCCTTGGCATCAAGTTACTAACTCGCCTGGCGGCTCGAGAAAGTGACTAAGGGTGATGCTTGAAGGATTCAATTGTTATTTACGCGTACGTCTTCAGTTGATGCAACTCATATCCACTTTATAGATTCGATTCCAGTATCTGAAATAACACATATGGCGAACGGCCGTTACTTCTTGAAGTCAATCAACCACCCAGGACGGCGATGTCAACATTCTCGATCCGCCACATGTACCACATGAAAAGACTCCTATAGTCGAGGTGTGAACGATGACTCGGTGCAACAGGTCAGGGATAGATACATACCTATACGGCGAGAATCTGGCCGCTAATTCCAACATATCTTTCTCCGCCATATACTTGAACTTACCACCACCCTTGGCTTTCAATTTAGTCACATCTCGACCAACGAATGCCGCACACCCGCGTCTAGATGCATGTCAGTCCACGCATCGGTCCGTGGCCAAGAAATAAAACACTCACTGCACCCCAAGATCTCCCGTAGAAAAGACATCAGTCCGCTTAAGCGCAAAGACAGCAAACATCTCAACAGACCACTTTCCTAGCCCCCGAACAGCAATAAGCTTCTCCAAAAGCTCCTCATCACTAGCCTTCGCCAGCATCCTTGCGCTCAACTCCCCACTCGCAAATTTCTCCGCCAGTCCCTGTATATACTCCGCCTTGCGCTGACTCAACCCAGCCGTCCTCAGCGTCGGGAGATCGAACTTCGCGACCTCCTCCGGCAAAGGGAACCGCGAATGAGCAATTCCCGCCGGATCATTGATATTAAAAAGCGCGAGGAATTTATTTCGAATCGACTTCGCCGCTGCGCCGGAGACTTGTTGCCCAATGATACTGCTGACCAAGCTATTGAATGGGTTGATTTGCTCCGCTAGACCCGCTGGAGAGAATACTAGGCATGGATGCTGCTCTATAACTGTCTTGAGGCGTGGATCTGTGGCGATCAGGTGGGCTGTGGCTTTCTCAAGTAGTGTCCCTGTTGTAGCCAACGGACGCGGCATTCCTGTCTTTGAGGGCGAGGCATCTTCGGTTTTGGAGGGGTAGGCTGTTACCGAGGAGCCGTGGGGGGTCAAGAGGGTTGCGTTTGTTCGGTGAGGATCCACTGGGCGGTCTAGTGGTGGTGGTGTGTGAAGTCTGCTGTTCGTGATGTTATCAGATGTTTGCTTATCGAAGCTGTCGGTCGAGGGCCCCGCGGGGGGCTCTGGGGACCAGTAGGAATTCTCTGTTTGCGTTTGTGGCTTCGCGGAGACGCTTGATGCTGCTTTCTTCCCTGTGGAGGCTTTGCGAGACTTGGTGATGCCGTTGGTCGGTACTCGCGTCACCTTAACCGTGGCTTGTAGTGGTGCCTTGGCGGTTGGGATGGAGCCCAACCGCGCGGACCGCCGGAGAGACATTCTTTGGCTTTTGACGGGAGTAGTCGAATTGTGTTCAATTGAGATTCAGGGACTGTCAGTGGTTCCCAGGGTCTTGTAGAAGGTGAAGCTGACGATCGAGTTGAGACCCCGGATTTCTAATTGACGAATGCCAAGCCCTGCGATAACCAATCGTGAGGCTCCGTAGTGGAGAAAGGCATCGAGGCCCTTTTCTGAGAGACCAGCGCATCTAACAAAACGGACCAGAATATATTTATGGATATCCGCTGTTTGTACGAATGGATTGGATCCCCAGCAATCGTTCAAAATAATATGGAAACTTTCGCATAGCTGGCTTAACTACTTCCTTAACCCTGGTTCTTCACTTCTCCCCAACATCAACTCTAACAACTCGGAAGTATACTACATCTTGTATAACCATGGTTTCACCTCAGTCAGCTATTAACCATCAACTTAAATTCTATCGCCTACTACGACCTCTTTAAAGCTTTTCTTCTGCCCGATATAGTAGCCTCTTCCTTTTCACGAACAATCTGCAAGCACATTAATCTTGCCCATATTGACTATCTCACTTTCACGACGACTTCGCTTCTTACCCGGGTACGTGCGGGGATCAAGGTACACAGAGCTCTGGGAAGACTATATGGTGTAGTGGTAAAGGGATATCGGTATCCAGTTATGGCTACCCCGCGAGCTAGAGAACGAAGACCAAGGCCTCGCTCAAATTCCTCTGCCCTACATATATCGATGCTTCTGTATCTTGCTTCCTCCTTGCTCTCTCTCCATGACGACTGCAGCGACCCACCTTTCATGGCTCTGGCCGGCGTGTCTGAGTATTGACAAGAAGTTGGATTGTGAAGTTGATGTTGAAACCTATTCATAGGAAAATAATTCGCTAGGACTTAAACACCATCATCGTCCGCAGAGCTTCACGCTTCTGCTCTCTTATTCTATTCAAGTGGAAAATTGTCTATAGGCCTCAAGAATCGCTTCCCACCCGCCAGGATGATTATACTCAGTCGGATTTGACTGACCATCAAGAATCATCACATCCGTCTTCCGCGTGTTAATAGAGTACCAAACAAGGTTCTCCGGGGTGTTAGCAACACGCATCATGTTCGTCTGGCAAGATCCATCGCATTGAGTGCTGTAGTCACCCGTCCACTCGCCATTAAAAAACGCCCATGCCGCACTGCTATAGAGAAGTACGTCCTTACCTCCGTCGACATTGGTTGCCAAGGAGGTGCGACACTTCTGATCATTGGTGTCACACCAAGAGAAATCGGGGTCACCAATTGACGGGTCAGCTGTCCAGGGCGCTGGAGCAGTTTGAGTAGCACCGTCGCCTTGCATATAAGGGCTCTCGGTCTGGAGCATACCGGCATAGACATTTTGCGCGGAATGGAAGTTGTAGTTGTATAGCCAGTTGTGCTCGGATCCGGTACCTATCAACCAGGTGCCTTTGGTAGCTTCAACAAGAACACCACGTCCGGTGGAAATCACAGTGTAGTTTGATCCTCCATCCAAGTTGTGATCGGCTGTCCAGCCCCAGAAGTTCTCGATGTAGGCCGATGAAGAAGCTGTCAAATGCATGACCATATAGGCCGCCATGCACTGAGAAGTGTCCTGATTGTCGCAGTCATCTTTGATGCTGGTCTCTACAGTGCCGCCCACAGTCACCATCGTATTCCATAGCGCGACATCTCCCGGGTTCGTTCCGGCCGCATTGATCTCGAGAATAGTTGCACCAGGAAGAACCTCACCGACACTGAACCTCATGTTTTGGATTTCAATGACCCCAGTGTCATCCGTCTGACCCACTTGAACGACCGGCTTGGGATTTGAGGCATCTTTGAATGCGTCGCCAGCCCCAGAGATCACGGCCCAAGCTTCACCAGCAATGCGCGAGCCGATGGGGATCTTCAGCGTGTCTTTGACGGTGTACACGCCGTACGGAAAGTAGGTGATCTTGCAGTTTGCAGCATTATCCGCAAGAATAGCGTTAAGCGACTCGACGTCATTTGTCGATCCGTCGCCCTTGACGGGGTGGCCGTCAACGGCTTTGACATTGACAACCTGGTTCGAGGCATACTCGGCGTAGGTAGGCTGGCTGCGGATGTAGTACTTGCCATTGGATAGGAGCACGTCCGGCCGACTAGTCGTGAAATTGGTGCCGGTCTCATACTGACCCGGTGTCACATTGCCCCATGCCCAGGTATCAACATTTTCAACGGCCGCAAGCTTCTCGTTGTTGTTGCTATCCACGACGATCGAGTGTTGGGTATCGTGGAAGAGGTTCTGTATAAGTAATTGACTGTTGCGGTTTCCGCTGTCATTGGAGGAATCGTAGAACTTCACTACAGTGCCCGAGTTGGTAGAGTTAGAATCTAACAGCACCATACTTCCGAGACCGTTGCTACTCATATCGATACCCAGGCCAACTGTATCGAATGTTGCGCCCTGAAGAAGAGCCGTATGACCACCCGAGGCATCAAATGCAGTTGTGCACTGCTTGAAGTAGATGTTCTTGAAGTTGACCTGCTGATTGGAATTCTTGATCCCGACAGCACCACCAGTAATTTGCACATCGGTGACGGCAATTGTTGACCCGCCGTTTATATCAATCCCGGTGTGTCCAGTCGAACTGGTGGGCATATTGATTTTGACATTGGTCAAGCCAGATCCTTGAGCTACACCCCATTGCAAAGCAGTGATCTGTGTGCCCGCACTGACAGCCGTAGTATCAATCACCACATTACGAAGGAGCGTCATGAAACTTGTCTCTGCCGCCCCATTGCCACTATCATATCCGTTGATCAAGGTGCTATCGCTAAAACCGGAGGACGCCTTGAGCACGGGCGGGTTTAGCGGGTCACCAGTAATCACGGTTCCGACGCGGAGGTTCAAGGTGCTGCCCAGCTGGTACGTTCCTCCGGGGAGAAACACCTCGGCGGCGAACTTGGTCACACCCTGACCTTCACGACTGCCACCAGATCCGTCATCATTGATCGCATTCTGAATGCTACTACTTTGGTCACCAGATCCATCGGCAGAGGCAGAATAATCTTGCACGTTGCGCCACACGGGGTAGTTTGGGTTTGACAACACTTCAGGGGCGTAACCGCGGGCGTTGCCTGTGTGGTCTTGTTCCAGAAGCCAGTAGGAGGTGGGAGACGAGGCAATTGGTCCCGTACAAGTGTCTCGCCGTCGAATATCTCTTCAGTGAATGTCAGAGAATCCTCATAGGAGATATCGGAAATGAAGTACTTACCCCTCAGAAGGCGAAGGAATAGTCACCGCCGAAGCCGAGGCTAGCAGGACCGTCACAGCGGTCCATTGCAAAAGATCACGCATGGTCAAGCGTATGTACAGAACAATATGTGCAGAGAAGTATATGAGATGCTAAAGAAATGTGAAATGTGAAAAGGAAAGAACGAATGTAGTATATTAAAAAAGGCAACAGACAATAAACATGATCAATTTATATCTAACCCTAACTCCGTGGTAATACTCGCGCTCGATTTCCAACTCAGTAAGGTGCTCTTCAGCACTCTTCGATTTGGGTTAGACTCCAAACAGCTGAAGGCGATCTTCTCCGGCTGTGGGGCTAGATGATGGCTGAATGGTGAACTTTTGCTTCAGGGGCTTTGGGGGCCATTTCCTAATTGGGTAACTGGTTCTCTGGTTTTCCACCGTAGCGCCTTTAAACTAGGGCTTGGCGGTTGTTTTTGAAATCTAACATGTTTATCTGAACTATAATCGTTTAAGTGAGTTTCTGCTACGAGGGTCCCGACCTTGTCAATCGCCTCTATTCTTCCATGTCTTCCCCACTTATTACGACATTCAGTTATTAGCGAATACTTCTGGCAAAAAACCCTTATTTGGTTCTTGTTACCAGTGAGCTTGAAAGCATCCCCTATTTTGGGCATTGACGTGTCTTTGCTCTATTAGGGGAAATGAGGACCATTCTCTGAGTCATGCTGGAGGGCAAACAGACTCATCACTAAAAGCGAACTTCCTTGATCAAGTCCTTGAAGGCTTTCAAATTTTTTGAAATACTTTCTCTTTTGCACAGATTCATGAAGTTCATAAAACCGGCGGCACCTCCTTCGTCTCATACTACATGGTATACCCAATATCCGTAAGGCTAGCTCTATACTCATCAAATCAAACCATCTATCGTTCAATTCGACTTGAACACTTTTCAACTTTCTCATCACCCAAAATCATCTTCCATTCAACACAACTTCTTCGTATCATGACAGATATCATGCTTTTCATCCATCGACTCTACCACATTCAAGCAGCTAACATATGCATTGCTATCAGCTGAGAACCTAAGCTTACCTCTACGAAGCCGTGCCTAAACACAAGAGCGTTCTCGGCCAAGCAAGTTCCGAAAATACACACCAGCCCGCACCCGCTAAACGCATTGTCCCTGGTCTCGGCCCACGATGAAAGGTCACCGAGATACCAGATGAATTCTCATGCCAAGAGACCAGCGAACTCAGACTTGATTGCCTAAGACTCAGCCTACGTCCCTCCGATACACACTGGGTGGACAGACTTATAAGAATAGTATAGTGCGTGGGATGTATCGTGTGCGCTTTGAGCGTGTAAAACTGCACAGAATTGGCTACACTTACTCGTTAGTGGGGAGATGACTCTGACAAGCTTAAAGATACGGTGCGATAAAGGAGAAAAGATCGCTTTACTATATTTCAGGATACCTTGAAACGAGTCTTTTAAGTTCTCAAAATCGTTGAAGGCAAGTTGAGCGAGACGGACTCATCTTGTAGACCCGGTTATTCGAACGACCAAAAAGGGTGGTCCGATTAGCATTTCTCAACCACGACTATTTTAAGCAACCCACAACAGTTCGCTACCTAGATCTGAAGCTCGTATTAAACCAAATTCATTGGCAGATAACGGGTAATCTACATCCATGGAATTCAGCATACAGTGCATGCAGCCAAGTTTCGCGATTGGACACAATCTACTCCGCTCGGCCACCGACCCAAGGATCCATCTCAAGAAACCGGCCAGATTCAATCAACAACCACGGTCGGCCACACGAGCTCTTTGTTATGCGACACAAGAAACGCAATCCGGTGCAATGGCCCGAGTCGAAGGGGCATCCAAATTCCAGCTGGGTATAGCGCAGCTTGGAAAACAAGCAAGCGTCGCCCCGTGCTCGGCACTAGCCTACCGGCTTGCGTCAGCGGCCTACGATGCCCTGCCAAATTGGCGTAGAGCTCGATACCAGTCCCCGACCACGAAAATAAAAATTCAATTAGAGTGGGGTTTAGATCAACGCCGAACGAAATTTGGGTTCGCCTGTTAGGATCGGTATTTTACGTGAGACTGGGGGGCTGGTCAGATCCCGGGAAGAATGAGCATTTTCGAAATGCAATGAATAGTTATTCCTGTCCAACGAAGTTTGGCAATACAAAGGAGTAGAAGAAGCTTCGCACCAGCCCCGGATCTAGTCAGAATTGGGTCAAATAGTACGGAGATGCTCTCTATTCATTCTGAATGCGTGCTGAATACCCCAGGAAAGCATGGGTGCGAGGGAGTCTCGTGTACTTAGGAATGTAACCAGCCTCCCCCTTTCTGTTTTCACGTTGGACCTGCCTTGTCTTCCATGCATTCCACGAGAAAAGAAACATCTAGGCATACGTGGAATGTGAGTCAAAATGCCATGATAGCAGTTGAACTGACAGTACGGGACTAGGCTTGACTTGGTTTCGAGGCCGTGCGGTGTCCATAGTGGCGTGGGATGCACGGATCATTTCTCTACCGGCCTATAATACATTTCCGTCGCGCTCGTGACTACGTTGTCGACGCGGTCTCTAGTGTTACCAGGTTAAAAATTCTTCAGAGCATACGCGATGGCCAGTGGAGACCGTAGTGGAGTGATGAGCAGAAGGCTCGAGGCCACCAAGCGGAGAGGTTGTCGGCTCCGTGCAATCTGAAACATGTTTACAGGTACGAACAGTCAATACACCGTACCGTAATAACCAATTTGAAAGGCGCGATGTCACCATAACTAATCTTCACTATTAATTTCGGTCTCAATTGACGTTTAGTTAAGGCTGGCCGATTGAGAATAATTGACAGCAGCGTCCTACCTGTCGATACCAGCCATTGAGCCCCGGTTTGGCCCAGGATCGCGATCAGTCCAGAAGACCTGTAACATCAGGACGGCGCCGATCTGGGTCGGCAAAGCTATAGACGGGCGATCATCACAACTATTTATTAAAGTGACAGGAGCTCCCGCGGATCGGTGCTCAATTTAAATAGCTGCAGGGGTTTTTAGATTTGGCTCTACCCGCGAAGCACATTAAGACCGTAAGACCGGAGCCGAGCTGTCGGCCTGAATCGCGCATCCTGGCAGTGCAAATAAGAATAGTTAGATCATAATAAACACCTGCATCCCAGCGATCGCATTTTGCCACCAACTAGTATCGTTCGTGTACAGGGAGGGGCGGTGTTAGGGGACTTTCGACCAGTCCTTTCGGGTTGTCAAGTCGGCACAGCGAGGGGCGATTTGATTTCAGATAGAAAATGGGCATGTCGGAACGCAGCCAGGATTGACATTAATCCAGGACGATTCATTCCACCGTGCCAATCAGAGGTCGGACATACCGGGGGCCGTCGACGATAGCGGCAGGGGGCTGGCGGGTCCGTGAAGGCTTGAATGCCTGTAAATTTAGATCGACCATCCCAGCGCAAGGCCTACCCGATGGTTTCTGCTCTGGGGATGAATAGGGGGAGGTGCGATAGGAGACTTTATTACAATTCGTAGTCCGAGTCGATGAACCCATATACCCGGTAATCAGGGGGCCGAGATTTGAGATGATGACGCCAGGTAATAGATAGCGGGATGGGGCTTGATCAATCGGGCAGAGCCGTCGGGATATACAGATCACGTCTATTCTTACCGAGGGTCACTCTACACGTACCTAGATGCCTAAGCTACCAGCCCAAAACCTTATAGGCAGTTATGTAGGTAACTACAGTACTGAGGTGGACTTGTTTGGTTGGTGTGGCAAGTGCCGCATTAGGCAAGATGGTATCACTGTTGTGCAACTATCTATGCACGGTGGCAATACACCAAAGTACTAGTGCACCAATGCTGGGGCCTAGAGACACCTGGAGTAGGGCAAGCTAACCAGCTTGACCTAGACATAGCATGATTGTTTACCGTATACTTTAATTGCATAACATCACACATGGCGCATCGCAGGGCATATAGGTGTAGAGCAAAGTGCAGAAACCATGGAAACCGACAGCACACGTGTATAGGAAATGAGTTCAATGTCGGATCCACAGGGGAGACACAAATGGAGAAAGGGGGCCCCGCACGGGCGAATCGGTCATTGGTGAAGTGTTACGGAAACAGCGCTAGAGAAGCACTAAAACGGGCGGAAATCCTGATTGTGTTGAAACCGGCGATACAGAAAATACCGTGGTACTAGGAAATAGGTACGCCTAGGTACGCCCAGGTACGCCCAGGTACGCTTCTACGCACTCCCGCATCCGGTACCTTGTTTTTAATTGCGTATCGTAACCCTGCGAAAAACGAGAAAACCGACAAAAACGAGAAAAAAACACCCGACTCCACCAGCGCCTCCTTTCTCGACCCCCGAACTTCTTATTCCTTCCTCTTTCCTCCCCCAAACCTGTCCATTCGTTCTTTCTCTTGAGTCTTCCCACCCTACCTCCGCTTCTCTTTCGCTGAAGCCTTTCCCTTCTTCTCGACATTCGTTCCTACATCCTTTAATCCCTATACGGTATGTTATTCTTCTTGTTGTTGCTGCTGCCCTGATATTGTCAACACGCACTAACACGGTCGCGCAGAAGCATCACCATGTCCTTCGTCAAGTACCTCCTGCCCGCGTTGGCAGCTTCCCAGCTGGCCTTCGCCTCCGACTGTGAGTAAACACTGGAATTGAACATGGATGATGGACTGACTCTAATTCCTCAGCTTGCGGTGATACTACCATCTCCACCCAGTCCGATGCCGATGCCCTTGACAGCTGCACCACCGTCAGCGGTGATATCAAGATCAAGTCTTCCTTCTCTGGTACCCTTACCCTCAACGGTGTTGAGAAGATCTCCGGTTCCCTGACCGGCTCCAACTGCACTGCTCTCACCGGCATCATCGCCCCCTCGCTCGTGACCATTACCGACAGCTTCACCCTGAGCGAGGCTACTCTTGTCACCGAGCTGAGCTTCTCTGAGCTCACCACCGTTGGCGAGATCAACTGGGAGGCTCTTCCCGCTCTCCAGTCTCTGACCTTCCCCGCTGGTGTTACCGATGCTGGTGACGTTATCATCACCAACACTGG